TTTTTTAGGGGCTAGTACTACCGGAGCTGCCCATGGACTTTTAGATGGAATAATAACGCCTTCTTTCAACATTGCATTGAGTTCTTCTTCGATGACTTTGCGACGTGCTGGAGCGTAACGATAGGGTGGAGAGTTACATGGTTTGCTACTTGGTTGTAATTCAATATGGTGTTTTATTATATTGGTACGTCCTGGTGTTCTAGTGAATAATTGTGGAAATGACTGAATAACATTTGATAATTGTTGTTGTTGTTTTTCGTTCAATATGGAGTTTGACAAGTCAGGGTGTTCCAATGCTTTTCGTTCATTTGAATGTGAGATATCATGAATATTGTGTAAATTGTGAACTAGGTTTTCATGTGAAGAGTCTTGTTGGGTAATTGAAGAGTTTGTTTGGTTTAGTGAAGAGTATGGGGATCTGTTTTGTTGAGACGCATAATAGACACATTGACTTGCACCATCGATGATAAGTTTGTGTGTATGAATAAAGTTGTTCCCGATGATACATGGTCGCCATAGATCGGGTACGACATATGTAATGTGCCAGCGGGTGGTGTTATTGAAAGTAAAAGGTAAGTTTACGACGCATTTTACCATAAGTGGTGAGTAATCAGCTAGGTGTAAAGATAATGATGCCGGGGGTTTGTTCCTTATTTGAGTAAGTCGCGGGTTGAGTTGATTAAATACTTGAGAGTTAATAAGAGTGAGAGTTGAGCCAGTATCAATCAAGAAAGTGATTGGTAATGCACCAATTCGTCCCTTGATTGTTAATGGTGGACTAGGAAAAGAATCTATGGTATTGAGGTGTGATACTTGATGAGTTTGCGGGGTAGAATTATAGGAGTTTTGTAATCCCGCTGTACGAAAACTCCTTAGTTGTTTTTTGGGCGTTGAGATAATGGTTGTTGGGTGTACTCATTTGGATCATAAGTACGACGAGTTTCATTAAGAGGACAGGTTGTAGCGTAGTGACCGGATTCATAACAGCGCCAGCAAGTTGGTGTGTAAGAAGAAGGTGAGGTATTGGGTGTATTTCTCGCGGAATATTGGTTGGTTGTATTTAATGCTAATAATGGTGTATTGGTGGTTGGTCTTGGTCGTGGATTTGCGCGTCGTCTAGCTTCTTTATTTCGTAGGTATAATATTTCTTCCACTTGTTGAGCTTCCGTGATAATGTTGGATAGAGTTTGTGAACGATTAGCGTTCATGAGTGTTAGCATATCAGGTCTCATTTTGCAGAATAGATGTTTGATAAAATCAATTTCAGTTTCGTCAGGTTTCTGTTCAAGCCAAAGTGAACGGAGGCGAACAACAAATTCATTAATTGTTTCATTTTCTTGTTGTTTACATTCGTCCCATTCGTGTTCCTGTTGTGCGATGCGAAGTGGTGAATGAAATTGTGCCAGAAACTGTGTGACAAACTCGTCCCACGTTTCGGGTAAGCTGTTTGTATTGTAGAGTTGACAATACCATTCGAGAGCTGCATCCTTTAGAAACTGAGAAATTCCCTGCAATAACGTGTTAATAGACCATTTATGAATAGTTCGTGTATATTCTGTGACACGTAATAAGAATTGCCTCGGTCTATCCGTTGATTTTCCCGAAAATGTTGGAAAGGAAGAGATAGGCGGGACAACAATAGTTTGTGTACCCAGAGTTGCAGGTGAGATGTAATGGGTAGAAGGTGTATTCAGATCAGTCGATTGACGTGTGGGTACCGTAGGGGTATGATGATTGACCTTTGTAGTAGGTAATGATTCAGGATTCGGTGAGGTAAAATGTTGTTGAATATCTGCGACCATTTCTCTCAGTTCATGGATATCAGCTTTTAGTTTAGTTTCAGTCGATAATAATCCTTTGGTGAAAACATCCTGGCAGGTTTGAATGTCCTCTGGTAATTGAGATTGAAGACTTTTTATAGATTCTTGGAGATCGTGGATTTCTTTTGCATGTTGAGTCAAAGTGTCCGAAGTAACTTGAGCGACTTTTTCAATCGGTACTTTTTTTTCTTNTCGCCAGTCGGCTGAGTGAATAAAAGAAGGGAGAGGAATAGAAACATCGATTACTTTCTTCACTGAATTGCTTTTTCTTCAATATTACAATGAATTTTTTCGTGAACTACTCACATGTAATTCTATTCATATTTTGAGTTGATCGTTGAAATTCCTATGTTCGCTTCCTTTGTTAATAGAGAGCAACATATTGTTACCATTTGAAAGGAAGTTTGAGATACAAATCTCGGATGTTTAAGATGCATCGACTCATGGTATTGTGGGTCATGCTTTTATTGGACAGTTGTTGAAGGTAAATATGGAGGATGGATAGATGAATTTCGTATTTATTTGAGAGAATCGATATTGAATAAGATATAAATGATATCAATCAAAACATGAAGTACTGATTAACATTGCTGCTTTGACTGTTATTTGTCATATGAAATTCATGAAACAAAATAGTACATAACACTTACAATTATGGCATTATACTATGTGTCACTACCCATTGAATCTGTTTCTCTATCATCTGTAGTAATCTTCATGTGTGCAATCTTGATTCTGCATTTTCCGCCTTGTTTATGAGTTAAGCTATAATTAGTGTCTGGCTTTTGCACGTTCTGACAAAGACATACGTATATACACGTCTATATAGCATATCTGAAATAAAATAGTATACAAGGACCTTAGGCAATATCCGTCAGCAGTGTGTTCTTTATCATTTGGTATTCATGCTCAATCAGTTAATTATCGAACTGGTAACTGGTCAGTTAAATGGTAACGAAAAAGAGTTAATTCCACAATCAATATCTTTTGGTTCTACACAACTATGGTCGAAGGTGTTGATTTTCTAACTCAATACTGTTGTTCAACAGGTTCATTCATCCCCTTTACGACGATGATTCGAACCTCATCATTTGCACCAATATACTTTAATGGCGCTACTTGCAGCAAATTATAAACTTCACCAAAATCAAACAGAATAAAAGGACTTTATAAGAGGAATGGACATTACTTCTAACTCGTGGCCATGCGTAAGTGCTCTAATTTTGATATTAGTAAAAACTCAGAACATGATTTATTCTTTCTTTCAAATAGGTGCTTCTTTGTCGTGAATCATAACAAAAACATGGGACTTTGACAACACATCATGGTGCACTGCCACATCGCTCAGCACAGATGAAACACATCGTATTTTTTTCGGACATTTACGTAACTTATCATCAGCACTCGACTATATCTGCTGAGAAGAGAATTCTATACAATTACGCTTTATCGAAAGTGTTCATATTCATCCTGAATACGATTCTAATACGCTGTGGAACGGTATAGCATGATGGGCTTCTCTTATATGAATATGAATGGCATTATGTTTTATCAGGCATAACAAGTTTCTGAGGTGATAAGTGCGAGACATATGGTGATGCTGGTATACCTGATGTTTATACATGCGTTTCAGCTTATTTACCATGGACGCAAACTATTATCGAATCAATGAATCTCATATATGAACTCGATCTTTTATTTGTATTGTTGAACCAATATAAATTTTGCTCACTGTTAGTAAATGAGCATTTTCAGTTGTAAATAAAGTAAATATATTCACTTTTTCCATACTTTGTACTACTGGATATGTAAACAAAATCGTACTATTATTCTCTGTGTATTTTTATCAAAATTGAAATACAAATAAAAGAAAAAAAAGGCGCTGTTGACAAAAGCACGTTTTTTTTACAGAACGCAACAAGTAACCAACGATACACGACAGACTTCTTTTTCAGTTGTGCGTGCACAGACGATGAATTGAACTTGTCACATGCAATTTTTTTATTATGTTTCTGTCGTTAAAAAGCTATTGGAACAATGACGAGTCCGACTACGAGCCATATTATCAATAAACATTCATTGTAGTATATCCTTTCTTGTGCAGTCCAATCGATCGATGTCTGTCGGACTCAGTCTCAGAAGAAATATTTCGTCGATCATATTAAAATTGCTGCTTCTCAGTTTACTTGTTTTAATTACTTGGCAATTTGTTTATTCCTATTACTATAGTCGACCTATCATTAACGCAAAAATCTCGTCGACAATAAGAAAAACTACTCATGCTAGAAAATCATTTGCATCCAAATTGGCTAGTTCTTCACACATATCTTCTTCTGCTGCTCTATCGGCAAAAACCATTCGTCCGTTCATGTCAACTACTAAAACTATTCATGTCGCTGTCGTCCTATCCCTCTCAAAAAAAGCATCTCACATCGCTGAATTTCACCTACTCTACGAATCATGGCGTTTCATTCAAACATTCTCTCCATTATCAGAACAAATCGTCGTTGATTTAATAGTCTTCTGTGAATTTCCTAGCTGTTATCAATTACCTGCATCTTGCATACCACATTCTCATCCATATCACTTGAGCCAAATTTATAGTTGCTACTATCATAAATTGGATCATCACATTGTTTCTGACTGGAAAGATTATCTCTATATGACGTCAATCGCTTTCATGCTAACTCCAAATTATCGAGAAGCAGTCACCAAGTATCAATGGGTATTACGAGTTGATCAGGATGCTCTTCTCAGTCCGGGATTATTCCTTGGCTTTCTTGGAAAACATCCATATCAATTATCGCGAATGCAATTTGGAGCTCTGGGTCATGGAACTGAATTCACTAATCAACGTTTACGCATGATCGCGCAGAAACTAGGTTACAAGCATGTAGGAGTACATAATCTTTGTTCGACATGGCTAGTTACTCCAAAAGATTCAATTAAGATTGCTAACTTAACCACGCAGATCGGAAGATATCTTCTGGACAATGAATTTGGCCGTCACGTTCCAGGTATCGAAGATCTACCCGCAATAGGTGAGTGGCCTAAATGGTGGCGTGGAGTAACGTCACTTTATGCTGCTGAAATAGCAATCAATCATATTTATTCGTCGACTCTTACTCATCAACATGAAGCACCTGTATTAGATCATCCAGCCGACTCGCAACTCTCTCTATGGTTAGCTTGGCATATTCATTGTTTGCATAATCCATCGTATTTTTCAAAGTTTCAGCATCAAGATGATCTTTATAATTTTCTTCAGCGTTCTAAAACTAAACGAATTCAGCTGATTACAAATTATTATTCGGTGGAAAAGATTTTCAAACAAGTCTTCGACGAATTCTACCAGATACATTTTAAAAATAGAAGTTTAGTAGGAGAAGTGACCGTGCGTGATTATGTCACTGTATTAGCATGGAGAAAAGCGTATGCTGCTACAGGAGCTATTAACTTGTGATAGAGTGAACACAAAAAACATGTTGATTTTCTGTGCATATTATGTGAACTAGATGAAATAGCAATCTTTGTCACGCATACTCTTGTTATTTATAGGGATCAATGTATTGGTTTATTAATACATCTCTTACGATGCGAAAAACGATAAAGAATGAATGTTAACATTGACGTTCTTTCGATACCCATTCTTTTTTAATTTGACATTCACATCGAGCGTGAAGAAATCCAGAGCATCGTCCAGCGGTTCCATTAAATCGTGTCGCACAATTGTTTTCACATTTAGCTGTGTCAGGACATCCACATAAGTGAAAGTACTGACCTATGAAGTCTGGTACTAGAAAACCTTCACCTTGTTCTAAAACAAACAATAGAAGGTAAGAATTTTATATGCCATTCAATCAAATTTTCCTTGCCTATCTGTGTGGCCAAGACCAACACTACTACGATGAAAGCAAAAGATATGGTAGTTCGATTTGCCATTTGTAAATATATTACTTTCTCGACGAATTCAACGTTCTATGTATTTTACAATGATTAAATACAAAATCTTATATAAATCCATCGCCGATCGTGAATATATTTTGTGTATGCATCAATCGATCCAAAGACTTCACGTTTGCATAATCACACAAAATAAATCGGAAGAAAAGCTATTTATTTATTCATATGTTAATGAAGTTTTGCTAGAGGCAAACGTGAACTATTTAGGAGGCCGATAGATCATACAGTAAACCACGCCTTGTACTTTTTCGAATCTGTGACAATTCGACGAGAACAACGAAAATCTTTAATAATTATTATTTTTCAACAAAGAGAAAATGTTTTTTCTCTCCTTGTTGACATCGTGTTGAAACACTCTTCGATGAACGAAGCACGTGTGATAATAATTTATTTCTAAATTAAATCCATTCTAACCATGATCTTTTTCAGCATAGTTTTTACACAATACAATACCAGATCGTTAATGCTTCTTTGTCATAGTCATGCTTTTAATGATACTTCAAGGACAACCATTCTTTTATTTTGTTCACTATGTGCATTAGATAACAACGACATGACATACGTGAAAAGTTTGGTGTACTGCAGCGGAACTGCGTCATACATGCGTGTTTGATAAGTTGCAGAGCTGTATGAAAGTCTTCATTAACTAACACTTCGCACTATCACTGTAAAGGGAACAAACAATATTTTTATGATATAGAACGGTTGTTTCATATTTTTGATTTTGCACATACAAGAAAAAAGCCATTTCTCTCCATCTCATATCATTGTCAGGAACTCTTTAATGTGGTATCTCGCCTATCTCATTCTATTACAATCGATTACTGGAGTTCCACAAATCAATTTGTATTATACAGATTCAAAAAACGATGTTGATCATGGACTTGCAATACAACGGAATTGTTTGCATACAGTTGTTTTTGTCGAACATTCAAGTATTGATCAACAAATAGTCTTTTTCTGTATGGAAGAATCCTTACCGGAATTTTCTATCGAAACCAGTAACTCGTTGCTAACATTTACATTTTATGAACTTTCGAAAAAGAATATAACTAGCCAACAGCTATATTTATGGTCAGCACCAATCGATATTATTGAACGTTACCAGTTCTATTTAAACGAAAACGCCAACAGTATGTCGAATGAACTTTTTCATAACTGTACGATCCCAAGATTTGGTCCGTTATGTCAATATGAACTCGAGTCTTACGATTCTCGGTTCGAGTTCTTACACGAAATGATCGATAACTTCTACAGCAGTCAAGATTATAACCCAACTGACTTAACTTGCTACATGTATTTACAATGTTATCGTGGTCCTGCACCAGCATGCTTAGACTGGACTGAAATTTGTGACGGACATGTTGACTGTCTTGATAATGGCCTAGACGAACAGCATTGCTGGCAATTGGAAATCAATGTGTGCAAAGACGACGAATATCGTTGTCTCAATGGTCAGTGTATTCCACAATCATTCGCCAGAGAAAAACTTGAATCTGCAGATTGTATCGATGGCACTGATGAATTGCCGACCTTCGTGTTACCATATAGTGCATGTAGTTCTCTCGAGCATGGATTTCGATGCGAAGATACAGCATGTTCGCCCAAACTATTCACTAGTTCTTGCGTATCAAAACGAGAAGCGTTACTATTACAAGCACATTTTTCTCTTAAACATCCCGATGTAGAAGACCAATGTTGGTTTGCTTTCAGATGCATTATCAGTGCATCGTACGAATACAATCAACTCATTTGCAACCATTTTTGCACACTTGATAAATGTACTGAAATTATTCAAGATTTCTGTCCAGAAATGTTATTCATGCCAGCTATTCCAATTATTGATCATCGAATTTATTTCGCCTATGCAAAACGTGATGCAGAAATCCTCGCACAGTCAAAGTTTCGATTGCCTTATGTATGCTACAACGATTCATACTATAATAATTTCTTTATTGATGGTGAAAAGATTCCATTTAAAAACTTAACGTGCTATAGAAATCTTCAACAACCAATTATCTCTACCTCGCCAATTTCAACAAATCGATTCTTTTTTATTGACTTACAGCTATTATTTTGGTCGTATAATTTACCAGTAAACTACACTTCGAATATTTGTGATCGTTCGAGTATGTATCAATGCATGAATTCAAATAAATGCATTTCTATTTATCGTGTGAACAACTACATTAAGGATTGCCCATACGGTGATGATGAAAAAGAATCGCGAGCGAATGGTAGCACTCTATTCAGCTTGTTGATAAATTGGAGTATGTCAGAAGACAATAAACTGAAACTAGAAAAGCAGTTTATAGAAAATAATGTATCGTTTCAAACAATATGCGATGGATATACCGAACTATTGCCCATCACGATCGATGGTCGGAATGAAACAGACGAAACCGAATGTGACCAATGGCAATGTAATAATATTTATACACGGTGTAACTTCATCAAGAATTGTCCCAATGGCGAAGACGAAATCGGTTGTGATCTAACGCCATCGAAACAATGTTCGTCAGTTGAACAAGTGTGCGTTTCGGCAGAGAAGAATGAGTTGACTTGCCTATCGGTTGATAAGATCAACAATGGTGTTATTGACTGTCTTGGTGGTACTGATGAATCATCACAATGTGCAATAAAATCTCCACTAGAATATGAAACGAGATTTCAGTGCTTAAACGACGCCAACATATCATCGTGCCTGCCTGTTCATTTTCTCTGCAATCGCAATATTGATTGTTACGATAAAGAAGACGAAAGATTTTGTACATCGAAGGAAATAGTTGATAAAATGTCCTATTACTGTAAACCGACTGATATACACTTATATTCCGATGTGGAAAAGTTCTTTTGCAACACTGTAAAGAAGAAAACAAAGAAACAAATTGTTTATTTCGCACTTCAAACATCGCGTAAACCAATAAATAACCAAATAAATGGCAACAAAAACCTGGGAGTTTTACCCCTAATCAACCATCAAGATGAAAATTATTGTCATCATGGTCTCTCTGCACGTGTTTGGTTGAACGAGAAGAAGAACGTATTAGCAAAAGCGTGTCTTTGCCCACCTAACTTTTATGGTAATCGATGCCAATATCAGAATCAACGCATAAGTGTAGTTGTTCGATTTCATGCGCTGTCCGATTCGTGGGAAACGCCATTCGTCATCGTTATCTCGCTTATTGACGATAGTTACGAACGTCGGGTTCACTCGTATGAAAAAATCACATATTTATCCATGCGAGACTGCACAACGAAATATGAATTCTATTTAACGTATGCAACTCGACCGAAAAACTCGACCAAACAATATTTCATACAGTTTGATATCTATGAAAAACTTTCGTTTATTTATCGTGGAAGTATAATACACCCGATCAACTATTTGTTTTTACCCGTTCATCGTGCAGCGTATATTATCGATATTCCACGAAGTCAAAATAATATTAAGACTTGTTCCGATCAACGCTGTGGTGGTCATGGAATATGTTATGAAAGTGTCAATCATCACGAATCTGGTCAAGTCCTTTGCAGATGTAATCGAGGTTGGTCTGGCCAATTCTGCGTTATTCCACATCAATGCACCTGCTCAGCTGATTCTATATGCGTTGGAGTATCTGCAGACAACCGTTCAATATGTGTTTGTCCTGTTCATAAATTTGGTCCTCGGTGTTTGATTCCTTCAGTGTGCCTATCCAGTATTGACCCTGTATGCAAAAACGAAGGTCGTTGCATACCAATAGACGAATATAATTTATCGACACAAAGATTCACATGTATTTGTCGAAGAGGGTTTAGTGGTGAACGGTGCGAAATCGAAGACAACAAAGTTATCTTATCATTTGAGAGCGATATTGTTTTATCTGAACTAATGTTTATACATTTTATCACCGTAGCTCAAGATGCACCACCGATACGAGCAACTATTCTTCAAACTTTTCCTGTTAAACAGAAATCTATAACCATTCAATGGCCACGACCATTTCATCTTGTTTTTATCGAACCTTCGAATCAAAATTTCTATCTCGCTGTGATGCAGAAACATTGTAATCAATCAGCGGTAATCACAACAACGATTCAGTCATCGGATCGTTGTCAACATATCAGTGAAATTTTGAATCAAACTCTGTCCGACTTCCACTTACTCCGTCGTATCAAATACTATCATGTGCCATGTCAAAATTTACGGTTAAATCTTTCATGTTTTTACGGCGAAGAACATCTTTGTCTATGTTACAATCACGGTAAACAGCGTCTAGCAAATTGTTTTAATTTTGATCATCAGAAGAAATTCGATTGTCATGGTCAAAGTGTATGTGAAAACGGTGGCCATTGTTTTCAAGACACGCCTAATTGTCCACAACGATCAATCTGTGCTTGCCCTCCGTGTTTCTACGGTCGACTATGTCAGTTCAGTACAAGTGGATTTGGTCTATCCCTCGATTCCATCTTAAGTTATCATATTCAACCCAATCATAGTCTGATACATCAATCAAAAATTGTTACGGTAAGCATGATATTTACAATGATTCTTCTTATTGGTGGAATTATCAACGGAACTCTTTCAATTCTGACATTTAAGCATAAAAATCTACGCGAAATGGGTTGTGGTCTGTATTTATTTGGCTCGGCGATCACTGCTTTATGCACAATGATTATGTTTGGATTCAAATTTTGGATATTAATTTTAGCACAAGCGCTCTACATAACGAATCATCGGTTTTTACTATTCCAGTGTTATACAAGTGACTTTCTGCTACGCGTTTGTTTAAGTATGGATCAATGGTTGAATGCTTGTGTTGCTGTTGAACGAGTTGTTATTGCACGAAAGGGTATGACATTTGACAAGAGGAAAAGTCAGCAAGCAGCCAAGATGATCATAGCGATGATTTTAGTAACTATTACTTGCACTTCGATACATGATCCATTGAATCGACGTTTGATCGTAGAAGAAAACGACCAAAATTTTGAAAAACGTACTTGGTGCATTGTTACTTACTCATCCAATTTACGAATATTTAATTCGGTTGTCTATACATTTCACTTCTTCGGTTCGTTTGTTGTTAATCTCATCTGTGCCGTTGCGCTCATCTCAAAAAAGACTCGTCGACAATCGAATCTCCATCGTCGTCGCGTTTTTCGACAACTCTTACAACAGCATGTTCGCGAACATCAACATCTATTCACAGCACCACTTCTCCTGGTTGTTCTGGCATTACCGCGTTTAATTATTGGTTTTATTTCAAAATGTATGAAATCAGCAAATGATTCCTGGCTGTTCTTAATTGGCTACTTCATTTCGTTCATTCCACCGATGTTAACATTCGTGATTTTTATAGTACCATCGAAATTCTATAAACGACACTTTCGCTCATCGGTGGCGCCACGTCTGACTAGTGAGCCGCGCATTCGTCTAAATTTTCCAACACTACAAGGAAAAGATCTTGGGCTCGATGGATAATACGTTTTTCGCTTTCAGTGTATTACTTTCTTTGTTAGTGATTATCAATGGGCTCAATGGACAGAGGAAAAAGAAAAAGAGTTTGTGTGTTGAAAATTTTCTTCTTGTAATAAAAAAAGTATGTGACAACTTCTTTCTTGATTCAATATTTGCTTATGTTTATGAGATTTGATTTAATTCGAAAATTTCTCTCTGTGCTTCCTCCCATTCATTGATTTGTTTTTGGGCTATTGTATAAATTCTGCGTAATGTTTCCTGACGTATATGTTGGACGATCAACTTGCTTTCATATATCTTTTCCAATAACAGTTCATATATCAATGTTTCGTTTTGGCAGCGTTCAAACTGAAATGAATTTCGGTAATTGCCATAGTACTGCAGTACTCTGGGCATCGTATTGTCTAAAGCCCTTTGTTCATAACCTTGTAATTTCCTTACTAATTCAGAGTGTTTATTTTCTATACCAGGTTTCAATCTACGCAACTCCGCTAAAATCTGTTTGTCTATTTCGGTTTTTACTTGTTCATGATTGATTATACTGAATAAAGTTGACTTGTAAATCTTCTGTCTATGACAAGAGAATTGATATCGACGAATGACATCTACTAAATATTTGCAGCATTGCGATTGCAATCGTTCATAGGTGTTGTCTAGAACAATTCGGTAAACAGATTTCAGAATATCATCTTCAGTCGGAATTGGTTTCCATCTGGTTCAAGGCCATGGGTAGAATTGTTGATAGAAAAATGAAGAAGAGTCGCATAGGAACTCTACCTGTCCTAGGAACAGTGGATGTTCCCTATATATATTTATGGAAGGTATTTGCTCATCCTTTTCATAGCAACAAAGATCAACATCGATTGACGTTAAAACAGTAATCATTCCTTTATCAGCAGGCTGAATAAGCCTTCCAAGTGGCTCCAAAAGATCTCGACTAAAAAGAGCGAAACAATGTTCAGCAATACGATAAATATGATGACGAAGACGGGGTCCAAATAATTCGTATGCACTTTCGATGAACATTATAAACCAATAGATTTGATCCATAACATCACGCCGAGCGAAATCATATTCTTCTTTAACTAACGCAAAAGCAAATCGAACAGCCATATCTTGCATTTCCACAGGTCGAATAATTTGAACATAATCATTGATTGAAGGTTTGTATGTTAAACTTGAGAAAAAAGCTGAGTCAATTTCTTCAAATGTTGGGTTTGGATGAGGTGCAATACCAAGAAAATCGCAAAGTGCAACGATTGCTATAACATCATACTGCTTTGGTAAATGTGTGAATAACTGTCGTATTGAATGGAAAGAAATTGAGTCGACAATAAAGGAGAAATAGGTTGACTGAATCCAAGGATCTAATTTATAATAACCATTCTCATCGCGAATAGATTGAAAACACCCTGCTGATGATATTAGAGCAGATAGATACGGCACTCTTTCAATTTGGTTATCGTCAAGCGACCATATTTGTCCAGAAGCATGAGAACAAAAAATTTTTGATCTTGTTGGCAATGAGATGATGTTATCGTTCATTGCTTAAATAATTATATATACTAAGACTAGCCGTAAAACACCAGAAAAATTCAAGAGTTTAAGGATTTGAAACTACTAGTTAATATTCTTTGTCATCTTTACGTGTATATATCTTCTGTACTTCCTATGAAAAGTTGGAAATAAATAAAATATCGACGAACGAAAGGTTCTGTTTTCTTTTCATCGTATAGCTGTCACTTGTTCTCAACACCATGAGTCAATGCATCTTAAACATCCAAGATTCGTATCTCAAACTTCCTTTCAAATGGTAACAATATGTTGCTCTCTATTAACAAAGGAAGCGAACATAGGAATTTCAACGATCAACTCAAAATATGAATAGAATTACATGTGAGTAGTTCACGAAAAAATTCATTGTAATATTGAAGAAAAAGCAATTCAGTGAAGAAAGTAATCGATGTTTCTATTCCTCTCCCTTCTTTTATTCACTCAGCCGACTGGCGAACAATCATGGCACCATCGATAAGAAATATTTCTATGGTTTCAGCATAATTAGCAATCAGAGAAATATATCGTAACATTTCAATTCTGTTGCCCATTTGCATACCGAGAAAGAATAGAAGAAACGAAATTGAATATAGGTACTCTTTATTTATAGTGATACAACGCAATATAAATAGATGAAATTCAAGAGAATGATGCAAATTCATTCATTTTTTCTTTTAGACTGTACTTTTTCGAGAAAAGTTCACGTTTACTATGATCGCGAGCAATACTCAATATCCAAGAATTAGCGATTGGTCTACTGCCTCATTCGAGAGTCTAGAAAATCGAAACGCATGGACTAGTAGCAGTCCTGAGCCCGTCAACACCAGCCAAATACATAGAGATGACCCATTCCCAAAGACGTTAGTAAATTCGAATGTCTTTTGTTTCTTTTTTTTGAAAAACGGAAACTTTCATATAGATCAGCAAGCCGTTGTTCGTATCTATATCCATGTCTTCCAGGTCTACTATTAGCTATCCTGTCAAATCTGCTAACACTAGGTGCTGTCATAGTACTTTGGTTAGTTCCACATAATGATATAAGAACAATACCACCCTACGGTAAGTCGTTTCTCAACATGTGTGATCATTTTTTGAATTCTGACTGTTTCAGAAACACCTACTGGTACTATCGTTTTATTTGTGGGTAATCTTTCAACTCTGAATAATACCTATTACCGTTGGTTACTTTGTGATGGATCAGAAGTATCACGAGTAACATATAGTGATTTGTTTAGTGTGATTAACACTCTGTATGGATCGGGCAATGGTAATAATACTTTTAATTTGCCAGATCTTCGTGGTCGATTTCCATTGGGTAACAACGACAGTAGTGGTAGTTCATTCATTCTGGGAGGTGCATCATCACTGACACTCACAGTATCACAATTACCAGCTCATTCGCACAGCGAAGGTTCGTTGACGACACTTTCTAATGGAACACATGCGCATTCGATTACAGATCCTGGACATAATCACGGTGGATCAACAGGTAGCGCGTCTTATTCTAGTGGTTCCTATTCTATGGGAAGCTCTGGAGGTGCTGGCAACGACAATGGCGCTCACACTCACATAATTAACACTGACTATACTGGTATCACGATACAATCGAGTGGAAGTCACACACATACAATACAAGGCTCAACCGGTTCACAAGGTGCTAATCAACCAGTTGATATAATGCCACCTTATCACACTACTTACTACATTATTCGAGCGTGATCGACGAACAGTGCTTCTTCGTATAGATACACGATAATGATAGAAAAAATACAAGATGTGATAAAAAAAAATAGAGAGCTTTATTTTCGATCAGGCTTTTGTATCGATACTAGAAGTATCATTGGTCGTTCGATCTCTTCATCTAGTGATGGATTTTCGATGATCTCTTGTCGAGTAGGGCCCCATTCTTCCACATGTTTTATGATGAATCCTTGTTTAATCAACATGTTAAGATATGTTCCCAAGGTACGATGTTGTTTAACAACACCTTTAACTAACCAGTCGGTCACACGACGTCCTTCTGTCTGATAGTTGTTGATTGGCCACGATTTTCTGCCATCTTTAGCAACGGACCAGCCAGGTTCCATTGGGGCAGTGTAAATTGGATGTTCTGACGAGAATATAAAGTGTCCACCAGATTTCAATGATTGATAAATAGTTTTCAATAATTGAGATAAGCGTTCGATATAATGTAGAGTTAATGAACTGTATGCTAAATCATATGTATTCGGAGACAGTTCGAGTTGTTCCAAATCCTCGAGACGATAAACGATTGTACTATCTACTGATAGTTCCTTTGCTTTGCTTAACATTCGTTCTGAGATGTCCAGACCCAACATATGCTTCGCGCCGTTCTCTTGTGCATAGCGACAAAACCAGCCGTATCCGCAGCCAAGATCAACAATGTTTAGTCCTTTCAAATCGGGTAAGATCTTCACAATCGATGGCCATTCTGGTGCACCACTCAGTCCGTAGGTTGAACGTTTGAGCTGGGCATATTGTTCAAAGAAATTTTCGTTATCATAAATATTTTGCGTCATTCACTTTCCTTTGAACAAGAATAAAAGTCTTCTGAGGTAAATAAAAATATTCGAGTCTGTGAAGACGCAACTCGTATCGACTTGAAAGAATAAGAACAATTTCTTATCAGTTTGAGAAATAGAGAGCACGCCATCTGTGAATTCTATTTGATTTAGTACTATATACGAAAAAACGAACGTGACATGAGAATATAGTTCGAACGCTGAATATGTGTGAAAGTATATGCGCACGATTACAACTGAATGAGTATTCTATATTTTAGTACTAACACAAGTTCATACTTTTCCGAGTAAGATACAAATTCCCAACCGAAGAACAGCTTGGTGCAAAGTAGGTTTAGTCATAGTCAAAGATAACAGACAACAACAAATCACAATCATTGATTTTTGTAAATCAAAGTAACATCGTTCGTCCGTATTTCATGTTCTGATTGATAATGCTTGAATCTCATTCGATGTCACTTCTCTTGAATAAACACGAAATTCATCTATCCATCCTTCATATTCGTCGTCATCGACTGTCCAATCAAAGCATGATCTATTCATACCGTTTAATAAGCTTCCTCCCAGTTGGATTGTCAGTGGTCTTGATCCACCTTGGTAGTCAGACGATGATGACTTGTTATAGAATGTGCCATTGATGTACAACTGAGTACCGTTGATCGACGAATAAGTTTGAACAACATGTGTCCAAACATTGGTACCGATCGAAGGACCTAGAAGAGTGACCATTCCAGTGGATGATCGAGCTTGCACTCGAAGTTGACTTTGTTGATTGATGGACATACGAATGGAACACCATTCGACATTGTTTGTCTGATTTGATTGATAGATATGTAAGATCGTGATATTATTTGTTCGAAATGGCTTGAGCCAAAGACTCAACGAGTAGGGACGATTGTCGATTGCGAGAAGAACAAAGGCAGATGACTGAAAATAGGATGACGTTGAATCGAGGAGAAGAGAGTTGTTGGCGAGTGTAGTATTGGAAGTGAGTGAAGATATTCTGTTTGGTCCATGATCATCGATAGAAGAATTATCAAAATCATAGTGCGCAACAAGTGTTGCTTGTTCGAGAATCTCGGAGGCATTCTTCGGCCACTGAACAAGTGTCAGATGATCGATGACACCATCGAAATAGCATGAGCCAAGTGGAGATGTGTAGCCGATCGTCAGGGGAATAGAACTGGAATTAGTGATTGCGAGAGGTGTGCTTGTACCTTGTTGGATACAATCGAGGATACCATTGAGGTAAACGAGCTGCGTAGCATTTGAATAATCATAGACATATGCCAAATGATACCAAGTCTGATTCTTGACAGTTGTGCTACCAGTGCAGTTGTTGCCGTAAAAACTAATTCGAGCCTTGCTGTCTCGTATTGTCAAATGTAAGCATAGGTTTGCTGTGTGTGATTGACATTGTCCAATCATTCCTTGATCATTGCTAACTGTTGAATAGAGATAGATCCAATAGTGAAATGTAAAACTTGTGAATGAAAGATTGAGATGATTGTTTGGATTAATGAAAAGTACTTGTTTTTGACTAGCATTGAAGCATAGTGCAGAACCGTGTCCAGTGATGGAAGATGGACAGAAGGATGCATTATTGAGTGTAGAATTGTAGTTGAAATTTCTGTCGTAGGACGTGTTATCAAAAGACCAAAACGCGTTAATTAATGGGGCAGGTGAATCTATGACAAAAAAACATTGATGCAGTGAGGTAAGACAAGATAACATATCTATAGCTCCAATCTAAGTCGCTCTTTTTCTAGTATCGAATGTCTGCAAAACTGTTAGTGACATACTGTTTGTGGACGTGAGTATTGCTACAGTTGTTGTCTGTTCAGCAGTTGTACTCTCTGTAGAAGAGCATGTACTGATAATACCTGCAAGCACATATAAATTCTCGTTTATAAAGAAAAAGTAGAAAACTTACCGTAATATTTTCGATAACAAATAACACTTGCTCGAATATTGTCAGACGTATTAACACGACCAGTGTCACATAATTCAGAGAACATAGAACAGTTCTTCTCATCGTGATAATAGATCGCCGTTTGACAGTCACGTTCATTTATGCATTCCCAAATACAAGTATTAATGGAAACAGCATGCGTCCACGTTGTGTTTCTTATAAAAGCACATGATGAATTAGGATAGTAGAGCGAACTACGAAAAATTTTCACTGCTACATAAGTGTTGACTACGGGAAGAAAAACGAGAAGATGAAGCACAAGCAAATGCATTTTACTTCCAATATAGTATAGTAATGAATAAGTTGTTTCCAGTTGCAAAAAAGGAGAGTATCTTAGATTTGTTTGATGAAGGATAGTTGTTTTTTATGTGCTGACATCGAACGAGAAAAAAGTTCTTGTACAAATAATATTGTCATATTTTAGTCTTTTTTACTTAAGAAAATCATAGTTTTCTCTTTTCTGGACACCATGAATGTCATTTCTTGAGCTAAACATCTGCGTCCTTACTCAAAATAGTTTGCGTCGTTAACACTTATATACAGATACCCTACTCTGCATAGTAACACTGAAATCTACTATATTAAAGAAATAAAATGGTCTTTTTTATTCATCATCATATCATATTGTATTGAGAACCGGTGAAAGTTCGAAAATAGAATTCAGAATCAACAAGTACTTTCAATTGAGTTGTGCAATTCACATAAGAAGCGAAAAAAACCTCGTTGTTATGATTCGTACTCGATTCGCACTTCTTCGTACTTTCGGATTTGGTACGTACGAAAGTGCACTTTTTCGCCCTAGATTAGTTAATCAAAGATAAGCGCTATAAACTATTCTCGTTCGCTTTGTTCGATTGCTTCGCTGATTTTATACTGTCATGCTAAACCTATGCATAACAACATGAGTGATCAATTAAGAAAATGCATGTTCATGTAATGCTTTCAGCTCAACACAAATCTTTTATGTGGACACATAGACAGTAAATTCAATACAGGAAATATAAAAAGTTCTACAAAATTTATTTTTCACTACGTATTAAAGACAAAACTAGCATGATTGCGGACAATGGAAATAAAATGAAAGTTCCTATTGCTCCTGGTGGACGATGTGTAGTAACGAGAGGCTTCATATACCCAACTGCAAGTCGGAGTATTTGTTCAACTAAAATCTCAGCGATCATCAATGGAATAAATTCTCGATAACCCCACAGCACTATCCATATAGTCAAAGCCATGATCAATTGAGCTGTACCCCATTGAGCAAGAAGCGCGACAGCATTTTTTCCACCTTTAACATTAATATCCATCGACGCGATAGACTGAGCCCCACTGTCATGATAGAACACATGAATAAGACTGCGCACCGTTGAGGGTATATTGATCAATATCAAAAACCACATTGAAATTTTCAATCCTGCATAATCGTTACGTTTGGCTGGAAGAAGCATCGAGATATCGAACTTTACATTAACCATAATTCTTCAATTCACGCGCTCGTACACTCGAATGAGATGAATCTAAATGAAAAATAGTTGCGAGGAGCCGATTATATTCTAGTTTTTCATATGTATTCTCTTAATTAGGTAGGTATTTGTCGATAAATACTCGCAATTCCGTTTCAAAGAATAAATAAAAGAATGTCGATCATTGCCAGTACTCAGACTGACTTTATAGACGGCATTCAACGCAAATCATTGGTCGACACTGTAGCCAAAGTGAAACTATCATATGACTCATAATTTACTCAAATGTGTCATTAAAGATAAATAGATAAATGTATAGTTGTTTCGTTGTGCATTACCTACCGAACATATAGTTCTTTTAAAAGATATCGAAATGATATTTTTTTTCTCTTCGTTGCATAGAGGTGTGCTGCCTAGAGAATGCAAACAAGAATGGTGAATGAATTTATATTTAATTAGAAAACATATTCATACCTTGTCAAATATCCATGGCAAAAAAAGCAAATATTTTGTTCACATAATTTGTCACCCTAAATGAAATAACATTCTATAAACTAGCAAGATCAATTTTCATAATACTACACATCTCTTTGCATTCTCATGGTGTAATGTTCGGTGCGCAGTGTTCGATGTATTATGTGAAAAACTGTCGATAGTGCACTGTGCTTTCTTACGATATCATGTTTCACACGTTTAAATTAAAAGATTTTGATGAAGTTTTCAATATATGATCGATGAAAATGATTATCAAAGCAAATGAACAATCGAACAAAACTATACATTTCTATTCATTGTATTCAAATACGAAACATGAATTTCACTACTTTCGTTTCTATTCTCTACTCGGTAACCAATAGTCTGTAGGTAGTACAAAATATCAAACAAAACCTTCTTGAAAGCTCAAGTTACAAGGTTATCACTTCACAGAATTTTGTTAGACCGGCTCCTAACCTTTTTGCTTGGATAAAAGGTAAATGATATCATCTACTATGGACACTATGCACCAAAGAAAGAAGAAAAACCTGACTTTTTGTCGGGATAAATATTTATTCTTCATATTTTGATAAAATCTGCTGAAAGAGACGGATGCATAATATACATCAGAACAAATATTCTCATGCGCTTGGTAGTTTTTTTTTGTCTCTTATCAACTTACATGCTATACGAGATATCAATGCGATTGCCATGCACACAGAGATATCGTAGTTCACTACAGTAATTAGTCATCCTGTTACATGTAAAGAGAAGGTCGATAATCAACTTCAAGTTAGATCATTAATCGTAATCAGAAAGCTGACACGTTTCAAGTTTAGATACTCGAATGAAAACTTCAAACAGAGAGACATATAAAAAATGTGCCGCTACTCTCTTGAAACTGATTTTAGTTGCTACTGTCATCATAATATTTATGATCACAATTAGTATTCAATGGAAGTAAGCATTACTGTTTTTATCCGTGTGTTTATCTGTCATCTATTCATGAATATTTTTCTATTTAATTTAGTACACAAATTATATTCAGCGTTTACTCGAAGTCAGTTCCAACGAATGTTACTCCGTGTGCGTATTTAGCATGCTCTCATTCTTCAAATTGTACAACACGGAATAAAACGTGTTGTGCTTATGTTCTTAAACGTTCACTTGACTTTCTGGATGTATTTTTTCGACGCCATCATCTACCATATGTGATTATCTACGGATCACTTCTTGGCGCTGTACGAAATCGAACTATCATTCCATGGACGCGCGATATCGATATTGGTTTCTTTAATTGGACATATTTGCGTAGTGAAAGCATCCGGAATGAATTGTATCAACATGGATTCTATCTATTTCACGTAAGAACATAAACCAACTTCGACGGAATTTCACATGATTTTCTTGTTTTCATTTTCACAATAGACTCTCGATCTAACACGTATATGTGTACATAAAGATGCCTTGGATAAATCACTCCTCTTAACGCAGAATACTAAAGAATCGCCACCAACTCAAATCTTCCATTTGCATGCTTACGTTGATCTGTACTTAGCAACGAACCCAGCTAATCTAACAAGAAATAGTTCAATTTATTCAATTGAGTTTAGTGGTAAATTTCTTTCGCATATTTCATTCAAAACGAACGCTACAATTGATAATCAAACATATCCCACTGTTGATAATGTTCAGGAACATTTAGTTCATTTCTATAAAAAAGATTACATGCGAGATGTGATACCACGTCGACCTTGAACACATTCTTCTCTCTAACCGAAAGAATTTAGGTCATTATTTTCGCTTCGATCTTCTCTTTTCCGTTTTCAACCTTCGAAAAGAAATCTTTAATTTGTGCAAAACTATGTGAACAGAGCGAGTGAATTCGTGTCGAGCGAGAGAATTTCATACGAACAGAAACATACATATAGGTGATAAACGAAACAAGCATGTGTAAAAGTTCTTTTTATTAATCACAACCATCTAAAATAGTACTGTCCACTGGAATGGTATCTGAAGAAGCAATATTGGTAGGAGGATCGAAAAAGCGATTGAACGAGAGGCATGATTTTGCCAGCTGGCACCATCTTTTTCACTTTGGTCAAGTAATTGATCAAAATCATATGGTTGAAATAATTCTAAACGATGAAAGTCTGGTTTAGCACTTCCAGCTGGTGCTGGATACAACGCTTCGTAGGAACGATTTTCGCCTTGACCATGAATAGCAAACGCATTGAAACGATCTATCCGCCCTGGAAGATGAGCACACGGTATATAAGCTCGGCCAACCCATCGGTTTTCTGACAGGATTGTCGCATGATATTCAGGCAATGGTAATAGCTGTTTAAGAAGTTTTCGTTGACCGACAAGAAGGAGAACGATATAATGGCCATGAGGAGAGAATTCTAATTCAATATAATGATTGGTCGATGATGACAAGAGAAAGACTTCGACGACTTCGTAATTCCACAATTCTGGAAATGGCCCTGGAGGTGTCATTGCAGGAGCCGGATCGTGAAAAAAAGGAGCATCAATTTCAATAATAAGGTCGCTTCTATTGGTGGCCGATGATAGCAAAATTTGAACAGGTGAATGAGTCGTAATCAAAGTAGAATTCCATAGGGTTGTAATCGTAAAATTGACTGTCGTGGATGTTACTGAATACTTAAGGCAGAGTAGAAGAAAAGCGCAAAAGATAGGAGAAGTTTGCATAATAATCGTTTCAAGGTGTTCTCAGCAACGAAAAAAGAATCAACTGCTCGTCTTTTTCTTTCTAATTTTGATACGGAATATATTCGATTCTTTTTGTGGGAGAGAAAAGAGCACAGAAAAGAATTTATTATGAATCGATTATTCTTATCTATTACATATATATATGAGAGTCAAGCTATGAAGTGTCTTATATTACGTTCTGTTATATGTAATGCAAAACTCAAATGAATACTTTTCACTTCTATACCGCTTAGCATCTCAAATTCGATGCAGATTTGTATATCAAATTGTAAGATTAACAATTCACTATAAGATTTTTTTTCTGTTTGATAACAATTTTTATTAGCATGATCAAGAAAATGAATCGTTATTCAAGGCAACACTTTCTTCATATGACATAGATTCATTTTGTTCATTGTCGTTGAGTGTTGATCGTGTAGCTGTATTCCATCGCTGTAAATCAAAAGGAAACAAAAACGAACTCTTTTTAATAAACGCACAGAAAATATTCGTACTTCTTTCAGTGTGCCTGTTTGTCTTGCAAAAAATGCAATTGCATAAATAGGAATAGCAACAATCGATGACAAAGCAATAGACCAACCTAAATATTCAGCCCATTTCGGAAATCGGTATTTTTTGTAAGTAACCGGTTCATATTTCACGAGACTGAAAATAGCTATACTCTAAGAGTAGAAAACAGACTCATTTAATCCGGTCACAGAAAATATGACTGAATACTCATCAGACATAATAAAGGAGTCAGTACTTTCCAACACCATTTCCAAAATTGATTAGGATAATAACCAATCATATTATTGATATCTTCGTAAAAACGATCAGCACCATAGAACCATGAAACACCGATACACTCAAAGAAGAGTACAATAAGCAAACACCAACCACTCGCTGAGTAATAGTCAAAAATCTTGAAGACGTACATTCCACCCTATATGAAACAGATGAAATTAAGTAAGAATAACATTTTCAAGGGTTGAACAAAATGATCTACTTGTGTGACTGTTGATAAACCGATTACATATGAGATGGCACAATACACACCTATAAAAAGTTTTTATGACGACGAAAGACTAACCATTCATCGATAAATGCTGTAATGAAACCTTCCAACGCAACAAACTGTTATATGAATAGATTATAAAACAATTATCGAATACGAAAACAATATGAATAATCAAACCTGACTATCAAGACCGATGAAGATGAGCATAACGAAAAATAAGACTGACCAAAGGCGTGAAAACGGTAGTTGAGCAACAGCGGCTGGATAAACAACAAATGCTAAACTTGGACCTGGAAATAAAGCAACGATCATATGATGGTGATTAAATGTGAAATTATTATGAATTGTTCACCTGACTCAGCTACTTCATTGATTGCTTTTCCTTCTGTTTTAGCTAAAAACCCAATGACAGAAAATATAACCAATCCACTGATCAAACATGTTGCTTCATTGAATACTGCTAACAGGAGTGTATCTCTAAGTTACCGCTTGTATATCTCATTATTCAATGAAAGTTATCAATAAAAGACGCTTACCTGTAACAATTCGTATGCCGTTTATTGTAACTACCTAATGCCACAAGAACTCCTAATCCAAGACCATAACTGAAGAAAATTTGTGTCGCCGCTTCAATCCAGAGCTTAGAAAAAGAAAGAAAAATTAGAGTAGTTCATAGATGGGAATTTTTCAATGATCATACGGCTGATGTTTTCAGCTTGGACACATCAGGTATGAATAGATATTTGACACCGTCCATAGCGCCGTCCAGTGTTAAACCTCGTATCAGCAGAATCATCAATAGTAAATAAGGAAACATCGATGTAAAATAAACGATCTAAAATGCACATGGGCAGACGAGTGAATTAGAGCATATGATAATAATATACTTTTCCTGTCCATTGAATACCTTTCCATATGCAAAAGTAACATAGGATCCAAGCAAGCGCTAATGTAATAACTAAAGGAACACGAAATGAACCAGGCTCACTTATATCATTTGTTATTTGGAGGACATTATTACTAAATGAAATGTAAGTTATGAAAACACATGTATCATTCTTCAGATTTATCAACAATTTTACTCCCAAAATTCTTTCACAGGATTAGTGAATTGTGTAAGATGGTTTCTCATGCTTTGTTCACATGAGGTACAATTCATCACTGATGTATAATTATGCAACTGATCTAATGTTCGACATGAATCCTGGTTCCACCAATTGCCGCATGTTGTCCAAGGTAGTAATGATGAATGTATAAATGAATGATAAATATAGTAGAAAGCCCATGCTAATACGACAATATAATAACAATTGAGCCAGAATACAATAATTGTTGCCGCATAGCCCGTGCCTTACACGAAAACGAATCTCGGCAAAAGCAAAATCTTGATGATATCATTTACCTTTTAATATAGGACAGATTTTCCAAATACCTAATCCTCCAATACTTGTATGCTGTCCAAGAGCAACTTCCAGAAAGAACAATGGAATGCCAGCACAGATTAATGTTATATAGTATGGAATGAGAAACGCTCCTAGAAATAGAACTCATCAGCTGAACTATTGATTCCAGCACTGAACGAATCAGACCTCCTCCATGTTCATAGCATAGATAAGGAAATCGCCAAACATTACCCAGGCCAATAGCAAAGCCAATACAAGAAAGTAGAAACTCTGCATTGCCCGACCACTTGTCACGCCTTTCGATGTTGTTCATTACGCTAGTCTTCATTTTCCGAAAAATCTTCTCGTAGTATGCACTATATATGACATATAAAACGGAAGTCATTAACAATCGTTCTATACTCATACAGAATATTTTCTCAATCTTTCTTTCAGTGTTTGATCGCATGTGGTTCCCTGCTATGATAGCTAACTTAAATGATCTAGGTATGCCATTCAATCTTCTGAAATGAATACAATCATGGCTAATGAACAGATCGTTCTCAATCTCGTTCGGCAATAGTCATTTAAGAAATATCCAGATGCATGTCGGAGTGCCTCAAGGATCTGTACTTGCTGCAACATTGTTCAGGTTGCACATTCATTTTTCTTTAGTTTTTCTATGCATCTGTTCGCAGATAATCTTGCAATTGTCTTAACAACTTCGCTTGAAAAACTCCTCTTCTTGAATATAATTGATCTTAGAACACGAGCAAAATTAGTAATGAAAAAACTCGAGCTATTTTCAAATAATATGCTACTACCAATCAACACAAGTAAAATAAAAGCACTACTAGTTCATAGTGCAGTCTCACTAAGCTTTCCCAAAACTAGCTACAAACAACAAAGCATGGAATATGTCAAGTGTTTTAAATGTCTAGGTGGTTTATTTATTAATCATAGGATACGCATGATCAGAAAAATTCACAAAGCGATGCGTATAATTCTGCGCATAATATCTCTTGATCTTACTTTAATATGTCGAGAAGTGTTTCTCACGTTAGTCCTCCCTAACTTTTGTTCGCTCTTTTGCGCATGGTTTTACTTTACTTAAAATCAAACGAGAATGATTGAGCATGTCTTTTGCTCGGGTTTACGCATTCTTTACTCATTAAATCCATGGGATGATTTATCTATGCTAATAATATTTAAAGAAAAAACTTGCCTTGACAACATTTTTTCGTACCACTGTCGCTTCTCCCCACATCTCGAAAAAAACACCAGATGCTATTAAATATCAACAATCATGGCAAGCTTTTCAAACAATTAAATCGAACACCAAAGACTGATATCAAAATATGGAATTTCGAAAAAACAGCTATTTTCCTCGACGATTAACAGAGAGCGCTCAACACTCACCACTTGATTTGGATCGATTTAAAAATACGCAAAAAGATCAATTTCTATTTTATAGAAAAAACACACTGTGCCTGAATTGGTTTGTATAGAAATATTTCTTAAGTCCACAATGATTGTTAATTCTTTTAATTCAGTAATCGATGATAATACTAGTCGTTGATGCATGACAAGAGTAACTACAAGGGCAGCTTAGTCGCAACGCCTATTGAAATAAGCCGACAGACAGAATGAGAAAGAAAATTCGTTCGCTTATTATTTTAACCAAAGAATAAGAGAGGAGAGAAAAGAAATATACAGTGGCCGCCAAGATTATCCGACTGCATGTAGTTTGTATTTTATTCCGTAAGTGATGATGTTAGAAGAAATTCAGAGAGCGATTTCATGAGAAAAATTTGTTGCCAATAATAAGGTAATGAAATGACGGCTTTCAATAAATTTCTGAAAACAGGACATTCGACATACCAAAACCATGGTTTTTCAAGACCTTTAAAATGCAAAATAGAGGACGGCTCTTTTTTCTATATCGATAAAGCAGTCAAATTTCTACAAAATGATGTCTCCGAGCTTCCTACGACATTCACATCAAAAGCTATAAGCCTCACAAAAAAAAGAGGAAATTGTCAAAAAACCATGAAAAAAACGCGATTTTTTTGTGTTTTTGCGAGGCTTATAGCTTTTGATGTGAATGTCGTAGTAAGCTCGGAGACATATCATTTTGTAGAGATTTTGACTGCTTTATCGATATGGAAAAGCGAACCGCCCTCTATTTTGCATTTTACAGATTTGGAAAAACTACGGTTTTGGTATTTTGGCTCATGAAAAAAGTCTAGGTAAAGAAATGCATTGTAAAACCTATTCACATCTTATTGTATTTAGGTGTTAATACTTCGATGATGAAAATATCTGCGACATCACCATTCGAATGGTCTATTGAAGTGATATGTGACTGAGATACTGATCGAATAACACACTCATCCTTACTGGAAATTTAAAAGTTGGTGATATGACACAAACTAAAACGAGGAAACTTCGAATTCTCCTCAACGAAGCCACAAAGACCGCATTGATAATTGGGAAGTTACACGACTAGGCACCGAAATCGATGATAGTAATGTCATTGAAGAACAACAACGGTTAGATCAACTGAACGATCAAATTCCACCACCGAAACGAACAGGTCTGACTATTGACACTATTTAACGTCTCACAAACTCGAGACTAACGAATAACGTACAAGATTTTCATATGCACGACAGTAACGTTTGTAATTTTGTTACTCTCACAAATCTAGTCCTTTCAAAAAAGTCCATAGCATTATCTGAGATTTTAAATCAGAAGCGATCGACACCTGTAGAAAAACCAGTATCAATCGTTCGCGTCAATGTTCAATATCAAAGACAAGATGGTAAATGGATCGATTGTTTAAATGCAAAAATCACCAAAGCATCTACACAATCCGATAACAAACCAAAGTTAGGTAGCACAATCTTAAATGCTGACCCGGATAGAGTTGTGGCAGCATCTGTCGAAACTACGATTCTAGTGAAAGGTAAACCTAACAGAACGGATGCAACTCGTACTTGTGCTCATCGAAGTTTGCCACTGACATTGAAATTGAGGATCATTTTTGTTGATAATCTAACGAAAACATGTTCACTCATCGTTGAACAAATCAATGAGCCTTTCGATTCGATCATGAAAGAAGCTCTCAGGGATAAACGCAAGGACAGTATGAAAAGACTAATTGCCTTTATGTCCGCGGACGATTGTGAATATGATGGACGTACTTTCACTGCAATCTATATTTCGAACAATGATTTGCTGTTAATCGATGATGGAATGAAGAACATTTATATAGAAAAATCACATATTCACACAATGAAATGGAAAGCGAAAAAAAATAAAATAACTGAAGAATCTACGAACTATGTCGGCGATTCACAAATCCAATTATTCTCGATGTTCGACGCAGAAACGTATCTCTTCTATGCGGTTCGTATTGAGCTAGCAACAATAATATTACAAACCATAGAAACAGTACTTTTACCACTGAATGAAATAAAATAATACTCTCAACACTACGATATTATTGTCGAAAGCTGCCGAGTTTCATACAAGAATTATTCAATAACCAGTGCGATAGTTGTCGACTTCGAAAAGGAAGAACGTTATCATGCGCAACAGCGGATGACACAATTCTCGGATCTAGAATGGATCGGAGATGATCCATTGGTAAAAGTAGAATTTGATCAGTAAAGTAGAGTCGAATCAATTTAGCTTTCTTATCCCATGTTATGAATCCGTGTCGACACATATAATCAATAATACGATGATACTGTTCAAAATTGTCCGATTGAACATCATGAACTGTTGCCATGGCATCCGAAATATCCTGCAAACTAACAGTTGGTTCGGACGCAGTGGCTGTCGATGATGATGGAATAATTGACGATGGTAGTTTAATGTGCTGCTTATTATAGTATAAAAGCCAACTGCCTGACTCATCTAGTCGAATTTGTGAGTTTTTCACCAGAATATGAATGACATCTTGTCGTTGAAATCGATTTTGTCGAATGAGCTGACTATGCTCCGGCGTGAAATATAAATGATGACCATCAGTCGGATTCTCTAAGACGACCAACTCATTCGATTCATCTTGTTTTGTACCATCATTTTCAATCACTAAATCAACATAACATCGAATAAGATCATGCTTTTGTCTTGGCGTTAAGTTTAATATTTTCATCATTGTTGACTGTGTCCTTGCGGACGTTGTCCTGATATTTCGAGCTTCTCGTAACGAGTATGTTTCGTTGTTGAAAATGAACTTATCGTGTTCGACTCGTCCACCATTAGCCAGTAAAATGTCAATAATATAATTACGATCGAAATCATGTTCTTCTGCTCGGTAGTACCAATGCATTGGTAAAACAAGATAACGCTCAGGTTCATGGATAAATTCTACTTCCATGCGTTTATTTTGTTTGTCTACATAAACCTGTCGAATGTGATAAGAGAGCAGATGGTGTTGTCTTATACGCTCGGGCGATTTGGATTTTTCATCAAGAAGAACATCCGGTTCGATATATCGATAAGCATAAGAACCCGTTTCAGTATCGTATCGGATATGACCATTTTGGAAAAGATATATCGCTACAGTTCGTACATCGTCTGTCGGTGTCATGTGCTCATATGGAACAGATAATGTTTGAGTACTTTCGCCATCGTATAGTTTGATATCGGTTTCAAATGTTTCAGAATTCGGTCGAACATCACGTATTATTGACATTAACCATTGCAATTCGTTGCTATCCAATGCGATGGTGTGAGCCATGAATGACAGCTGTCCGGACGATTCTTGAACGTATTCAAATCGAAGTAATATTCGAGCAATGTCTAGCATGTCGATCATATCGGCTTCATTCGGATTCAGATCTTGATTTCCTCGTGTTCTCATGTAAGAATCGATATCGTTGTTATTGATGAATATTTGTTGAGCTTGATCGTGTTTACCACCAGGCATGATCACAATATCATTTTGATCAGTCATTGTAATTAATCGTTGTCGGTTTAGTTCTTCTAACCAATTTGTTAGAAGATTTACATGGTTTTCATCAAGTCCATCTCTCTCACGTGGCGCTCTTGATGAATGACTATGATTTAATACCAGATGATGTTTTTCAGTGGATTTAGTTGGGATGAATTTCTGTTTGAGACTCTTTAGTTTTGACATTTATTCAGTTGGAGAAGAAAGAAATTGAGAAATACTTGATACCACAGTCAAAATTATTGCTTTTGAGTCAAATATGAGACGACCTTGACCATCAACATCGTTCGAATTGATTTTGTGCAGTAGCAGAAAATATGATTGCATATGCAATAATATTGATTTTCTTTCTTTTTCGTTCTTTGTTTTTCTTTCTCATTTTGTTTGACAAACGTGACAGAAATGCAATAAACGAGAAAAAAAGTACATTTTTTTTCATCAACTGTATATTTTTATTGATAGTTTATGACTTTCGTTTGGTGTATGAAACTCCAATATTTTGATCGCGTTCTTTTTCGTATGTCTGCCGATGGCGATTGGTAGTATTTAGGCTCTACTCAAGGATACACTCAGATTTATAGTGCTTCACACCATAAAATATGTTCGTAGATTTCGAATGTACTTATAACATTATCTTCGCACATTATCACAAGTGACGAAAGTCGCTGTTGTTCGGATAGACTTTGTACATGCGAAATTTCCTTTTTGCCACTGCAGACAATGCCATAAATAATAATTGTTTCTTATTCTGTACTGTACTCTACATCATCGGTCTTTGTTCTACGATATCTTTTGTCCTAGAAAAATAAATTCGAGACAAACTCACAGTTGTCTCGAAAGAAAACGCCTCTCTGACTTTACATGCAAAAATCAGAAGTAGCGATTATCTCGGGTACAACATTGCAAGACTATACAGAGTATTAACTTATGATGGCTCATAATCACCAATCGTATTCCGATATTCTGAGTTCTACTTTTCTTTTTTATTTCATGATAAAAAAAAGTAGACATCACAGTGAATACTATTCCTTACTTAAAAGTCTCTTTTCTTCGTTTTGAACGTGTTCCAGTTGTCTCGGTAGTATAAAACAATAAATGCAAAAGCTTCTCAGGAAAAATTTCAATGATTCAATCTTTGTAGTCCATTTTAACACTCGAACATCATTTTTGGCTTTCTTTTCAGCATCGTTCGATGGATATTGTAATTCCTGTTTCTTCTTTAAATCTTTCGCAAAAAGAAATTGTAACGGATACAAGAAAATTGAAACAAGCAACCAGATAATACTTCGGACGATTGGAAACGACTTTTTCGGTCGAGTTTCATAGAGCCGTTGAGCATTTGATTTATAATCTTTTTCTGGATCGTGTAGTTTCCGCATACGGTCGCAGTAATCGAATATCACTCTGTATTTTTCGTGGATACCTGGCACAAGACTTAATGGAGCCATAAGTGAAGTTAATGTTAGATCAGCAGCAGTAAATTGGTTGTCGAATAAATATTCCTTTCCTTGGATATCGTTTTGAATTTCATCGAGAACACATATTGTCTTCTCGAAAATATGTTCTTCTTGAATTCGATCGACACCCACCCGAGACATAATCACGCAAGAACCAGCTAAACCGAGTAAATAAGATTTCCAATCATTACAAGAACTCTTGTCGTATCGAAAGTCAACCAGAGCAGATAGAATTGCTGGATGTTCACTAATTATGTAGAGATAAGCTAGACGGCGAGCATATAAACCTAATCCACTGTCTAAACTAAGACAATACTGCACAATTTCGTCTTTTTTATTGACTGGAAATAATTTTTGCTTGTTTCCGTAACGTTCGTCGAGATAAAGGAGAATTGGTGTGGAATCAGAGAGAAAAAACGAATCATTATTTGGATCTTCGATAAGTGGTGTTAATTTTTGTACTTCTCGTGGAGCCTTTATGTATCCGGGTGTTTTACGACCAGTAAAGTTGACAGCTTCATACGGTAAAGAATAAAATTCTAGTGCCCATCGTACTTTGTCACAAAAATGTGAAAATGGAATTTGATACAAAACAATCGATTGCATGTCGACTATTTTTATCAAACAGTTACCGTGAGAGCTAAGAAAAAAAATAAACGAATAAGGCTCACGTGCGACTATGATAGACACTTAAGAAGTGGAGATGGGAGATTTGTGTGTATTAGGTTCTGATATAGAATGGAGGCTTTACGAGAAAAATTAATTTGCGATTGAAGTTGACAATAAAAATATATTATTCATTTCTTTTGCGTTGTTCACTACCAGATTCACATAGCTGTCGACACATATCAAACAAAGCTTTTCACAATCTCAATGCTTTCAGCATGAAGCGTCCAATCGATATCACAGCATTGAAAACGATCGACAGCGTTCATTTTTACCATTCTTGACTTTACTCACCTCATATCTATTTATACGAATCAAAAGTCAGAAGCTCAACTTCTCTCATGAATAAACTTACCTTAATTTCATAATAGATGTCACTAACACTTATGAGAAAACCCTTGACAGTAAATCTCCTTAGAAGTACTACATTTTTGTAACGAAGATATTTCAATCGTTTATCTGGTCAGATGAAAGCTTTGGTCATTTCGACAAGTCAACAAGACAAATTAATTCAAAATGAAACTGAACGTCGATGAACATTTCGTCTTCTCCAGGTAACGTCATCATTTACCCAAAAGTCCTCTTCACACATGTACATGAACTTTCATGAAATAGACTCGTCAAATAGAAAAAGAACGAGCTGCTCAACTTCGAATAAATCATCTTTACTCTCACTCTCACCTTTGTAACATATCGTTCCTCTCCATTGCCAAACAAGATCTTGTCAGTGGTCAGTCCATCTCCACTCCATTACGTTGTTCACATTCATCATCAGATTTATCATTAAATCATGTTTTACAAGAGAAAAGTGATATTCATCATTTGACGAATTCTCCAAATACATTCGAAACATCGATCACATCCAACTCTTCATTATCATCAGCATCGAACAAACATCACGATACATTATCTTACTTGATCGATCAGAATCAACGTACTATGCAGCGACTCATCACAAGTTATCAAGTGAACTCGAATGAAGAATCAACAACGATGCTTTCATCTGCATCGATCCGAATACCTGATTATGAGAGTGGACAACTACTGACAACAATCTCACATGAAAATACTCAATTGTCACGAGCACAACAGAAGAGCATATTGATCGAGACAGGATTTTTGTCAACAGTTGATTTTCCATCTGCGCTTTTACATGCTGAAGGACATCATGTATTTGAAACAGTTGAATTGAATTCTAAAGTGAGTTTAACTCATCGTCGTGAATCTGTTGATGAAACGAAATGAAATGATTGATTTAGATTGATGGTGATGATCATGGTATTCTTGATGAACCTTCGTTGGCTCTTCTTTCGAACAGTTATCGTTCATCAACAACAATAGCGATGATAAATCAAATTGTGAATGAAATGGGAACTCAATCGAGATCACAGCAAAAGAAGAAACAATGTTCATCTCCACTTTCGACATGTGATGATAAGACAAGTGCTTGTTCAACTCCAGCATTATCATTAATCAAAAACGAACCGATTGCGACACATGAAACAATGATTCGATCGGAAACGAATTGCTAAGAAAATATCGAAAAATAATCTTTTTGTACAGATGGAAAAACATATTTTAGAAAAATTGAATTTAGAATATATTTAATAAATTTTTGTGAAGATCATTTGTATATGATATATGATTAATTACTACTAATTTATTTTCCTTCATTGATTAGACGTAATAATTTATATTGATTATGATATCTGGTCAAATTGCAGCCACTAATTCAGGATATCTATCTTTTCTTCATTTGTCCAAGGCTTTATTCTTTGTTGTCAGTTGAAATATTTGATTTTTCTTTCATCGTCATGTTTGAATAGTTTATCGAATTATTCGCTTTTCTTTACATCGCTTCTACTTCTATAAAGAGATACGGATCGATTTGTTGCAATTCTCTTATCTTTCTCCAATTTACTGTATTAGAAACACCTCATTTTCACTCTCACCTGTAGTATCAATTTAGTATTTCTAGCTTACCCGATCTTCTGACAGCTAAAAACACCTACGGGGCATGTCCACGTAAAGTGACACTTCGCTGATTAAGTTTTGAAAAATTTTTTTTTCGATAACAGCGTTTCTAAACACTGTTTTAGATGTAGTTCTTAGCGCTGATTAGGAATCTGACGTCTATTTTGTTCGTAGCCCACTTTTTTCTGTAAGAAAATATATTTTAAGCCTTTTGAGAATTGTATTTTGGGTGGTCTCAGCAAAACATCTCCTTAAAGCATGTTCTTCTACATACCATTTGATGCAGAATTTGATTCTCTACAAAATGACATATTAACGTTTTGGTTTTGTAGCAAAAGGCGGTTCGTGAGCTCCTTACAAGTTCTCGACTTGTTGCTTCTAATATGGACTTCTACATGAATATACTCATTCTATTTCCAGGTATAAATCATCACAGTACCGAGTAGACTTACACTTTAAAAAATCACTTAATTCTAAGCATCCTAAGGGTGTGAAAAGTAATTAGCAAAAAACTGTGTCACAACGTTACGAAAAATGTCACAGCGTTACGTTTGTATTTCATATTTTCTGTACGAAATAAAACAGTGGGAAGAAAATCTTTCTTATCAACACAAAGTCCTTTGAAATCTCTACGAAACACTGCTTTATTATATTTAATTTGAATAGTATTTTATGAAAAAATTAACAACGAAAATAATGTACTGCGAGGTCAGGGTCCTTTTATGTCACGCTGTTACGCGACACTAAAATCGTCGCAGAAATACAAGAGCTCAACCAAAATCTTTGATAGAGTTTAACGAACTGCATCTACGAGCGTTTGAACGAGATCCGTAACTTTTATAGTCTTCGAAAAAATCGAAAAATACTTTGTCAAAATGTCACAATGTTACGTTCGGACAAGCCCTACGGATTATGTAAAGAAAACATTTGTGTCTGCTCATCGTTTCTTTGACTGTGATCTGTCAATGTTTATCTTCTATCGTTATCGATACAAATAATTGTCAGTAGCGTTACAAAAACAGAATAATCAACGCTCATATTCATATACTCATCATCTTGGATTCTATCGGATTTGTGAGACTGAGTGTCTATCTTTATCTGTAATTTACTTCTCCTGTGAATGCACTTTATTCACACGCATTTTTTTTTCTTACATCTTCGTCTTTGTTCTTCCACATTGAGAAAAGAATTGACTTTGAATAACCTTGGAAAGTTTATTGATAGTATAGAGAAAATTGCACTGAAAAAGGGAACACTCGAAAAATTGAATATTAGTCGATAGAAGTTAGTTTAGGGGAACTAAAAGATTGATTTATTTGGGTCTAATCAAAGTCATATAGTTATGGCGTTCCTATACCAGCGAACAAAAGTTTATGTCGACTTGGTACAACTGCCTGTATAAGAACCAGGATAGTTTATCATTTGTGATGGTTTATCCTTGAGCCAACATTTGCCGCTGTCTCCGTTAAATGTCCAATGATCACAAGCGGGAAATGATTCGCATAATGCAGCACAAGCAGTAGCAGTGAGAACGCGTCCCGGATAACTACCATTTAGATCACCACCATTCGCATCTTTATCGCTAACAATGGTTTTACATCTGGTTTCAGTTTTTAAATCTGTAATAGAAAATACGATTTTTAATTCACTGATGATGAGAACAGTTTTATTGTCGAGCTGAAAATACCTCGGAAGGGGACTCCTCGTTTTTGTGCAAAGAAGTCTTGATCAAAATCGTCATCGGCAAAGTCTTCTTTGGTTAAGCGTGCATTGCTTTGGCTGATCACCATAAAGGCAAGAAGAGCGAAAGCCAGAATTGATGAATTCATTTTCATGAATGCTAAATGGAAAAGAATATTGAATCTAAATAAAAGATATAATCACAAAATACTTTGCTATGAAATGGAGACAAAATATTGTGTAAATGATACTTAGGGTAGGTATTTATACACACCATATTGTGTGCGACGATCCGATACTGAGGACAAAAAGGGGCGAATTTGATGCAATAGCATTTATTTCATGCCAACTCATCCTAGGATGATTGTATATTGTGAATAGAAAAACAAAAAATATTTTGTCTGTCGCGATATTATATAGATAATTAGACGCTTATTGTGAAGAGAATAATATTTGTTATATTCATATGCATAAAGCTATGGTACGTATATCAGTAATCACTTTTTTGTCTGTACCTGACTATTTTTTACTTACGTGCGAAAATACACCACGGTACATTTAGAAAAAGAATAGATCGAATCGTCCTAGACAGTGCAGTAGTCGGCAAAGAAGAGTGATTCTAGAGGACAATTATTGTTCATTTTTGATTTTGTCGCATTCTGAAAGTTTTTTGGAGACGATAGCAATGTTTCACCCTAATCGATTATACACGAAAATGTTGTAGTTATTTTATTGTTTCAAATACTTTCTAGATTAGACACACTCATATGACACGAGAGAGTGAAGCGAAATATATTCGGAATCCTCAACTGATCGTCTTTCAGAATCCCTGCAGATATTATGTTGAATCATTTTCAAAGTATAGATGCCACTTGTGTTGATGTATATTATAAGCTCAGAAACTCATGAATCATTTTGTATGATTCTCATTATTCACCGTCATGTTTTTTTTCTCTTATTGTCATTTGTTGATATGATCAATAATAGTATATAACAAATCGTGTCAAACAAAAATGCACAAAATCGTGTTTTTCAAAAATCTCTTTGCTGTTTCATTTCTTTTTGTCATTTGTTTTGCTCAAAGTAATTTTCTTGAATTTTTCTTGTTCTTGCTGACATCATTTTCTCCTTAAGACGAAACTTCATCAACCACTTTGAGAGCAACAACGACAGCTAATCTATTGACAAGTATGTCATACTTCAACTGAAATCGATTGCCATCTCTTTTTATTTAATTAAGCCATATCCTGGGGGGTCAAATCGAGGCTCCAAATTGTACAAAATGTTTAATAAATTTCGAACAGAAAAATAATCGATGTTTTGAAAATGAAAAGCAAAACCAAACTACATGAACTCCCGCGATCTTTCTCATTCGAATGTGTTTAGATAATGTTGAGCCAACCTGTCGTACGGGTCGAACTGTACTTCTGATACTTCTTGCGTGTCTTTTAACAATTGTATTACTCTTCACACTGCTAATTGTCTATACTCGATTAAATCATCGTCATATATCATCGAATCCATCCGATTTTTCTGAAAATGCAAACAATCGCTTTAACAATCTCCTTCACGCAATCGGTTTGAACAAATGCGGTCGATTTAACTTCTTTTCAATTTCGAATAACAATTCTTCATTGGGACAATATCGTCAACCAGATGCATCAAACGCGCATTTAAGTGAAAATCCCGATGAAGCTTTGTTATTTGATGATCCCTATGCTGACGATGACTTTCAGAGCTCAGCAAGCAATCCATGTCGTTCATTAACATTAGCGGTTACCTAATAATCTTTGATCTCTTTTTCAAACGAACTAATCTCATTGGAATTTGACTTTGTTTCAAAATTCGTTTTGTTTTGTTGCTTTTAATGGTTATTGATCTGTATTAAATACATATCGCTTTGAAAATTTTCAATAAATATTTTATTCAAAACTTGGCAATTGGACTGTAAAATAGTTTTCTTTCCTGATTTTCGAATGAAATTTCTCTATGAAAAGCTTTTATATACAAATTAACTTGGAGTGTCATTATCTGAATGAGAAGTGATATCATTTTGTCGACAGAATACATCAATATCCTGGAGAAATTTGTATTCAATTTGTTGCTTTGGATCAGTTGAGATTTCGAAATGTGTGATCATTGCAAATTGTTTTCTAATGTTTTTTTAGATGGAATTGGTTTTAGCTGGTTGTGGTAATGAGTGACGTTTTGATGCCATCCGATGACGATTTTTCAAGTGTTCTTGTTGGCGATAGAGTGAATTTTCCCGACGAATTGTCGCCATACGTGCACGATTTCGTTGTCGTTCGTTTTCTCGATAAAGTGGATCCTCCAAACGTTTTCTTCGCATAGCACGAGCGTTATTTTCGCGTTCAATTCGACGATATTCGGAATCTCTTTCGCCTCGCAATTGAACCATATACAGCGCACGTTTTTCTCTGGTTCTTAGTGTATCTTTGCTTCGTTCATGGTATTGATTCGAACAGGTATTCAATTCGGTTGTATTATTCATCGAGTTCAAAGAATAAACACTTCTCTTCTTTACTAAAAATTAATCGATGTCATCAGCCAAGCTGAGGATGGTATGTACATGCGTTTTAATTTGATGAAAGATGTCACCTAGTTGGACGATAGTTTTCTCGGTAAATCTTATTAAGATGAAATCAATTTCTGTTGTGAGACGCGAAAAGTAGTGATGATGTGAGAATCTAATGTGGAGATAGATAATCTTCAATGTATGAGGACACAGTCGTCGAAATAACCAACGAATGAAATACGTTGAGTATCGTTGAATGCATTCAATAGCGACATATATTCATAAATCCTCCGATATAATGAGCGAGTGATATGATACATTTTTCTTTATTATGACTGATATTTTCAATTCGTACTCAATTGAAAAAACGTGATCAAGGGGTACGATTTTTTCTCTCTCACATCGAGAATCTTATGACTAAGGGTACATCGTTCAAGGTCGGCCTTCATAGCCTTTTATGTGGTCCATTTGCTAAAGGAGTATCGAGTTTAGATGAAAAAAGTAGCTTACTAATTTCATATCAAAGTTTTGTTTCGTTCCACAGCAGAGGATAATTAAGATACTCTTGTTTATTTCGACGTACGTAGGTTATCTTTCGGTAGCGAGAACGCCGGCTCGATGTTAGCATTGCCAATAATAACATCGTACAGGAATATACATAAGGATGTGACTTTTGTCGTCTATTATGGTCGGTCATATTTTTCTCCTGTTTGAATATCTTTTCTCTCGTGAGAAAGCAGCAGAACCGACTTTCTGCTTTTGTCTTTATATCCAAAGGCTTTTGATCTATTTATTCTCTTGTTGAAATCGTTGAGAAAAACAATAACAAGAAAGTAAGCTGTTTGTTGTTGAGAGGTGAGTACTACATGATATTTACTCGTTGAATAGAGGAAATTAATATTGAAAATAAAGGAAAAGTTCATGCAGTGTTCTTTTTTCCATTCATCGTTTATTGTAGCTTTTCTTTCCATTAGGCTGATCAGATGATGGATTCGAAATTTCTTAACAGAAGAGAAGAAAGAGAAAATAAACGAAATAATATCCAGATTAAAAGAAACATGTTTTTCCCTTCTCGTCCTTTTTTCTCTTTATCAAGATCGGTACCACTATTACTACCATTATCGATAACATCTCATTACGAAAATGGAAGAAAATCATCATTTACGTAAGTAGAGTAGCTATTCACCTGCGCTTTGTCTTCTTCCCGTTGCATTGTAGCATGATGTTCTTTCCCTGATGAAAAACACAATGAGAGTCAATGAGAAATTTTTTTTAATCGAAATGTTTTAGATGATATTGCATTGCTTCATCCAGATGAACATTATGTAAAAAAATCGAACAGATTCGAACTGCAGTCAAGGTTCTTATACGAACTTATCAAGTATTTTAGAACATCGTCCATCATAAGTTTCAAGGATGCCAAATATTAAAGTATTTGGTGGATCATCTCATCCGGAACTGACACAAATGATCTGTGCTCGACTCGGTCTCTAGCCAGGAAGAGTCATAACAAAGGAATTTAGTAATCGAGCAACAAGGTAAACGAAGTTGTTCAAATTGCCCTATTGACTTTTGTTTAAAGTGTGGAAATCAATGAATCTGTGCGTGAAAATGTTTTTATTGTTCAAAGTGGTTGTGGAGAAATCAATGATAATCTTATGGAATTATTGATTATGATCAATGCATGTAAAATAGTTTCAGCATCACGAGTCACTGCCGTCATTCCATGTTTTCCTTACGCACGACAAGATCGAAAAGATGAAGTAAGACAGTTGAAATGAACGTTGATCATCGTGTCTTCGTTGGAATTCTAGAGTCGAGCACCAATCTCAGCGGAACTCGTCGCCAATATGTTGAGTGTTGCTGGTGCTGACCATATCATCACAATGGATTTACATGCATCACAAATTCAAGTAAAGAAAACAACACGGGGTGGAATTTTGATTTTAATTAAAGCGGTTTTTGTAGGGATTTTTCAATATTTCTGTTGATAATCTTTTGCAGAACCGGCTGTTATTCGATGGATTTGTTTACATATTCCAGATCATAAAAATGCTGTTATTGTCAGCCCGGATGCTGGAGGTAAACTAGTTCTTTATGGTTATCTTCCAAACATGTGTTCTGTATCAGTTAGGTGCTGAACGGTACATTGATGATGAGAGTCTTTTTTCTTTCTTTGACAACTATTGCTATTCGTATTCAGTGTGACAGCAATTGCTGATCGATTGAATATTGATTTTGCCTTGATTCATAAGGAGCGAAAACGAGCGAATGAAATTGATTGAATAGTGCTGGTTGGTGATATCACCGATCGTACTGCTATTCTGGTTGGCGACATAGCTGGTATGTAAAGTGCATATTCCCGGTTCATATATGTTTCTTATGGAAATATTCGTAGATACACGCGGAACATTTGAATATGCATCACAAAAGTAACGGCAAAGAATTTTGAAGATGTGAAATGCGTTTGTTTTTCTCGTTTAATGATAGATTATTGAGTGTAGGTGCAAGTATAGTTTACACGATTTGCAGTCATGGAATATCTAGTGGTCCGACTATAGAAAGGATTAATAAATCTTCATTCGAAGTCGTGGGTGTGACGAACACGATTCTACAAGAAGAAAATATGAAAAATTCGAGTAAAATTCAGGTAAAAACCGTTTATCCGTCGATTTTTTTATCACGTGCGTTTTCTTATCGAGATAAATTGTTTCTTTACGCAGTTGGATATCGATCGTTTAGATAACTTCGTTTAGTCAGAAAACGTAATTGTTGTATTTTACCATCTGATTCGATTTGCTGTAAATCCGATCGTTCATAATTGAGAAAAACCATTCGAAGAATTCTTATATTTTTCTCTCGGAAATCTTCGAATGTTAACAACATATCCAAATCACACCGAGATTTACCAAATTTTGTTATCGATGAACCAAATGGAAGACAAACAGTATCAACAAAAATACTCCCAAATGCTTCGAGAAAGAATTGGTCACACTGCTTTCCCCATACAAAACATTTTCGTCCTTTTACCTTCGACGAGTGATGCAATGAAGAATCGAAGTCTTGTATCCAGTTCAGTTAGTTTGGGTTTTTGCAAAAAATGACGAATTTGGTCACTAATTTCAAGAAGATCACACGATTCAAATTGAGAAAACTGCATTCTTCTGTTCCTGCAAGCCTTACGTTACGAATATCAGCTAAAGCTGTATCGAGAACTGAATCATCCGGTTGTTGAACTTCACGACCGAACGAATGATGTTTTAATCGCGAACCAGTTAGTTGAGACTATACATGAGATGAAGAAGTGCGTTTTGTTAGATTTCAATCACATACTGCAAAATACAAATTTCGCGACGCACACGGTAAACGATTTTCATTCGTGGAGTGACTCGTGATATTCAATAATTTATTGACACTTTGATCGTTCGAGAATTCCAATAACGCACATTCCTAAAAGAGTCAATCACATTCGATTGTTACTATATGATGATTTGAACAAACTTTTTTATTTGCGGAATAAAGTGTCATATTCGAAATTTGACCAACACGTGAACATAATTTGTATAGTTCGGATTCGGAATGAGATCGACCAAGCTAAAGTTTTAGGAAATTAGATGGAAGATTGGAAAAAGAAGGGAACAGTTTACATGGATGAACACCGTTCGTTGGGCTTGTTCTCGTCGAAAATCAATCAATGAATTGAAAGTTTGTATAACATTATGAACTGACAAAATTCGAATGAGTTTTGATTTTGCGTAATTATTAGTTAATACGGTCTTTCTTTGCTGAAGGTAAAAATAGCGGTCTAGGTGGACGGATTGATGATGAATAACGTTGAATAATAGATGTATAGTATGATTGAGTTGACAGAAAACGTAAAGAAACTGAAGAAGATTGATAGAACGATATCAACGGTAACATCTTTACTAAAGAATACAAATACGAAGAGATTTTTACTTCTCCGTCGTCGATATACAGTTAGTTCTACCATTAGTCACATCTACCGGGCAATCTTTTGTTGAACGTCTAAACCAGACTGGATGGTCTCATAAACGCCGATTGGATTGGAATCTGTTATGGATGATGCCAGTGCTATGGATATGTTGTGTCTATACAATCATTAAAAAACTTTAGTCAGTTATTGAAATTCAGCAGATATTGAATAACTAATAATGACGGAATGTCTATTGTTGATCGTGACAAAACTGTATTTCAAAAGTGTCGTTATCGACCATTGTATCCTTATCTCTGATATCCGTCTATTTTATCAAGAAGCAATACAAAAAAGACTTTTTCTTAAAGACGCTTCACATTAGATATTTTCAACGGTATATTATCACCAGCGATTTACGGCAAGTCAGCGTAGACTTTTCTACACGTTTCTTGTTTGATTTTATTCACCAACCTATTCATTCAATTAGAACTTTATTATCGTGGGGGCATTAGTTTTTATATTTTGTTGAAAGTCGACATCAAGTGTTTGAATTCGAACTTGTTCTTATTAGCATATCATTTGATTCATCATGAACATTGGTTGCATTTCTAGAAATTCTATTATAGACAATTTAGACAAAGTAGCGCGTGTACAATAATTCTCAATATCATGGAGTTTTGATCTCCAATCGATGTTTATCGAGCTATGCACAGTAGTAATAAATGAATGAATAGTATAATTCGATACGGCACGAGTCATGTTAATCTGTCGAATATCGAAATTGAGCGAAGATTTGGATTGTTATTTGCAATGAACCGCTTGCGGCACTGATTTATCTTTATTGCGTCTCGAAATTACAGAATAGATCTATAGAGTTGCTTCATCTACTCCGGAGAAGTTACTGGCGGACCAGTGAAATGTTTTCTTCCCCACAAAATGTACCAGATGACACTAATAGTAGCAAAGAAAACAAACAACGCACTAGCATAGTTCATACTCGAAGCAGTCACTGGTATCGCAGTTGGCATTGTAAATATGACGATGGCCAAAATGATCCAGAGAATTGTTGCTATATTAATGATGTATCCAACTTTACCCAAGCGAAAAGGAGCATGGTTCACTAGATAACGCCCTCGTACAACAAGTATCAGTACAGGCGACGCATACGATGTTGAGAGACATATAGTCGCAACACCAGTAAATGCATTGAATGCTGCTGATGAACCGAGATATATCAGACCGAGAAGCCCTTGAATTAATGTGGAAAGTAGTAGAGCATTGAGTGGTATATCGTACCGTTTGTTGATTTTAGACCAAGCCAAGGAGCCTGGTACTGCTCCATCTCGACTGAATGCATAGAGACATCGTGAGGTAGCTGTTAATGAGCCGATTCCAGCAAATGATTGAATTCCGAGTATGAGAAACAAAAGACCAAACCCACCGCCAGCTGAACCTGTGGCCGTCTTAAATAGATAACCAATGGGTTGACCAGTTGATATATTAAGTAATTTGTCAACATCAGGCATAACAAATAGAATAGGAATGAGGTAGATCACACCAGTTATTCCTGCTGCAACTACCGAGAGAACCATTGCTTTGGGTACTTGTTTTTCTGGGTTCTGTACTTCTTCACACATAGCCGCGACCATACCATAGCCAGTCAGGGTATAAGCAGATTGTAATAATCCAACAAAGAATGCCCATCCAGGTGGCCAACCTGCTCTTGTTGCATCAAATTCAGTGAACACATAGGAAGCACTTCTTCTACCTCCTCGTGCCATTGTCAATACGGTAATGAGAATAATTAAAACTGATGCCGCCGTCCAGTAAACGCACATAGTATTAATAAAATCTAAATATTTTGCAAGCCAAATATTTACACATAAAGCAACGAATAATACAGCCCAATATATCAGCACGACATGCCATGCAGCAGGAACATAAGCTTCGTTCCATAGTCCTATGGCGGACAGTATAAGTTGTCCACCGGAAAAGCAAATCGATGTAGTCACAGTCCAATTTCCAACGAGGCCCAGCCAGCCTGTTATCCATGAAGTCACTGGCGCCCATCTCTTGTTTGCTAACATTGCGGACCAATAGTAAACACCGCCAGAGGTAGGATATGCTGAACAAATCTCTGCTAAACTTGCAGCAATACATACAGAAATTATAGTCAGTAATATCCAACCATAGAAAATCGTCACTGGACCACCGTCAGTAAGGCCAATCGTTAACGTAGTGGATTCACCGAAGGGTACTGCCATGATAGCAAACGAAAGTCCAAGCACAGAAAAAAACGATAACGAACGTGGTAATTCGGATTTATAGCCCATAGCAGCAAGTTGAGCATCTGCACCTTCAGATACAGCTTCTTGTTGCTGATCTGCTGTTCGTTGAGGAGAGCTAATTTCATCATTAGAAGAATGAATGGCGCTTGGCGAAACAATGTTTGCCATCGAGTTTGTAAAAGAACAATTCGAGCTATTAATCGATTACCTAGAATGGTTTTAGTATGTAATATTGTTATGCAGGATAAACAAGAGAATTAACTTTTACTTTATGTATAGGATATAAGTTTTATACAACAGCCACGTGACAAAATAAATACCACCTATTTTTTCTGCTTCGTCTCACGTTCGTTTTTACTGTAGAACATCATTGAATGTAGATAAGACGCGTAAAAGAAATACAGGTTTATGTGAGCAATTCTTTTTTCTTTCGTCGTTCTGTCTTGATTCTCAACGAGATCGAATGTGTGAGAATACGATTCTTACATATATATATCGTTAACATTTATAGTAAAAAAGGGCTTGTAAAACGAAATTCATTTAGTTTGTGCTTCTCCATAATAAAAATAAATTTATTTCATAGATTGAAAAGTTTTCTATGAGAACTTTTATTTGTTGATGTGATGTGATAGTATGTTTTCGTTCCTGATATCCATGGTATTTTCTATTAAAAAAAAAACTTCGAATTCCGCTGTTTCAAAAAACTGCATAGACAATATAAAAGAAAAAATTAAAAGAATCTTTCGTTCTGCAATATTTTTTTACATAGCGATCGTTTTTAGTGGCGTGTTTTGTCCTCCCGTAATGGGTAAACATAACGAAAATACGCTGATATGTAATACGTCAATTACTTTTTTTCCCAAAAGATTGCATTCCCACGTTTATAATGATTAATCATATATAAGACACTACCTAAGTTATTTCGACATACTTTTCCGTTTCATATGAATACTGAGTACTTCTCAACACCTCGCACTCCTAAAAATTATCAAAACACTTTCGTGTGGTATGTTACGTAGAAGTACGATTCTTTCCTAATATTCGTTTCTAGTTATAATTGTAATCAGCCTGGCCATAAAGCACGAGATTGTTACAAAACTCCACACAAATTAAAACAATGCTTTCAATGCCACCGTTATGGTCACATCGCACAAGATTGCACAACGCCAAATTATCAGTTTCAGTACACAAACAACACTGGTAAATCAATGAATCATCGAAAAGCACCAGCATCACAGGTTGTCCAGAAAGGTAAACGTTGGCGAAAGCATTTAATGTTGATAACATAACTGAATCCAGTATTTCCAGATGTTCGTCAAACAAGTGCAAGATCATCGTCGAACCCAAATACTCAAACGAGGAAAAGCACTGTAAAACATATATCGGTAGTTTTATCGTTCAATCTATAATACAGAGCACTGTTTCTTTCGAATTTAGTCTGATCAACGCATAAAAGCTCACCGAGGAAATCACAATACACATCTGGAGGTGTTAGCTAATGAACTTTTTTGTGATATATTTCAATATCTCTCAATTGGTGATCTTCTCAAAGCTTTTTACGAGCTCAATTCTCGTTTTAAAGCACTAGTTCTCGGTCATTCATGCCTTTATCACCTAGATTTCGACTCAATATCAAAATCTGATTTAATTACAATCTTTCAACAACATATTCCATTGATCAAGAATCAAATTGTTTCAGTTCGAGTATCTGATCGTAACTATGCTATGAAACAAACTAAACTTTTAGTGTTACACGGTCTAAATCTACGAAATTTCGATCAGCTGCGATCCTTCACCCTGTGTCATGTCCGTTGCGAACAGACGATGGATACGATAATGCTTGCTCTATCTCGTCTAAGTCATGTTACTCATCTCAAAATCATCAAATGTCATTCATCATTCAACTATCAAGAATCGACTAAATTATCCAATATTATTTGGAGTTTACCAAAATTAACTCATGTCTATCTGGACACGGAACAATATAAATTTTATTGCCCTGAAAAACAATCATTATCACTAGAATATGTTGCAATTGTAGGACACCGTTGCCTATTACATGAAATAGCTCGATTACTGACCAAGACACCTCGTCTTTGTGGTTTGTCCATACGTCATTGTGACCTGAATGATAATCAATTTTTCTCAGCGCCTGTTCTATCGATGACCACTTTGAAATTGTATGACATTCGCTCTCGACCTATGCTAATGAACCTCTTACAAACCATGAACAATTTACATCATTTGACTGTGGAAACTTTCTATAATAATTTCGACGGTTATCAGTGGGAGGAAATCATTACGAATTATTTGCCAAAATTACGAGTTTTTCGTCTTAAGATGGACATACAGTATATTGGCATAATGAACAATGAAGAACAGACTGATATACTGCTCGATTCATTTCGGACTCATTTCTGGCTTGACGAACATCAATGGTTCGTTCGATGCCATCGGAAACTACAACTCACACATAGTGACATTCTCCTTTATACCGTACCACTTCTATTCAAAAATATCAATATAGATACAATGCGTTGTCCATATAAGTCAACCTGTCCTACAGACAATATATAGTCGATGGTAATATGAGGCATATAAAACGCAACTACGTGTACTGCACTTTTACGTGCAACTTAGATCGTCTTCGAAATTTTATATTCAATCTTCAGGTATATTATACGTTAAATAAACTTTTCCCGTTGCACGATATAGTCTCTAATAGTCAAAGCGATATAGTCGCGATCAATTGATCCGAGTAGACTTTGTTATAAATTCGTGTCTAGGAAAATAACCTTTTCTTCCTCATGCTTCTATCTTTCATGAAACTCGCACATCCGTATATGCTTGCTTCTTAAGTAAAGTGTTCGATTTGGTTAAAACCGTCTTTAATAAAACATGACGAGTTATTCATTGAAGATGAACTGTTTGAATAATAATTCACTCTGACATCATGGAAACACATTGATATGAGCGACAAGAAACACGATACATTCTATGATTACCCACCGTTAGAGGTGCATTTTATTTACAATGTCGAGCTGTGCTGAAAAAGTTCATCTTCATATATGATATCAGGCCAAAATTAGAAAATCTGCTTTCATTGGAGAGAATTCACGTAGTGATAATGATATTGTTCTTTTACCAAAAAGTTCTCCAAAAACAAGACACAAACAACTATACGAGAACGAACCGACGATAATTTTTTGTGATACTGATAAGAACACGTGATAATTTTTTACATAAAGAAACATGTCTCTTAAGCGGGAGAATATATTCGTACAAGAGCAGAGCTACAAAAGGTATGCACTCATTCACGACAGCATCTCGTTTGAATCAAAATAATCTGTCGTCCAGTGACGAAACTCAACACGTAGAGAAATCATCCGAGTAATTGTTTGCTCAGGTTAGCTGTATTTTGTAATATTTCATTTGTGATATAGAATAAATGTAGACGGAAATTCCTTCACTGACGCCTATGATGACAGAGTTCGTCCAATAATGGATAAGATCGATCAAATTCGATCGTTACTATCAACAAATAATGATGGTGTCACTTTTCCAAATGTCGTCGTTGTTGGTGATCAATCAAGTGGCAAATCAACGTTATTAGAAGCATTATCATTAGTTGAACTTCCCAAAGGTTCTGGTATTGTGACGCGCTGCCCATTAGTGTTAAGATTACGCAGATCTAGTCGACGACAAGTGTATCGTATACTTGAGAATAACAAAAAAGATGTTCTGGATGAAACACAATTAAACATATTAAAATATATTGAAGAAGAAACGAAGAAAATAGCTGGCAGTAATAAAAATGTTGTTGATACTCTAATTGAATTACTTGTCGAAGATCCAAACGTACGTGATTTGACAGTTGTTGATCTTCCTGGTATTGCACGTAATCCGATTGGTGATCAGCCGAAAGATATTCATCAACAAACAACAAAATTAATCAAAAAGTTCATCAGTCAAGAAGGCAGTGTGATTCTTTGTGTTTTTCCTGCCAATGTTGATATTGCTACAGTAGAATCGTTCACATTAGCACGTGAAGTTGATCCTGATGGTGTTCGTACAATCGGTGTTATAACAAAATCTGATTTGGCAACAAATAATGAAACATTGATTCAACAATTGTTGATGGAAAAAGAAGATGTTTTCAAATTAACATTGGGTTTTGTTGCTGTTCGAAATCGTAGTACCGATGAAAGAATCAGTTTAGTCGAAGCACGTCAACGTGAAAAAGACTTTTTTCAATCTCATCCAGTGTTGCCTGTGGTCGGTTGGGATTGTCTTGGTATTGAAGGTTTAATTAATCGATTAGCAAATCTCTACTCTGATCGAGTCAAAGAAACGTTTCCGAAGATGCGTAATGATATTCAAAAGAAAATGAAAGAAGTTCGTGAACAATTATTGAACTATCCAGCAGATTTAGATACACCTGCAGCACGTTTGGCCAAGTATCATGAATTAGCAGAATTTTATGTTGAAAATATGTTGAAAATACGATTTCTAAGTTCTTATGACAATAAACATACAAGTATGATTAACACTTTGCATAACAAATTTTCCAAATATAATGATATCATCAATTCATTTACGAAAGAACTCTTTACTACGTCATATCATGAAAAAGTTCGTTTGGCTATTGCATCATGTGTGGGAGAACAATTACCAAATTTTCTTCCACATCCTATATTAAAACGTTTGATTAGCGATAAACTTGATCAACTTTGGAAGATAACTGATATTCTTATCAATGAATGTTATCATTTAGTAGAAAAACTACTATTAGATCAAAATTTAGATGAACACAAAGGAAATGTTCATCTGATGAAATTAATGCCAGCTTTTCATAACATTGTGACTTTATATTTGAAAGAGAAAAATCAACTGGCACATCATCAATTACAAGAGATGATTCGATTAGAAAAACACGATCCGTATACAATGAATCATTCATATTTAGAAAAAGTAAACGAATTTCAAATGAATATGAAAGCATGTGAAGCGAGTGAAAGTGCAGCGAAGACTTCATCACCTCCGAAAATCAAATTTCGAGAAGATGACGATGAACTCATGTTTCAATCAGCTAGAAAAATTGAACAAACAACACAAGAGATGCTCTTCAGTATCTATGCTTATTGGAAAGTATTAGTCAGACGTTTTATGGATTATACAGCTTTAACACTACGCGCAGGGTGTGACTTTGATGTGTGTACAGGTATAAAAGAACGTTTAAGATACATTCCCATGGAACGATGTGATTTCGTGGATTCATATCTTGCTGAAGATGCATATACTCTTCGAAAACGAAAACAACTACAACAAACAAAAGAACGATTAGAGAAAGTCGATGCTATTCTAGGTGGTCGTGCTTCGATAGATACGATCGGAAACTATTCTTTTATTGATATGCATTCATTTGACAACGATTCAATGATGACTTTGGACAAATTTGAGCAAACTATCAATACTTCATCATCTACTACTACTACTACTAGTACAGCTGCTATTGTGGATACTACGAAAAAGTAAGACAAACGTAAATATCATCACAACGTTTCAACTTCCACTAATTTGAATTTTCAGCTTTATTAGCGAGTATAATTTCAATAGGCTCCTGACTTCGTTGAATTATAATTGCTTCACTTTAAAATAAAAGTTCTTCAAAATAACATTGGTTGCTGTAAATAATCAATACCTGTCAGTAACAATCGCTTAGAATATGATTTCGCGTATAAAAGAAGTTTCATGTCGATCTCGTTCTTATCAACTGCATTGAGTTTTTTACTCGTAATCGCAAGCTATTACTTCTCTCAATTGTTTGATAAATTGATATTTCCACGATGTGCATTATACATTAACGTGTTCGTCAATCACGAAAACGGAATTGGTTTTTTGACATCAAAATAGTTTCGATAAGTGAAGAGAAGATCACAAAAGAGCGACAAAAATCAACAGATAACATAATATACTGCTTTTCAATCAGATTACTCATTTCTCATACCTACCACCTAGTTTATGAATCAGGTTTCATACCAACAGTTGTTCTTTTTCTTAATAGAGATTGAGTCATATTGTCATCACAGCTGAGTATTTCGCAATTCAACAGTGTTCTTACGAAGTTTCTTTTATCTTCATATAATATAAATTGTCGTGATACCGAATTTTTAGAAATTTCTACATTTTCAAGTAAGTGAAACCATGTTATTCGACGAAGAATTTGATTATATGTCCAGTCAAGATAACTGCGTGATTGATGAACAGATAGACCGATTTGAAGCTCATTATTATGCAAAATCCAGGAAAACAAAACAAAAAATAAAAAAAGCATCATGTCCAATAACGAAGAAAACGCTCAAATCTCAACCAACATTGCTCAAATGGAGTTGTACTAATGAGAAGCAAACTCCCAAGGCTCAGCAAAAAACTTTTCGATATGATCATTACCCGCACAAGCCCAAACCATTTGACTGCGATGAACAATTTCTTGACACTTCGACAAGAATTGACGACGAAAATCAGCAGAATTTTTCTAGTTTTCGTCGTCGTTTCTATGAAATGAACCACACACTGATTAAATCGTCGTTTGGGAAGTATTCCAATGCTCAAATATTGAATATTCGTCCAGCATCAACAAACGAATCAATAGTACAAGACTTCATGGAGGAATTACCTAAAACACCGATCGTTCCCCATCTGGTTTATCATGAATTAAAACTGAGTAATCCAACAATTACTTTTCACTATGGATTTTCCGTATCAAATCGAAACACTTCGACAAGGTTTCTTTCGCGAACGTATCGCTACTCGACACAAAATACACGTCATGGTGCAATAGGTTTATCCGGTCTGCTATGTTGTAACAGCAACAGTAGTGTCCTGGCTTGTGCAGCAATATATAAACGCAATAAGTATCTTACGGTTACAGAATCTAATAGAGTTATATGCGGCTATACTAATATATTACGAATGATTCCATTATTTATAGTTGATCTGAAATATTTTCATCGATCCAAAGCGGACGGTTCTTGGTTTCGCGTGCCACAAGTACCACCGGCTAATATTAAGAAGAAAAACGAGATACCAGAAATCATTCCAAAGAAGTATTTACGGAAAGTCTTGGATCTAATCAATGACCACGAACGACGATACAATCAATATCAAATACGATCACTATCCCTATAAAAGGGTTAATAAAGTACGCGTACGAGTGTCTTTTCAAATGATTGTGAAAAGTAATAAATTACTTCATAGTTTGTCAGACACCATTGTAAAAGATTTTAACTATGCCAGTGCGGTACCTCTCATATTATAGAATTTTCTGACTTGATTAGTGCACACAATTAAATATGATTTCGTTTGCAATCTACTTGCACATTTCTTCTCTGTTAGTGTTACAGTACTAACTCATGCAAAAATATATCAATATCTCGAAGTTATATATGATCTTAACGCTCGATAGTCCAAAATATCCTGACGTACCTTGGCATGTCGAAGGAATGGAAAAGGAACATATTGTTGAATCAGAAATCTATTACTATTCGAGTTCAAATCTAACTCGATCTGATCTACAGGTTCGAACAGCTATCTATGAAGCTGATTATTAACAAGATGATCATCCGAGGTGTCGCAGCAGTATATGGCTTGCAGAATGAAGGACCACTAAATCAATCGTTAGGTTCCGTAATCACGCAAGAAAATCGTCGTATTGCGTTTCCAAATATATACTAACATCTTGTTGTCCCATTCGAATTAAAAGATCGAATGGCAAATCAGTGTTCGAAAGATCTTAATCTTTTCTCTTGTGGACTCATCCCTTCGAAATATATCGAATGCACATGTCCTGTCCGAACAGAGTGAATAGTACTACGATGTCATTCGTAATATCAGTCCTTTTAAGGAATTACCGGCGTTATTTATCGAGAGAATTTTGCATTATGTTCAATTTTTAGGGACATGGGATGAAGCGAAAGAACACCGCGAAAAACTAATGGCTGGAAGGAAATACTTCATTTTAGAAAATAATAAACTATCATTCGAAAGACCATTTTCACTATGTGAACATTGAATGTGTGTAAAATTTCTTTCTTCAGTATGTAACATTCGTAACTTTTCTTTTTATTTATATAGTAAAATAAACTATAGGCTCCATCATACTTTCATCTAAATTAATCAGTTTTCTGTTACATGAGTATATAGATTCGTGCAAATACGGATACGATGACTAATCTCTTTCATTTGCGTCTCATTGTAAGTAAATCTGCAAAGCCGATGGACGCAATACTTGAGCATGTGCGATGCTAACAGGTCGTTTTATTCGATTGTTACAGAAAAACTGCTGTCTTCATTTCTTGGATAAAACTTCATACGTTGTTCAATTCAAACGAGGATTCGTATCGGCGCCGTTGTCGAGTTTGATAAATTTGTTGATGATAAAGGTATTGTTGTCGACATCGTCGAATCAATCGACCTACTTCGATTCGAAATGCACGTCCCGATAAACAGTAGACATAAAAGTTCAACGAACAGTTCATTAGAACTGCCAGTAACACCCACCACGATTCATGTGCTTCACTCGCTTTTATATGTCCGATAATATGCGATAGAAGTGAAAAGAGAAAGAGGAATGAATGAACAACGAGAACAATATTCATCCATGATCGTGCTCCAAACTGTTTTATATCTGCCCGATGCGTAATTCGCTTCGACAAATGATAATTTGTTCGAAGAAGATGGTGAATAATAATACTATTGAACAGAATAATCACACCTGTTGGAATCAGTTCCGAAAACAAACAACGGACAGTGAAATGATTGAATCCTAGATGAAGTTCCTGGAAATATCGCTGCCAGCGGAGAGAAGCATTTGGATGAACTTCACACACAACTACCGTTGTATTCGAAGACAATGTGTGGTGACTAAAATAAAATTGAATAAAAATGAAAAAAGAAGAACGTCATTCTATTCCATACATTGATAGCTGTGGTTCAAACATGAGTAAAGGAGGTGCAATAACACAGAGCAATATGAAAATTATCATTCCAAGTGGGAGAATAAATTTAATTTGATATGAATTACACGGAGCAAATAATGTCCGTAGTCGAATTGAAATACACATCAATCGTTCAAACATCCAGAATAATGTATTCCAAGACGAGAGAACTCGAAAAGAGAAGGAAAACTCATATAATTTGCAAGCTGTCGAATATCCTCCGACTAATTTATGCAGACGATGTCGTGTCGATGAATGAAGAATAGCCGAGTATCGAAAGACGCAGAGAAGATTCGTGATTGAACTACACGTTGCTAAAAACGCATATGTTGATGATACTCTCCAAGAACGACGAGATGAAGAGAAAATAAAGAGTCCTAGTACGTTTCCAATGATACCGAAACAAACTAAGATATAGCATAGTATGTTAAGTATTCGTGTTTGTAATGATGAGGAAGGTGATTCCTGAGAGAGTAATGACATGTGTTTAAAGTATAACATGATTAACAATGCTCTTTGTCCTCTGAAATTGACACTACGATTGTGAACTTGAAGATGATATGTTTCTAGAAGAAATGAGATGAATGAGGAGAGAAATCCAGTACTACTCTGCGATAAACACGTTTCTTCACCAGTTCAAGAGTGTTAAGAGAAAATTCTATTATGCAAACTGAATGTATGTTTTTCTTATCTCTTTATTAATAAAAATGTCTTGTCTTCCAATTCTATTACGCGCAATTATTGTACTCTTGTAGATTATAGATTCTAAATAAAATATATCACGTTGAAATATAATTATTCTTTATATTTCGTGTAGAACCTTGTTTCAGAATGCACTAGTCCCAGATACAAAAAAAAACAACGAAGACCGTGGGTGAAAAAGTATACCATTGTCTCGCAATCGTCATTCGCAGATATAATAGATACTTTGTCCTCTTCAGAGATGGTCATCTCACCAATGGATTGATCGATTTCTATTCTATGTAGCGTCATTCAAATGACTCACATATTTCGTGACAAAACGTCCGAAAAGATATTCTGATTAATAGGAAGACAGAAAAGGGCACGTTTGTCATAGCTGTTTTCTGTGTTTGAATGGAACAAACGAAAAAAAAAATGAGAAGGAGAAGCCATAGAACAAACAAATTGCTGTTCTTTTGCTTTCTCTTCAAAACATATTTATTACCTTTCTTTTCAAGGATCATTCGTCACCTCATTTTGCACTGTTTTAGGAAGTCGTGTCACAAAATTCGCTTCTCTGACTTATTCACTCGCCATTGACTAGTTCTTTCTAGAAAATTTGCAACGATATCGTTGTAATTATGGATCATCTGGAAATTGTCTATGGTATTAATCAACGGATTAAAGCACTACAAGAAAAAATTGAAAAGCTACGACAGAAAAGTTCCCAAAAGGGTAAAGGAATCGACGCTGATGCTGAACGTAGTATTGGCGATTTAAATATCAAAATTAATGAACTAATATTGGAACGTACTCGAGAACTGAAAAGAGTTCGATGGAGTGAGAAACGAAAGCCGCGAGTAAAACCAACGTCAAAACCAGCTGACAAGATTGACTCGGCCACTGTACCAGAAGCAGTTAATACTGACCGAACTCCTACACCTATTCCAGTGGCTATTCAGTCTGTTCTTGTACCATCTACACTGAAAGTGTCTGACATGGACGTTGGAACAGATTCTACGACGCTAACGATGGTTCCTACTTGGTTCCAAACGGACAGTAAGGAAGATGCTTTAGATGGCATCGTCTACCCAGAAGGTGCAGGTGATCGCGAACAGTTCGTAACAGTAGCACGTTTTCGAGCAGTGCGCGGACAATCAAAAGATTTTACTCTTCATCCGATCGATATAAGTGAAAAATCGACAGAAACTCTTATACTTTCGCTTGATGCTTTTGCCCGACAGTTTGGTGGACAATTAAGTTTTACGAATCGAGATTTAACATTTGAGAATAGTGCTGAAAATGCCGCTTGTGGCGTGCCGAATCTAGGCAGTGCTCATCTACTTGCTAATGATGGTGTACCTACAGCAAACTTTTCATTCATTGTCGAACTTGACTATGAAACGGAACTTGCATTTTCAGAACAAACACTGGAAACTTTTATAATTAATTTCACTGTTGCTATTGCACAAGTGCTCGGATGTAAAAAAGACTATGTTCGTGTGTTCTCCATTGAAAAGGTAGACGGACAACCTGGTCTAGTACGAGTCAATTTTGGTTTGACAACAGCCAATCAAGAGGACACAGAATCTTTGGCTATACAATTACAAGTAAGCTATAATGAGAATGTCTTCTATCTATTACGATTGCTTTTAGGACAAGGCCAAAAAAGGCTTCGGTGATAATGAAGTTCTACAAGTTGTTCAATTAGGCGATTACGATTACAAGTGGAAATCCGTACTATCTTACTTAGAACTTAGAGTGTCTGATTTTGATCCACGTTTCAATTTTGATTATGCACAGCCTGATTTACCTTATGAACAAGAACGTGGCAGTTATCCGTATTTCTTACCTCTCGGCTGGTATCGTCACGCACTGAATGTTAGTCAGAAATATTCAGATGGAACTGTTTGGTTAGATCATAAAAACAGTGCTGGTGAATGGCCAGTTGCTTTCCATGGCACTCATTTGGGTGCAGTTGGAAATATTACACGACATGGCTTATCAACTGATGGAGTCAAACGTGATCTGATGTTAGAAGAAGCTGTTCAACAGATAGGACCGTCAATGAACAAACCAGGGCTATATTTGGCCACTCATTGTAATGGAGGATCGGATGCATATGCAACAACATTTCCAGTGCAAAATGGTAATATCACTGAGATTTTTCAAATTGTATTTCAATGTCGAGTCAAGCCTGATTCGTTTACAGTGCACACATGCTGCATCGTTGAAGGTCATGGATGGCGAGTGGTCGATCCGACAGCTGTTCGACCATATGGTTTATTACTAAGAAAAATAGAAACATGAGTGGAGAAATGAAAATTTTGTTTGATTACCATAACTTCTCTTATTATCCAACTATGAAAATAAGATTTTATACAAACAATAAACATGTCAAAATTTATACGCGTTAAAAAATTTCATTCCAGAAAAGTTTCAATAGAGCATTTCTTATTCAATTAGCTTGATGAATCTGAATCTGTTCGATCCTAAGCCATTGCTATATCCTTAAACAAAACGAAAAGCAAAGACTAATAATAATAATATTTCGTTTCATTGTCGAATGTCAATGAAACAAACATGTACCTTTTACGAGTAAAATTAAGACCTATCATTTATCATCTGACCTTCGTAGAGTTATTCCCATTTAATAGAAATATCATGTGTTCTGAAACGATGATTTATTTGTAATTTGACATGCACAGAATTTTTAAAAATAAGATAATCGTTGTGAAATAGATGAAAATAGAAATAGTACACCGTGACATAAACGGATTCTTTTAACAGCATAACGCACCTTTGATTTGATAATTTTCGTTTCTTTAATCGCAATCGATTACCTGGAATATATTGAAATTTGATCCTTCCAAAAAACAGAGCAGAGAGAAGTTGCATGTCACTGTGACTGTGTTAAATCTTCCTTTTCATGCAGATCATTTACACCTATTAAACAATCCATCCTAACTATCGAATTCGTTCTACGCAATGTCGCATATGAATCCTATTTTAACCCAAGGTGATGGATATGGAATTATTGTGGTTTTCGGTGCCTTATTTGCTTTAGGTATGGTTGCAGCAACTTACATATTGAAACGTTATCATGGTAAAGCAACGGATTCCAGTGAAAACTTTTCGACGGTTAATCGAACAGTTAAAACAGGTCTAATCGCCTCGGCTATTGTTTCCGCATGGATATGGGCAGCCACGTTACTACAATCAAGTTCCATTGCTTATTCCTATGGTATATACGGTCCATTTTGGTATGCAAGTGGGGCGACAGTACAAATTGTTTTATTTTGTATTATTGCTATTGAATTAAAACGACGTGCTCCATTGGCACACACATTTCTAGAAGTTATTCATGCTCGATATGGCCAAATGGTTCATCTGGTATCTATTGTCTTCTGTATTTGCACGAATATTCTTGTTACAGCCATGTTATTAACAGGAGGTTCGGCTGTAGTTCAATCATTGAGTGGAATGCATGTTTCCTTCTGCCACTAGGAACGATTGTTTATACAATGTTCGGCAGAATAAAAGCTACGTTTCTGACTGATTACGTTCATACAGTAGCTGTTCTCATTATTATTCTATTTTTCACATTTGTTACATTTACAACATCACCACTACTTGGTTCAACATCTAAAGTATATGATTTACTTGTAAATGCTAGTTGGTCGCATCCTATTGAAGGTAATACCGATGGATTCTATTTAACAATGCGTTCTTCTGAAGGTGCTATATTTTTTATCATCAATATTACCGGAAACTTCGGTACTGTTTTTCTCGATGACGGATAATTATAATAAGGCTATTGCAGCGTCGCCAGTTTCGGCTCTGCCAGGTTATATACTTGGCGGATTATCTTGGTTCGCGGTGCCATTTCTCTGTGCGACAACAATGGGATTAGCTGCGGCGGCGTTGGAGAGTAATCTAAAAGCAAGTGGCAAGAAGCTTATTTACATTTCCCATGTGTCCGTCGTCACATTTGGTCTAATTATGAGTGCAGTAGCTAGTGGATTATATTATATCAATATTGATTTAGGTTATTTATATTTATTTATGGGTGTTATTATCTCTAGTGCAGTCGTACCAGGTGCTTTGACTTTACTTTGGAATCGACAAAGTAAATGGGCTGCTTGTCTTTCTCCGGTATTCGGTGTGATTTGCTCTATAACTGCGTGGTTGATTGTAACTAAAGTCAAGTTTGGAACGCTCACTGTTCATACTACCGGTTCTAATACTTTTATGTTGGTAGGCAATATTGTGGCTCTGTGTAGTTCAGTATTGTTTGTCTCAATTCTTTCGTTTATTGCACCGGATAAAGAAGTTTATAATTTCAACTCAATGAAAGAAATAAAACGAGATGATGAAGAACCTCAAAACCTTCCGATTGTAAGTTCTGATGATTTAGCACGTGAACTGGCTCTACTAACGTGCCACTCAAAAGTTGCACGAATTACCGCTGCCCTACTCAGATTATGTCTCATTATTCTTTGGCCATGACCTATGTATGGAACAGGATATGTTTTTAGTAGACCTTTCTTCACCGGTTGGATCATCATTGAAATTATTTGGATGTTTATCTCATTTATTATTGTTGGAATTTATCCGATTGTTGAAGGTCGCCATTCGGTTGCATCAGTTAGCAAAAAAAGTATACAATCACATTATGTACAATCATCGATCAAGTGACAGTGGCAAGATACCAACTAATCTCGATTCGAAAATGACTGTAGAAAATACGGGCATTAACAATCGTGAATTTTCTTTTCAGATATCGTAATTAGATAGTTTTTCTAAAATAAATATAGTTATGTAGGAACATATGCACTGTTGTCACAAATTTCAAGTGGTACAGTTTCAAACGACAGGCATCAGATGTCGTTATTCTTATAAGGAGAAAGACATGTGACTGCGATTGGCTGTTTCGTAGTTTATCGAATAGAAAGAAAGAAAAACAATAATACATGTATTAATTGATATTTTGTTCCTAAAATCAACAGAAGGCCATGATGATACTAGAATCGTTACCGAATGAAATTCTTCTTACCGTTTTCGATTATTTATCTGGCGTCGACCTTCTGCAAGCATTCTGTAATCTCAACTATCGCTTTAACAATCTTCTTCACAATCAATATCAAAGGTACTCTTTCGACTTCAGATCGGTATCAAAGTATACTTTTACTACGATTTGTCAACAATGTCTACCTTCCATCACAAATGAAATTATCAGTCTACATTTGAATAACGACGGGACTACTCCTGGTCAAATCGATCTCTTTTCATCGTACTTACCACCACTTACGCATTTCAAATATTTACGATCACTTTCATTCCATTCCATTCATTCATATCAATTGCTGATGAATATTATAGATCAATGTCACAATCTTCTTCATATTGGTCATCTGAAATTTATTTCATGTGATATTAAAAATTGTGACAATAATGGTCAATTGATTATCGATAATATTTGGAATCTATCTAATCTGACTCATTGCGTATATGGTATCTCAATCCCAACTGAACCTATTGGCTTATGTCTTCCTCGAGTAATCTCCACGTCGATGCGATACCTATCGATTCCTCATGATCATAATCGAATCAAGTTGAGTCAGCTGCATGACTTCTTTGAGCATACACCACATCTTAGATATCTATCGATACGAATTGTACTTCGTGATAGTGACGATCGTCTACCGTTAACATACCCAAAACTTTGCACCCTGGATGTCAATATAACTAATATTTGTACTGATTTACGAGTACAATCGTTGTTGCTAAGGTTCCCAAATTTACGTCGATTAATCATTTCTTTATCGTGGATGTCAATTGGCGGAGACCAATGGAAAAATATCATTACTAATCACTTGCCTAACCTAAAAGTGTTTCAACTTCAAATGAATCAGACGTTTCTATCGAGTCAAGGTATCAATGAAAAGGCGGATGTGTTATTTCAATCGTTTCAAAGTCCATTTTGGATGAATGAACGTCGATGGTTCGTCCGATGTTTGACATTTGATAAAATAATTCTATTGTACACTCCGTCCTTCCGAACATACACAAATGTTATATCAACATTACCCGATTCGTTCCGATCGACATGTCCGTGCGATGATCAACGGGTGTTCTACGAGAACGTAAAGCAGATCTTCAACTATTCGTTATTTGATAAAATCCTTTCGCCTGATTGTCGTTTGTCTAACATTGAAAGGCTTAGTGTGAAAATGCCTATCAATGATCGATTTTGGTCCGTTGTGCCAAGTTTAGAGCGACTGACATATCTGATCGTTGTATGTTACGCTGATATTCATTATGATCAATTACAGATGGTTTGCAATCGATCTCCTAATCTCCATTCGCTGCGGATTCATCAAGATGATGTGTTGCCTGCTCAGATGTCATTGTTTCAATGCGAAAATCTATCGCTGAAAACGATTCACTTGAAGCCTCATTGGCGAAAGTTCAACAAGTATCTCAATCGAAACGAGTGTCTCCTAGTGTCTTCTTCGAAAATAGTTGCGCAATGTGAAGAAATGTCACTTTGTGTCATGGAACGTGAAAGTATTGCTGATCTGATTTGCAGTATGTCTCATTTAAAGGCATTGACAATCGAATGTAAAGATGATGAGTATTTTGCCGGTACTTCCAAATCGACATCAAATGATAAACTTCTAATTTGGCTGAATGATCATTTACCATCAACATGTATGATAACAAGGGATCTCAAAACTGAGTCAAGCATTCGGGTGTGGATAGGCTAGTGACTGTGATTCGTTTTACGAATATTTGCATTAACTGGCTTTGGAATTCAATTGTAAGCGATTGCCATGGCATTTCTCTTAGTGATAGATTAAACAAAACGTGATTTCGGCATTTTTTTCGATTGAGAAAAAGTTGTATCAATCAATAGAAGAATGTATTCGATGATCCTTGTTGATATTTGGATAAGTCGATGAAGAACACGTTTTCCACAAAAGAAAATACAACTCTTTTTAGGGTGAAAACTATTTGAGTTCTAGATGGTTTTCTTCGAACAACTTTGGTATGTTGTTAGATACGGAGTGAGCATTCCAAGCCTTTCTGAACTATTTTTACTATTTTCTCATGCTGAGGAAGAATGGCCGTATTTCCAGTGAAAGTATGTTAGAGAAGCTCGAGACATTTATCGGACATTCCGTTGTATTTGAAAAAGTCTATCAGAACTTCAATGATTTTTTCCGGAAGGATAATACTTTTTTTCGTGAAGTGTTCTCTAAAGGAAGTCACGTGTTTCTACTGCAAACAGTTGAAAGTAACAGATTCATTCATAACTGAATATCGAGATCATGCAATTGACGAATGATTAAGCGAGTTCTTTGCATGAATACTACTTGATTTTCTAAAATAAAGGACAAAGAGTAAAAGATTTATTTCACCTTCTTACATCCATTATAAAATAATCGATTTTTTATTCTTTTAAAATCGAAAATTCTATTGCCGGTCTTATGATGGTATATTTATTCTTTTGACATCCACTCAAAAGAAAAGTGTTTGATCAAGTCACATTTTTTTCACTCGACAATCTTGTTATTAACCCCTTATTAGATTTAGATAATATAGGTAAAATAGCTCATTTTTACTATGCACGATCCATAGAAAAGGAGTGCAGTACATATCAACAGTATCATTCATCAACACGGAAATAGCTTCTGCGTTGTCTAATTTTAGCTTTTTGTAATCTTTCTTATTCCATCAGTCTGTACAGTATCTTCAATCTCTATTATTTTCTCAGTGATCGAAAACTTCGTATAAGTCTCCACAATTATTCTTTCTCTCGGTCTTGTCTATATGTTTATAGATGTCATCTGATTTATTTATTTTTATCGTATGAGCTCCTTATTGGAATCATCACCTGCATTTTGTCTCATATGAACATTTGTATATATGACTCTCTCGGCCTCAATAACATTTCTAACGACTTGGGCATCAATTGAACGATATATTCTCATTTTTCATCCCAATCTCATTCCAGCATCAGTCAAACTTTGGTTTTTCATCTTGAGGGTGGGTGTGTGAGCAACTCTGGTAATATTAATATTCTTCAAACATTTCCATTCTGAAAATAAAGAATTCATTTAAATATAAGGACAAACGATGTTTCCAGAAAATACACAACGGTGATCTGAGATCTGAAAAAGACTGTATGTCACAAACCTCAGATCGTTAGTTATTTGAACTTGTTCTACCCTCTATACTCAATTGTGTATGAAAAGTGAGATAAGAATTATGATACTCGGCATCCGGAATAAGTAAAATATAAACTTGCCATTCTGTCGTAAGTATGACTATCAGTGGACAAGAAATCTTTTCTCGCTCATTAACGTGGGAGTATGTAAAGAGTAGAAAACTATTGATAAACACACTTAAACTATACTTTACAAATCATAATTAGTCGTACGTTTCGCAATATTCGTCGATAGATTAGCTGTTATATTTATTGTTGTCGCGAATGTATCGAATGATACTGTAGATGCATATGATGACTGATGTCTTTTACTATCACAATTACTGGAACCACCACAATTACACCGACACTGATCTACAGTGTACGTTTCTTTGCGATATGGTTTCACCTCTAAAATGAAGTACTTTGATCAGTTGTCTGTTACAGGAAGTAGCCAGGAGAAATATACAATTTCGTTGATAACGATATATCTGATTGATTTGTGCTCAGATGCGTTCTAAGAAATACGAATCAAATAAAGAGAAATAATCCTCAAGTCTGTATAAAATTGGCAAGCGGTATTCATCCTTAGCGTACTCTTTATGATTTTTCAATAAGATATACTTTTAAATATAAATATGGAACAAACATTACTAGAAAAACTATTTGCTCGACAGCGAACGGAAAACGGCGTTTATGAGTTATTTTATAATAATATGATGTTGTCGCTTATTCTCACTAGCATCGAGCCATAACATGGGCAATTGCACTTAGTGACATATCGGAAATTTAGTGGGCAACCTAGTGATCTCCTCATAACAGTCACAAAACCTATTCACTGTGATCAACGACGTTTTCCTGGACTATGTAACATCAGTCTCAAAAAGAAGGTTGATTCCAAGTATTAACATTTTCATGGGAAGAGTTTATATGAACGATTTCGAAGTAATAGTTAAATCAAAAAGGATAAATGAAACTCATCTTAAAAATAGCCGGCTATTTTTGTATTGAATACAAACTATTAAACATTCCTTCGTAGCTGGCAATGCCACGCCATGCAAATTTTAGATTCATCCGTATTGTATTGTTCATTATGTGATAGTCTTTAGAAATTGCAAAACGAAAAACAATGAGATGTCGTTGTTGCGAGATGTAGAGGCATGTCTTGATGATTCATAAGAATTGCTAGAAAAACATTCATACAGTTGCACTGACTATTTTTTGTTTTGTTCTTACTCAACATAAAATATGACCACTTTCGAATCGTTGCCAAATGAAATCGTGCTATCTATATTTTATTATCTTAACAGCTTCGATATATTTCGTGCATTCTATGCACTCAATTTTCGTTTCAACCAACTCCTTTACAATCAACACGATGCCCATTGTATTATCTTCGATTCCGTGTCAAAACGTTCGTTTGATATGGTTTGTCAACGATATCTTCCATTCATGACTGATCGAGTTGTATCTCTACATCTCAATAATGAAGGAAGTACTCCTGGGCAAATTGATCTTTTTCGACTATACATACCGTCATTGACTTCATTTACTCATCTACGATCACTTACATTTCGTTTTATTCATTCGTCTGAAATGTTAATGGACGTTGTCAACGAATGCCATCAACTTCCTCATCTTCTTCTTTTGAGATTCTACTGTTGTCGATTGAAAGACAATCAAACAAATATGCAATGGATTGCTGATAATATATGGAGTTTACCAATGCTGACTCACTGTACTTTTGATATTCATATTGGCGGACAGCGCTCTTTTTGTCTGCCGAAAGTCGTCTCATCATCTATAGAATATCTCTATATGTGCATTGAAAATCGTGTAGAAGCAAATCAAATTCGTCGGTTGATTGAACGAACACCTTGTCTCAGACATCTGTCGGCTTACGTCGATTTCACTCTAGATGACAATCGTGCGTTACCCTCATGTTCGATCATGACTGATTTAGACATGATCATTAGCATATCTCCCACAATCGAACAAATGAACCGTTTCACACGAAGTTTCTCAAATTTACATCGGCTGAATGTCTATATGTGGTTCACCATCATTGATGGACATCAATGGGAAGAGATGATCAGCAATTATTTACCCAATCTTCAAGTGCTTGGACTAAAGATGAGAAATATGCACGATGAGAACGGTAACATGGAAGAAAAAGCTGATGAATTGATTAGTTCGTTTCAAAGTTCATTTTGGATTTATACACACCAGTGGTATGTTCGATGCATCATATTCAATCATACGATCTTTCTTCATACCTTACAGAATATATCTCTCAGTTGGAATGAGATCATTCCTGGTTCATTCAAATCGACTTATCCGCAAGACAACCTACAGAAACTCTATGATTCGATCACTGACATATACACAAAAACTATTATTATCTCCATGTCAGCGTCCGCCAATGTTCGTTTGTATAACATCAAGAATCTCAATGTAGGATTGCCGATTTATGATCAATTTTGGTCTTTTGTTCCGAGTCTATGTCGATTGAAATCGTTAAGCATATCATCTTATTCAGATAGATACCAAAATGATCTACAAATTCTATTTGATCGAGCTCCCAATCTATATTATCTAAACGTTTATCAAGATAAACCATCACCGTCATACATTTCGCTATTTAAATGTAAATCTCCGTCAATTCGTCATGTTTGCCTTCGATATTATGTTCGCAAATGCAATTATTTTTTTACGAAAGATGACTGTCGAGTATTGTGTCATTCATCATTGGGTAATCAATGTGAAAAACTGACAATGTGTATCAGGAATCGTGACGATGTTATGTATTTAGCTGAAAACTTGACGAGTATTTTCTTTCTTGAAATCGAATGTGGAGATGATAAGCATTCTCCAACGTCAACGTTGGAGAGAAACAACGATGCATTTGTTCGTTGGTTAAAAGAACGTTTATCTTCGAAAACTCTAATTACACGAGATCCGAGTCTTGGCCGAACTGTACGATTATGGATGTAACTCACTCATTTGGTTTGAACGAACGTGATGAAGTAGATTCGATATTTTAGCGTTATAAAATTGTGTTTAAAAGAATCTTTTTTAAAAAGTCATACCATCAAGATGGAAGTGGCATATTTTTAATATACTTGTTCTACTATTATTCAACGAATAAATATGGTAATGAAAAAGTGAGCGTGAGAAAGACTTCTACATTTGTTTATTGTGTAGAAGTCAATGCATAATACTTTTTTTCGAAGATTGTAACATTTGTATTAATTTTATCAACTGGATATTTTTGTTTGACGGACTGAACTTGTGTTCTTTGCACTGAAAATAGGAATAAGCATTCGGTTCGGATTTATATGATGTAATAAAAATAATCTCTAAATCTTTTTTGCTTATCCGATATGGTTGCAGAGGAGCAATCGTTATTCTAAAGTCATTAAAAAATTATGGTTGATATTAAATAGAAACTGATAATGTTCTTCATTCGTTTTCTTCGACAAATACGTAGACAATTTAGCAATATTTTATAAATCTCCAAAGAACAGTGGAAAATTTTGTCTGTCTGTACTGGATTGCATTCTTTTGTATTCTAGCTGTTAAAATTGGCAATGCACGCCACGCATAGACATTGGCAAAGGAGGGCACATAAACCTTCCGCACAAGAGTCTAAACACGCTGCGCAGCACACGTTACAGCATATGTCTTCCTCTTCAGTATCATTGTTTGCAGTCTTATTGGGAATAACTAACCGCGTGGTCTCGTTGTATGAATTATCGAATGCGTCTCCAGAAGTGGAACTTCGAGGTTGTCTCGTATAATAATAATTGGCATGCGTTTGGTTGGACGACATATATATTTTTCCGAATGTGCTGCTACGAGAATAGTGTGTGCTTATTAATATCTCTTCTTGACAATGTTGATAAGGTCATATCTACTATACTGGTCCTTATCGACATATTTTGCCAACAACATCAAAATCATGAGTACTGTTTCGAACTTTTGTTTTCTGTACGCTATAAACATCTAAGCTGCAAATGCTCAAACAGGGAATTTGTCAAATGAACTTTACCTCGTCACTTCCTAGTATTAGTGGAAAAAGCACGACATTCGGTGTCCCTAATGAACAAGAGTTGAAAATAGTCATGACTGAGACAAAGATTTTTATTTATTTTGAGTCAAGGTAAACTTTGTTCGTTATGTATATAGAGACATCAGCGGCCTCTTTCATCATATGGAAAACGTACTCTTCTTATATGTTGTCGGAAAGTGTAAAAGAATATATTCTTCGGAACGCATAACATCATTATTATTGGCGAAGAAACATAAAAAAATATATTTCCATGTGACAAAATTTGCGAAGAAAGAAGAAAAAAGGCAAAATTTATGATCAACAAACACAGTAGAACATAATGAAACAGTTTATTTATTTTTCATGTCGCGAATAGTCAATGAATCGACTATTGCCATTGAAGATCTGGTATGTCCCATAACACTTGAAGTTTTTCGTGATCCAGTCGTTGCACAGGATGGTCATGCTTACGAACGAGAAGCAATCACGAAATGGATACTTGAACATGGCACGAGTCCATTAACTCGAGAACCATTAGAGATTGATCTTTTGCAAGCGGATGAACGTCTGCGGCAGCTCTGTCAACAACGGCGAAATTCCACAGTTTCTTATAATGCACGTAGTCAAACCATCACTTTACCACCGAGCCACAAGGAGCCGAAAGTTCAAAGTGAAAACTCGAATATAATCAGAAAAATTCGTTCATCAAAATACTTCTGTCGAATTCTTCTTTTTATAATCTGTTTTTGTGTAATCTGCGTTTTGGTAACGATTGGGATTGTGTTTGGTGTAAAAAATGCTAGTAAAGGTAAAAAGAAATATCCTCTAAGTACAAATGAGTATGAGAGAGAACACCGTCGTACTTGTATTTACGTCACATCCGACGGTTCCTTATGTTTATTTTTTTAGGTTCTTCACCAATGCAAATCACATCTCAATATTCTAGTTCATTAAAACCAAATGATTCACAATTTAGTCGACATTTCGGTACGAAAAACAAAGCTTATTATTATAAAGCAGTTTTACTAAATGCATCCTTTTCTGGTTCTTACCAAGTGAAAAGTATTAGTAAAATAGACCTCTATGGATATTTATACTCGGGATATTTTGTGTCTAAAATGCCATCAGTTAATCTACTTCAATATGATGATGATAGTGGTGGAAATCAGCAATTTCTTTTTGATGCTTGGTTGACACCGGATAATTATACACTAGTGGTCACAACATATAGCGGAAATGTCACGGGACCGTTTTCGCTTGCAATCACTGGTCCAGGAACTGTTGTTTTCTCCATAAGATAGCGAATATTTTCAAGGATTCTAATTTTACTGTATGAAACCCTGTTAAACAATACTTGTGATCTTGTAAAGATTCTGTTTGCTTTTTTCCAATCTAGTATATGTATTAAAGATGATAAGATCATTCTATTGAGAGAATCAGCATATTCGAAATCTCAAATACAAGTTTCTTTTCGTTTTATTCATTCGTTCTCCTTTCGTAACTGCTTCGTATTCTATGTTTTAGGAAAATGTAAACTTTAATAACAATTACAAAGATGAGTCATCATCATTCGCTATGTTATTTTGAAAAATCTCGACGTGAAGAATGGATACTTGTGTATAGTATTCACAAGCGCATGTGCGTCACAAAGATATTTTTAAATTTCTCAGATATTTATATTCAATTCAAGTTTTCCTCTTTGCCAATTATTGCGAAAAAATAATGCACATTCACTGTGTGATCCACGCGCCTATACAAAACTCGGCCAACTTACAAAATCAAGAAAAAGTATTCGCGGGTAGATCTTCTAGCAACTTGATTGTGCTCTTTATTCTAATAATATGACTATAGCAGACGTTACCTGTCATTTTTGTCAATGAACAATCAATATATGTCTTGATTAATTGACAGTGAGACGTAAAAAAATAAAACGCTAAACTTCAATCCACCAACAGTCATTCGAATCAAAGATGATACAAATTTAAAGCGTATAATTTGTCACGTCTATTATCAGAAATTGAATTACAATCAGATTTATTCGCTATGTGATTAATCTCACACACTAGAGTGAATATAAGACAGAGATTGTTCTTTTTCAGGAACCGAACCGATTAGCCATTTGTCAGTGAGTAATTCTCGAGAACTAACTGTGTTGACTGAAAACCCCATCTCTCAATGACTAGTCGCTCGTCAACCTCCCTCCGGTCGGCCACTCGCGGCTAGCCGTTACATGTACATTTTCACTCTTCCATTTAGTCTACAGTCACTTTTGAAACTAATCCATTCATTCTCTTCTATTCCCTCTTTAAAAGTCACCCTCTTTGTACTACTGTGACTCTCGAAGACAACACTTGACAAGCGAAATATTATTTTGAATGACTGGCATCAGATGATATTCGTATAGTATAGCTGTTTATATAAGTGTGTGATCTCATTAATATGCTGATGACTATGGAGATCCAGCGATCGGACGTCAGTCAGCTATTACATTTTGTTCTGCATATTGCCACTTAAAACATTATCGTCTAAAAAATTGATCCTTTGTCGCAAAAAAACGGGTCAGAAAATGTTCATGAAAAAACTAACACCAGATTCGTGATCCTCGACCCTCATTACCCTTCGGTGAACCCTTAGGCGTCAGCAATATAGATTGTTATTTCATCACTGTAAAGTGCGTGAACGGACAAACGAACGAACTTTAGCTCAGATTCTGCGTATACCCTCCTTTCAGTAGAGGGAACAAAGCCCTGTTATCAGAATGATATACAAACGAGCTCGAGAATATATTACAAAGCTTTTTCAACGATAAAGTACTGTAAAAACACTTCCCTGATATTTTAACATGGATAAGCACCAAGAGTGAATAGCGCTGATCATATTCGACAAAATAACTTGTTTTCAGACTACACTGATGGTGGGAAATGATTAATCTAACAGAACGATTTGCTGTGCTATTTTTTAATTATTCTCTCTTCACTGTGTCATTCTAGTCAATTTATAACACCGTGTTTCTTTCAAATGCACCGTAGAACTCATACATAACGGATGAATACTACTCCCTTCAAAAATGAACTACAAAAAAAAACATAAAACTTCCTCATCAACCACTCAATACATTTAGGCGCTGGAATAAAACATTAAATAGCTGTCTTATACTGAAGAATCGCTGCCATTCAGTGTACCACGCCCTGACCACTTGGCTATTATGAGAAATAACATCTGAACTGCACACGTGCTGTACCACCATCGATCCCATTCTTCTATATCTCCAGTATAGTCGCGCTGTCTACAGTAATGCTGTCTTGTCCATCATACCCACTCAGAAACAAACTCCAAACCGAGCGGAGTACTCATAAACGCATCGAACCAAGGCGCCTCTTCTACCAAACACTACTCCGTTATACCTTCGTAACTAAATCATTCATTTTGACTAATGCACATGCATTTCTTACAGAACAAAAAGCATTAACATTCAGGTCACATTCACTTCTCACAACAACTTTCATTTCTATACCTTTACTACTCATCAATGTCACGAAAACAACATAACAAATGGTATCTTCTAAGTTCTCAATCGAAAAAGATCCGATCTACGCAGTGTCATCAGATCCACGACCACTTGTTCTCCGATTGAATTTAAAGCCAGATCTATACCATCTTGGCGCTCTAAGAATGAGACAAAACAGAAATTACAAACTTCTTGGAGCACAGCATCAATCTCACTATATTCGTTCCCAATGCATCCGCAATATGTTGTGCTCCTTCAGCACCGATTTGGTTCGAACTGAGGTGAAGTGTCGTGACTGTCTGTAGGTGTGAGACAGATTGAACGCTTCATCTTCTATGAAGTGAGATCAATATTACCGTATTCGTTCGCAACGCATCCGCAATGTGTTGTGCTCCTTCATCACCGATTTCGTTCTCCTCGAGGTTAAGTGTGGTAAGTGTCTACAGGTATCAGATAGACTGAGTGCTTCATCTTGTATGAAATTAGATCAATATTACCGTATTCGTTCGCAAGGCGTCCGCAATATGTTGTGCTCCTTCAGCACAGATTTCGTTGGCACAAAGTTCTAGTGTTGTGAGTGTCTGTCGTAGTAAGACAGGCTGAGTGCTTCAGCTTCTAAGAAATGAGATCAATATTACTGCGTTCGTTCGCAGAGCATCCGCAATGTGTTGTGCTCCTTCAGCGCCGATTTGGTTCTCATCGAGGTTAAGTGTGGTGAGTGTCTGTAGGTGTGAGACAGATTGAACGCTTCATCTTCTATGAAATGAGATCAATATTACTGCGTTCGTTCGCAAAGCATCCGCAATGTGTTGTGCTCCTTCAGCACCGAGTTGGTTCGAACTGAGGTGAAGTGTGGTGAGTGTCTGTAGGTGTGAGATAGACTGAGTGGGTCATCTCTAATAAAATGACGTCAACATTACCGTATTCGTTTGCAACGCATCCGCGATGTGTTGCGCTCCTTCATCACCGATTCGGTTCCAACGGAGGTGAAGTGCGTTGAGTGTCTGTAGGTGTCATATAGAGTGAGTACTTCATCTGTAATAAGATGATGTGAACATTACCGTATTCGTTCGCAACGCATCCGCAATGTGTTGTGCTCCTTCAGCAGCGATTCGGTTGCTGGTGAGCTCTAGTGTGGTGAGTGTCTGGATTGAAGTAATATATAGTGAAAAGGGGAACTAGTAAAGAAAACCTTTGATGGCACTTCGGATGGTATGTATGTGATTTGAAATAGTTATGTGTGGGGTAGATTTTGAAGGAGGAGTTGGGTGTAAATGGGAATTCTTCGGTTGGATGATGATGCTAGTTGTTGTTCCGGAAAGAAGTGCTGTGTCGAGAATCTAGACTGGAGATTACTGTGATAGGATGGAATCGGAAAGAGTAGGACATAAGTTTGAATATGTATTGGTGGTGATGAGATTTCTCTTTTGAAGACGCGCTGCAATGACATACAAGTCCTACTCTTCTGAAATGTAGGAGCTGGACTTGATGTACCCGTGTTGAGAATGAATATCGGCATAGGTAAAGCAAGTGTACAGTGTTGTTTGCTTCAGTAGATGAATTTCCTCAAAAGTTGTAATTGATGCAATTTTTGGGTCGACTAGTGCAACGCACAAACGGTAGCGCATTAGTAAGCGTTTTGCTCGTTCATGGTCGCGTATCGTTCGAATGCATCCTCAATGTGCATAGAACAAAAGGGAAAGAATGAAGGAATGTTTAGTTTCATATGACTTCTGGCTGTGATTGTCTCATGCTAGCAAACTGTTTGTGAATCATGAAATTAGTTTAGCTTTTTCTATGAGGGAATCTACGACATCAAATACCATTAAGCTTATGTATGGCACAGTCGGCGAGAATGTTAAAATACCAAATAAACTTACTTGATATCGCTGGTAAGTACTTAGGATCTGATTGAGCCGTCGGCAGATATTTTGCATTGAAAAAAATAGCGTCGGGTCATTTTGATGATCCATAATTCGATAAACTAGTTCGACAGGTAATGTGGAAAATGTGTGCATGTTGTATTTCAATCGTGTAGCAGACCGTACCGTAGAGACTTGAAGCGATGAAAAAATATTTGGTTTTGTTCGTTATGAGTAGTAATTCATGGTGATGATATAGATATGTATATGTTTTTGACGAAAACAAATGACGTGTAATCATTTCAACTGGTATGAATTGTTGGCGTGCACAGATAGACGGCATTAGAATACGTATGCGCAAGTGAATTCTGTTTTCACAGTTACAATGGTAAATTAGAAAATTGAAAACAGGACATCTTTTATGGCTTTGGCTCCTTTGGAAACCGATTCTATTTTCATCAAACGGAATTAACATCTCTAAATTAATTTTTTTAACTAAAAATTGTAATAGAATATGAAAAACTTTACAGCTTAGATTAGAGATCTATTTTGATTATGTATATATCATGGGCAGAATTAAGTTTCAGGCAAAATTAAACTTAGTTGAAATTGGTTCATTATAAAAGGCGCAACATTGAGATGGAATAACAAACGAACCACTTAGAATGTTTGTTTTTCTGTACGTGAAAAAAAGCTTTATTGAAAAACAAGCCAAAGCTTACCATTCTTACCTTCCCTCCATCCCCTTTTTTGGTCGAGAAAATGAGTTTTACATATGATTAAGTTTCTTAATGATTATTGTATATAGTCAATTTCATTTTATTTCTTATCAGTATGGGTCAATTATACTTACCCATTCGTTATTATCTAATCTAATTATTCCTTATGATATCCGGTTTCGTGAAAATTAATTGATAAAAAAAAGAACCTTCTCTGATTAACAGTCGTGAGTTTATTAATCAAATAGAAAAAAGACAAAAAAAAAGAATTCGCGTATGTGTCGTGCGCGATAGTGTCCATGCGCGGTAGTGTCGGCGTGGTGATGTCGCCGGCGAAACTGTCGTGGAACCGTTACTTGAATAACAAAGAAAATTAATATTCCTAATAAGTTTTCATATAGCGAGGAAAGACTTGAAAAATTTATTTTGTGTCAAGTCATGAATACCATTGATGAACAAGTGCCGAGAAAGATACAGAAACAGTTTTCAACTAACTATTTATTAATAACATTGTTTTCTCTATATATATCAAAACAAAAGCGCTATAGATTTGCTCTCAAACAAGAAGTAGTTTCACTGGGAGATCATTTAAAGCTCAGTTATCTTATACTCGACAGAAATAAATATTAGAGCGCACACGGTCGTATTCATGAACATATTCTGCTACTAGCGAACAAAGATTGAAACAGCGATTCTATTTTATTAACCAGCTTATTATTGATTATTTTATTTGACATACTGCAATTCAACAATGGTATTTTTGAAAAGTAAGAGAATCATCTCGTATTCGATTATTCTATTAATTTTGCTTTTGATCTTCTGTATTGCTATACCAGTTATTATACTTTATGATCCTTTGCGAAAGACAACGTCAGGTAGGTTCACGAAGAGAAGATCTTGTTTTTTACCAACGACTTTCATATAATACCACTTATCTACTATTTTGAAGTATTTTTTGTCTTCGAATGACTCGTTTTAACAAAAGATGACAACGTCTCTGAACTAAGAATAGTAGGAAGTAGTTTATACAACCAAAGCTCTTTAGTACAAAATAATCCAGTGTGTATTGAAAACGTTCTCTCTACTTTTGTTAAATGTGATAGAATCTTTGATTCCTGTTATTATTACGGCAACTACTACCAGTACCAGTACCTCCACCAGTACCTCTACCAGTACCAGCACTAGCAGCACCTCCACCAGCACAAGTAGCAGTACTAGTAGTAGCACTACCTCCACGGATATCAGTACGGACAGTAAGTAATCAACGTGTTCACGCTTATAACAGAGTACACATGAATATTTCACAATTTAGCAACTAGTATATCATGTCCGGCCGGATATGTGCTATCAGGATTGAGTACTTGTGTTAATCTTCAAATAGATTATAACAATTGTGGATCACTAGGTAATGTATGTCCAAACAATTATGCTAGTTGTTCAGCCGGAGTATGTAGTAATGCACCTGCTGTGCAACTTTTGCACGCAATTGCTATTCCAGGATGGGACGGTAGTAGTTCAGTTGATGATGCTGTTGCGTCCTTGACTTTACCATCGAATCTGTCACTGACATTATATGGATATTCGTCATCAAAAATATATATCTCGAGTAATGGCGTAAGTAATACCTGGTCATTGTCGAATTTGAGTGCTCTTATCGGAAGGAAATCGAGTCACATGACATCAAAAATAATTCGAGTTTGTTTGTCTCTATCTCCATCTATTACATAGAAATAGTTTGATCAGCCGTTGCCTTTATTTACATTAAATATGATTTGTTAAAAGATTGAATTTCATGCTAGGTCATATGTCTTGTCAATTGTATGAGTGAACACACTAACGCAGCCTTACCAACGACTGCTTTTAAGGGTCCAACAGCTCTCGCTCTATGGGACGATTTAATGATATACAGTGGCACGTCTCAAGGTGTCTATTATCCAATTGAGGGTGGTGCACCGAATCGAACAACAACTTTTGAATTTTACACAAGTAAATTCAATGCTTCACAAAATTATTATCACTTTCAAGTAAAATTTTACGAGAACCAACCTGATATCGTTGAATATATCTACTATGAAGTGAGTGACAAAGGCGGAAGCGCAACGATTGGCACTCAAAGTAAGTCATTCTTTATGGAAAAAAAAGAACATTATCATTTTCGAAGTTTAGAGTCGATTAGTGGCCCTGATATTGAATACTCTATGAATAAACCAAACGCTGTGTGGCCAAACATGACTTTGACATTCAATACTAATACAAACACTTATTGGATAAAGAATGGTACAATAGCATAACCTATAAACAGAATTTACTGAAAAATTGACTATGAATTTCTCTCTGATCATGTCTAAACAAAATATGTAAACTGCTTTTATTTTCACTGTTTCTTCATTACACATTTGATCTGTGTATCTCTCAGCTGATGTTGGTAATCAAAATCCAATCGATTCTGAATCAAAATTCATAAAATCTGTAGAAAGACGTTACAAGATCCCAGATCAATTATTATCTGCTCTAGTAAACAGAAGGTGTTTTGTACACAATCATTTTATTATTTTCTGAATAAAACAGCAGTCCAGATCATTATGGAATCTGCTGAAAAATATCAAAAGTCCATTTTAAATTTGTTTCATTCACTCGTATAAATTTCGATTCATACTGAGAAGCGCTTAATTGATAGCGACCTGTATCACCAACGAGTACTGTCCATCGTTTTCCATATGTCGATTCTAACCATTCTTTGATATCATTAGCAATCTTATAACGTTCATTCGGACCACGTGAATCAATAGCTGATCCAATAGCTGCTAAGATATTCGTTTTCATAATACTAGTAATTCCAATCTTCTTATCGACTACTTCCCATCGAACCATTCTAATCGTTTTTACATATAAATATTGTAGACACGAATGCGCGAATGAAAGAATATGTAACTACTTTTGCTTTTTTTACGTTCGTAAATGTGTGCGAGTGATGACATAGGCGAGGAAAATTTTATTTTTGAATCAAAACAAAATGATCGTAGGTGGCACTGTCGTCATACTTTCTTTTGAAATTATTGAAAAAAAACGCACATTGAAAGTAAACTTCATTCGCGATTATGAATCACATAACAACCGAGTTAGACGGAAAGAAAGAAAACGACATGTGACATGGTGTAATCACCGATTGTACACAAAAAGTTTATGGATTTGGTCTGAAAGTATCGACATGAATAGTAAAGACACAACATCAATAAAAACCACTCTGTTGAGCAGAATCTCTGACATCTCTATTAGCTTTTACAAATTTATTTCCTTATGATTACATTATAAAATATAAAGACAGTTGTTCAAAATTACATCTGGACGCTGTCATGAAGTCAGTAGCATAAACTTTTATACTAATATTTATACGCCTATGCTTTGCATCTGGTTTGGGTAGTTTTCATCAATAGTAAAAAAAATAAAAAATTTTTAATCTTCACTCGCACATACAACAATGGCGGCAATCTCTCAGCTGTTATTCTTTTGTGTCATAGGACTTTTTTCTTTCACTGTTTTACTTTGCTTCATTTACTGTATTCCAATCATATTTGTTAAACAACTTCATTATCGAGTGCATTTTGTCACATTTAACATCTGTTTGATCATTCTATGTTTCGGTAGTATACATATCGTTTATCTGACCGTTTTATTTTATTTTACTAACATTATTTGGAGCACGTCCGCATGCAAATTAATGATATATCTACGAGTTATGATCAACTTTCAATTATCATTGGCACTAGTTATGATATCGATCTATCGTTTTTCATTTATTGTATATCATACTCAAGTATTCTTTAGAACAAAAAAATGGTTTATAATTTGTCTGTCCAGTCAATGGTTGATCGGCTTTCTTTTACCATTAGTTTCACTTTTTGCTCAAAGCAATTCAGTAAGAAAATCAACGTGAAGAACATCCTTTTCCAATCTTCTTTTTAGAAATGTATACATTCACAATGGATTTCCATCTACATCATGGTTTTCATAATTGTGATCTGCCCACTGATATCTTTGACTGCCAACCTACGTCTTTTCCTCTTTGGCCATTCTGCATCGCGTCGATTACATTCTCACAATAGTAGAAACCGTATCGCACCAATTTCAGCTATTATTTCGAATCGAACTGATCTAAGACACAGTTTAACACCTCGGATCAGTCGTCGAGATACTCACATACTGAAACATACGATTTACATGTTTCTAATGCTTGTTTTCGGCTGGGGACCCATTTATATATTATTCATTGTTATACATAGTACGACTGTTTCGACAATTCTACTTGGGTTCTTTTGTGTCTGGGCGCAAATTAGTCTCGTCTGTCTAGTGATAAATATGTTTATATTCAACACTCAGTTACGAAAATATTTAATGAAAAAGATCTTTCATTCTTAGCATGAACAAAAAAACTTTATTTTCAAAGGGAAAAAAGACAAGAATAGCTATGAATACATGTAATACGTGTTTTTTTTGCAATAAAGTTCACTTTTTATCATCAGACACGATTTTATTAATGAAAGAATCCAATGCTCGTTTCGGGCAACAACAATACTTCTTTATCGAGAACCAGCATGTCATACCATCTCCTTTGTTACTTTCAGCTGTTGAAAAACAACCATCTGGGCATGTATTACCAATAAAACAAAATGGAGCGATACCATACCATTTACACAAAGCCATCGACGGTGTTGGAGTAACAATCAAAAGAAGAATTAAAACGCAACTTAGATGGAACAACGTTGACGAAGCCATTTGAATCCGAATGACCCGGTTAGTGATATACAATAAGAAGATAGAAGAATGGCGTATCTTTCCTCTTTCACGATTAATTTATAGGCATACATGACCTACTGTTAACAATGTACTGTGCAAAGAAACAGGATAATGTTTATATTAACGCAGGATAAGCGCATCAGACAGGCAGAGAGAGAGAGAAAGAGAGAAAGAAGAAAAAAGGAAAAATAGAGGACGTGTGTGTGTCAAAGAATTACGTATTACATAGGATATGATAGAGATGTCGATGAAAAGTTCGTCCGGCGCCCTTCTAACAATATTGTTTTCTCATTTCAGCATTTATCTCGACTGTTATATCTGGCATAGGTTTGATATATTCACCAGAACACGTGCGTCGAACATGCTGTTAGGTTATTATTGATCGTTTTAGAAATCAGATCTTTGAGAAAAGAAAACAGATCGGGTATTGACATAGTTGATAATTAGCTGCGCGCTTGGTGATTGATTTGAAGCGTTTTTATATATTTATAGAAATCGTGACTCTTTCGACACAACAAACAAAAGCTTTTTATAAATTGTCCTTAAAAAAAAGAATACAACATGCCGCTTAAGTACATCAATGCAATTCGAAAATAATTGATTACACCTGGATAGCGAAACTTTTCACTTGTAAACTTCGTTTGCTTCTTGTCAAAAGCAAAAATGTACGGTATTGATTTTTTTCGAAAGAAAGATTCGTTCAAAGATAAATACCAATGAACTGATTCGTTTTCTTAACTAGTTGGAATGCCCGAGTACGCAATCATTTCTCTTAATATATTTTTATCATGCGTAGGAATTCAGTCGTACATAGCACCTTTGGAAATAAATAATTGTAAGGATGTATCGCCGTATAGATGAAAAATACGGAGAAGAAGAAGAAAAAAAATAGCAGTATTTTTTTCTTCACATGTTATTTACTTATAATACTTTGCATCAGTTACGTTTTTCTTCTCATTGACAACATATAGAATGTATTCAGACGAAGACGAGAAGAATGAATCGATAGCAAAGAAAAGCACCAAGCCGCTTGTCCCACCCAAAAGAACTTTAGGTCTTTGGAAAACATGCTGTGCTGGGATAATTATGGGCTTTGTCGCTTACAATGGATCATTCTCTATTGTTCCAGTTGTCTACACATCCTGTTCATTGATATTCGGTAGTAAATCATGGTTTACTATATTAGCGACAGCTTGTGGACAATTAACTGCTGGTTACCTTCATACGCATTCATCGAGAACCGGTATGGCGCTTAGTATACAATTTTTCCAAGGATTTTACATTTCCAAATCGGAAATGCGTAATCGACGGAAGTATAATGAAACGCGATGTCAAAGTCTTCGTCGATTTTTCATCACTCATCCGGTAAATGCGTTTGTCCTTAGTGGCATGTGGCAAACATTCACCATGTTTTATATTTTACAAACAGAATTATATCTTGCCTATTTTGACAGCGTTAATATATCCAAAGTCGGTGGTGCAAACGCTGTTTGTAGTTCTGAAGAACGTATTCTCATTATTCAAGGTCTGACACGCTATGTAGCGGGTTGTGTATCTGGCATGAGCACCGGAATGATCAATCATCTTTGGCAACGCTATCTCGCACATCGACCAGAACATCATGCCGAAAGTATTGATACAAAACAACAAAGATTAAAACTACGATGGGTTGACCGAAGAAAATTATTAAGTCCATGCAATATGGAAAACTGGATTAAAGTCTCTGTTATGTTATTTGGAGCACTGTTCATCGTTGTAAGTAATATACCCAATTCAACCGGTTTACACTTGTTAACTCTACGGCAGAAGAGAATCATAACGGATATTTTAGTTATTAATGGTGGATGGTTTTATTTTCGTGATGCTGCGATGCTATTCTTGAAAAAGGCAGAAAAACCTCCTCGCATTCCATTAAACCTAGTTGATTCGACACTTTCGGCTACGAACAGTAAACTTTTAGAAAACGGCCAGTCAGAGTGTTAATACGCAGAATTTGAATTCGGCTGATATAGATAGATTTGTATTTTTCTCTCGTCTGTTTTCGTTTTTCAGTGATTTGTTTTGTAAAACTTAACGACCGTGTATATATGAAGAGATGTATTCCTTCGTGCCATAAGAATACATTTAAATTGGATTCGACCTTTCCCTTTCTTGTTGTAGATAGAATAAAACATTTGATATGAGATCTATTATCAAAAGTCAGATCGAATAAACGACATGATACCATGGAAGACTTGTTTTTGCTTTGCACTCGAATGACTCACCGAGTATCTTTGTCAATAATAATTATCTATGACGGAAATGACTAGTGACGTCAAATGAGTCGTCTATTTCATGAAGAAAAAGTTGTCACGCTGCATCATACGAAAGACGCTTGATAAATTGGAAAAAAAGATTATATCAATAATGACTTTTGTCTAGTTTTGATTACGATTTAATGAGATCAATCATATTTTTCTGTTTTTTGTCACATATTTTGTGATGAGATATGTCATCCTACGAAATGAGATACTCATATGATTTGCACATTTTTTGCAATTAACTTTTGTGTCAGGTAGGTCATTTATTTTCTTATTTAGCACTGTGTAATGGGGACTCCCTACCTGTCTGAAATCTATACGTGACAAATTACATTTTTCTTAATTGTAAATCAACCAATTCAGTTAAGCTTTCTTCGTTAAATACCGAAAAAACTAGACAGCAAATACAATGTTAGCATCTCAATCTATACTACGTAAGTAAGACAGGCGGTGGAAATGACGAATTAAATGCAGATGATGGTAAGTCTATAAGAGAGCTTAGATTCATTTGACATGGACTCGTAGAATCGTATCGATAGTATTGATCGATTTTGGATTGGATATTAATCACTGTATTGTTACTCGCTGTAATATTTCGACTGTTACATATTGATATCAGTGGAGCTGAACTATTCGTGGAAATATAATTTCCAGTAATATAAACATTATTTCCATTGTTGGATTGCATGAGAGCTCGGCTGAAATTTCCGAAATAGAATGTCGATGATTCTATACGAATGTCATTAATAACGGGTATTAATTGTGTTGGTTCGGGTAAAATCGTAATGAAACCTTGTTGTTGTCCAATACCTTCATTACAGTGAATGTAAAGATTTTCAGCAAGAGTTACATTTCGACCCGGAAGGCCTTCATGCCAATATAGAGATGGTTGAAAAAGAATTGCCGGTCCACTTGTTTTATTAAATATCGATTGTCTAATATCAATATTTCGTGTTTCTAAAAGAACACCACGAGCTCGATTGTGTTCAACGGTAAAATTTCGTATGGTTAACGAAGCAATATCTGCAACGCAAGCAAAATCACCTGAATTTACATTGATTGAACTATTGAAAGTGAATAGTCTAGAAGTGGACGTATAGAATGTGGATGAAACGATAGTTCCTCTTTGATACTCTGTAAATGGTTGTTTATTAGGACTAAATTCTAACTGTGTACCATCTTCGATAAACAGTGGATCAGTCCAATTGAATGCCTGCAGAATCAAGGCAGTCGAGTTGATAACATTCGCAACGGATACATACGGTGTTAAAACATTTAGTCCATCATCACCTTGCATTTGACATTTACTGTCTTTTAATGAAATGAACTCTCGAGTACTGATTAAATGCATGCAATCGGAATTCGCACTTAACCATCGACCGTTCTTCGGTGCGACGTGATAGTCAGAAATCGTTAGACGACGAACTCGATTAGTTACTAAGACCATACCCCAAGCTGAATGAACATCGATTGATTGAATTGTAACATCAAATGAATTTTGTATGTAAATAGTATGAACAGATATATCATAGACAGCAACAAGCGCATCGCCTCGATGAAAATCTGTTTGCGATGCTATTGGTATACGAAGGATATCAGTAGAAACTAGACTAGTATTCGCAGAAGTCGGTGGTACTTGATAGAAATTATATGTGTGAGAACCAAAAGCAGGTCGCATTTCTATTGGATCATATCGAATAAGACCGAGCACTCGTCGATTGACATCGGCGCGATGTGATGATTGTATTTGAACATCGAGATAAGTATTAGTTGCGTTAACAACATAGCCTGCAGTAAATGGATATGGGTCAAAATCAATGGATAGTGAAGTGAGTGTTAATCCTTGACAATATTGAGCAAAGAATATAAATATTCGATCAGTACCTAACAGTAACGTTTGATCAATACCCTGTCCTAATATTGTAAAATCTGTTGCATTCGATATTTGAATGGTTGATGATAAATTGTATGTACCAGATTCGAAGACAAGTATGCTGCCTGACCCGTAACTAATAGCACTATCAACAGCGAATTGAATGTATTTTGTGTCATCAATGTTATCATTGGGATAGGCACCGAAATCAGCCACAGAAACGACCTTCCCTTGAAGTCTGATACATTGAGTAAATACAATTAACAGTAAGATACATTTCGAAACCAACTTTTCCTGCATCGGATGATGTTTGTTACCTTTTCTTTGTAACTGAAGACAAGCACAGCAGTCGTTTATATCATTATCGTCATTTAACACTCCTATCGCAAGATAACGAATACTTCACACGGAGCATTCAGCTATAAGGACTTCGTATTCATGGGAAAATGAAAAAAGTTGTAATGAATATCATACAGAGAATATTCACAACGACAGTCATATTCTATAGTTCTCGGTAAACTGAATTCTTTATTTTCGAGCACTCATGATTAGCAAGAAAAAAATGATTATAAGTTATTTTTAATATAGTCAATGCCATCTTTATATAATTGTAGATGTGGATGATTTGGTGGCAACGATTGTTGTGATAAATGTAATGCCTGTTCGTAATATTCAAGTGCTGTTGAATGATCACCGATATGAGCATAGACCATACCGATATGTCCGTACAATGGTGCGAAGTATGGATGATTCGCCGGAAGTGTTTTATGCGAAATTTCTAATGCTTTTTTATAGTATAAAAGTGCATTTAAATATTCTTTCAATGAAGAGTAGACTCCTGCAATGTTGTTATAAGAGATGGCGAACGACGGATGATTCGGTGGAAGAATTTCTTGAAAGATTTGCAATGCTTTTTCATAGTTCAATAGAGCATTTGGATAATCATTTAATTCGTCATACACGCTACCAATATTGTTATAAGAAAGAGCTAATGAATGATGATAAGGTGGGAGGATGTTCAGTTCGATTTCGAGTGCTTTCTTATGATAAATCAGTGCTTCGGAGTACGAATTTAAATTACTATACACTTCGCCAATATTCTTATAAGATGTCGCAAGATCTGGATGATTTGCTCGAAGACTTTTCAGTCGAATTTCCAGAGCTTCCTTGTGAGAAGAAAGTGCCTTCGAGTATTCATCCATTGAATTATATACTGTACCGATAAAAGAATGACACGAAGCCACCTCGGGATGATCTGGTGAGAGAACTTTCAACTTAATTTTAAGTGCTTTTTGGTGATTGAAAAGTGCGTCACTATATCTGCTTAAATTATGAAAGACTTCGCCAAAATTAATATAACACGCAGCCAGATCTAAATGATCTGGAGAAAGAGTTTTCTGATAAATTTCGAATGCTTTTTCATGATAGAAAAGCGCTTGAGAATGTTCATTCATTCTGCTATACGATGATCCGATGCTGCTGTACGAATCTGCTAGATCTATATGATGGGCAGGTAGAACCCGTTGATTAATTTCGATCGCTTTCTGATATAACTCGATTGCTTCAGAATATTTGCTTTGGTTATGATTGACTAACCCAAGTGCATGGTAAAGTCGCGCCTTTTCTTGTTCGTTATCCGTGCCATTCAATGAATATAAGAAAACATGTTCAGCTTCATCGAATTTATTTAACTTCAGCATGTAATTTCCCAATCGCTGCCATCCATGATGACTCGAGCGCGTTTCTTTTCGTATAACATCAGCTAAATTCTGTAATTGAATATTATTATCATCGGTTAGAGTTAAATGAACTTGCCATAAGTGATCGTTGGTTTCCTGAATTGGTTTAATATCTCCAATACGGAACATGGAGTGCAAAGCGAAGATGACTTTCTCTTCGTTTTGATAATAACTTGCTTCGCGAATCAGAGCGAACACAGGCGACGATGTCGACAGATTGATGGTTATTTCAAAAATAACACTAATCATATTCGAATTATCTTGAACGAAAGCAAGAGATGAAGTTCGACTTAACGTCGTCAACATAAAATTATTGAAGATAACTAGTCCACCTTGTGTATCTTTCAATTGTTCGAAATCCGAACGCGATATACCTTGTCCTCGATAGACAGTATATGTATTCGATTTATTCTCTTGATCGAACTGTTCTTTGTGTAAGTCAATGATCTGCTGTTGAAGGTCATGAATAAAGAAACTCATTTTCGTGACTAAATCCATTTCTAATGTTCGCAAAACTCGATTCAACATGGAAAATAAAAAGCAGTCCGATGTTAACCACCAAATAGGTCGATGGAGATAGTATTCTTGTTCGATTTGATCGATATTGTACATTTCAATATCATTGTCGACGAATATTTCCTGTCGGCAATATTCTAAGAAATCATGTAGATGTTGCTGATTGAAATGAAGCGACGGAAGAATTTCTTTAAGAATTTGAATGAATACAAACGAACGATCAAGTTCATCTAACGATTTGTTTTTCGTATCATCACTTGTTTTGATAAAACTTAGCGCGACATAGTTTTGATCGCAAATATCTGCTGATTGCTTCAATACTTCGCAAATTGAATTGACATTCATATAAACACCTTTGATTTTTTTCCATTCGCCAATCCATTGTTCTTGTGCGAGCACTTGCCCTGAAAAGATATAAATAGAATGCATTTGTGGCAAATTATGCACGATCGGAACAATCGTTTGGCCAAAAAGTCCGGATGCAATCAGAAATATCTTTTCATCTTCCGTGTCCGATATAAAATCAATACATGCATCAACATCGATGAATGTCTGAACACTATTGACCACTTCTCGCAATTTTGTAACAATATTGAGACAATCAGCGCTATTGACTTCGGCAAATATGTTGTCTAACCAAACGATAATGTAGTTCTGATTGATACGTGTACTTGGCATTTGAAATGTCATGAGAGAAGATTGATCGTACGATGATGTATCATAAGACTGTTGATCGACTTGACTTATCACATCCATAGTCGTCTTCGTTTTCTAACCGATCGAAATAACGTTTACCGAATGTTTACTTATAATTGGACAAAATTATTTTCATATGTTTCATTTTTTATTTCTTAGTGGTCATGCTTCGTTAATCAAATCATCGCAGCTAACGGGTTCGAATAACAAAATACGTGTCGACGCGCACATGTACGATCAAGTATCGCATGTAAACATACAGTCTCACGTTTGCTGCTTTTTTCCTGTTCGGTTATTCAGACGCGAAAAATATCTATTAAAGGCGGGCTTCATAGCAGATTCACCTGTGGTTTTTCTTATTCGTTGAGCATGTCGTTGAAGGATATGGAGTATAAAAACGACACGGTTTCGTTTTTCTCCTTTTCATCAGCAAAACTAGTAGATCACTGTCTTACTCAAATATGGAAAGTATTCCAGATGAGTTTTGCTCTATCACCGAAGATAAATGTAAATGTGTTGATAAGATGAATCATGGAACGCATCTGTTTTGAAATAAAAGATTGTTTATGAATTTAAATGATTCTCATCATCCAATATAGTATTTCAAGATATCTTTGCCGTCTTAATTCTTTCATCGATTAATCTGTACCATTTGTAGTACTCAAAGTCAAAGTTTACTTTCCAACATCACGACTATGACATATGAAAATACTCGTGTTGAAGAAATAGAATGACGCATATTCGCTGTCTTATCTCCTTCATATAAATATGTGATCTTTTATCATACAAAGCATCTTGTAGAACAGAATAAATTTGAATCTTTTTATTTTGTATTGTAGTTTATATACATTTTACCTACTATTTTCGAACAACATCATGTATGAAACATTGACAGACGAAACTACGAAGCTACTGCCTAAGAAACATGGCATCCCTGATCCCATACTTGATAATCGGTCGGATCGTGATAAACGATTTTCACAATTTCTAATCTTGTTCAGTATTTTATGTGAACGAGCTGCGTTCTATTCGCTCGTTCTTAACCTTGTCAGTAGTCTGAGTTCCGATGGATTACTCCACTGGTCGGCATCCCATAGTTCATTCGCAGCATTTCTTTTTTCCGGTCGGTACAAATCACTGATATATACTTTGCAGTAGGTTTTTTTTGTATCATTCTTTGTACGAATAGGAATTTCCAATATATCCGCCATCATTTTTGCTATCATCAGTGATGGCTTGTATCGCCGAGCAATAACAATTAGTGCCGGTAAGTTACTAAAAATGGAAGCTTCATGTTTCCTACACTTCAATATTTCACATAGGTTTTGTAATATACTTATTTGGATATGGATTTGCCATCGCGGTCACGAATCCATCGGCAAACGTATGTATACCCAGCCTGAGAAACGCAACTGTTCCTCAACCTGCGAGTTCATTAATTGACGAACCATGTGCTAGTTGGATTCTTCCAGTACTAAGTGTCATGTAAATATGTTCTATCTAGTATATTTTCTCATTTATCTCTTGTCTGAAAAGTGCTATTGGAAGTGGTGCTATACAATCAAACATGGCTGTTTTCGGTGCCGAGCAAACACAAACATCGAAAGCAACAACGAGATACTTTGATCAATATCTCGTCGCTGTCAATATTGGCGGCATCATAGGATCATTGATGGTTTCTCTTATTCAAAAAGACATTAAATCATACTTCGTTGGATACTCAGTAGCCGCCGGATTGCTTGTTTGTTCGTTTCTTCTATTCATCATTGGCTATCGATATTACCTTCATGTCGAACCGATTGATACCGTCGTTCGAACATGTTATCGATATGTGATCACTTCATTACGATTACGATGGCAAGCAAAGAAAGAAAGACGTGATTCTACATCATCTGGAGACGAAACCAATCCGAGAAATAGCGGACGATTCACCGATCGAATGGTTAATGATATCAAGTCTTTTCGACGTGCACTCCTGGTCTTCAGTCTTCTCATACCATACTTCCTTATTTATAATCAGGTATGACAGGTTTTTCCAAAGTTCGTCTTTATAATTATATACAGATAAGTTCCACGTTTCCCCTACAAGGCGAACATATGTGGAAGCCAGCTGGCGTCAGAAACATCGTCACACTGATGATACTTGCTGATCCGGTAACATTGATCAGTATGTTCACTGATTAAAAATCATTTGATTTGCATTGATAATTGTATTCTAGTCGGCTTGGTCATAATTTACTTGGTTTTCTATCGAGGCCGTGATTGGCCTCATACGGAAACAACAATTCATCGAAAATTTCTTGTTGGTATGTTTTTAGCATGTATCGCCATGTTAATTGCTGGAACTTTGGAAAAATATCGACGAGACACCTGTGATCCAAGTAAATGACTGAATCAACAAACTAGAACACAATAATTTTTCTAGAAACCGACAAATCGAGCATCTCAATATATTATCTACTAGGTCAAAACATATGCATGGGCGTTTCCGAAGTGTTTGCTATGTTAGCTAGCTTCGAATACGCTTACTTCGCAGCACCACGATCAGCCCAATCACTGTTTATGAGTTTGAGGTTTGTTTCTATCGGTATTGCATCGTTTATTGGCAGTGGATTGATCAATCTTTATCCAAATACTTCATTCAATCTGGATTTTAGCGTAAGTCTAATTGCTGTGATCGAATTGAAGCTTTGCCTAAGATTTTTCTTTTTAAGTGTCGTGCTGAAGATACAATGGACTGGGCTTTCTATTGTTATTTTTTTATCATCGCTTTTGTGCAGTTCGTGTTTTTTATTATTTTTTATGCATCTCAATCGGCATTCCATCTTATTGAAATCAGTCCGCAGCAGATAGAAAAAGGTTATTCTGCAAATTAAAATTTAAAATAATAAAAAGATTATTACCAGACTAAAATAAACAAAAATGAAAAAAGTGATAAAAAAGACTTGACGATTGGACGTTTTCCGCAGTATTATTGAAGTCCGATTAGTCTGAGCGATTTTTTCAAACGACAAAGAGTTTCGAATGTGTGTCATAGTATAATTCTGTCCAATATCAGCTATTTCTAATCGTTGTATGATAGGTGTGAAAAAGAATCCATCATTATAAGCAAGATTCGTTGGATTGACTAAGTAAATCGTTAAACTAATCAGCTGCGGAATATGTTTCAGGAATTTTTCGATTAATTTCGAGCGCAGATTAAGAATAGAATCGTTAAACGTGAAATTAAATGTAAATCGTGCATATCTAAAATTAGAAAAGTACATGTAACTCGTTTCAATCAATTCTGCTGGACCCAAAGTGAATATCACTTCTAATCGTTGAATCTTCTCTTGTAAAATTTTAACCAACGAACTATTCATCGATGGTAAAAGAGTGTGTTTCAAAACTAAATGATTCAAATTAGGTAACACTCGTAATAAAGATCCAATATCATTTTCCATATCACCTCCAGTTAAATAAACACTGGTTATCGTATGTAATGAAAGATGGGTATCAGACAAACATGATTGACCTTCAGAGTTCGACAAATCTCTTTGAACTAAAGAAGTTTCAGTCCGTCCACCATAAAGAACATTTGAATCTACGAAGTGACATTTACGAATTTTTATTGTTTGTAAATACGACATATGAATCAAATCATTTAAAACAGTTCCATCTGTTCGTTCTAAACGAACAGTTCTAATTCTATCCCAAAGTGTAGACTTTTGTTGCAGAAGCGTACTATTGGATAATTCAATTGATTCAAATCCATACAATTCATCGTATTTAAACGGCAAGGAATACAAATAATAACGATTCATGCCAAAACTCCAATGATGTTGAAAATAAAATTCTGTTCGAAATGTTGACAAAATTGAATATGGCTCATTGGATATTGCATAGTTAACAATATTGACATTTAAATGAAAGTTTTTCAATTGTCCTAGATACTGTAATAGTCGCATTTGTAGTTGTTCACCATTGGATAGTAAATTGTCGTCGGTGAATATGTGATAATCCGTAAAATTCAGTGATAGAAATAGTAATGATTGAGAAAACATGCGAATGACGCTAACTAGACGAACAAGATCTATTCGCGATATTGAATAATCGTCTGTTTTTCTTTCTTCTCGTTGTTCCATCGTGATCGATAGTTTTTCTAATTTAATTTTCATAAGATCCGAAAAATCATACTCTCTTTCATATGTATAAAGTGTTCCTAGTCGAAGTGTTAAATCTTTCAAGTTGAACGCATGCTGAATTAGATGATAAATATCTTTGAAATGATTCGTATTTATTGTTAGAGTCCGAAGATTTAAATTGGATTGTAAATTGTTGAAATGACTGTGATGGTAAAGATTAATAATCGGTTCGCAATGGAACCTTTGTAAAGTACATTGCGGGTGGAAAATCTTTGGTAAGATAAGATTAGCATTGATCGAGGATGCATTGAGAATTTTCAATGTATAAATTTGCTTGAAGCCGTTTAGATTGAACAACGATGCAATGTGAGTTAAACTCCATTCTGTTTCAGAATCGATTATAATTGATGTTAGATTCGAGAAGATGTTCAATGGTAACCACACTGCAGGATGAGTGATGATCAGTGTTTGAATATTCGATCGAATAGCAAAAATGATAGTTCGCCAAAAGTAAGAGTTGGATGGAGGTAGTTTCATGCAAGTGAGATGTCGATGATCTTGAAGAATTATTGTATTGAATCGATAATTAAAATGGAAAAATGTGTAGAGAATGTCATTTGAGGATAGATAATCAAAAATTTCGAAAACTATTTCCACAGGAAATCGATCTAACCATGTTTCTGACTGTTCTGTGTGCATTTCTGACCTTTTTTATTAAATGAAATAAAAAAAACTCCCCATGAAAGATCTTTATCTCTAGCACAGATAACAGACTGAAGGTGAACCATTCGAACTTGTAAAGACAATGTGAATATCTAGCAAATAACAGAAAAATTATAGAAAAAAAATCATTTTGTCTTATTTCTTCAGTTCAGATTGCCCGAACGAATTGTAGGCAGTACTCATTGGTTGAGCTACCACTGGTCTACCTTCCGTTGATAGTAGCCGATGTTTAAGTTCACGCGCTTCCTGACAAATAGCACACACGGAGCAGAATGTTGTCGCTAAACAATCGTTACAATCTTCTCCAAGATTGAAACGCTCACGTAAAGCTTTGCGTTTTCCTATGTGCGTTACACAGCATAAACCCCATCCAGACATGAGATACCATAAGCAGCCGGAATTACAACAACTGCTTCCATCGATTTTCTCTGCATTTTCACCAAATAAACATGCTGGACAAAAACAACCGTAACAGCATATGTTCCAGTCGGAAAAACAATCAAAAAGTCCACCTAAACAAAACCATGATTTGTATATAATAATACAGTCTATATGTGTATAATGCTTTCTGCTTACTATGCCAAGTATTCATTCTCGTTTGCTTGTTTATAGTCCAAAGGATCCATGTTGGTGCCTTAAATAGATAGGTCTTTTATCAGTTTTTAGCCCCTGATATATTGCATACAAGTTGTGCAATGACACAGAATGCCAGTAATCTTTCTTATCTTGTAAAAAATCGGATCCTTGCGACAAAAGCTATTTTTATTTCTGAAAATGTTGTACAAGATAATAAAAAATATGATGAATATACCTCATTTTAATGTTCATAAGTTTGCGTTGTACCGGTCTGTGCGCTCTTGTAGATCGCTTCTATCATACGATGACGAACTACGGCGTCTTCCCAACTTGGATAAATACCGTCCTTTTTAGCAAATTCATCGTAAGCTCGACCAACATTGACATGAGCACCGTGTTCCTCGTCGAGCTTTATTTCGGTTAGATCTTCACCATTGAAACTTGCAAATAATGTTGGTGAGGAAAGTTGCAAATGTCCAGTTGTACCTCTAATTTGCAATTCACCTTGTGTACCTTCGACTTCCCAAAGAAGATTCGTGCCTTTATACGATCCACCACGTAAATGTATCGATGCGTATGCACCAGAAGTTAAGAGTCCACTGACACTCATTTGATCATGAGATGTCATTGGCTCCTCGCGAATTGTATCTCCTTTCTCATCTCGAACTTCGATTGTCTTTCTTGCATTATGCATTGTTGCTGTTACCGATTTAAATTCCCCAAAAACATAACACATAGCGTCCAATGTATGACCTCCAGGTACAGAAGTCAGCGTTACTCCATTTGCAATATTAGCAACATAAGCATTGGCCGTATCAATTGCAGATCCCCAAGCCGCACCACTAGCATAAATATGTATGGATAGAATCTTTCCTAATTTTCCCGAATCGACGATCTCGTTCATTTTCTTGATCACCGATGATTGTCGTGCCTGTAATATCACCATGGTTTTTATACCTTTTGATCGTGCTAATGCCGTCAATTCTTCGGCTTCTTGAAGATTTCGGCCGAGAGGCCACTCGACAATCGCATTCTTTCCTTGCTGTATAGCAGGCATAATCAATTGTTTATGCAATGGAACTTTAACCGAAACAACAACGGTATCAACATTTCGATCTTGAGCTAATTCTTCTGGTGTACCGTAGTATTTATCAATACCGAAAGTTTCTGCAGCAGATTTTGCAGATTCAAGTGTCGAATTAGCTAATGCTTTGATCTTGTAAATCGACGAATTTTGTAGATAGGTTGCATGCGCATGTTCAGCCCAACGTCCTTTCGACAAACCGATAAATCCGATATTAATTTTCGAAGACATCTGATATCTAATCTTACCTCTTGCCTACCAATAAGTGTAGCATATATAGTGCATGCATAACTTTATATAAACATGCAAATGTATTCGTCATAGTGACATGTATTTTTACATAGTAAACACATTCACCTTTGAGGGTGGACGTAAAGAACGACCGAAAAGTTCACGGCGTATTGAAATAAAGATCAAATAGTACCCCGTTATATTTACCTATACTGTGAGTTGCCATCGCTCCTTATGGCACAGAGGAATCGGTTCGATGACACATAAAATTTGTACGAAAATAGGTCGGTAAATCGCGACGAAATGTACGGCTCGCAATCATCACATGACTATTAAAGATGAACTTGATGAACTTCCACTATCACGTTCTAAATAGTGTGTTTGTTGCGATTGGTTCTACTGTTTGACATATTTACTATTTTTATCCTCATACAACAAGATGACTTCCTTGCAAACTATATCTGTGACATCATTCCTACACGTTTAGCGGAACACTTTTCAATAAACAATCCAGCTGTAGCAAGTATAATTACTGCTCAAAGTTAATAGATGGTCCGTTCACAGGAAGTTAAACGTAAAGCATTTCTTTTAGAATTTGTTCATAATATAGATCTTCGATTCATTTGGACCGAATGAATTTGATTTCGATTGGTTTCAGTGAACTACTCTCCTCTGTTGGCACAAATGCTTCGTTTTCGAATGTTAACTTCGATACTATCAATTTCAGCCAAACAGTCATGTGATCTCTCAATGAAATCCGCCAAAGAAAGGAGAGAATCAATGAAAATATATGTCTGTATTCGGGATGAAAGAATAGGTGCCCCCTCCAAAAGAGTAACAAAGGGACAAGAATCAGAAGGAATGTTGAGAAAGATAACATTCTCTCACATAAACAAGAGAAGAGTGATATGTGATCGCTAACAACTCGCACCGTATGCTATCAAAGTGGTGCTTCTTTGATTGATACTGCTCTTCAAAGAGTCTTGTTTAATTTCACTCATCTACAGTATTCTTGAATTTTTCATGCCGCTGATGTTCCAAACGATATATTTGTACACACTTCTGATGATCTTCTTAATGAGAATAGTGATTTTATCGATATATATGCCAAATCTAGTGTCTGAAATTCAACTGAAGGTAAAATCCTACTTGCAAAAGACACAGATGATGAGGACTATCGCTACGAAGTCGTTGATATCAATACATAGTGAATATGGAAAGTGAGAGAATGAGGAGTCAATGGAATGCGATTGCACTTAAACATAGAAGGAGAGAAAGTAAATTGTCCGAAATTTTCATATCAGAGTTAAAATAAAATAATGAATATTTAGAACTTCCTTGCGATTCACCGCCATACTCATCGCGTTCATTATCATTACAACAATGAAAAGCAACATGTTTTATGCTTAATAAAATTCAATTTGTTCAAAAACTCATAGTCAGAAACGTCTTTGTAAACATTGTCAAACATTTCGGTCGAATTAAGCAGATAACACTCTCTTCGGGTAAATATCTTTTTTCATTCATTTATGTTAGCAAATAGAGTAAAATTGCATTTGCTCCTCTCAACTATCGTAAAACAACAATATAAATCATGCTAATGTTGTTCAAATGTCATTCGATATACACAATAAGTATACCCTTTCAAATCAAAGTTAACTAAGTTAAGAATATGGCAATTGATCAATGTGTATTTTCCTTATCTTACCTCCTTACGAGGATTAATATTCATTCAGATTGATATTAAATCGCTCGAATATGCTTTTCCATATAGTTGAACTGATAAATGTTTGGTATCGACTCCCTTAACATAAAATAGAGATTGTGCTGTTAGTTAAAAATTCGTTCGATTTATGCACGGGAAGCGTTGAAAATTAGAAATGCATTTTGGCGACATATTGCTGCAAGAACAAACGGGATCTTATAGAAAAGAAAATTATGAAAATAAAATCCAGATGTGTTTCATATCTGAATATGTAACAAAGAGGTGGATGACAGAAAAGAAAATTTTGAAGAGATGAGAATGATAGAGAAAGCTTGCGTAGATAAGAATCGGAATTTGTTTTTTTAGTAGTGAGTAATAGCTTTGTGATCGTTCGTTGTTTCGTTGTTGATGCCAGTTTCAAGATGTGTGCCGCACAGTTCCACTGAATACCAGTTCATCTAGAGAAAAAATGCATTAGAAAGTCACTTGGATTCACGGTATCTATTTTCGTCTGTGTCGGATAAGAAAGGCATGAATAATACAGCAATACTATCAATTATAATCTGACGTAAGCTATTTCAAATGTAAGTAATTTATTGTTGATTAGTAAATTTCAGTAGTATATTTGAACTGTTTCGTTTTCATATCCTATAGGCGATTCGCAACAAACCTACTAAATGAGGAACTGTCGAAAATGAAATTATCACGGTCACTGTTCATTGTGCTTTTCTTTTACAAATACATATTCATTTCAAAGTAATATCTTGTTTTTCTTTATACTCGATATATTTTTGCGTTCGAAAGAAATTAAACATGAATGATGCTTGTCATCATTGTATATCATAACTCATCTTCTATTACTTGTTACTTAAGGTTGATTATACAAATACGTCTTCTAATATTTTTTAATGTATGAATACGCCGGAAAAAGCCAGGTATACCTGTCGTCAGATATAAAAATCCGTCATTCTCGTTCATACCCGACAGATATGCATCACTGTATACGTAGGAATATCCCGGCAAAACAAACCTGTGCTTCGCGCATACATTTTATCATCTATTGTACTCACGACATAGCGACATACTCAATACAATTTTTAACTAGAGAACGCAAAAAATATTGTTAAAATGCAGGGTGTATAGGCGATGTAATACTATTTTTTTAGTAGTCGTCCTATTCCGCAATGTTGAGCATTGGAGAACTAGTTCGACGGGTAGGATCGCTTCGCGACATAAGGCGATAGTTAAGGATGAGAAGGGTAGGAGTAATTCCGTCACGAAATTCTGAGATTGGTAAAAATTCGACTGGGAGATTTTTGAAAGTGCATGGATGGGTAATCAGACACAGTATCGGAATCCATAGAACTGATTCCGAGTGTGAAATTGATTTCCAGATATGCTACATTACGAAATAGGATGCACTCTTGAGTTTTTATCTGTAAAATATTTAGCTATTTAACTTCTTATTACAACTTCACTGCTGATATCCTTGTCAACATTTTAAATAAATGCCTTTTTAGCTTTACCTATTTTAGAATACTGGCAATTTATTTTCGTTCCATGTGCGCTTCGTTGTGCTGATTGACAAAGCCGCTTCAGTGCAAGTGAACGGTGCACATGATTCGCTGATACCATGCAACATCTTGAACAATCCACGGGATGACATACTACATTTGTAGGATTCGAATCTTCAAAGCAGTAAGTGATAATCTTGATGAAAACAACAAAATGCTATATTTACCTACAGAGTTTGATGGCGGTACATTATTGTTTCCTATGGAATGTCCCGTTGGTGCTAAAGAAATCGTAGAACATGAAGTTTTATTTTACAATCCGTAACAATTATTCAAGAAGTTCACTCGTCAATCAGAAATAAATGCAATAAAAAATCAGCTGTGTTATGCTATAATCGTCATCTCTGAAATCGGTACGAAGCGCAATCAAAATGATTAATCTTTTAATATAATCGTTTTTTTCCATCTTCTCATGGATCTTAATAGAATGAAGACAACATACTTCACAAATAAACAGTTTAACAGCAATCGTAAGTTCATTTTTCACTTTTAAAACTATATGCATTATGTTTTTCTGTTTGTAGATAGCTCTACAGAAACTGAATGTACAAGAAAAACGTACCTAATACTTGCACCAGAAGACCATGATCATTGTATTGATTAACTCGACCAGATTCTTGCTACAAATACAGAACACTTGTCGTTCTATGAAAAAAGTGAGAACTTATCTATCCTACTTGTCCTTCTAGTTCGTTTGGTGAATCAAGATCTTCATTAGCTTCTATACTTACATCATAAGAAAACTCCTTGGAAACGAAACAGTATTTATGATTGATGAATGATATTTGAAAAAACCTACATTTAACGGCATGCTGATATGTATTTCGACTGAAAATTTGGTTTACGACGTCTAGGGGCAATAAACGACAGATATTTAATCCAGTGTGAACGATACTTTGAAATATTCTCTATGAGAAATTGAAGTGTATGTAGATTATTCAAATGTTAAAACCTAACTTGTATTATTTCAGAACGCAGTGAAGTCAACGCAAAGCTCTGTTATGAAAAACAAACCTCATTGATGTTTTGCGACAGCTACTCAAACGTGCAATATCCCATGAATGGAGTCCTATGATTGCTTCCAACTTTAGCGAAAATCCATAGTCCTATATTCAAGCTATTTTCGAACGATGCTTTTCACTACGATATTATTGGTTGTCGGCAATCCAAATGGTTTATGTAGCGCCACATGTTTTTCAGAGATTGAAAATAACTACTAGTTTGATATCAATAATTGTATTCGAATCAACTCACATGTCCAGATTTTCCAATGTGGCACGAATGTTGAAGAATTCAAAGAATAAACTTAAATGATCAACACAATGGTGCTGATAAAGATTTATTTAGTTTATTCACATTTACAGCAATTACGAGAACATCGGATCAGTAGAACATTTTAATTGTATCCATCACATAAAAATATTAGTTTATCTATGAAAAAATTTCAGACAACAGTTCCATCGATATTTAATTGAAACCCAATCGGTAGTTTCTGTGAGGGAGTAAACAAGTTTTTCTGCTTGTACTCGATTTTCCATCATTCGTTTAAAACCGCTTTCGATTCCATTTAGTCCACCTGGCATCCTCGTTACTCTATTCGGCTTCAATAAACCATTTGGTAGTAAATAATCTGTCATTAATTTGTAAAACTTCTCAGCGAATGCTCTATCTTCACGCTTGGCTGGAAAATATTGTCCAAAGAGAAGTTTCTCAATTCCAAAGATCGTATAAATTAGTACGCGGTATTCTGTTATGTGTGGTGGTAAATCTCGTTTTATGAATGGTAAAACAGTGACTAATTTCGAATGCGTTGCTGTCAGTGTTGCACATAATAATTTAGTTGAATCTTTTTCTGAAATACAATCAAAACCATACGCCAAGTTTTCATTGGTAGCTTTCTTAATCAACGAAACAATATTCGGATCATCATAATCAAAACAAATATCGGCACCGAGTCCTTTCAGATATTCATGACGAGCAGGTGATGCTGTAGTGATAACAAAACAACCAATTGCTTTCGCTAATTGAATAGCACATTGTCCGACACTTGTACTTCCTGCCCAAACAAGAAAATTGATTTTGACCGTAGCGGGAGGAAGTGGTAAGCCCATTTCGTGAAACAGACCAAGAGCGGCTGTTGTAGCAACAAGGGGAAGTGTGACAATTTGTTCAGGAGAAAATGTTGGCGGATAGCGGAAAACTAGTGAAGCTTCTTGTACAACATATTCAGAGAAAGCTCCACGAACGTTCATTTCCGGGTCGAGACCACCATGAACACAACCAGCCACACGTTCTCCTTTTCTGTAATTACCTAGGTGACAACGAGAATCAATTTGTGATAATTGAGAATGGAGTTTCTTGTAAAATATCGGTGTTGGCGTTAATCTTAATTACACATAAACCTATTCTCGGATCTATAGTTGTATGCATCACAGAGCGATAGACAGAAATGGATACGATACCGGAAAGAAATAAAAGAGATAGCAAGAAAACAATGATTGAAGCAGACTAGGTAACTATATTAAACTTCACCATCATTGCACATTCAATAGAATTGATGATGAAAAAGGAAATATCACTGTGATCATTAGCTGACTCTGTAATTACCATAATGACGTTCATCAATTCAATGTCAATAGCTCACAGAAAACTCAATCAATTTCTGGAAATGTTCGGATATAAACATACCGACTGCTTTTTTGCCAACGCCCACAACTATTCCAGCGAAGTCACAACCAACGATAGCTCCTTCTTTTGCCAAACCGAAATGAACATGTTTCCAATCCGTTGGATTTTGAGCTACATGAGTAACTTTAATCAGTAGATCGGTAAGTTCATACTTGGGTAACTGAAAGGATAAACAGAAATTATCTGTGCTCGAATGAAAATATCAAATATCGAATCTTACAGGTAGATTTTCAATAACAAGCTTTTTATTTTCGCGTACTATCAATGCAAGTGGCATAACACTGTGTATCAGTTAGCAGAGTAATTGAAAATAAAAGAATAGAGAATAGCAACGACTAGTCTTTTCTTTTTATCGTTCTTTTCCCCTAATATATGGCTTCCCGAAGCGAACGTTTTTCAAGCATACGGAATACTCCACTTTGTTGATCAACAAAGTACAGAAAAATGAACTCATCTTGAGAGATATCTTGACATATGATTAGTTAGGAAATCTTATGCGAAAAAGTGCGTGACAATAGAAGATCTTTCTCCTGGAAATGAGGATTCTCTATATGAAAGGCGGTACTTTCTATCTTTTTCTTCCACTTATGCTCATAAGATTCTTGAACTCACCGTTCACGAAAGTTAACATCCACAAACACATCTTGATGAAAGTCTTGCCTCGACACGTGAAAAATAAACTCAATTAGACATTTATCTTCAGCTTCCAATCTCACTGTTTTGTTGAAAAATCAAAATACTATAACCAGTAATAGTCGTTTATGGTAAAAGACAAGCCAAAACTATCTGAATTAAAAGTATGAAGCTTTTTTTGCGATTAATTACTTCAAATTCATAGATAACCCAAAAACTTGAAATGAAAAGACGAACTTTCCATATTAAATAATTGTTTATTAAAAAGAAAGGATGAAGTGTAACAATATTTCATCAGATCCTGTTTGCCTCTGTCGTTAGTTATGTAACTATTCTTTTCATGTACTATTTTGAGATACTTTGTATTTCACAAGTATTAATTGTATACGTGACAGTATGGATATTCGAGAAAATAATATGAAAATATTTTAGTTTTCTTCTTTCTCTTCTATGTGTTCTCTATCGTCAAAAATAACAAATCAAGCAGTTAATTAAAAACAAGCCTAATGAAAAATAACTATTGATTTCCATCGATTTATTTTCCGTAACATATGATATACTTTACCGATTTTTCAGATTGAAATCAAATGTTTGAAGATGAAATATCTTTATTAGTCTATTTATGTCGTATAAAAATAAACAAGTCTATTTTGTTCATTCATACTCAGCGAATCCACATTTGAATAATCGAACTGATATGTGCATCTCTCGATATTGTACATGTCGAAGGTAAATGCTCATGAAACCATTGAATTAATTCATCGTCTGTCGTAGAGAGAAGTTTTTGTTTGCCTTTATCGTCTTTACATTGAAATATTAATGAACGAAGATTAGTTAGATTATTGACCAGATCAAGAACATCATTTCGAGCTTGAATGTCGATTATCAAGGTTTGACACTGACGTCCGAGGATAGAATTCGTTAATGCTTGACATTCATCTGTGTTGAAATACCAATTGTAAATCATTGATTGTTTATTTAAAAAATCCAATCGACGAATGGAAGGATTACTTAGTGAGAATAGAGCTTCATTCATGTCCGATAGATGTGAAAATCTTAGAAGATAGAGATGAGGTGTATGATTTAAAAGGCATTGTAATTGTTGGTAGGCGTCTCGACTCGATAATAAAGTGACATCGAGTGATTTTAGATGAGTGAATGTCGAAATATTTCGAAGAAATTCGTTGTTAAATGGAAGAATCAGATCTAGATGAGAAAGATTTGTAAATTTCGTTGATAAGTAAATGAAATGATTGACAATATTATGTTCACATTGAAGATTTTTCACATGAATATGAGTTTGACAAGTAGTCTTATTTGGTAAGGTTGATTTCGAGCACGAGTCATTCACGTAATGATAATCATGAAACATATATGGAAGTGTGTAAAGAATTGCACCATAAAATGGATCGGATGCATTCCAATCGCATTGAACATGCCATTGATGTTTTTTTATCCAGAACTCACTTTGATAAGTAGCTAAAAGTTCGTCAGCAGCGTCGTTTGTGTCATAGTTTTGTGGAAATTGAAACGACATTTTAAAATGAAAATATTTCAATTGTGGAAGACAATCCGTAAGTATTGCTTGCCATTCATCACCATCTAGTAACAGATACGATGTGCTAATAGTCAACGAACGTAAAAGAGGCATATGCTGAAAGAGATTCATCAGTGATGGTATCGAACCATCGTATGAAAGAGACAGTTTAGTCAACAATGGATTTGTTGGCGGAGGAATTTTTTCGAATTTCTCTGTACATACGATTGTAGTTGATAGGTGTTGAAGGGAAGGCGTTTTTTGGAAAACATAAGATAAAGAACGGAAATCACAGATAATATTTTTTATGGATAAATATTTTATTGTTGACGATGGAGTCAATAGTTCCGAGAAGTAGATTCCTTTGGAAATGAGATTGTCAAGATGACAGAAGGTTAATTTCGGTAAACTCCAAATCTGATTAATCAGTTGAATTTCTTTGTATTCACAAAAGCATTTGATTATCTTCAGATGTGTGACTTGCTGAGATTGTTTAATAATTTGATGTATTATATCGATTGATTGAATCGAATGTATCGAGAGCGATTTGAGATGAGTGAATTGATCCACTGAAATACTTTGTGAGAGAAATCTCTGTGGCAGATTTGGTGTTTCATCGTTATCAGCTAGATGAATTGAGGTGATTTTGTGAAGAATGATTGGCAGATGTTGTTGACAGATGATATCAAAATCATATCGTGAGATCGATCGCAAATCCAGTGAATAAGAACGAAAAGATTCATAGAGAAGTTGATTTAATCGAAAATTAAGATTATGAAATGTTTGAAAGAGATCGCGGAGATGGAAATATTCGAAGATATCAAGTAATATTTCATTGGGAAGATATTCAAACTTCATATCATTCGATGTTTTCGTGTTATGACGGTTTGGAAATAGAAAGTTTATTTGTATTCATGTTTTTCTCTTTCTGTTATTAAATAATTTGATCGAATAAGAAAACAGTATTTCTTCTTCCTTCTGCTCAACAACGCCCTCTACAGAAATACTCGTCACTCCAGATTTGCGTATGATTAAAAATGAAATCAGCAACCAATTTACATTTCAAAACTCAATAGCCCTTCAATATGGTTTTGTCATTCTGTTCCAGTTTTTTCTTGATTGTGCTACTAAATCTTTATTACTTTTCCTGATGTAACATGAACGATCAGTATAAAGTACATATGTTAAGAAAAAAATTCGTGCGCAACTGGATAAAATATATGGAAGGTTCTCCGTGGATACTCTGAGTAGATTAGACGCTCGAAAATAACGCTAGGGCAGTGATATTTGATTTAATGTACGCATTTGATGATGAAATCGTTAAGAATAACTTCTTTTTTCATCAATTAACAAAATCATATCTCGGAAATATTTCAACAATAATATCTTTTTCTCTCTTAAAGAAAATCTACTTTTTCTTCTCTACTAATTATATTGTCCTAGAATTGTTAGTACAAAAGGAGTTGAAAACGACGAGTATAGCAGTCACTTTTCAAAACCAGTAATTTGTCAAGTTGTAAGTAAAGTTAGTACTTTGTTCTCAGAATTTTTAAAGAAATTCACTGGCACACACAAATATCTTCTGTTGAATGTGATTGTTCATTATAACAATCAACTGATTTCTACTGAAATAGATTTCGAATTCATAGAAAGACAAATACATTCCACTTGCTAGATAATGGTAACATCCCTCGGGTAGAATTACGGTTAATTTAGATAAAGTACACAAATCCTGGACTTTGCAAAAGTTTTCCTTAAAAGAAGAAATTTCTTTGTTCTACATTCGAACAGAATCATTTTGAAAAGATTATTTTCATTGAGCAGTGATATAGGAAATAAAAAAACGAATAAGTCTCTTCTGTTTTCCATACACATTATGATATTGTTTTGTGTTCGAATGGGACAAAATCTAATTTTATTAGTAATTCATGCAATAATGAACACAGGATGTTTACATATTTGATAGAAATCTTTGAAAAATTAGAGCAATATCTGTATGCTATAATGAACAAAACAATTTATGATTGCCATTTCCGTACCATATACTTGCTTAGTTAATGAGTTTCTTGAAAAATTTAATAAAAGTATATAATTTCTTTGATATCATATGCAGAACTCAATGGTATATTCCTTTTTTTGAATTGTTTAGTTATTCGTCAAAATGATCAATTTTCATCCGAAACAGCTATGGCGCATAGCAGTATTCATGGTTATGTAAATAATACAGGATTCATTCCCTACGATATACTGCAGAATTAACAAATTCATATTTTAGATATTCGTCCAAGACATGTTCGTTATTAACTCTGTGTCCGACAGCAACATGGAACCCCAATGCAACAACCGTAGCTGGTTCTAAATCAGGCTCGTCAGGATCGACTTCAACCAGACTTTATTATCCATCGGATGTGTGCGTGGTCAACAACAGTGTGTTCTATGTATTAGATTCAAGCAACTATCGCGTTCAACGTTTTTCGAATTCTACTACTGGAATAACAGTGATTAATGGTACTTCTGGTGCTGGTACCAACCAATTCTATAGCAGTAAGTTTGATGCTGATCGATATGACTATTCATTTATATCACTTTTTCTTTCTCTGTAGTGAATGACATGTCTATTGACAGTAACGGAAACATATACATATTGGATGGGGATAATGCTCGTGTTACCAAGTGGTTACCGAGCGCCTCCAGCGGAACAATTGTTGCTGGTGGTAATGGTGTTGGAAGTGACACCAATCAGTTTGATGGAGCCATGGGAATGTTTATGGATACAAGTGCAACAACTATTTGGATTGCTGATACGAATAATCATCGTATTGTCAAATGGACTTCACCAACAACAAGTACTGTTGTTTGTGGAGGTTATGGAACTGAGAATAATCAGCTGATATATCCATTTGGCGTATACGTCGATGCAAACGATGCAAATGCTCTTTATGTGGCTGACACGGGAAATCATCGTATTCAAAAATTTTTAACTGGTGCAACAACTGGAGTGACCGTTGCAGGAATAACACAATATTATGGATATGGTCTCAATCAATTGCGACGACCATCTGCAGTCATGGTAGACAACAATCAAAACATGTTTATCGTTGATACGAACAATAATCGGATTATGAAGTGGACGGTTGGAGCAAGTTCTGGTATGATTATTACAGGTTATTCGTCTTCAGGAACACAAGCATATCAGTTCTATAAGCCAGCGCACTTGGATTTTGATTCAAATGGGTCACTATATGTTGCGGATGAATATAACCATCGAATTCAAAAGTTAGCTATGTCATGTGGTAAGTAAAATGATGTATGTATGTGTAGAAGTTCAATATTTTTGTTTGTGATTGTAGCGACAGCGAATAATGTCTCGATGACGACACCAGCATCAACAACAAGAAGTAAGAATCGGATAAGTGAAATAACGCATAATATATCTTTTTTCGTTTCTTTCCCTCAGTGCCGGATACGAATCTTAGTTGTTCTTTGACTCCCTACGTGTTCAATGCTACCACCATTGCTGGCTCATATTTAGGTTACTATGGCTCTGATGAAAACTATCTTGACAGTCCATACGATGCGCTGATCGACAAGAATGGTATGTTGTATGTAGCCGATTCTGACAATTGTCGAGTACAACGCTTCCTTCCTGGTTCGACATCTGGCACAACTGTTGTGAACGGTAGTTCAGGTTCTGCTCTCAACCAATTTGGATCCTGTAATACTGTTTTCTGTCATTACTGTGCAGTAGCATTTTCTGTTTATGCATTTTAGTGGACGGTCTGAATGTTGATGATAGTGGCAATATCTTTGTTCTGGATGCTGGCAACAATCGAGTAGTAAAATGGGCCCCAGGAGCCAGTAGTGGCGTTGTTGTTGCTGGTAACAACGGGTCAGGAAGCGGTACAAGTCAATTAAATTCACCTTATGGTATATTTTTGGAGACAAATACATCAATCGTCTGGATAGCTGATACGTCTAATCATCGAATAGTTCGCTGGACACCATCAGCGACAACAGGAATGGTTGTCTGTGGAAGTTCTGGATCAACAGCTGATAAATTCAGATATCCATATGGAATATTTGTGGATACTAGTGATTCGAATACATTCTATGTTGCAGATACAAACAATCACCGAATTCAAAAATGGTTATGGGGTGCAGGTAACGGAACAACAGTTGCCGGTCAAACATCTGTCTGTGGTAGCGATGTTAGTTTACTATGCTATCCAGTGGCAGTTGTCAAAGATCAAAATGGATACATATTCATAGCTGACAATAGCAATCATCGTGTTATGAGATGGATGATCGGAGCATCATTTGGAATGATGGTTGCTGGTGATTCAGCATATGGAGTATTGCCGAGTCAATTGTTGTATCCGTATAATGTAAAACTTGATCCGACTGGAGCTATTATTGTTACTGACAGCAGCAATAATCGTATTCAGAAATTCTCTCTCCGTTGTAGTAAGTTTTAAATTGAATAGTAGATTGTGAGACAGTGTTTGAGATAAGTAAACATTCTTATGTATTTTCTTAGGTGCTGCAAGCTCGTCAGTGACTTCGGCTGTGTCCGGATCGACAACACCATCAGTAAGTGTATCACGCTCAACATCAGCAGGAGGAAGTACACCATCTCCTTCTTCTTCTTCTCCTTCTTCTTCTCCTCCTTCTTCTTCTTCTTCATCGTCGTCTTCGTCAACACCACGGTCATCGACATTATCAGTCTCGAGTTCGTCGACTGCAACAGCTGTATCAATGGTCTCAAGTGCGCGTACCAATGGAACATCAATGATTAGACCAACAACAACATATCCTGCATCATCATCTTTTGCTCAAATTCAGCAATATTCACAATATTTATTGATCATTGCTTACGGAATAATCATCTTGTTCAATTAAAAACTCGTATAATTTCTACTTTTGACATTCAATTTCCTCATTACTCATTCATCACTCTTTCACATTTGCTTTGCTTCTTGTATCCTCCACGCATTCAACTTAATCAGTACGTTTCACATTCATCACTCTTTCAGCATTGTTCTACATCTTATATCAAGTCGAGTTCATCAATAAAATAATATTCATCCGGCTAAAACTTACTATTACCATCATTTTTTATACATAATCTACGCCATGACTTTTCATGCCTTTCCAACATATCAATGAAAAATATTTTCTCACTAAATCGAGATGTAGTGATACATGACAAGCAATATTCACCAGGAGAGAAAATATATCTAAAAAATACATCTCCCATCTATAGTTTAGATATAAACATTTACACTGAGCTTCTCACAACAAATATTATTCATGATTAACATAATCCTAACGGCGTATTTTTCTTGAAAATGGTCAATTACCTTTATTGTATAAAAAAAATTCATATAGTAAAAGAATGAACTGGTGTAAAAATATATAAAAGAAAATGATCGTTCATAATCTTGAACTAATCAGGCTAAAATAGAGAAAGAAAAGGAAATCTAAATTGTTAATATGAACATCAATTTACTGTAAAAGTCATCATAACATGAATTTCACCACGAGATGATAATCCAAAATGTGTTGGTAATTTAATCCATTGATCAAATTCACCATCATCAAAAATTTGTTTGAGTCTAATTTTACATTTACCAATTGTATCTCGACCGATAAAATCATTATCATAAACATCAAAATGAATTGTATCATCACCTTTATGAATATTAAATCGAAGTTGTTCGTTCCAAACTGGATTGTTACTATTTTTAATTGTTCGTGTACGTTGTTTATACTTTTTTTCAGTATACACTTCTACATACGCATCATTTTCTCCAAAAAAATCACAGTTTTTCAAACTTCTTCCTTCAACGATCGTTACTTCGAGAACACCTGGTACCATCTTCTTTGAATCGATCGATATGAGTTATTGTTAAAAGAAAATGAACAAAGTATACTGTAACTAACATTTCATATAGTTCTCCCTTTTTATTCACATCCTTTTTCAACATTATTTACATATATTTCTATATGAATGATTCATTTATTATGATTTAGTCATTCCAACAGAAGAACACTTATAGTTCGAAAGAGGAATAATTTCATCTTTCGCAAAATATCGAATTATATGAATCCTTTCAACATTATTTTTCTCGAAATATCACCTGTACTTTTCAATACAATTGTGTGTAATAGATGTAGATGTTTTGTTTATATATTAAGTATTGAATAATCATTCAGATGCCACTTAAAAATGATTCATATAAGATTTACTCATTTCAACAATGAAATGTCAAGGTAATCATTTCGAATAATTTATGTCTAGATGAAATAAATACTTTCATTTTATGATTAATTTTATGTAGATATGTAAAAATCAATGAAATAAGAACATCTCATTCAATCTTTGGTTTTCTTTTCAAGATTTTATTTTTCTATAATTAACTCGATTTATAATAATATTAACAAAATATGAAATATCAACTACAGTAGATTCACAAATAAAAATCAAAATTCTTTTGAATATTTGTAAATTTTATTTGACATTCATTCAACTACTGCTATTTGGATTCGATATGCTATACTTTGTGGAAAGTCAAAATATAACAAGTGAAAATACCATCACAACTCTAAATAACTAGAATTTGCATCCAATTGAGTGTGAAAAGTTAATAAAGATCGATATTTATGAAGAATTACAAATACAGAAACACGATATTAAATGAATTAAATAAGAATAAATGACAAATAATACTCTGAAGATGATGAAAGAAGCTGAAATCGTGCAGAAATATTCGTTCATATAATTAATATTCAAATAAACCCTACACATATATGTTGAAATTTGAAAAGAAATGTACAAATATAAACTATAAGAACAACACACGTATTTCATTCTTTAATAAGAAATAAGAATGATGAATATTGTTGAAAAGAAAATAAATGTGATAAATCAACTCATAAAAATATTCGAGATGATGTAGAAATACTGATTTTGTATTCTGTTTCACAATTGATTCGAATAAAATTAGAAAATAAAAGAATTATGTAAATTATTTTGATTAATAATGAATTTTTTTTGTATTCAAAAGAAACGAAAGTGAGAAAAAAGAAAAATGAAGAATTTACAAATAGACAAAAGAACATATCCAATGAGAAAAGTTTCACAATGTTTCATCTTTCGACGAAAAATCAAAGTATGAAAATACTAATTAGTTAATTTAGATGATTTATTAATTTTGTATTATTTCTTAAGCACATTCGATTGAAAACTTTCATTATTTTAATAATCTTTTGTATCTTTATTATTTATCAAATATTAATCTATTTTCAACCATTATCAATCTTTTCAACAAAACCTTTTGTACCAATAATCTTTCGAAAACAAATTCAAAACATAACAAATGTGATGAAAAACAAGATTTATGATCAATGTAACTCAGTTTTACAAAGAAGTGTATCTTTAGGATCATTAAAATTCAATAGTACAATTAATGAATATTATTTCACAAATTATACAATTACATTTCTATCAGATGTTTATATCATATTACAATTCTCATCCAAATTCAAAAATAATAACGAATTCTATATAAAACTCGTTTCTTCGTATTTACTTTCAAAAAATCTAGAAAAATTACCATTTAAACAACAATTACGAACGAATATTTTGATTTTTCTTAGTGAACATTTTAATAATATCCTTTATAAACGTTTAACAATATGGTTTAAAAGTATTTATGAACCATATACAAGAAGAACACATATTATTCTCATAAATGATCATAGAAAAGACATGACTCGAAAATTTATATTAAATCATACAAAATATAATTTCGATATTCATTTAGATACAATTTTATTTTTTATCGAAGATAATTTCATTTTACAATCTCAAATGCTTTTTGATACAATCGAATTCTTTGCTACACATGAACCTTGTTTTGTTTATCATCCCAATTATTTTGATGGTTGTCAATTCGATGGAATATTTGATACAAATAAATACACAACAATTGTCTTTGGAAAAACTCGTTTATGGCGTTCAATTTTACCTAAAACTTTTACATATACTGGTCGATTAAGAACTTTCTTGGCGTTTGAAGATCTTTTCATACATTCCAACGATAATAATCGAAGTATTAATGAACTAATACAAACATATGCAGAAAAAACAACATTTTTTTGTGCTGTTCCTTCTTATAGTACTCAATTAGAAAGACTTTTATTCCCTGATGGTATTCAAATAACAGCTGATGATGATATGTCAATATATTTTCATGATTGGTGGTCTCTTGCACGTCAAGCACTTACTGAAGCACAAACAAAAGATGCTTTTCCAATTGACAAAATTGACGAACGAACTTTATTTTGATAAATGTTATTATAGATCGTCAAACTTATTGACCTTATTTAAATCATCCATTATCATATTCAACAATCATTTAAATATACATAGAAAAGAATAATATCAATAATATTTCTTGTTATATAAATTGATGACAACGAAAGATTTCAATTACATTCTGTCTCATGTTTCTCTCTCTCTTTCTCTGATTCAATTCGTTTTGATTAATGTTATATAACTATAATTTATATTTGAGGTTGACACAAAATGTACAAACTCTTGTGTATGTTCGTTATAGTTTTCTGTCAAAAGAAACTTTTTTTTTCTCGATTATCATAAAAGATTCTTTCGAGGATACAATTTTTCATCCGAAGAAACGAAAAAAAAAGCGATAACTAAACTTTCACTTTCTGCGTATTATCGACACAGTTTGTATTAAGGAAAAAGAAAAAGGACCATAGTGTACACGTTGCTGCGTATTTGTAAAATCAAATCACAGAGTACCAACACATCACTATATTGTGATATAAAATAAGCGGATTAGACTATACATCATTTTTTCTAAATTTTTCAACTATTGAAACTTTCATCAACAAGGAGTAACTACTTTTTTTGCACGAAAAAAGATATGCAATGCACATATGGTGATGTAAGATGTGGGTACACATTCTCAAACATTTTACATTATTCTTCAATCTGAATACATATTTGAATCGATTATTCGTTGATCATCATATATTGTTGCATTGCACTTTTCAACTGGTCATTTCTTGGCAATAATTGAAATGGTTGAAATGTTATGATTATCATTTAATATAAATAAAAAGTTCTATGCGGACTTACTCCGCTTTCGATCATTAACGGTACTTAAATACGCGAAGAGATAATCATTGACTTTGTTCTGATTATTCCATAATTGAATTATTGTCAAACCAAATATTCGCAATCATCTGGTAGAAACTCTTCGATAGTTTTCATTTGTGCTAATATCCGCCAGCTGAGAAGTTCAACTTTGGATTATTTAGATATTGAAATGAAGCGTGGAAACTTATTCTCATATTTCCATTAGCATATTCTTCCATATTCTTTGCACGTGTGTATATTGTCGTGGTGATAATCATAGAACTAAGTATAAACTTATCGAAATTAACTTCGAAAATATGCGAAACGCAAATCGAGTGTCTCATTGTTCTGGCCCGTTGTGTCACAAATCTTGGACATTTGGATCTAGATCGCGAAGTGAATTCATCCGATCATTCAGTTTTAAGTGCTTCAAAATGGATCGAACTTTTATCAATGTGAGAGAATCTGAAATTTTTGCACAAATGCGACTTCTGCTAGATTGGCCATAACGTCATTTCCTTAGGTTACAAGAAACATTTAAATTGATTTCATTCTTAGCTCAACATTGCTTATGTTCCAAATATTTTGGTGTCCGTGACAAGATCCACAGAGGTCGCTTTAATATCTATTATCGAAAAGACTTCTCATCTCAACAAGTTTAATTTTTATTTGCATGAAAATACTGCTTGTACAATCTCGCAATTGGGCATCTTTGTGTGTATAGGCAAATACAAAGAAAGAGGTTTGTTTTTCTCTTCCTTTGGTTGTGTCAGACTTAGGTGTTCTTTGTTTCGTTTCTTTTTCACAGAGAAATGTTTTCATAAAAATAACGATGAAATTGGAGGTTTTTTTATATTTCTATTTTATTTGATCGATCGAAACAGTGACATTACTTAGTAAGTGTGTAGAGCTTTGAAGCTAGCATATTCATTTCATTTGTTAATACCATCATGGCCAATTATGATAAAAGTGACGCAAAGTCAGGTTACAGTGGACGTCTCTCGGATTTAGTAGACGAGCCGATGAAATTTCTACTTCCCATCGAAGGGTACGAACTAATGCCTTTGGTTTCATTAGAAGAAGCTGTCGAACCGATTAGAGAAAAGGTTCCTAATATCGACAAAATGGTGTATATTGCTAAAGCCAATCATAAGAATAGACCAACTCAACTTGCAGCAGACCTTTCTGCAGCCATCACAGTCTATACAATGGAAAACACTGCCAAAATGTCTTTATATTTCACGCTTAATTCAACCCTACGCTGCAGCACATCGGATAGAGAAGAGAATCTCAAATGTTGGTTTCTCTATTTGAAATTATTTATTACCGCATTATCACATCTACCGTCATATCATGGAATAGTTTATCGAGGTGTCAAGCAGGATCTCAGTGGATTTTATACGAAAGACAAGGAATTTGTATGGTGGGGTTTCTCTTCTTGTACCACTTCGCTGAGCGTTTTGCAATCGAATCTTTTTTTTGGAAACGAAGGTGTTGGGACATTGTTTATTATTGATTCCTTTACAGGAAAACATATTCGACAATATTCACACTATGCAAAAGAAGATGAGATTCTTCTCGTTACCGCACGTCGTTTTATCGTTATCGATTGCTTAAATGTGGGTCCTGGTCGATGGATAATTCATATTAAAGAAACGGAGCCACCATTCCCCTTTCTAAAAACTGACAGTTCCATCTCTTCGACGTTTGAACTGACTTCCAACATCGATCAACCACTGTCGACGGTCGATGCTAGTGAAAATACAGATCACATACCAATGGCACATGCTGAAACAAATACAGATAGTATAGTAATCGCACACACTGGAGTTAATACAGATCATGTAACAAGTTCAAACGCTGAAGCAAATACGGACTGCATGATAACTGCAAATGTTGAAACGAACACAGACGACGAGGCAAGTACAGCAGAAAAAAGTACAACACATCAGAAAGTATGGTTCGATACTCCATCGAAGACAAATACCAACGAAACAATGTCATCAGCGTTCGAACTCATTAATTCTGATACGTCAACGTGTCCACAAGATGGTTCGATAGTATCTCAAGCAGAGCCACAGAAACCAATGTTGTCATCTTTTCTTGTTTCGCAAATGCCTAGTCGCTCTCTCGGCAGTGGTACAGAAAGTTTAAGTGAATCAGTAATTAAAATACTGCGTTTAACCAATGAAGTCATTACCAATACAATGATCGACGGTCTGGTGAACATAGTCGCTAGCAATCTCCAATTAGAGACGATTTATCTTGTAAACAATCAGTTAGGAGATGAACTAATGTATCAACTGATCGAAACTATATTCGACCGATCTAATTTAAGAGTCTTTATTATCGATAATCGAATAACGGACAGAGGTGCAGCATTACTAGCAGACGTATTGATTCGCTGTCGACAAGTGTTCACTATGTTGAATCTTGAGAGAAACCTGATCGGCGATCAAGGCGTCATATCACTCATGAACGCATTAACACAAAGTCCAGACTCTAGCCTAAAATCATTAAGTCTGAGTCGAAACCTGTGCATAGGAGATGGATGTATCGATAGTATCATTGATACAATAAGTGATAATCATACTTTGCGATCTTTATATTTAGAAAAATGTAATTTATCCGATGATGGCAAACAACGACTTCAAAATACAATCGGCAAGAAATCTACATTTCAATTACAACTTTAAAGTTGAATTTACACTCAAGAGAACTAAATCAAATTTACTTTATCACTTCTGTTGTAATCATACTTTAATTGACTGACCACTAAGAAATGTGGTTTAAATTTTGTTTCGTTTTTCTCAACAATGAAATCGTCTCCTTATGATCTCTTCATATGTTAAATGCACACGATAAACAAGAACTATAGATTGAATTACCTTTTTTTTGTCTCCAAAAACGTATTTATGGATTATTTTTCACCATAGATATTGATAAAACGCCAGAAACATTTCTTAGAATATGTTTTTCATAAATACAATAAATAAGTCATAGTTTCGTTGTAGAGAAATAAAAATACGCCTATACAATCGTGAGATTTTTCTTTCCATATGCTCGATTTATCCAACGTGTTGTATCTTCGAAAGTATAGTTGATACGGACTGATGAACATTGCTCATATACAAGTATTGTGTAGAAGTTTTTCTTTCTTTGTTGTCATTACATTCGATGTGAAATGACCATGTGCGTCAAGGACAGAAAGATCAATGGGTACGAGACAAACAGTTTGAACAATAAAAAGAAGAATAAATACACGCTCAACAAAAGAAAGAACATATGTACAGGTATAAGCTCGTATAATTCTATAGTTTATTATCATCGATAGATATATTGAAAAGAGATTAAGTTATGATTGATCCATTCTCTTCCTTTTCTATTATTCTTCTTCCTCACATATGGTAGTTTAAGGACAAAAATCTTTTGTTTATGAATAACAAAAAGAAATTCATTGTCAGTCGTCAAGTGAAGGTAAAATTGTTAACCTTACAAACATTGATTCAATGAAAAGAGACATGCGTGACCAATTTTCTTCGTCTCTTCCTCATAGAACACTTGTCCTATAAATAGTTTGTCAAATTCCATCAGTTGTATTCATTCGATATTCATATTCATACTACTACACTCAACAACATACCAACGCAAGAACATGTGGGGAAATAGTTACAATCCTTATGCTTCACTTCAACGTGATTTACAATCAAGCAGCTGGCTTAGTCCAACTTTGACAACTTCAATCAGCAGTAAGTGATTTTCAAGATTCAAGGAAATTGTTCTTTCTATTTATTCGACATTTCTATAGATCCCTATGGTTCCAGCTATCTCAGCGGTTTAACAAATCCATTTGCTGGACAAACATTCGGAAGTTCTTATCCAACATTTGGCAACTATGGTTACCCATTCCGAAGATGGTAACCTAAACGATGATGCAAAGCAGCCAATAACGGAATACACAATCGAAATATCTCATTTGCTTTTCATTTTTTATAGTATTTTTACTCGCATAAAAATTTTTTTTGTATTCCTATGTAACATCGACAATAAATCAAAGAATATTACAACCTTGAAAAACATCTCTATTGTTGTACATTGATCTTCACGGCATGCGAATTGACTACGGATTTGTTCACATCTGTTCTTTTACTCTACAAGAGGCGAACTTTGATTATAAGACGCTGAAGTATCTTTTGTCGTTGCAGACGATGTTTTAAAACGAGAAAACAAAGCACTCACAGATTTTTGCACCTTATGCAAACCAACAACGTATAATCATTCGAGTTGTTTTAGTACTCGTACTAATTAATTGCATATTAATGAAAATACGTTGTCCAGACTTTCGGTGACGATATTTGTTGTCTCCTTGATCTAATAGAATCAACGTCATTGAATTCAATAAGAACAAATAAGTTTTGTATTGTAATTAAAAAAATATAATAGAGAAGGCCATGCGGTACGGGGGGAACGAATTGAAAATAACGGAAACAACACTTTTTACAACAAATTACATTTCAAAATCAAATGAAGATTATTGAAAAAGAAGCTTCTGCCATTAACAACGCTCTCATGTCGTTGGTGATCAAAACATGACTCACGTCGTCGTGTTTCTATGTTACTCGCGTTGTTGAATAAAAACAGTTGTTTTTTTTTCTCGAGTTAAGTTAAACTTACACGTTTCCCACTGGAATTCAAATGACGTGTTTCGAGGATTTATCAAATGAGATTTTATATGAAATTATTGAATATCTTGATATTTGCGATGCATACGCCATGTTTTCAAAATTAAACCATCGTTTCCAACAATTTTTCAAACATTTAAGTTTACCATGGAAATTTTGTATACATTCCACAAGTAGAGTCAGCTTATCAGAACGTTGTCAATACATAAAATCTAAATCTGTGGCTGATATTTTATCACTTCGTTTCTCAAATCCAACCGCTGTCGATTATTTTCTTTCGTTAATTCCATTGGATTCGTCATTTATTCGTCTCGAATCGTTGGTGCTTCATAAAATAAAACTATTGAAGTTAGTTTCTATCCTTACAACTCTTTCAACACTTCCACGACTTTTCTCACTTACCACTACGACGGTTGGGGCCATTACATTCCTCCGTGATGTTCACAATGCACTATTTGCTCTACCTGTTCTGAAATATTGCAATACTACGTTCAATGGACAGATAGAATTCTTTGAGTTGGCTAATTTATGCGCTAAAATTAGTCCAATAGAATATTTTGTGAGTAGGACGTCGTATACTATGAAGAATGTAGTTGACATATTTCGACATCTCCCAAAACTAGTTCGTGCGGAAGTGAGTTGCTTTTCACCGATGTTTAGTACTGATAGTCTGATGCCAGTGCTAGTAGAACGCTTGACTTGTTTACAATTGCAAACTTCAACACAGATTGAACAGTTGGAAGTATTCTTATCGAAATTACGTCATCAAATTCAGACACTACGTATTTCGTCATATTCAAAGATGGATTCGACGGATGCAAAACGGTGGCAACACCTGATCTCGTCTCATTTTCCAGATCTTCGTACGTTTGAAATGCAACACTTTGGACAAATTTCTAGTTTAAATGAATACGATCTCATTCGAAATGAATTCAATTCATCATTTTGGTGGAAAAGAAAATGGTTTTTCATATTTCAAGCTTTCAACACTAATGACACCTTCTACATGTTCTTCTATTCTCAAACGCGTGCATCGAGTACTCGGGATGCACGTTCGATCCATAATATTACTATCGATGACGCGAAAACCATCATTCAGTTTCAATCATCACAACTAACGTTCTTCCCTGCGTATCAAAATTCTGCTAATGCATCATTATTCCATCAGATTCTGAATACTATGCCGTATCAACAACTGAAACGTTTAACAATCACAAGTAATACTTGTATGATGGACAAACTGATAGATTGGCTAAACCTTTGTTCAAATATAGAGGTTTTAACTTTCAAAACGTACTGCTATTCAAAAAAGACTTGCTCTTGTATAATTCCACGCTTTATCGTCCAAGCCGTATTAACATATGAGAACGTTCAAGATTTGATTGATACATTTCCTCGTTTGGAAACCTTAGAAATGAAAATAAGAGAAAATGATCTGGAAAATATTGTTCGCTTTCTTCTAACATATACTCATGATGAAATTTCGCGTTTATATTCAATTATTATCCATGATGCACATTCGATATTATCTGGTAGACTACACAAGCAAATTGAACGTGAAGATTTTGATTGGATCTGTTCAGTTGAATTCATTGGCGATGTGTTATATTTACGATGGAAATGAAAAGTATTCTTTGACGATACATTGGAGATCCCTTGAGCGTTTTTACTAATCCAATATTTTCAGTTTTTCTTTCTGTACTTTTTCGAACAGGAAAATATTTGTCTTCCAATTGACGAGACTTAATGAAAATTCTGAACTTTCTTTTCCATCCGATTTTCAGATAGTCTTACTTTTCTTATGATGTGCATTCATTTAATAGAAATTAAGGACATGACACAAGATTATTTTACTTTTCTTTTATTAATATCTCACGTTCGTATTGATTGAAGGTAAAACGAGCTCGAGGCATAGACAGCAGATATAGAACAGGGAACAATTCATACATCAGATCACTTACAGCACGTGGTTGCATGTCAAACAGTTATCAGTGTTCTTCTCGCACGAATTCTTCATGTCTAAATATTCCTGACCTGATCAAAGATGAACTCGAGTACAATAAGAGTGACAGAAATACCAGTCAGTTTTGCTAAATACTATATCGTCATTCCCGTGACAGTGGGTTGTGCAGTCATCGCTATAACTGTTGCATGTTTTATATTAATTTTAATTATATCAAAAAAGAATTTGCATACAATTACACATATGCTCATTTGCAATACATGTGTATCGTCGATTCTCTTCTGTATTATTCAATGTAATAATTATGTTCATCTTGGATTTATCTTATGGAATACAAGTAATTTATCGTGTCAATGGCGTGCTTATCTCGCTTATATGTCAATTGCATCTGTTGTCTATTCGTATTTAGTTCAAGCGATATCACGATATTTCTTCTCAATACTTTCCCGAAAATATTGCTGGTTACTCACGTTCAAAACGCACATCATCTTGATTGTTACTCATTGGTTAATAGTGATCATCATACCAATATCAGTATTCATTCGAAAAGACGTTGTTTTTCGCCCATTTTCACTCTGCTGGATACCAAGAAGATCGTTGTATCATTCGGCGTACATTTATTTAGCATGCTACATTTTGCCCATCGCATTCATCATTGCCCTTTATATTTACATATATGCTCGAATCAAACGTCGTAAAACGATATTGTCCGCTATCATAATGGTCGTCCGACAAAATCGTGACGTTGAAGTTCTTCGTAATATGATGATTCTACTTGGTATTTACATAGCAGGCGGTGCTCCAACTGTGTTCTATTTTGTCAGTGAAATTAAACTATTTTATACCATGGGAGTGATATCTATCTCGTTAGCAGTAGTCATAGAAAAGGTTATGACCATTTTTATTGATCGTGAAATTCGACTTATTATTAAGCAATGTCTTCCTTGTCGAAAGACACACGTCGTGCCCATGTAGTACTCATTCACTTGTGAAGGTTGCTAAAGAAGTTTACAGATGGTCATTTCTACTGAATTTTCGTCAAATAACACTCTTTAATTAGCCACTCTTGCCTAGATAGGAGCAGTGTTGCATTGTATGAGACGATGAATCATAGCTGTGAATAACTCTTCTGCATAGATAAAATACAAATATTTCGGCGATACACACATGAGTATAGTTTAGGTATTTGGAATCGATTCATTTTCTTTCGTTTGTCGACCTGTATGAATAAATAAAAATCATTTCAATTGAAGCGTCCAGTATGTATGATTCTATTATTTTCCAGTAGTGTCTACTATAAAGTAGATCAAGGAAGTAAATTGGACGCAGAATTTATATTTCGGACAGAAACAAAAATCTTTGCTATAGTTTGCGAAACATTCCACGTCGATACGTGATGATATCGTCATCGCCATCTGACACGAAAATGCTAATGGAGCGTTCGATGATCGTTACTAATTCACTACACTAAGCTATCGTAATGGCCATCAACGATAATAACATCAGTTAGGAATCACATTTCAAAATAGGTGGATTTGTATACATGCTTACAGTAGGTAAAGATCAGTTTTCTTTGAACTGCATATAAACGAGATATGGGTTTGCAACTGTAGTGTCATTGTCAATCAAACTGGTATGTCATCTAGGCAAAGTCATGAAGATACTCGGAAATTTGCGTATAATTACACAAATTTCTCCCGAAGATAAACATTCCTTCTAGCATATTCGTATGACAACAACTTCGGGAAACGGTTCGAATGAAGAACAGCTATCGATCTTATATGGCAGATCGTGCTGTTATCAGTTTAAGTTTTGGCCGTGTACAAAAAATCTATGGGATAGTGTTCTCAAGTTATTGCATACTTTCAAAAAGCTATTAACATTTTTATCATCGTCTTACGAAACTTGCTAAAGTACATTCTCGAAATAAACAAAACGAAATAGCAAGAAATTTGCATAATAACTGCATTCACATGGATACAACAACATACGTGTATACTTCAAATTGAGTGAGTTGTACGTTGAACAAGCAGCTGGACATTTAGCGGCACTACCATACTCCCAAAAAGTCCTTCGTATTCTCCATTTACGTTATTGGTTTTTTCCAAGTTGAAATGATTCAACGTTGTTACTGTATACAGTGTTTCGAAAAAGTGGACTGAGTAACTCATGATCAATGCATCTTTTAAATATCAAATAGAAAGAAGAAGCGCTCTCTTTACTATTTCATCCTTATCAAAAAAAGGGCCATTCGTTTGTTTCTTTCTTTTCGTTCGTTCGCTCCAAACTAAACATCAGTATAAATAAACGTATAAAATGCAAGTTTCCTCTAGTTTTTCAATCTTATTCACTTTTAAGATATCCCAAAATACATTTTTATTAGGAACAAAGATGCTGCCATCGAAGCGATTGATTGCGTGAGTCGTTTGTCATATGGCTTTCTCCTTTTTTTTCCAGCCACCACAAATGATAAGTGGGGGAAAATCATATGAGCACAATATTGAACTTTTACTCCTTCTGAAAAACACTTCACATGCAAATCTTAGTTTTACGTTTTGAAAACCTACTCGTTTCGTTTACTCGACTAAAAATTAATCCGAGTGTAAATTTCATACAGTCATTAGAAAGTCTTTGCATTCGTATTCTAAATCCTAGTCGATACCGAATCATATCACTTCGGTTGTATAATTTTCGAAATATGAATATTGCTTTATTAGATTTCTTTATCAATATTTCGTTTATTCATTTGAAATCTTTGCAGCTTATGCACGCAAGAATAGATATAATTGTACCACTTCTCACAAAGTTAATATTTCTAACTCGTCTTTCCTCTCTAATTACTTATTTATACGACTTTGTTGACGATGCAGTTAATATATATGAAGCCACTTTCATCTTGGCTTGGATTTTGGTTCATTGAATGAATTACCAATTGCTACGCCAGATCATTATACAGGTTTTGAACATCTGGCTGTTAATCACCATTGTTTTCTGGATGAATTAATTGATATACTTTCTTACACATCTCATCTTCGTCGGTTGAAACGAAGTATACTATTCGAGTTGAATGAGCCAGAATCTTTGATACAGATCAACAGTTTAGTAAATATTCGTATAGATATGTGTTCTGCTAGTTTTAATCAATTAGAAACATTTCTTACAAAAACAACAGCACAGCTGCAAGAACTGCACATTAAGTGCTCGGATGACGTGAATTATTTTGATGCGAGCCGATGAGAACGGGTTATATCAAAATATTTATTGAACTTACATATTTTTCATTATCAGTATTAACACACTAGCGACGATAACTTGGAAGATAACTATTCGCAATTTAGTATTTAGTTTCAGGTAGATTTTTAGAGAACGAATACTACTCTTTATTCCATTTTATCTCCTAAGTATATTGAAAAATCTGATTGAAAATGTTTAACAAAATATTTATATTGTTGTATAGTATAATGTTGACTCAATCGAAACACGAAAAGAAACAAAAAACGTGCAAATTTCGTGGCTTTAAATCGACATGACGGAAGTGCCCGGAATCAATCAACTTGTTGTCAACCATTACTATAGATATGAAAATAGGGGTTTCTTTTTGACCGTCTTTTCTGTGCTCTCCTTCTTTCTCTGAGAATCACTTATCTAGGTATTCAGAAGGCTGAGATCTTTATCGGTGAACTAATTAAGTCGATTCTACGCTTAACTCATCTTGAATCGTTAACGGTTCCATCATTATCTCTGGTAACACCAAGATTTCTTACATCTTCACAAAGGCAAAATCACTTCGTTTATTATCAAAAACTAATCGAGTCAGTAAAACCGTTCTTTAGTACATGGATAATTTGTCGAATTAAGCTCAATTTCTGATTGATCTTTTCTCATTAGTACAATATCTAGAAATCGATTGTGAAAACGATTTCTTGTTAGAAAAATTCCTTCGGTTTATCTTACTAAAAAACACAAAATATATCTGTCAACTATCTAAGATTTGCATGAAATCATCTGGAGTCAACGAAGCTACGCTCAACAGATTGAAGCACATCATTGATTTCAAATAACAACGTGGCGACTGTACTATCCGACACGTAGACATTACAATCCTTCTAGAATTGAATTTGCAATGTTAAAGTCTAACCAAAAATAACTTACTTATATACTTTATCTTTAACTTCTTTGTAAACTCGAATGTTTTCGTAACGGAATAAAAAAAACTGTCGTCTAGTAGCATGTCTATAATACCAAAATTTACTTTTACCAAATATTCCAACAATCATCTTTGAACTTTATTACCAATAGAATGCGAGTTTTTCTCTATACACCAAAGTAAATATTTTACCACGTGTTTTTTATTCGTTCTTCTTCTTCTTACATGAAGACACACACAAAGTAACTCATATTTTTCTTTCTTACTACACGAACGACCTTATATGGTAAAGATTACATCCACCATCTATACTCATATGATATTAACATTCCCATATAAGGAAAGTGACATTGAAAAAAAGTAGGACACTGAGAGTATATATTTTCTGACTGAAAAATATAATCATGTAATTCCATACGAAATAATTCTGCTAGTTAGATGATGCATTCGTTATTAATTCTCACTGCTTGGATTGCACAAGTTCTCATATGTTTTTATTATGTACGTTTATTACCAAATGCATCGATTCGATGCATATGGGTACTTGTACCTTGTGTAATATTAACATATCTAACCACTTATGATCTTCCACGACGTTCGATGTCATCTATGTTATTGGGAACATACTGTTGGTTTGCGTCAATACGGCTAATTCATTGGATTGTGATGTCTCCTAATCATTATAATACATTGATTCCTTACGTTCGCAGATTACTTTGGATGTTCTTACCTGTTGTTCCCTGTACGGAAGATTATCGCAAACAATGGCCTATTCATAATGACTTTCTCATGTCCGCTTTGAAAATCATCATCAATCATTGGTTATATCGTTGGCTTCTATCATGTTCTGGAAGTGATAGTTATCCTCGATTACTGATGTTTTTCACATTTGCAGTCACCTACACATTTTTCTCAGATTTCGTAAGTGGGATCATCCGTCTCGTCACCGGCGATAAATATCGACACACTACAACGATCAATTTCCCGTTTCTAGCTCATTCATTGCGCGATTTCTGGGGTCGACGATATAATCAGCTTGTCAGTAGTGTTTTTCGTGAATCAATATTTCAACCTGTTCGCCAATGTCTATCTTCTGCAACGCTTGCTTCTCTGATTGTTTTTCTTGTTAGTGGTCTTCTTCATGTGCATCTGGCATGGTTGGCAGTTCATGATTTACAAGTCGCTCTAGCGGCTATGTTATTCTTTGTTATACATGGTGTCGCTTGCGTAATAGAAGCTCATTTACCATTTCGTTTACCGGTACTGGTCTCATGGTTCTATACGCAAATCTTCTTACTTGCCACAGCATCTCTCCAGATTGGAGTATTTGTTAAAGCAGGATCTGACTTTTTTTCTGATAATGCGCCACTTTTCTTCGATCAAAAATGGATACCAAAACTACCTGTACCAAATTTTTGCCCCAAATGAAAAAAGAAGAACATACTTTTTTGACATAGATACAGAACAGTTTCACCAATATGTTTTTCGTAGAAATAAACTATATAGATTCGACACTAAACAGTTTGCTGCGAGATAACATACTCATCCTCAATCATCGGGAACGACATACTGGAGTTAATAGAACATATGAAGGTTATAAAGTGCGGAAGAATTTATACTGACGTCGTATAGTTAACCAAGAAAAGAAATACCGCAGTTGAGTAAAATTCGCAAGGAGTACATGCAATTCAAAATACAAAACAAATAAAATGATATAATTCTAACAAATTTTAGAAACAGTTTGGGCGGTAATGATGATAGAAATTGTAAGGTTATTTTTGTTTAGATAAAAATAGTCAGAACAAAAGAAAAGATGAAAACGAATATTTTATCCTGTTTCTTTTATCCTATTCAAACGAAACAATGCAGTTGACTCATATATTGTGTTGTCATCAAGGCTTTCGAGTATTCGAAAACTTGAGTATAACAATCTTTCACAGTTATTACTATGTTTTTTTATTTTTGAAAGATACGACTATGCTAATGAAGGAGAATAAATTTCTTATTTTCGTTACTGAAAATTAAAATCGAGAAAAATATAGGAAAGAATCCGCCAAAAAAAGTCAATCAGAAGAAAATTCATCGTTCATCTTTCATTTTTCTCATCGCCAATTCATGATCAACACAGGCACGTTCTGTAACAGCTTGAACAGCATCTTGAACTACTAACACCAATGCGTACAACGCTACGTGGTGCGCAATCAGTGACGATAATAGGACTGTTGTCGACAACATAATAATCAGGCTGTTGAATAATCAATGGAGTTCCATAATCGACAATTTGTTGAGTAAGAATCACCGGTTTACTTATTTGATCAACAACGGTGATGTACGAAGGCTTTGGGACACATCTCACATTGTTCCTAACGTATAATACAGTGACTGGTGGTGGAGGTGGAGGAGCACACGAAGATGTGATGATAATAGTTCTACTCATGTTGATTTCGAAGTGATGTCCTTTGAAATTGATGTTATGATGAATATTTTATCGACAACTGTATTCGAATTGTGAAGGTTGATGTTATTGATAACATATATAGAAAGTGACCAGATGTTTCATTAAGATCAGTGATCCGTGCATATGTTTGTTTTCACTGCAGCATCACGCGTTTCTCTCTCTTGCACTGACTCATCGCGTAGAAGAAGAAGAAGTAGTAGTTTAAAATCCGTATCATTTTATTATTGTACTATACGGATACAAAATATTTTATCTCAATAAAGTATCGTCACAGAACGAAAAAAATATTTTGTGTATTCTCTTTTCGTTAAACGATAACAAAACACTAATTACATATTTTTTTATTTGATATGTCTTACTTTGATGTTTTCTCAATACATTTCACTCGATAGGACCAATGGAGAAATCCAATCACATTATTACTTTTTCTATATATTATATATAACAGATGCAATAATAAAGCGTGACGTACTTTCGTTTTAGGAAGAGCTTTTCTTATTTTTATGTTTACATATGCCTACGATTGTCAATTGACTGCAAGAAAAAAAAAAGCAAAACATACATGTGGCTATTTCTGTCGAGTTTCCTAATCGTTATTGTACCTAGTGGGTGATACTATTCTCATATAGATAGTACTTAACGATGATTGAATCAAGTAACGTGATGTCGATGCGTTTGATTTGAATGAATCGATATGAATGCTTATTTCGTTATAATCGGAGAGCAACCACTGTGAAGGTTAATTATGACGAAATTTTAAACGATTTCATTGCGTTCTTTTGAAATTTTCTACATTATACCGTTTAATCACCGGTGTTGTCGAACTTAATTATGTGGCTAATAACCAGAGAAAAACACAAACACATGCAGCTATCATATATAACGATCATTCCATTGCATATTCGAATACAATCTATAAACGTGCTACATGATAACCGGAAATAATTATTACACAGAAGACTTGAGCATGGTAGGGTAATGTTTTCATAGTTTGTTATTGGTGTTATGCTAGTTCTACATTGCCTCCATAGGCATGGAATAGTTATGTTCGAAATTTCAGGGTTCCATGAATTTCAGCAGATCATTGGCCTCTAAAGCATCGGTATGAATGAAAAATTAATTACATCTGAGTGTTGAATGAATAAATTGATTGAATTTTAATGAGTACATTATTGGCGAAGCGATCGACATATTGCTTTTCTGAAAGTTTTAAACGTATTCACTGTTAAAATAGCACTTGAGTAAACACCACGAGTGTCGAAGAGATATACTTGCAAATTAGACGTTATTGTGAATCCAATGTGCGAAAAAGAAAGAATTACGAATGTCGAAGCGGTAAAGAATTTCGATGAAAGGGCAATTCTACAAAGTTTCACAATTTACATTTTTAATTATCATCTTTTCGGCTGAAATTATATCGCACTACAGTATTCTGGTGTATAACTAAAACATCATAAAGAATACGGAAGGTGTACAATACTGAGCGCCTAAATCGATTCGTTTGTTTGAAAAAAGACACATCAAGGTTAAACCACATGTTGCAAATACAATCTTTACAAACAAAATCATACGTACAAAATTCTTATCAGAAAAAGCATAGTGATAACAAAAAAGTGAATCTGCAACGATGACTAGAATTTTGCAGCCGAAAACGTTCTCTGTTTACCAGTCGTATTAAAGTAAAAAAATATCCTCGGATACAAACGTTGCTCTTTCGTTCATCAATTTATCTATGAATCGAATTGATAAATGTCATTGGAACAAACGCATCGGCTATTGAAAGACAAAACATATATTATCGTTCTTCTGTTGGTTAGATTTTGTCTACATTTACAATGGATGTACATCGACTCAATTCGTTAATCTTATAATTCATACAGAGCAGAACAGACAAAAAAGAATGGAAGATATCCAGTATTAGATTTCTAGAAAAGGAAAGCAAAAATTACTCGTCGACTTCTCTTCCTTTGCATTGCAGATTATAAATAACTCCTTCGCACTAATACCAACAACCAAAACAACAACATCAATTCTATGTACACATTTTCTTTCTTTTCCGCCTCGAATACATAGACACTCCTATCATCTCTATCCAACGATACACATATCTAACCAACCCTCGCTCAGCACGACGACAACATGGCCTCCTCTAATAAAGACAATTCGATCGAATATGATAAACAAATGTATAAAAAACCGGAAAGACCTAAAAATCATCTAGCTGGACGTTTGAATAAATTTCAAGAAACTATTAATCAAACTCAAGCTCCATCCGCTCCAGTGATACAATCGATCCACGAGTATGTTCTATCACATGATGTTGATTTAACCTTGACTAGAATGTTATTGTTATTTTCAGTCAACATGAAATACCTGCGAATGTAATGAATGAAATCAAACATGTTTTTCAATTGATTAAAGACAATGGATTACAGGGTGATTACGCAGTGCAAATCAAATTTGGTGAATTTATACCAGTCAGTAACAGAAAGATGTGTGTACGAGAAATGTAACATTTGTTTTTGCCTGTAGATATTCGGAAATACTCAAGTCAATAAATTAGTCGAAATTTTAGCGGTCGCACGTCAGCATGGTTTTATTAATTATAGTGGAAATGATCTCTTGCAACAAGATCAAGACGAAGAAGTTTATCTGAAATTAATCAAGACACCATATTAAGTCAATTTGGCTAATTTTATTTTTACTTTCTATATGATGAATAAAGAAGTTTTTTTCTTATATTAATCAAAATTAAACTTTCAGAAAACATTTACTAAAAAGCTGATTACATGTTCCAAATATAGATGTTTTACCAGAGAACATTCTAGCACGACAAGATATAGCTGATATGTATATTGGTTGTTAATAGTAATTAATGATACACTTATGATGATCGATGTGTACGATGAATATCGTATACAACTATGCAGGTGATATCTGATGTATCTATAGTTGTTGTTATGAACAAAGAAACAAGAATTTAAATAGTATTCTCATCAACGAGTTTTGTTCAGTATAATTTTTCAATACGGTGACATAGCGACGTCGGCTTTTCTTCATCGAAAAAATTGTGATTTGGGACATGCTGTTAATAAGTTCACGTTTCATTTCCTAGAGAGGCCACTATTAAATTGATAACTTGCAAAAAGTGATAATCGACTTGTTGACTAAAGCAAAGTTCAATTTTCTACTTGTATTGCAAAGTGTCTCATCGATCGCTCTATCTAACGAATAGCGCGTTCACATGAATTTTGTGAATGCATACATCTCGCGAATGATGCAGACATATGTAAAACTAAATCATTTGTTGATGTTACTTACACGACTTTTGTACCGATGCAACTGACTTCCAAAGTGCGTCCCATCCATCTGTAGCTTTATTAGAATAAATATTACTAATTTTGTTATTTTCATAACATATGATGGATTGTCTTTACACTTAATAGCTTTTAAAATTTGATAAAATAGTTTTTTGACCATATTTTGTATATTTCAACGTGGCTTTTCAAACGAAAAGCGACATTTTTTAAAATAAATCATAGTGGTTCACCAACTACTTCGCATCCAACAAGACGTCGATCGAATCATATGCATTAATAATCGATAATTCACTTTGTTTGGGTTGTATTGTATTATTAAAGATCCACAATCGACTTTCGTTCGAAAAACTAGTTGTAGTAAATTGTATATATCTGTTGATTATCCACAGCTGAATGTATCACAAATCACTTTTGAGCTAGTACTCTCCATCGCAGAAACAAAAATCTCATCATATACTTTTCGATCATGGTTGACTAGTTAATCTGCAAAGAACTAATCATAACATCGATGATAAGCTTGAGATATGCGTTTACTCTATTCTTCATGTCACAACCCACGCATTCGTTTTGATGTTCGTTTTATTTTTGTATCGATTAGTATGAGTTGGCAAAATTTCGTTGGTGTATCCTCAAATCAACAATTAGTTGTTTTTCAGCACTTCGATGCGTATATAAAGCGATGGATTCTTTCCATTTTTCATTCACTTCATCATCATCATCATCTACTTCATCGATACATAACAACAATCCGACAATCATGAAACCTGTTTTCGTCTCATTCGCCTTTCTGGTTTTATGTGTTGCATTTAACTCAGCAGCGCTCGTAAAACGATCGCTATCCAATGATGAGAGCGACGACGAACTTGCTTTGGCAACTCGAAACAACTTTGGTGAAACATGTAATCGTGTTTCAGTATGTGACAACTATTTGATTGGCACTTGCAGAAAACGCGATCAAAGCTCGAAGGTTTCAGCTCTCGACTTGACTCGAGTGATGGCAAACATTGATGGTGAACTAAAACTCCGCCGACGAACATTATGTGAGTTTGTCAGAGAATAACATGAGCATAGAGAAAATCATGACGAGNAATAATATCAATATTATTTCTTGTTATATAAATTGGTGACAACGAAAGATTTCAATTACATTCTCTCTCTCTCTCTCTCTCTCTCGCTCTGATTCAATTCGTTTTGATTGATGTTGACCCAAATGCACAAACTCGTGTGTATATTCGTTATAGTTTTCTGTCAAAAGATTGTTTTTCTCGATATTCGTAAAAGATTCTTCCGAGGATACAATTCTTCATCTGAAGACAGAAAGAAAAGCGACAACTAAACTTTCACTTTCTGAGTATATTATTGACACAGTATGTACTTAAGGATAGAGAAAAAGAACGAGTGTACACGTTATTATACACGTGTGCTGTTTTTCTTCTTTCCATCTCTCTTTCTCTGTTGTAAAAGACTTATACTCAGATACTTCTACACTTTAGACAATGCCGCAACATCGTAACGTAATATCAAAAAGGAAAACTACTAACATACCTCGAATTAACATCGTTTTACTCATTGTCGGAACACGAGGGGATGTACAACCATTTATAGCGTAAGTTTATCAACTTAATCTATAGTAAATATCAATTGTTTGCATATTGTGACAGTCTTGGACAAGCATTAGTGGCTGCTGGTCATCGTGTTCGTTTAGCAACACATAATACATTTCGTAAATTTGTACGAGGAAATGGATTAGAATTTTTCCCATTAGCAGGAGATCCAGCTGATCTTATGGCATTTATGGTGAAAAACTCTGGCATCATACCGTCAGTGGGAAGTATTGCCGCAGGAGATTTAACGAAAAATCGTAATGTTTTAACTGAAATTTTGGCGTCGACTTGGAGTGCATGTACGCTTGATGATGATGAAACAGGAGAATCGTTCACAGCAGAGGCAATCATTGCCAATCCACCGTCGTTCGGTCATGTACATTGTGCACAAAAATTACAAATTCCATTACATATTATGTTTACAATGCCATGGTCACCAACGACTGCTTTTCCACATCCTCTAATCAACGTTGATTATTCAAAAGCATCAATTGAAAAAGTGAATATGCTATCGTATACAGCAATCGAAATGTTTGTAAGTGTATTCAAGATATTTTTTACATCGAAACAACTGAAGAAGTAATATTTTCTTCTTTGACAGACTTGGTCTAGTATGCGCGATATTGTGAATAACTTTCGTCGAGAGGTCTTAAGTTTACCACCACTGCATACTCGACAAGCAACATTTATGATGATCGATGAACGTGTGCCATATACATATTGTTGGTCGCCATCACTTGTACCTAAACCCAAAGATTGGGCAGATCATATAAATGTTAGTGGATTCTTTATTCTTAAACAAGATACTACTGCTGACACCAATTATCCAGATGATTTGTTAAAGTTTCTCGGTTTGAAGAATGCGAACAAATCGGAGAAACTATCACCGCCTATCTATATTGGCTTTGGTTCTATCACGGGACATGATTCTGAACGTCTGTTAAAAATTGTTCTAGAGGCACTTGAACAAACCGGCTGCCGAGCATTACTTTCCGGCTTAGCAAAAGATAATGATCAACTACCTGAAACAGTTGTTAAAATTGGTAGTGTTCCACACGATTGGCTTTTTCAACATGGTCAGTATCACATCGCCTTTCGCCTGTATATTAAATGTCGGTCTATAAATAGTATCTGCTGTATGTCATCATGGAGGAGCAGGTACGACTGCTGCTGGTCTTCTGGCTGGTAAGCCGACGATTATAGTACCATTTTTCGGAGATCAATTTTTTTGGGGCAATGTTGTGGAAAAGAATGGCGCTGGTCCTCATCCAGTGCCTGGAAAAGTTCTGACGACAGAAGATCTAGTAAAGGCAATTGAATTTGTACGTCGACCAGAAACGAACGCTGCTGCTGAACGTATTCGAAATTCGATGTTAAAAGAAAATGGTTGTGATGAAGCAGTGCGTGCATTCCATGCTCATCTTCCACTTTCCACTATACGTAGCGATCTGGAATCAACAGATGCAGCGTGCTATCAACTGAAAGACCACCGATTGCAAGTATCGCGTCGTGTTGCCCAAGTACTTCTCATTGGAAAACGAATTGATGAATCACAATTAGAAAGTCATCCAACACGACAATGGCTCTCGATATACGATAATCGCATTCACATACCGTTTCATGGTATCATAAAACATACACAAAAAGCCATTGTGACCATTGTTATCGATACTAGCAGCGGTATCAAACAAGCAATTCATTGCGATACATGGCAAAGTGGCACCCGTACTGTCTGCGAAGGTATTGCAAAAGGCTTAGGGAAAGGTATTGGCCATCTATGTATTGGTTGTGTTTCGCTTTATGGAGAATTGACCGATGTATTGGACGCTGCACCAGCTTATTATGATTTTTATAAGTAAAGAACAATTTCTATCTATGTAATATATCTTTCGTCATTTCAGTGAACAAGAACTTCGCTCTCGACCGTATGTTGTTGATTTCAATTCAGGTGTGAACGCTGCTATACTTGCTGTCTACTACGGTTGGACAGACGGTGTTAAAGAACTCTTGGAGACACCTCGTATCGGTTATGGACGTCATGGACCCATCGGTGGTGCTGCTGGAACATTGATAGGACTTGTCAATGGTTTATTAAAGCCTGTCGTTGGGACGTTATCTTCATTGACTTGGTTATGTCGAGGTTTCTATGCCAGTTTTAATAACTCTCTGCTTAACAATAAGGACGACGAAGCAGACGTAGCAAATACGATTGATCTCGATTTATCCACACTCAACTTAGCTCAAAACAATTTACAAGATGAGCAGAGTGTCTCTGAAGCGGCGACACTAGCAGCATCGAAGACTGGCTTTAAACCAAGTACTTGTGAGCAGATCCTATCTAAATTTGATAGAATTAAACAGCAATATTCTACAACTACAGCACATGACCATCAGTCATGACTATTTCTAAAACCTAATCTTTTCATACAATGCTATTCTCGCGGTTTCGACGTGTTTTGTTGTCATAAATTATTATTACTGTTGATTATTCAACTCTGATAGAGAACAAAATATTCTATTTAAAAACAATTCAAAAGTTCACAAACATCTCTTCTAGATCGTCGATTGATTCAGTCTTGTATTGAGCGTTGTTTGTATATTCTTCATTATTTCCAAGATATGACCTGATTCTGTTTGGATTTTTCTAATATCATTCTTCATCTGTTCCATCTGCTGCAATGTCTCATCATGTTGAGCGGTTAAATTGTGTTGCATGATTATTATCTCATGCAGTCCAATACAACTATCCATTAAATAACCTTGTTGCCTTTTCGTTTGTTGCAAAGAAGATATGGCTCGAAAAAGTTTTCGTTGCGCGTGAAACGATTGAATAAATGTTCGTTTATTCTGTCGCTTCAAATACCATACTTTCATAGCAAATTTGACAACATTCGCTGCTTGATTTTCACGATCTTTAGCTAACTGCATTTTTGACACGAATGTATGAACATATTTTTCTTCACGCGTCAAATGTAGTTTTTGAGTGAGAACAGCAATAAAAAGAGCAGATGAAAGAAGACCAATAAAACCGACCACGGTTGTAATACCTATAAAATTTTCACAACTAAAACTAATTATACGAAAGAATGCATTTACTTACCGCGTCCACAAAGTGTTGACGGATACACATCTCCGAAACCTACACGAAACAAGTTGTCCTTTCAGTTGACTTCATCCGTAATAGATATGACGTACCAACTGTAGTGAACGTTACAATGAATAACCACATTGAGTCGAATATGGATAGATGATCTCCTGTTGCTGTGTAGTCACATGCGCGTAGACACCAACTTCCAATAAGGAAAGCAATGATGTTAAGAGCAAGTAAACATCGAGTTGCCCATTGCTCCAGGTAAGTTTTCAATAGGAAGGACAAATCGATCGATACTTGATTGAGACAACTAATGGATCGTAATGATCCATCACGAAACAAGTATGAATGGAACATAATTGTTCGACCAAATAGATACAAACGAAGAAACACTACAAAGTACAATGAAATTAGCTTAAACGATACGAGAATAATCTACTTGGTAGACTTAATGCAACTTCAACCGATGTGTACGATAGTGAAGGATGAACGGTCGTTTCTGGTGAAATATCTTTCAGATTTGAGTTTAGACTGGACAACGGCATAGGATGTATAGCACATATCAAAAGTTCACTTGCAATGAAACATATTTTCTTCCTTGTTAGACCAACACGATAGTCATCGAGAGAATTCTGAATCGAATAGAGTTGTAGATCTAAATAATGATAGTAGAGAATCAAGCCAAGAAGTATCGCCGTTGTTATAGAAATAATTAGTTTCATGAACCAAATAGGTCCAATATCTCCGTGATTCACCCAATCGAAGTGTAATTCATTTTCGATAATCATGAGAAAGATTCCCAAAATGCCCAGAAAGCTCATGATATTACTAACGAAAGTACTATATAGAGAAACGAGTTAGTAGAATATATTGTGAAGCAAGAGTATCTCGTTACAGTCGAGTATTGAGAAATTTTCTCATACGTGCTCGAAAGCTGATCGCATTGATTAAATTCTCGATGTTTGGTCTCGGTTTTCGGACGGGAGGAGTCTGTTGAAGTTCCTCGTGGCGAACATTTGTACAAGAATTGCTCGAATACCGGCGGGAGGAAGAAGATATGATGCTAACAACTGATGACAGTGGAATATTCGTTGTCGAGCAATTTTCATTTGTATGCATCTATACGGTATAGTAGAAGAAGTTTGTTATGTAGTGGATATTCTGAGGAGAATAGTTGTTATGTATAAATCATGATAATCTAATCGTAAGTTACGTTTTTCTATTAGGAGTTACATGATGAAAAAGTCATTATTTACCTGTGTATATCCTTTCAAAATGCAATTATTTTCCTTCTGTTAATGATTAATGTAAGCCTTCAATAGAGTAAGTGTGGTACGTAAGAAACGGTTTGAATTCATGACATAGACGATTATAAGGTAGGAAGAACGAATTTTTCATTCGTCTGATAATATTTCGTCTGAAAGAAGTTATAAATACATTGGGATAAATTAACTTAAGAAAGTCATTTGGCATTTTTCTACTTGTGCTCTTGCTCAAGAGTAATGTTATACTGCTTATAAGGAGTTTACTAGTAAACAACACAAATAAAAAATTGGGATTTAAGGAAAGATGCGTATAATCGATTTCACCCAGATAAGCATCAATGAAAGTAGTAGACAGACTTCTGATGAAATAAATTATGTGTCACTACTGATGTCAATAATCCCGCACCTTTCAATGCTCGTTACAATATGTGACGAATCTTTATCCGAAACATATATTTATTGAAAGATGTAACAATAAAACAAAATCGAATAATAAGACAAGGTTCGTTCTTGTTATTGCAAATATCTTTTAAACCAATCATTTGCTTCATTTGCAGTCAATTCAAATTGCGCTTTGTATGCAGAGAAATGATCACCAGGAAATTTCACCAATTTCTTTGGTTCATCGATCCGCTTTTCGAATAATTCGGTTTCATCTTCAGTAAATGTTACTGTATCGTGATCAGCAACCAGCATTAATAGAGGACATGAGGAACGATTTTCTATTGAATCTTCGGGATCGTATTGACCGTATAGTTCAACACTACGCAATGTTTGTTCATTTTTCCAGTTTTTGTATCGCCATGCATCTTTTTGATCAGCATGGCCAACATCGAAGAAATTCCACCAATCCGCTTGTTCTTCTGGCCGAATGATCGGAACGATTCTTGGTGCACCGCCTTCTGCTATCTGTTTTCGATCTCGTTCCAATGCTTTCAATAATCTTTGATAGTCTTCCTCGCTTTTGTAACGTCGTTTTAAATTACGTCGTCCACTGATCGAAGGCATTTGTGAAACAACGCATTTCACACGTTTATCTTTCGCACTAACGACTAAAACATGCCCGGCACTATAACTTGTACCCCATATACCGATTCGGTCAGGATCAACAAGGTCGGTTAACGATTGTAAATAAGTGATTGCTGAACTATAACCCTGGATTTGTTTGTTTGGATCGATTTCCTGTCGCGGCACACCTTCGCTTTCACCAAGATTTTCATGGTCATACAGAAGCACAACAAAATTCGATTGAACAAATCGTTCTGCATACAAATCGATGTATAACTCTTTGACAGCACCATAACCATGAGTCATCACGATAGCTGGATATCGTTGTTTATCATCAAGTTTTGAAATCGGTTCATAAAGCCAACCTCGTAAAAGAGCACCACTTTGAGTTGGAAATTCAACATTTCGACGTGTGAATAATGTATTCATATCGCATACGGATTGTATCCTATCAAAAAGAGTAGCTTTATACATCATTTTTTTACTAGTTTATATACAGAAGGACACAGAGATAAAGCATTCGATAAGAAAATAAGACACGTGGTAAATATAGCACTACGACGGACAGCAGTGCATCTTCTAAAAGTATCACCCGATACAATAATTGTGATGATAGTCTATAACACCCAATCACACTATCTGTTTCATTAACGCCCTCTTCAGTGGATTTTTATTAAATCGTGAGTAAAAAGCATTCAAAAAGAAATTCTATTTTTTCTAGAATAGAGAATTCAGTTGAAGTATATGTTTACTTCAGTATATTCATGTGAAGTTGCCTGATCAGCGACGATGAGGATGAGAATATTTCGCGCAGTGCCGCGGATCATTCTTATCCCGACAATCATTTCCATGGCGACATTGAATCGTTTCATTGCTACGCGCAGATGGATGGAAGTATTTAGAACAATGATTCGGATCATTTTTATCCCAACAGTCATTCCCGTGACGGCAGTGTATTTTCCCTTGATTAGATGCAGACGCATCGTAAGGCCTATGATCATTTGGTTGAGAATACTTGGCCGAGTGTCGCGGATCGTTTTTATCTCTGCAATTATTTGCATGTCGACATGGAATGGGTTGACGATTTTCATGTGAGTATCTGGAATAATGGTGACCATCGTTTTGTGCACGACAGTTTGATTCGTTAAGGCAAGGGCTCTTTTGAATATTCTCCCGTCCTCCATCTCCAAAGGAAGACATTTGATCTTCGGTAGCGCAATCTGCTCCTGCTGACGATGGTTGTGACGATTTTTTCTCGTCTATGGTATCCGTGGAAAGTACAAGTGAAAACAGTTTAATATCTATATACGAACAATGGGGACTTACCGTTATATCCTAGTTGTAGATCAAATTTTTCACCATGTGAATATTTCTTTCGATGTTGGTGTTAGATCCGTTTTAACTTAAATGATGTTTATTGTAAAACAGAAATAGTTACACAACTGAACGCCCTTCTACCAAAACATATCAAGTTTATATAGAGTTACTAGACTTAGAAAATACCAACGATACAGGGAAACAAAAGTGACGTAAGGAACGCAAGAGCACATATGATGAACATATGACATGACGTCATGTAGAACGAAATAAACATATATATGTGCAGAACGCAAGAAGATATGTAGGACAATTCCTTATGATACTAGCTTGGTAATTGCCCATGACATCTCCCCCATAAGAAGAAGATGAACTTCCACGTTCATCAAAACATCCAATTGTTCAATGTTCCGGTATTGCCACTACCATTGTCATTGATTAACTTGCGTTGAATATATATATTTTTTTTTTTTTTTTTTTTATCAAACTACTTTGTATAGGTTTGTATATGTCACATGCTTACTTTGCTGTTATACGGAACTAACAGGTCGAGAATAGACTAACTTCAAACTACTAATATGAACAGTTTTAACAACTGATGTTTGCGGATCTTGAATAGTATACGAAGGATGCTGCTTGTGCGTAATTAGAAATGGACCAGAAAAACGTTCTTGAAATTTGCCTCGAATCCCTGGAACTTTCCACCACACCAAATCATTCACTTGAAGTTGATGGTTTGGACGATGTTTATCAAAGCGTGCTTTTGATTGTTGCTGTTGGAATTTCATGTGTTGGCGTGCTGCTGTTTTGTAAATATTGCTCCATCGCATCATCTTGTGCCAATAATCATTGGGTCGATCGAAATGAAATGTCTCAGCTGTATGATCGAGTGGTAAAACAGGACGACGCCCGAACATCAATTGAAATGGACAGAATTTCGTGCTACTCTGAATACCTGTATTATACGCATACGTCACGGCTCCAAGAAACTCATCCCAATCCGACAAATCCTCATTTTGAAATTTTGCTAATTGCGTATGAAACGTGCCATTAAATCTTTCTGTCAAACCATTCGACTGCGGATGATACGCTGTAGTTTGAATATGGTTTGTTCCTAATAGTTTGGTTACATTTCGCATCAATTCATTATTGAAATGAACTCCCTGATCTGTAATCAATCGTCGAGGAACACCAAACTTAAAGGCAAAATTTTCAACAAAGCATTGAGCAGCAGTTATCGCAGTATTGTTTGGGAGAGGAGTTGCCACAACATACCGGGTATAATAGTCACTAATAACCAAAACATACTTATTGCCCTTTGATGAATATTGTGGCGTTGGTCCCCAAAAATCCATTGACACTAATTCTAACGGGCCTTCAGGCAGTTCAATTGGATTTAAATGTCCGGTGGGTTTATTGCGATTACTATTATATCTCGAACATTTGTCACAAGATCGTATATAATTCACTATTGTCTGTTTCATACCACGCCAAAAACACACTTGTCGAATTTTCAGCCAGGTTCTGGTAATACCAAAATGGGCTGCAGTCGGATGATCATGATAACATCGAATAACTTCCTGCTGCATTGATTTTGGAATACAAATTAATTTCAATTGTCGTCCCTTGGCTGCTGTTTTCACCAGTTTATACAAAACATTATTTTCCATGATATACGGTTCCTTGGGCCCTGTGTTTGCCGTAACTCGCCTCAAAATATTACCAAAATAGGAATCCATCTGTTGTTCAGTACTGATTCGCATTAAAGTAAAATTAAATGTCATAACAGACCCACTGTCATCCTTTGGTGAGACTACTACATCGGTTTGATTCGTTACTGTTGTTTGAGCCTGAGCTCTGGTCATAGCACGAGTCATGACGTTCACGGTTTCCAGAGTATCTCGTAGGCCAGGTCTAGACATTCCATCAGCATCTCCATTCTGGCTTCCCTTGCGATATTGTACGTCCACTATTTGTGATAGGATTTCTTGATTTTTGATGAGCCATTGTTCTATTCGTTTGCTATTGATCTTGTTTTTCGCGTGAAAGTGTTGTAATGGTTTATGATCCGTGAGAACCAACACATCCCTTCCGCCCAGATACTGCTGCAGCTTATTCAAGCACCAAAATATACCCAATGCTTCTCGCTCAATAGTAGCATATCGTTTTTCTGTGTCCGACAATAGCCGTGATAAATAATAGTTGTAATGAGTTTTACCATTAACGATTTGCTTCAATGTGCCGCCAATTGCATAATCAGATGCATCAGTTGACAGAACGAATTGTGCCGTCGGATGAGGATACTTCAGCATAAGTGGTTGACCAGTTAATATTCGTTTGAGTTCATTTGCAGCCTGAATTTGTTCATCTCCCCAAGCAAACTCTTTGCGCTTACTTTTGATTTTATTTGTTACTCGATGGATGGGTGCTGCGATTTGAGAAAAGTTAGGAATGAACTTCCGATACCATCCTAATTTACCAATAAATTTATTCGCTTGTGCTAATGTTGTTGGTTGGGGTATATCCAAGATGGCTTGAATCCGTTCCGGTAACGGCACAATGGAATCTTTCGTAATCATATGACTCAGAAACTCAATAGTTTGTTGAGCAATGGAACATTTTTTCGGGTTCAATGTGAATTGGTGATCCTTGAGGATTTGAAAGATTTCACGTAAATGTCCCACATGTTCCTCAAACGAATGAGAAAATATAATTATGTCATCTAGATAGATGACCACATAGTCCCACCGATTATAACCTATGATATTATGCATCAACCGTTGAAACGTTGGTGGCGCATTCATCAAACCCATTGGTAATACTTCAAATTGATATAAACCATCTTGCGTAACAAACGCCGTTTTTTCTTTGTCCTGATCTCTGATTGGAATTTGATGATACCCTGCTTTCATGTCAATCTTTGTGAACCATGAATGGCCACCCAAACGTTGAATAAGCTCTTCGACTGTGGGCTGAGGATAGACATCTTTCTTGGTGATAGCATTTAATTTCCTGTAATCTATTATGAATCGAAAGGTGCCATCAGATTTCGTTAATAAAACCACTGGAGATGACCAGTCCGATGTCGATGGTATAACAATACCGGCGCGCAACATTTTATCAATCTCCTGTTGAATATTCTTTCGCTGTTCAACAGTTTTAAAATATGGTTTAGCAGCAATTGGAGCATGATCGCCAGTGTCAATGACGTGATGTATAGTTGCGTTAATCGTACGTGGTTGACTTACATCAAATAATACTTTATGTTCATCGACAAGCTCGTGTATTTGTTTATAATATTTATCATTAGTGGATAAATGTTGCGTTAGCGTAGTAACAATCTTGTCTAGTGGCACTGGATGCTCTTTTTGATGCTGCTGAAACGTAAACTCTTCGATGGTGTTCGTGGAGCTTAATACCGAACAATATTCATCAACTTCCAAGGACTCTATTTCACCAATACACATTGCTTTGGGAAGAGTTACACTTCGCGTTGTAGGATTATAAAGTGTTACTTGTACACAACTATTGTAAACATCAACTAAACCATCACAAAGACGAACACGCTTAGCTTGCTGTTGCTTCCATCCCACGACCTTGAACATCATTCTCTCCGCAGTCACCGCCCCATCTACCACCGCATTGACCACTTGTTTACATCTGGGAAGTATAGTATATCGCTGTGCTAATCGAACGTCATTGAACTTGCCAAATTGCACACTGATGCGTTGGTTCTGTCTGTGCAGCATGAGACATTCAGAGCTCATATTTATTTCTACTTTGAATTTTCGTACAAAATCCATACCCAAAATTAATTCATTTGTTAATTGATCGACGACAATTGCTGTAATTCCAAATCTTTTTCTGCCAATTTCTAATTCCAAATAAATTCGACCATATTGTTTCATTCGTGTTTGTGAATCGCCTAATACGATTTCGCCTCCTTCTACCTGGATTTGTTGTTGCAAATGAAGTTTGTTAATTGTAGATTTGGTGATTAGCGAAGATGTGGCTCCCGTATCTAGCATTGCTTTGATTTTCAAACTATTGATCCAGGCTGGTATGAATATTAAAGATGGATGATGAGTATGAACGAGAGCGTAACCATCATTCGCCCCCGCTAGTAGTTTTTTGAGAAACAATGACGTGCAATGTGACCAACCTTATGGCAATTGAAACATCGGATGGTCTTTTGTATATTGCCTGATTTATACGGTAATTAACTCCAGCTAATAAATATCCGACTTTCAATTCATCGTTCATGTCGTTGTCAATCATATCACATAGCTCGATCATTTCGTGATAATAATGCAACACGGTTTCCTCCACGCCTTGCACTCGCGTACCTATCTGCTTAATTGCCACATTGCGATGCATGGGTGATGTAAATGCCGTTAAGATTTCGCGGGAAAATGTTGCCCAATCCACCAAAAGAGCTAAATTGTTGACATACCATTGACGTGCATCATCTGTTAACACCGATGGAATCATCAATAACTTTTGAGGATCTGTCAGTTTGAATACATTTAATTCATTCGTAACTTTTCTTAACCATTTGGCCACATTTTCCGAATTCTTTCCACTAAACTTTGGTAACTTATCACTGGAACTAGTTAATAACGAAATAGTTAGTTTTTCGTCCATTGTAAATAATTTCGGTCGATAAACAATATGTTCTGTCAAATAATGAAGTGAATTGTTTGTTTTTTCTACCTTGATACAATTTATCCGTGCAAATTCAGATTCAAATTCTTGTTGCTTTCGTATTTTCTGTAATCTAGTTGTAATACCTGACATATACCTTACCGATTCCCGGCCAGTGCACCAATTGTTAGATCCGTTTTAACTTAAATGATGTTTATTGTAAAACAGAAATAGTTACACAACTGAACGCCCTTCTACCAAAACATATCAAGTTTATATAGAGTTACTAGACTTAGAAAATACCAACGATACAGGGAAACAAAAGTGACGTAAGGAACGCAAGAGCACATATGATGAACATATGACATGACGTCATGTAGAACGAAATAAACATATATATGTGCAGAACGCAAGAAGATATGTAGGACAATTCCTTATGATACTAGCTTGGTAATTGCCCATGACAGTTGGAATGTCGAATCTTGGCATTTTGAGCTATCCCTACAAGGTATGAGAAAATCCGGATAACCATCATGTCGGTATGCAGCTCGATGGGCCGGATTGTCAAGTTTTGAACATGAAATATTCAACTGACATTGTGTAACTCGCCGCGATTCATGCGTTAAATGAGGTTCTTTATCTTTGTTATTACATAACTCAGCATATCTGCAAGGATGAAAGAATTCTTCTGTATGTGTAGATGATCCTTGTAGTAAACAGTTGACTGCTTCCGGGCATGGTTTTCGTTCTTTATCGTTACGAAGGAGATAATCAACAGCACCTTTAATCGCATTGCCCGCTTTGTTTAGAAATGATGGGGATTCGTGTCTAGACGGTCCGTTGGATCTATGTGGTGATGGTTTATCATGGTTATGTGAGTGTTCATCATTAGATGAAACGTCGCTTTCTGGTCTAAAATTCTTGTCGAACGATGGATGAAGATCAGAAACCGGCTCAAAAGTTATAATTAGATTTCGAATAGGCACTTTCTGAGATCCGGCACTGACATGGACATACCGCAATTGGTTTAAATCGAGACGTTGTTTAGAAAATTGATACGTAATTTTATTATGGCAATAAATACCATTTGCTCCAGCGTGCGAAAGTGTAACTTGTCCTGTTTTCTTATCGAGTTTAAGACAAAAAGTAAGAAAATCTCCGCTACTACAACCACGGTAGAATGTATTTGATTTAGCATTACATTCATTATTGTTTAAAATGACGCTGTGCCTGTATGGATCACCGTTGTTCAGGTATGAATATGCTTCATCATATGCTGCCGTTTTCAGAGGTGGTCGTGGTGCGATATAACACACAAGATATTGAGTATTTTTTTCTGATCTTTTTGACTCAATGTGTTCATCTGATAATGCAAGAATCATGTCGCCATGCATGGCTTGCCAATAGATGTAGACATCATCGACATTCGAATGATTTTTATGGGTTCGGCGGTACTCATAATAAGATTTGTTTATAGTTATTGGTAAAACTATGTAATCTGTAAATTCAGTTGGTGCAAGCGTAAAGAAAGTACCATATGAATATGTAGGATGATTCATTCGCTTATTAATTTTTGTGACAAGCTTATCGATGATGAACTTTTGATATTCCTTACGATTATTATCTAACGCATACATATCGTTTGGTGATACATCAACCTGATGGTTCGTTAAATGCAAACCATGACAGAACGTTCTTTTTGCACATTCTTGAGCTTTTCGTGATAAAGAATAGAATAAACTTTTTGGAATATACACTTTTTCAATGTAATCCAATGGGATTAGTTGTGGCAAATGTGCTTCAAATACTTCATGCGAATCGACGCTCAACCATCGATCAAGAATATCCTTGTAGTCAATACTCGATTTCTTCTGGTGTTTACTTGTTATAGCAATGAGCTCTGCTGCCGCAACATGTTCATAGTTCGGCACAGAACAATGCAGTTTTGATTGGTGAAAGCGCGCTGTTTTTCTCGAATCCGAGCCGGGATCTCTCACCCACGGACGTTGAGAATACGTTCTTCCACTTAAATATGATGTTGCTGCTTGATGGGTAAAATTGGCATCTGGATGAAGCATGACTTCCGCTTTAAACACCAAAACAATATCTCCATAATAGCGCCCACAATGCGGACCGAGAATACCGAAAACATGCTTATTTGTACCCAGCTGTTTGTCTTTTTCATATTGAATACCGGCTGGAGCTTTATGAAGATTCAATGAAGCAGTGGCGATATCGACTGCACATCGACGAATTGTATCAATTTCTTTTCTTTCCATCATAGCTCTTAAAAATCTTTCCGTTTTCTGTATTGTTTCATTCGATTCTTGAGAATCAGACGTGGGTAATATCGAGGAACGTAACATTGATGATGAAATATGTAGAGGTACTTCCATGGGTAAACTTATCGGAGGTTTTTTACTGTACTCCAATGCAACGATCGCTCGAATATATTCTTTAGCATAGCTTCGGGCAGCGTCATGACGATCGAGAATAGTTCGTACATCTCTATGTTCTTGGACAGCTTGAGCAGCAAACTTAGGTTGTTTTAAGTGCTCCATATACTTACTAGACATTACATGACCATGAACAAGTATCGATTCGAAAATAACTTTTGAGCAACGATGGACTGGTTGTAAAGCTTTGACAAATCTCTCGATTTCTTTCGGTACAGAACAAGTTATTTTGTTATGCTCAAAATAGCTGTTGATAGCTTCCATCATATGTTTTTGATTTTCAACAAAATCTATCGATTTGTTTTGACCAAAATAATTTATAACACCGCTAAAATCACAGTTTCCATAATGTCGAAACTGTTTTATATGATCAGGTTTCCCTTTATCTCGACAAATATCACGTCGATGAGCGCACATGGGGCGAATATCAGGTATACCCGTATGCGAAAACGTATTCAAGTGGTCATCTTGGTCAGTTTTTGTACACCGATTATCGTATGGACACATATGACGTGGAACATGTATGGCACTTTTCCAGTGTTGATCAGATCTATCTTTGCATTGTCGACCCCATTCGCAAACATGAGATAATTGTAAACAATGTTTTTGGACGTCGATTTTTAATAATTTCTTGTTAGCAGTTTGTGAGAATTCATTGTATTGAGGACAACAGTATGGTGTGAATGGGCATGGTTGATTAAAAGGATGTTTTTCTTTTCGCAAATGATTTTCATCATGAAACCGTATGCAGAATTTACCGTAACGACACATGGGTATACAATGTCTGAAATCATGACAGTGCTCTTTTGATTTACGAATGTAATCCAAACATTCACGACTATGTTTGCAGAAAGGAACATGTCGATATGATTTTATATGATCACGATCCACATTTTCACATGCGCCCCCATCACGACAAAAATCTGGATGTTCATACTTATTGCGGTGCGTTTGATCATCATCGACTAATTCACATTCACCACCCTCTGAACATAATCGCCGATGTTGATACAAAATTCTATGTTGAGCATCTTGTTTCTCTTTGCACGACGTTTCATTATTTGTATATGGACACAGAGCTGGATGAGAATATTCCTGACAATGTTGCGTGTTTGTGAGCTCTTTACATCCGCCACCGAAATGGCAAAGCTTTGATTGACNATAGCGTAAGTTTATCAACTTAATCGGTTGTGAACATCAATTGTTTGCGTATTTTAACAGTCTTGGACAAGCATTAGTGGCTGCTGGCCATCGTGTTCGTTTGGCAACACATAATACATTTCGTAAATTTGTACGAGGAAATGGTTTAGAATTTTTCCCATTGGCAGGAGATCCAGCTGATCTTATGGCATTTATGGTGAAAAACTCTGGCGTCATACCGTCAGTGAGCAGTATTGCCGCAGGAGATTTAACGAAAAATCGTAATGTTTTAACTGAAATTTTGGCGTCGACTTGGAGTGCATGTACGCTTGATGATGATGAAACAGGAGAATCATTCACAGCAGAGGCAATCATTGCCAATCCGCCATCCTTCGGTCATGTACATTGTGCACAAAAATTACAAATTCCATTACATATTATGTTTACAATGCCTTGGTCACCAACGACTGCTTTTCCACATCCTCTAATCAACGTTGATTATTCAAAAGCATCAATTGAAAAAGTGAATATGTTATCGTATACAGCAATCGAAATGTTTGTAAGTGTATTCAAGATGTTTGTTCTACATCGAAACAACTGTGAAGAAGTAATATTTTCTTCTTTGACAGACCTGGTCTAGTATGCGCGATATTGTGAATAACTTTCGTCGAGAGGTCTTAAGTTTACCGCCGCTTCATACTCGACAAGCAACATTTATGATGATCGATGAACATGTGCCATATACATATTGTTGGTCGCCATCACTTGTACCTAAGCCTAAAGATTGGGCAGATCATATAAATGTTAGTGGATTCTTTATTCTTAAACAAGATGCTACTGCTGACACCAATTATCCAGATGATTTGTTAAGGTTTCTCGGTCTGAAGAATGCGAACAAATCGGAGAAGCTATCACCGCCTATCTATATTGGCTTTGGTTCAATCACGGGACATGATTCTGACCGTCTGTTAAAAATTGTTCTAGAAGCACTTGAACAAACCGGCTACCGAGCTTTACTCTCTGGCTTAGCAAAAGATGATGATCAACTACCTGAAACAGTTTTTAAAATTGGTAGTGTTCCACACGATTGGCTTTTTCAGCATGGTCAGTATCACATCGCCTTTCGCCTGTATTTTAAATATCAGTCTATAAATAGTATCTGCTGTATGTCATCATGGAGGAGCAGGTACAACTGCTGCTGGTCTTCTGGCTGGTAAGCCAACGATTATAGTACCATTTTTCGGAGATCAATTTTTTTGGGGCAATGTTGTGGAAAAGAATGGCGCTGGTCCTCATCCAGTGCCTGGAAAAATTTTGACGACAGAAGATCTGGTAAAAGCAATTGAATTTGTACGTCGACCAGAAACGAAAGCTGCTGCTGAACGTATCCGAAATTCGATGTCAAAAGAAAATGGTTGTGATGAAGCAGTGCATGCATTCCATGCTCATCTTCCACTTTCCACTATGCGTAGCGATCTGGAATCAACAGATGCAGCGTGCTATCAACTGAAAGACCACCGATTGCAAGTATCGCGTCGTGTTGCCCAAGTACTTCTCATTGGAAAACGAATTGATGAATCACAATTAGAAAGTCATCCAACACGACAATGGCTCTCGATATACGATAATCGCATCCACATACCGTTTCATGGTATCATAAAACATACACAAAAAGCCATTGTGACCATTGTTATCGATACTAGCAGCGGTATCAAACAAGCAGTTCATTGTGATACATGGCAAAGTGGCACGCGTAGTGTCTGCGAAGGTATTGCAAAAGGCTTAGGGAAAGGTATTGGCCATCTATGCATTGGTTGTGTTTCGCTTTATGGAGAATTGACCGATGTATTGGACGCGGCACCAGTTTATTATGATTTTTATAAGTAAAGAACAATTTCTATCTATGTAATATATCTTTCGTCATTTCAGTGAACAAGAACTTCGCTCTCGACCATATGTGGTTGATTTCAATTCAGGTGTGAACGCTGCTATACTTGCTGTCTACTACGGTTGGACAGACGGTGTTAAAGAACTCTTGGAGACACCTCGTATCGGTTATGGACGTCATGGACTCATTGGTGGTGCTGCTGGAACATTGATAGGACTTGTCAATGGTTTATTAAAACCTGTCGTTGGGACGTTATCTTCGCTGACTTGGATATGTCGAGGTTTCTATGCCAGTTTTAACAACTCTCTGCTTAACAATAAGGACGATGAAACAGACGTAGCAAATACGATTGATCTAGATTTATCCACACTCAACTTAGCTCAAAACAATTTGCAAGATGAGCAGAGTGTCTCTGAAGCGGTAATACTAGCAGCGTCGAAAACTGGCTTTAAACCAAGTGCTTGCGAGCAGATCTTGTCTAAATTTGATAGAATTAAACAGCAATATTTTACAGCTACAGCACATGACCATCAGTCATGATCATTTCTAAAACGTAATCTTTTCATACAATGCTATTCTCGCGGTTTCGACGTGTTTTGTTGCCATAAATTATTATTATTGTTGATTATTCAACTCTGATAGAGAACAAAATATTCTATTAAAAAACAATACAATATTTCACAAACATCTCTTCTAGATCGTCGATTGATTTAGTCTTGTATTGAGCGTTGTTTGTATATTCTTCATTATTTCCAAGATATGGCCTGATTCTATTTGAATTTTTCTAATATCATTTTTCATATGTTCCATCTGCTGCAATGTCTGATCATGTTGAGCGGTTAAATTGTGTTGCATGGTTATTATCTCATGCAGTCCAACACAACTATCCATTAAATAACCTTGCTGCCTTTTCGTTTGTTGTAAAGAAGATATGGCTCGAAAAAGTTTTCGTTGCGCTTGAAACGATTGAATAAATGTTCGTTTATTTTGTCGCTTCAAATACCATACTTTCATGGCAAATTTGACAACATTCGCCGCTTGATGTTCACGATCTTTAGCTAACTGCATTTTTGACACGAAGGTATGAACATATTTTTCTTCACGCGTCAAATGTAGTTTTTGAGTGAGAACAGCAATAAAAAGAGCAGATGAAAGGAGACCAATCAAACCGACCACGGTTGTAATACCTATAGAATTTTTACAACTAAAACTAATGATACGAAAGAATGCATTTACTTACCGCGTCCACAAAGTGTTGACGGATACACATCTCCGAAACCTACACGAAACAAGTTGTCCTTCCAGTTGACTTCATCCGTAATAGATATGACATACCAACTGTAGTGAACGTTACAATGAACAACCACATTGAGTCGAATATGGATAGATGATCTCCTGTTGCTGCGTAGTCACATGCGCGTAGACACCAACTTCCAATAAGGAAAGCAATGATGTTAAGAGCAAGTAAACATCGAGTTGCCCATTGCTCCAGGTAAGTTTTCAATAGGAAGGACAAATCGATCGATACTTGATTGAGACAACTAATGGACCGTAATGATCCATCACGAAACAAGTATGAACGGAACATAATTGTTCGACCAAATAGATACAAACGAAGAAACACTACAAAGTACAATGAAATTAGTTTAAAAGACACGAGAATAATCTACTTGGTACACTTAATGCTACTTCAACCGGTGTGTACGATAGTGGAGGATGAACAGTCAGTTCTGGTGAAATGTCTTTCAGATTTGAATTTAGACTGGATAACGGCATAGGATGTATAGCACATATCAAAAGTTCACTTGCAATGAAACATATTTTCTTCCTTGTTAGACCAACACGATAGTCGTCGAGAGAATTCTGAATCGAAAAGAGTTGCAGATCTAAATAATGGTAGTAGAGAATCAAGCCAAGAAGTATCGCCGTTGTTATAGAAATAATTAGTTTCATGAACCAAATAGGTCCGATATCTCCGTGATTAACCCAATCGAAGTGTAATTCATTTTCGATAATCATGAGAAAGATTCCCAAAATGCCCAGAAAGCTCATGATATTACTAACGAAAGCACTATACAGAGAAACGAGTTAGTAGAATATATATTGTGAAGCAAGAGTATCTCATTACAGTCGAGTAGTGAGGAATTTTCTCATACGTGCTCGAAAGCTGATCGCATTGATTAAATTCTCGATGTTTGGTTTCGGTTTTCGAACGGGAGAAGTCTGTTGAAGTTCTTCGTGGCGAACATTTGTACAAGAATTGCCCGAGTGCCGGCAGGAGGAAGAAGATATGATGCTAACAACTGATGACAGTGGAATATTCGTTGTCGAGCAATTTTCATTCACATGCATCTCTACGGTATAGTAGAAGAGGTTTGTTATGTAGAGGATATTCTGAGGAGAATAGTTATTATGTATAAATCATGATAATCTAATCGTAAGTTACGTTTTTTCATTAGGAGTTACATGATGAAAAAATCATTATTTACCTGTGTATATCCTTTCAAAACGCAATTATTTTCCTTCTATTAATGATTAATGTAAGCTTTCAATAGAGTAGGTGTAGTAAATAAGAAACGGTTTGAATTCATGACATAGACGACGATAAAGTAGGAAGAGCGAGTTTTCATTCGCTTGATAATATTTCGTCTGAAAGAAGCTATTGATACATTGAGATAAATTAGCTTGAGAAAGTCAATTGGCATTTTTCTACTTGTGTTCTTCCTCAAGAGTAATGTTATGCTGCTTATAAGGAGTTTACTAGTAAACAACACAAATTAAAAAAAATGGGATTTAAGGAAAGATGCGTATAATCGATTTCACCCAGATAAACATCAATGAAAGTATAGCAGGCAGACTTCTGATGAAATAAATTTATGTGTCACTACCGATGTCAATGTCCCGCACCTTTCAATGCTCCTTACAATGTGTGACGAATATTTAGCCGAAACATATATCTATTGAAATATGTAACAGTAAAACAAAATCGAATAATAAGACCAGGTTCGTTTTTGTTATTGCAAATATCTTACAAACCAATCATTTGCTTCATTTGCAGTCAATTCAAATTGCGCTTTGTATGCAGAGAAATGATCACCAGGAAATTTCACCAATTTCTTTGGTTCACCGATCCGCTTTTCAAATAATTCGGTTTCATCTTCAGTAAATGTTACTGTATCGTCATCAGCAACCAGCATTAATAGAGGACATGATGAACGACTTTCTATTGAATCTTCGGGATTGTATTGGCCATATAGTTCAACACTGCGCAATGTTTGTTCATTTTTCCAGTTTTTGTATCGCCATGCATCTTTTTGATCAGCATGGCCAACATTGAAGAAATTCCACCAATCCGCTTGTTCTTCTGGCCGAATGATCGGAACGATTCTTGGTGCACCGCCTTCTGCTATCTGTTTTCGATCTCGTTCTAATGCTTTCAATAATCTTTGGTAGTCTTCCTCGCTTTTGTAACGTCGTTTTAAATTACGTCGTCCGCTGATCGAGGGCATTTGTGAAACAACGCATTTCACACGTTTATCTTTCGCACTAACGACTAAAACATGCCCGGCACTATAACTTGTACCCCAGACACCGATTCGATCAGGATCAACAAGGTCGGCTAACGATTGTAAATAAGTGATTGCTGAACTATAACCCTGGATTTGTTTGCTTGGATCGATTTCCTGTCGCGGCACACCTTCGCTTTCACCGAGATTTTCATGGTCATACAGAAGCACAACAAAATTCGATTGAACAAATCGTTCTGCATACAAATCGATGTATAGCTCTTTGACAGCACCATAACCATGAGTCATCACGATAGCTGGATATCGTTGTTTATCATCAAGTTTTGAAATCGGTTCGTAAAGCCAACCTCGTAAAAGAGCACCACTTTGAGCTGGAAATTCAACATTTCGACGTGTGAATAATTTATTCATATCGCATGCGGATAGTATTCTGTCAAAAAGAGTAGCGCTTTATACATCATTTTTTTACTAGTTTATATACAGAAGGACACAGAGATAAAGCATTCGATAAGAAAATAAGACACGTGGCAAACATAGCACTACGAAGGACAGCAGTGCGTCTTCTAAAAGTGTTACCCGATACAATGATTGTGAGGATAGTCTATAACACCCAATCACACTATCTGTTCAAATAACGCCCGCTTCAGTGGATTTTTATTAAATCGTGAGTAAAAAGCATTCAAAAAAAGAAATTCTATTTTTTCTAGAATAGGGAATTCAGTTAAAGTGTATGTTTGCTTCAGTATTCATGTGAAGTTGCCTCATCAGCGACGATGAGGATGGGAGTACTTCGCACAATGCCGAGGATCATTCTTATCCCGACAATCATTTCCATAGCGACATTGAATCTGTTCATTGCTACGAGCAAATGGATGGGAGTACTTCGAACAGTGCCGAGGATCATTCTTATCCCGACAATCATTTCCATAGCGACATTGAATCTTTTCACTGCCACGAGCAGATGGATGGAAGTATTTAGAACAATGATTCGGATCATTTTTATCCCAACAGTCATTTCCGTGACGGCAGTGTATTTTCCCTTGGTTAGATGCAGACGCATCGTAAGGTCTATGATCATTTGGATGAGAATACTTGGCCGAGTGTTGCGGATCGTCTTTATCTCTGCAATTATTTGCATATCGACATGGAATGGGTTGACGATTTTCATGTGAGTATCCGGAATAATGGTGACCATCGTTTTGTGCACGACAGTTTGATTCGTTAAGGCAAGGGTTCTTTTGAACATTCTCCCGTCCTCCCTCTCCAAAGGAAGACATTTGATCTTCGGTAGCGCGATCTGCTCCTCCCGACGATGGTTGTGACGAATTTTTCTCATCTATGGCATCCGTGGAAAGTACAAGTGAAAACAGTTTAATATCTATATACGAACAATGGGGACTTACCGTTATATCCTAGTTTCAGATCAATTTTTTCACCATGTGAATATTTCTTTCGATGTTGGAATGTCGAATCTTGGCATTTTGAGCTATCTCTGCAAGGTATGAGAAAATCCGGATAACCATCATGTCGGTATGCAGCTCGATGGGCGGGATTGTCAAGTTTTGAACATGAAATATTCAACTGACATTGTGTAACTCGCCGAGATTCATGCGTTAAATGAGGTTCTTTATCTTTGTTATTACATAACTCAGCATATCTGCAAGGATGAAAGAATTCTTCTGTATGTGCAGATGATCCTTGTAGTAAACAGTTGACTGCTTCCGGGCATGGTTTTCGCTCTTTATCGTTACGACGGAGATAATCAACGGCACCTTTAATCGCATTACCCGCTTTGTTTAGAAATGATGGGGATTCGTCTCTAGACGGTCCGTCGAACCTATGTGGTGGTGGTTTATCATGGCTATGTGAGTGGGCATCATTAGATGAAACGTCACCTTCTGGTCTAAAGTTCTTGTCGAACGATGGATGAAGATCGGAAATCGGCTTAAAAGTTATAACTAGATTTCGAATAGGCACTTTCTGAGATCTGGCACTGACATGGACATATCTTAATTTGTTTAAATCGAGATGTTGTTTAGAAAATTGATACGTAATTGTGTTATGGCAATAAATACCATTTGCTCCAGCGTGTGAAAGTGTAACTTGTCCTGTTTTCTTATCGAGTTTGAGGCAAAAAGTAAGAAAATCTTCGCTATTACAACCACGGTAGAATGTATTTGATTTGGCAACACATTCACTACTGGCTAAAATGACTTTGTGTCTGTATGGATCATCGTCGCTCAGGTATGAATATGCTTCATAATATGTCGCCGTTTTCAGAGATGGTCGTGGTGCGATATAACACACAAGATATTGAGTATTTTTTTCTGATCTTTTTGACTCAATGTGTTCATCTGATAATGCAAGAATCATGTCACCATGCATGGCTTGCCAATAGATGTAGATATCATCGGCATTCGAATGATTTTTATGAGTTCGGCGGTACTGATAATAAGCTTTGTTTATAGTTATTGGTAAAACTATGTAATCTGTAAATTTAGTTGGTACAAGCGTAATGAGAGTACCATATAAATATGTAGGATGTTTCATTCGCTTTTCAATGTTTGTGACAAGCTCCTTGATGATGAAATTTTGATATTTCATACGATTCTTATCTAACGCACGCATGTCGTTTGGTGATACATCAACCCGATGGTTCGTTAAATGCAAACCATGACAGAACGTTCTTTTTGCACATTCTTGAGCTTTTTGTGATAAAGAATAGAATAAACTTTCTGGAATATACACTTTTTCAATATAATCCAATGGGATTAGTTGTGGCAAATGTGCTTCAAATACTTCATGCGAATCGACGCTCAACCATCGATGAAGAATATCGTCGCAATTAATACTCGATTTCTTCTGGTGTTCACTTGTTATAGCAATGAGCTCTGCTGCCGCAACATGTTCATAGTTCGACACAGAACAATGCATTTTTGATCGGTGAAAGCACATTGTTCTTTTTCTCGAATCCGAGCCAGGATCTCTCACCCACGGACGTTGAGAATACGTTTTTCCACTTAAATATGATGTTGCTGCTTGATGGGTAAAGTTGGCATCTGGATGAAGCATGACTTCCGCTTTAAACACCAAAACAATATCTCCATAATAGTGCCCACAATGTGGACCGAGAATACCGAAAACATGCTTATTTGTACCCAGCTGTTTGTCCTTTTCATATTGAATACCGGCTGGAGCGTTATGAAGATTCCATGAAGCAGTGGCGATATCGACTGCACATCGACGAATTGTATCAATTTCTTTTTTTCCTATTATAGCTCTTAAACATCTTTCCGTTTTCTGTATTGTTTCATTCGATTCTTGAGAATCGGACGTGGGTAATATCGAGGAACGTAACATTGATGATGAAATAGGAGGTACTTCCATGGGTAAACTTATCGGATGTTTTTTACTGTATTTACTGTACTCCAATGCAATGATCGCTTGAATATATTCTTTAGCACAGCTTCGGGCAGCGCCATGACGATCAAGAATAGTTCGTACATCTCTATGTTCTTGGGCAGCTTGAGCAGCAAACTTAGGTTGTTTTAAGTGCTCCATATGCTTACTAGACATTACATGACCATGAACAAGTATCGATTCGAAAATAACTTTTGAGCAACGGTGAACTGGTTGTAAAGCTTTGACAAACCTCTCGATTTCTTCCGGTACAGAACGAGTTATTTTGTTGTGCTCAAAATAGCTGTTGATAGCTTCCATCATATGTTTTTGATTTTCAACAAAATCTATCGATTTGTTTTGACCAAAATAATTTATAACACCGCTAAAATCATAGTTTCCATAATGTCGAAATTGTTTCATATGATCAGATTTCCCTTTATTTCGACAAATATCACGTCGGTGAGCGCACATAGGGCGAATATCGAGTATACCCGTATGCGAAAACGTATTCAAGTGGTCATCTTGATTAGTTTTCGTACACCGATTATCGTATGGACACATATGACGTGGGACATGTATGGTACTTTTCGAGTGTTGCTCAGATGTATCTTTGCATAGTCGACCCCATTCGCAGACATGAGATAATTGTAAACAATGTTTTTGGACGTCGATTTTTAATGATTTCTTGTCAGCGGCTTGTGAGAATTCATTGTATTTAGGACAATAGTATGGTGTGAATGGGCATGGTTGATTAAAAGGATGCTTTTCTTCTTGCAAATGTTTTTCATCATGAAACCGTATGCAGAATTTACCGTAACGACACATGGGCATACAATGTCTGAAATCATGACAGTGCTCTTTTGATTTAAGAATATAATCCAAACATTCAAGACGATCTTTGCAGAAAGGAACATGCCGATATGATTTTAGATGATCACGATCCAGATTTTCACATGCGCCACCATCACGACAAAAAACTGGATGTTCATACTTATTGCGATGCGTTTGATCATCATCGACTAATTTACATTCACCACCCTCTGAACATAGTCGCCGATGTTGATACAAAATTCTATGTTGAGCATCTTGATTTTCTTTGCACGACGTTTCATTATTTGTATATGGACACAGAGCTGGATGAGAATATTCCTGACAATGTTGCGTGTTTGTGAGCTCTTTACATCCGCCACCGAAATGGCAAAGCTTTGATTGACATATTTCCACATCATCTAGTGTTACTTCTGATTTAGTAGTCGTTGTTATTTCATTTATAATTCTCCATGGTCCAATCATCATACCCGTCATAAAATTTTTCTTGGGTTCGAACTTTGCGTCATTGAAAATCGTTTGAAAAGGTGAATAGTTTCCTTGTGGATTCAAAGATGATCCCGCATTATGATCATCAATAATAGCAAAATAAATACATTTGAAATATCCTGCATACTGCTCGATAACCGATTTGAAGATTGTAGCTATATGACCAGGAGGATTGTGGAATGCTCCACATCCAAAAGCAGACAAAACCAAACTATCATGTTTGTTATGATGAGCAATTGCAAAAATGTTCTCAATTTTTTTCCGTGTACCAAGAGAATATTTTGCTGCTAAGAGATTGTGTTCTATTTTTGGATCACGATAAGCAGCCATTGCAATAGAACAAACATCATACATTGGAATGGGCATGTAGCCGTAGCCGACTTCTTCCGGCTGACGGAAAACTGTCAAACCTGATGTATAAATTGCTCCATATTTATCCATGGGATACAATGCATCACTTGGAGCTAATTGTTCTAAAGCGCCATTTGAGTCGTAACGATATCTCGCCGACGGCTTATCACCATCCAATTCAGCATCAAGACTTTGATAATAATTTGACCGACGGAATAGTGATTCTTCCTGCGCTCCGTCACCTTGTCTATAGCCGCCCCCGGGATTGTATGCGTTAGCCATGTTTAAAAGTACGGGTCGAAGACCTTTACTAACTAGTTCTTTGTATACAAGCAAACAATCGCGCTGAACAACTTTGACGATTGTCTGTGGACATGGGAATGTTGTTGCTTGAGACCATAGAATTGTCTTCTTATGGTGTAGTTTAGATTTGTGATTATAAACTACAGTTTTGAGTCGATTTGATATTAATTTAATTTCCTTATCTTCAACACGATAGAAGCCTCGCGTGACAACACCAATTGTATTCAACATAACGGTCATTCGCAGTAAATGACGTTTAAGATTACACAAGTCTTCATATTTAACTGGATCTGGTCCAACCGATCGGTCGTGTTGTTTCGACGTCCAACGACGGAACTGTTTCAAGAATGCTTCGGAATTCCATTTGTATCGAAATATGGGATGTTCGTGGTTAGGTACAAACTGCATAATATTAGCTTTTGTATAATCACGCATATCAGTCTCATACCAAGTGTCATCGTCGATATCACTGTCTTCTGGTTTAGATGTTGCTTGGTGGGCTTCAATTCTTAACGGATGATTATGGACACAAAAGGCCGCTTGGTCAATACACTTATCGAATACGTTACGATCCGAGAGTTCGAGAACAATATCATCATTTTTACGTGTAGCATGAACGACACAATTGGCGAAAACTTTATGATTTTGAATGGATTCTATCGATAAACGTCTCGGTACGTTTGGTATCTTTAAACGGCATGCTAAATTGTTCTTCTTGTTAAATTTTTTGCCATTTGATTCGATAAACTCGCGTAGCGACCAGATACGTGCTCTACCTGACGAAATAATGACTGCAATGCCACCAGTTTTATGGCGTTGAATGTGCATATACTCTTCGGCCATGTATTCGTCAGTTATTTGTTGACGTACTGCTTGGACTAATTTTTCTTGATTCATTGCTCTTGGTAAATCTTCATAGAAACAACAGTCAGCTCGAAAATAAACATTTGCTGAATTATTATTAATAATAAGTACTCTCGTAGACATCGCACTGATCAATTCATCCAATGAATGTGTAGTTACTCGAAATATATTGGGGAATAGAGCAGAGAGCTGTTCACATTTTGGCGGCGATTTCGGTTTATAAACCTGCATCCATTGCCGTTGAATTTCTTCCCCTGTTGGATAGCCATTGTTCTCATTGTTTGAAATAACAACATAAGATACCAAATCAAGCTTATCGACAAATGACACTGTCGCTTTAGATGATGGCTCAATCATCGCATATATGACTGTATTCAATAAATGATCTTTTTCTTCTTTACTAGGTAAATGAACTATACCGACACCAAGTAGAGTATTACACTCTACGTCTACTACTTTTTGTTTATGTCGGTCTTCCAAGCAACTACGAAGCATATCTTCCAATACTTTGGGTTCATGGATATTTACGGGCAAATCCGGTATGTATACCACGTTAAGGTTACTTGAATTTGATGTTTTACATATCATTGTATGTGCTGTTAGAGCATTATTATCTCTATGTGCTCTTGTTGTTGATGATGATAATTGACTTTTATCAGGATATAAATTGGTGTCACTTTTGACTTGTAGGTTGGATCTAGAGACGAATAATGGTGCATTCTTAGGCGATGCTTTATCGTCTAATACATAATTCCGAACGAAAGTACTTTGCGTATGCACAGGGAGACCTGGCGTGGTAGGTATTGGTGCACGTACAGGTTCAAAGTCTACTATTTAAATGGAACGGAATGAAATTTTTGAAATTGTTAGTCCTACTTTCGGATGGTGCAAATTCGTATGTAGAATGTGATTTTGGATAAATAAAATCGCTCGTTAGCGCACTCGAATTTGATGATACTGCGTACGTCTTCTCCGAATGAGGTTTCTCATTAGCTTTAGTGTTCAGATTGTATGAATGTTTATCAGAAGACGATCGTAGTTTTTCTAATAAATCGATAATTAGCGATAAACGGTCTTGATCAATGCTTATCTAGCTGATAGTTACCTCTCGTAGTACTCGTTGGCATTGAATCTTGAGCTTCCTGATCAGACGAAGACGATGATCGATCCGAACGGGAAGTTTTCCGTCGAATTGATGAAGGACTGCTTAAACCTGACCGATCATATACTGTTTCTGATACTTGAGAAGAATAATCGCGGTCACCAAATGATGATAGTTCTCCATATTCGTCGGAATTACTGTAAGGGATTTCGAGACACGGATAGATTGGTTTTTCTGTGTCGCAAGTGTCGCACGATATATTCTTCTCGTCGTTAATATACCCACATTCACGACACTTCCAATTTTGGACGCATGTTGTTGGTGAAAAATGGCGATCACCTTGAGTACTTGATGGGTCTATAACAGTGCCAATTCATCTACTTCGATAAATTTTTAGACACAAAAATAATCATCAGGTTCCATGCTACCCTTACCATACCCGAGTGTTATCGTGATCGTGTTGAAATCTCTAGAAGTGTCTCACGTTCTCAGTATTACTCAAATACTTACATAGATTGAGAAATTTCAACTAACTTTGTCAATTACTTAAGAAATATCGATGATTTAGAAAGAATGCTTATGGGTTTCGATGTAAAGTAGAATGGAAAATATGTGCCTGTGCCTGCGCATCGTATAGTATTCGGCTGCTCATACTTGTGGATATACTAACCCTGTGCCAATTCTGGATGTTCTTTATAATCATCAACAGGCTGATTAGAGTACAGCGCTTCAGTAGCTTTTGTTCTCAATGTAGAGGTATTGTTGTCAGCCGTTTTGGAAAGAGTCGAAGGTGAAGATGATTTGAAAGATTGTTGGTCTTGTTTTGGAACCGATGAAAAATTATTTTCCTAAACGACATGCCGATTGTTGATGAAAATAACACTTGCACTTTGTAGTAATTAAATCTTACCATCTGATACTTACATTATCGCTGCTCGAAATATACTCATTGAAAGTAGCCATTTGGATAAGTTTCACCGCGTTTGTACCGTCGTTCTATTGAAATATCTTCAGCATAAAATCATTAACAGAAAAACGCTGGTTGTCGCAGTGTGTCTTGATCGTTTGTTTTTGAAAGTAATGAAGTAAAACGACGCATGAATGTGAATAAATTTAAACTTGAAAAGTGAAGAAACAAGTAATGTTGACTCAAACTTGCCAATAGAACAAAACTATCGTAGACAAACAGAAAACAAAATGTGGTACATCAATACAAGCAAATTCGTATCGAACATTATTCACACGGTCACTGACAATTATTGGATTTTCAGACTTGAGCACCGTCTATCTGCTGCTTGATAATTTATAGATATTGTAAGTAAGAGATCACGTCACAAGTCACACAAGGACAACGAGAAGAAATAGTTAATAGAGACAAGTCAGTGATACGAAATATTCTCTTCGATGAATATTACTTCTTCACTTTCCCATCGGGAGAAAAGAAACGAGATAATAACAGAAGTGTCTATGTCATACTCAGCTTAACGATATTCACGAGTGAGTCTCGCTCAGTCGTATCTCAACTGTTTTTTTTCGGTAGAATATTATGCGAATCTGATAGTTTAAAAAACATTTCGACAAGAAGTAACTAATATTTTTACTTTCAAACAGAAACTTCGGTATTCGTAAACATGTCGTCATTCCACCACAATCCTTAGTATTCAACTACCTCTATTGTTGACTTAGCAGTTTTATGCTATTGTTTGTATTAAGAAGTCATTATTTTGAGATGGAAATTTTTTAAAAAGAACAAAAGCATAGTAGTCTTCTGCGCACAAAAAAAAACAATATAAATCATTTGATAATCATCACTACTCAATTAAAATTCTCGACTTGACTGTTACTATCTGCTGGAAGATTAAGATATTGAGTCAAAGTTTGTCCGAATTCTTCGCCAATTCTTCGAACATAATCAGTACGATAAACTACTTCACAATGTCGAGGATCGATTGTTTTTTGTCCTTGTGCCGCACCTAGAAGTGCTCCAATCATAGCAGCGACAATATTCGTATCTCCGCCCATTCCTATAGCTTTTTCCATTGTTGCGAATGACACAGGTTTCGTTACTAACAAACCAATCACCATTGACAAGGTGTCAACACAGAAATATGTTCCACCATGACTAACATCAAGTAGTATTCGATCATTAATATCATCAATATTTTCTAAATAACGATGAATTCGAATACTCAACAATTCTTTTGGAATTGTCAGATTGTATGTATTCTCATATTTGAGACTCAATTGCAGAATGTGTTGAAGGAAAACTTCCTTCTCTTCGCGCGACGATGGTAAACCATACTCAAAAATAAACATACATAGGTAAATGTAAATAAATGCGGTTGTAATTGTAACCGAGTTCATATGCGTCATTTGACAGATCGCTTCAACCAATTCATTATCCACGTCATGTTTACAAACATGAAAAAAGAAAGCAATCGGTGTCAATTTCATAATAACGCCATTACCAGTTGATGATCCACCACTCGTTTTATATGAGTACATTCCACCCGCTATTCTTTCAATTGCACTTCGTGTTCCATTCCCCCAACCATCTCTACATTCCCACCATTCTTTGACATGTTCATCAACAATACTATCGATTAGCGATAAGTTTGGTTTACCGGTATTATTGAGGTATTTAGCAATAGCGTGCATAATCGCGAGAGACAGTTGCGTCGCATCACCCCAACGACCTGTCGCCCATTCTTTTGGAATGTAGGGATTTCGACCAGCCGTATTAACAAATAAAGTTTCGTCTTTTTTCGATAACATTTGTATCTCAACAATTTGTTCTGGATTAAGATTTTCGAATGGGATACCCATGGCATCTCCCACAGCTGTGCCAAATGCCATACCGATACTTCGATCAATTATTTCTTGCGACAATAACGACATTGATACAAAACAAAGTTAGAGTCTTTCTTAGCGACTAGATTCGCTTTGTACTGTTCTTTGCTTCAATTTATATCACAAAAAAAAGATTAGATGCTTAAGCGGATTTATGAGAAAGTTGCCAGCTGTACGAGTGACGCGATGTTGTAGGCGTCTCTTGTTATATATTGCATATGAGACAAGCATATAGAAAGGTAATTACGTTCCCTCTTCCGTCAAACAGCGCAGGATATAAACTCAACGTCTGTCAGACGTTGGTAAGTGAAAATATCATGTTTTCTTCTCCAATTTCCGATAAATTATCTAATGAGGATCAAACAGTATAATTATGTTATGAAAAGAATGTACGAGATCAAATTGATTTATTTACAATTAAAGTAACACATTCGACTAAATCAGACCCCTGAGCCGACGATGAAGTCTATTTTCAACACCACAAGTCAATCCAATTAGTTTACTAAGTTTCGTTTTAAATTCACGACGAAACACACTACTTGACAGCGTATACCTATTTTTTTACAAGAACTTATTTAGTTGTTATGTGTGAAAAGATTGTTCTGTTGATACTTACATGTAGAAACTGATAGCGCTATTAACTTGTGTTAATGTTCGTACGAGTTGTGCGAAAAAGTTCTCCATCTGTAATCGCTCAGAACTTTTCGGTGTACGTTCTGTCAATGTTGCGTAAAGCTTTTGTGTGACAATGGGTAACGTAAACAGCACGGTGGTTGCCAATTCTAAAAGAAGCATTTTTATAAAATGATAATCTCGTTTATGTAATCGGTGGGTTTGCTTTGCTGAAGCTGATGTCTGTGTAACAGTTGTAGGATTAATTTGATCATGACGTCGAATAGTATTGTAAAGCGTAGCTAAACCAATTATAATCATCAATATTGTTGGAGTACAACTGTACGTTGTAAAGAAGAAAAAATCATAAAATACGCGATAGGCACCAGACTGAGCATAACATACTGGTCCGGTTTTCGTCTGTTCTATGGTAAATAGAAAAAGTACATGAGCATAGAGAACAAAACAAATCGATATAGCAGCAAGAATGAGCGAAAGTATGTTTTTAAAACTAGAAAGATTGCGAAGATTAACTTTACGAGAACTAATAAAATATCGATCTATTCCCGCTAGAACAATGAACCACGAAGAAAGTACGATTGAACAATGTACAATGAAAAATCGTAGACGACATATGACTGTGCTAGCGGTCAGCGGATCGACATGATGAGCGTCTCCGAGATAGTTGAACAGTAGTCCGAAGGCGAGATTATTCAAGTGAGTCATGGCCAATCCAAAAAAATACATCGTGCACGGATTTGTACGTAATGTATAACCAGAAAAAGTGATGATATTGAAAATGTTTCCAACGACACCAATGCAAAACACTGTAGGTGGAACAATTCGATTGTATTGAGTAGTAAAATCGGTAAACACCGACGTATTCGACATTATCTACAATAGGTGAAGTGTGATCAACCGCGTTAATATGGTTTTATAGAAAAAATGACAGAAACCAAAGAAAATCAGCGCTCTTTTGTATAGTCATACTTGAGAATCCAGTGAGTGAACATGACTTTTGTACAATGAAACATCTATGTAATGCTTTCAAAATATATCATGTCCACATAGAGGAAATAGACCAAACCGGTCTTTTGAAAAACTAATTAAGAATGAAGTAGAAAGAGAAATGTTGGCGGTAATTAGACGTGTTCTGTTTTCATTGTTCGTAGTAGAGTTTTCTCTTTGTGGTATAGTGTTACCTCCCATATTCTTCAAAGTTGCCAGTTTGCTTTCATTTTCTGCGTTTTAGAGATGTTGTTTTGCATGAACGAATTATATTTCATATGTAGAAAGAAATTATTCGAAATAAAAGAATAAAACAATACGATTCACAAACACCTAGATTAAATATACGGATATTGGATAAGCGAACGACTGAACCGAGCGTGGGGAGAGGTTAAATATAATTCTTTGAGATACTTTGTTTCTGTTTTGCAGTTCATTTATTCACTGGGAGAAAAGAACGGTTGAGGAAGTAAAATTATAAATAATTATTCTATTCACACCAGAATGCGCAATAAAAAAAACCTATGCTTTGTTCATGTTCCTTGCAAAGTCATTCATTTACAAGCATATCTTTAATGTGTAGATCCGTTCAGTTTAGTTCTTTTCTATCTGTCACATACTATACTGTTTGCTCGCAGGTATGCAAAATTAAGACGTTTTTTATCTTTGCCACTCAATTATGTACATTGAGAAATCCTCACGTTTTGGGTAGACAATAGTGAGTGTTTAAATTCACTCAGTCTTCCATTAACCTGTCAATAATTCATTCATTGATTATCAGCATACTGTGACGTCAACTACACATAATAATGCAAGAACTCCAAGTAAAGACGAAAACAAAAGCCGAGAACAGTTGACAGAATATAAAAATAGAAGAATAAAAGTGCAGAGATGCATAGGTAGTTGGAAAAGTATTATGTAATAAGAAGATGAAAGCAGACAAAACGCTTGAAATAAGGTTTATGAACATGAACTCCTTATGAAGAAGACAAAAGGGAAGTGTAATACAATGGGAATACACCTTTGAAAAAATGAAATGGAAAAACACATGTAACACAGCTAAATGTGTAAACAGAAAAAGAGTTTAATCATGATGTACAAGTGTGATGATATCCATTCATATGCACGACTAGAAACCAAGTGGCGTATCGTCACTCGCACTGCAACTCTACATGCTTCTTCAATGAAATTTCAATATCGTATTCACTTGATGGTGAAATAAATACCTCAAATGATGTTACCGTTATAACTATTTGAATAGTTCCAATCTATGGTTAAAAACCGTTTTCTACAAAGGGTTTTCATAAACGTTCATTCCCACTATATAGTTTATTTGATGTTCTTAACAAGATATTTTCGATGTTAATCGTAGTCTCTCATATATTCCAATCAATTGTCAGACAGACCATATTGTGGATTCTATTTAAACATGGAAATAACGACGTAAACATATGTCGCACTTTTCACTTTCAATTCAATATAAATTTCTTTTACGATGACTTTTTTAGTACTACTTTCAGATACAAACATGGTAAATTTATCGCTGACTCGATATGTAACATTTAAGAAAGATAATGATTACGTATGTGAGCTCTAACCAGATCTTTTTCATAGGCATCGATCGGCTTTTTTGGCTTGGGGAATATGGGGAAACATATGGTCACTCATCTGATTGCAGCGAACCATTATTTGACACTCTTTGATGTTAACTCTCAAGCACTTAATCGTTTCAATGGACAAAGTAAAGCAAAAACTCCACTATATCGGAAAAGGGTTCAGTTTAGATGCGAAATTTGTCCTTTAGAACGAGTCAAAATAGCATCGAATCCAGCAATGACTGTAGAAGACTCCAAATTCGTCATCTTGATGTTACCAAACGGTCGAATTGTTCGTGACGTTTGTCAATCATTTATTTTTCCGTATACCAAATGAAAAACTAAGATTTTTTCTCTCATATTTTTTCGGATTCTTATTAGATTCGCGCAACCAGACACATTGATCATTGACAGTAGCACGATTGATGTCGATACATCAAAACAGATGGCAAAGTTAGCGCAAAATAAGCAATTACGATTTGTCGATGCACCCGTTTCTGGCGGTTTGTAATATGGATTTGTTCAGATCCGAGTTGTACTTACTATTGCATATGATATAGGTGTAGTGGGTGCTCAAAATGGCACATTAACATTTATGGTGGGTGGTGAAAAGGATGATTTTCAATGTGTAGTACCTATTCTGCAGAAAATGGGTAAACATATTGTTCATACTGGTCCAAATGGTAATGGTTTAGTAGCAAAAATTTGCAATAATTTACTTTCAGGAATCAGGTAGGGATATAATAAAACAGAAAAGGAAGTATGTTCGATCGTGTTCTTTCAAGTATGATTGGTACATCGGAAGCAATGAATCTTGGTATAAAGTAAGTTTCTATATGAAAAAATAATAAACCGTATGTTTTTCTGAATAATCTTTCATGATCAGACTTGGTCTGGATAAAATGGTGCTAGCTAAATTGATCAATTCTTCTACCGGTCAGTGTTGGGCAAGTCAGACTTATAATCCATGTCCTGGTATTATTCCTAATGTCCCATCAAGTAATGATTACCAAGATGGATTTGCGAGTGAGTTAATGACAAAAGATCTTCTCCTTGCTCTCGATCTGGCAAAAGAATTACAAATACCAATACCATTAGGTGAACAAGCTGCTGACTTCTATCGCCAGATCTGCTCCAGTGGATTAGGTAAACGAGACTTTAGCGTCACCTTTAAATATCTCAATGAGAAATAAACTGATTGAATATGTTTTACTTTTATTAAAATATAAAGATTTTACAGATCGAAAAATTTCAATTTACTTTTTTGTGTCAGTAAAACTAAGGAATTTCGCTTAGGAACGTATGTTGTTAGATCGACATTTTCCGCACATTCAATTATTCGTTTACTTTGGGCATTTTCATTCAGAACAGTGAGATATTTTGATCCTGTATGAATAATCAGCCAATTGAAAGTTAAATTAGGTAATGATATAATACGTCGATTAAATTCGCTTTTATCCAATTGAATTGATGAGATTAATGACATCGATCGATCTCGCAGTTCAAAATGCCACTGTTGTCTATCATCGAGTAGTGTCATTCCGATTAAATTTGAATTCGTCATTGAAAATGTTAAACTCATTATAATTTCATTTGGTTTGACAATATTCACGTATTCGTGGACGCGTCTCCAAGGAGTCATCTTGTATTCATCGATCGAAGTGTTTCGTTCATCGTATGTTATGAAAAGTGTATCATTCGAACAAGTACAACGAAGGAATTCCATTTCATTACGTTTTGGTTGAACACTTTCAATCAATTGCATCGAATCGGAGGTTTCAATTTCATCATCATATGTGTAAAGTCGATTATCAGCCAGTATAAGAAATTTATTTAGATAAGACGACCAACAACTATCCCAGACGGCTTGATCGTCGTACCATGGCACAAGTTTTTGTTGACCATTATGGTTAATAATCGATAAACGGCGGTGTTTGTTCGTATGTTGATAATGAAGAAATGTTGAGTGTTGCGGAGATGATGTGCCTAACATGTGCCAATCGGAACCTTTCACATCTAGACTCAATCGTGCTTTTGTTGTTAGTAGCCATTCGAAGTGAAAGTCTTGTTGTTGAATTCTTGGTAGATTCGGCTGCTTTGTGGTTATTTGAAGATATTTTGACCAATCTATTGGCAAAATTTGAAGATCAGCTGTAGTTAACGAGGAATTTTCAACCTGAATTTTTAAATTGTTCAGTTGTGTTGCTAATCGTTGAATATCCAACTCGGAATAAGTATTTGTTCGTTGAGTTTGTTGAAATTGCTCGGTTAGTCGATGAAATTCTGTTCCAAATCGATCATTCGGAATTGCATCCGCTCGTGAACGAATTTTGTTTCGTGTTTGCTCCGCTATTTCTTTAACTTGACGAATCGTATCCGCTTCCCATTGGTCAATCTTATTGATTAAATCGGTATTTCCTGCTAAGCTTTCATACGATGGTGGAAGCGAAAGAATTTCATTCAAGTTCGAATAATCATGTTGTAGATGATCGAATTGCTCGACTATTTGCTGACGGTGTTCAGAAAAATGATAGTCACAAAACGTTCGACGACAATCATCACACCGATACGAACCAGAGTCGCATTGTCGACAATACGTCGTAGCCGCTGAAGCCATAAGCGTTTTCTTCTAGATGAGAAAAAAAATTTGATCTAAATACTACGATACGAATGATGACTTATTTTTATTCCTATCGCAAGAACAGAACCAATAAATACTCTACATGAGCTTGTTCGATCATTTCATAGCGACATCTATTCTATACGACCAGTATTCCGAGTATCCGACCCCTCTGTGAGAATCGTATTTTGACAGTGAATAAATAGAAACCTATGCATACAATATTTATATAGATAAACAAAAGAACTGTCTGGAAGGAAAATATAGTTTCAGTGATTGAATTTAATACATAAAATTAACTCGGAAGTCGAGCCAATGTTCTATTTTGAATGGCGCTCATTTGAACTTGAATTTCGTTTGATTTTAGTTTTATCTGTCGACTTGTCTGTATACAATCGACTTGTTTCTGAACGGTAGGTATTGCTTGTAATTCTTTGATTATCTGATAAATTTTATCGATCGATTGTCTTTCATTATCATTCGACAATTGCTGATGATTCAATTGTCGTCTCTGTTTTATCGACAATAAGACATCTCGAACTTTACGGTTCATACTAGTATTAATATTTCGAGTCTGTGAAATATGATTTTCTTCGGCGAGAAAACGATCGAGAATGGGCTGAAATGGGTCTTCACTCGTGGATGAATCTTGTTGACGTAAGAAATATAATAATGTATCACATTTAAGAAGGAAATTATGAAATGAACTTTGCCATCGTTCATTTTTTAAACCAGCTGGTTCGGTAACGAATTGATGTTGAATTAGATATTCAACTAAAACTTGTTTGTCATTCGAAGGACAAAAACAATGTTGATTCGCAGCTGTTCGTAGAAGAGCATTCTGATATTGAGCGATCCAGAATGGACCTGTTTCCTTGATATTCATTTGTGCACAATTCGTACATAGATCAACCTCGATGGGTGTCACACTTAATACAATTTGGTTAGCAATCAACTTCGCTTCGCTCAATTTCCAATTGTAAACAATTAAACGTAATGTTTCCATCAACGGTCGCGCGAGCATTGAGATATCCAGAGCTACTCTTCTGATTGATAACGAATCATGTAGTTTATATGGTTGCCGTGTTTGAATAAAATTCAATAGGCGAAACGATTCAGTTACGGATGTATTCCAACTCTCTTGACATTCCTGTTTTTGATAATCATCGAAAATAACATTGCATCTTCTTGCGACTAAGTATCGAAATGATTCGCTGTCGAAGCAGAATGTGTTCTCTTTTTGATACGGAATATCGGGATTTTCGTCGGCAAGCATTTTTTGAAGTACTGGACCTGTATCACCGGGTGAGTAGAATGTTGCTCGAGCATTTGTAAAGCAGAAAATTATATTTCGGCAACCGTTTCGTGTAACGTAACTGGTTAATTGATGAATACATGAACGAAAGATAACATTCAATCGAGAAGTATTCGGTTTTAATAGTAAACAAATTGCATTGATGTGCGGTAGATTGTCAATGTACGTTAAAATATGATCGATGTTTTTCATGTCTTGATCAATTCCTCGAGTATCCCCGACGCCAGGTGTGTCGATTAAACGCAAACGATATTGATCGTTTAAATCGAACACGTATGATTTGCATTGTTGAGTCACAGATTGACCATCGCGTTCGTGATTTTCGTTGGGATTAGGATCGCCAAACTGAACGATAACTTCATCGAATCGGTCACCTACTGTTAAAAGAAATGAAACTGGAATTAAAACAGCTGGTTCACCCTGTTCAGCTTGGGAGAGCGTATTGAATTTCAAATAGTTAACAAATGCATTGATGAATGTCGATTTACCCACTCCAGTTTCTCCCAGCAGTAATACATTGAGATCTGTTTTTGATGACGATAGAGGTTTGCCGAGCTGTTTTGTGTGATGTGTCACGTCAGGTGGTGTTGTGGGAATAGCTGGTGGTGTTCTCGATCTATGTTTTAGCGGCTGTGGTTGTTGTTGTTTGTATGGTAATGACGGTGTTGAAGGTTTCACTTTAGAAATTGATGGACTGGAAATTGTTCGACGCGGCGGAAGTGTTATTTCTAAATAGATTTTCAAACGTTTCAAAGTATTGATTTGCAAGCGACTGTATTTACCTTTGATTGGATCTGATTGCATCACGCTTGGTCGTCCTGCTAGTGGTAATTGTACAATAACAAAACCGTCCAGTCGTTCTTTGCAATTAGTAAAATCCGCGTAGACTAATTTAGTTATGTGAGGCGCTTGTTGACGATCTAATAGAATTTGTTCATAGATTTGTTGCCATCGTTCATCTTGTTCGCGTTTTAATCGATCAGTTGAATACCAAAGTATGACCGCATGCTTGTCATTCAAACACGAACGTTTTAGAATAACATCGAGCACTTCATTTGTAGGCGAGCTTGGTCCGTCTGGGCGAAGATCGTGTACATTGATATAATCAATTCTGTCTCTCTTCAATTTGTCGATCAATGTTGCTTTTGCTAACAATCGTTCAAGTGTAAATAAGAAATCATCTATTTTATCTTTGTGCAAATTGACATATTGTTGGTCAGCAATGATATTGTCTAATAGAACAGGCTTGCTACGATGACTACGAACATCTGGAATAGCTTTATGGAGACGTTCTTCAAGATCTGCTTGATTGTCACGTAGACTCATGTAATAATGCTTGGCGTCGTTGAATTTTGCTTCGAGAGTCGAACTTGAAAAGTGCTCCGGTAGTCTTAACAACAATTCATCAGCTCGTTGTAATTGACCTTCGATACGTTGACGCAACGGATCAATTCGACGAATGTGCGGATTCTCATCGTTCGACTCATAGCACGGTACTTGAAATCGTCCGCCGTACAACCATCGTAACGGCTGCATGGTATACCTGATTGGTTGATGAAAATTCGGATTTCGTTGCCATTCATACAAACGGTCGAGAACGGTGAGTAATGATGTCGATGGGTCGGCAATACACGTTTCAGTTCCATATATTGTCGTATTAGTCAATTGGTTCACAAGACGTCGATCATCGTTTGTTAATTGGAGAGGAATTCGATTTCGATCTAGTTGATTACTGACATTGTACAATAATCGATCGATAGTTTCCATCGACCGATTTCCTGTATTTTGTATAATGCATAAAAATTCGAATCCCCACACGATTTTCGTAATCATATGCGTTGCATCCGTTGAATTTTGCGGCGGCAAAACAATTTGATGCGTTTTACGAGCTTTTACTTGAATTTCTTCCTTTCGGTCTTTGTAACAATAATACAAGAGTCGAGTATTTTGATTGACTGCGCCATTGTATGTCAGAAAATGACCAACGCCAGACGCTGTAACCGTGCGAAGACGAATACTATTTCGAATTGCATTGTCGAAGCCAAAATAGTCCATATAACTCATCAAACTTCTCGATGCATCACCTGACATTACTTGACATATCGAGCGTTTCTTTGGTACTGTCGTTTGAAAATCTGCTACCGAATGTCTATCTACGAGCTGATCAACAGCTGTATTATACAACGAACCTAATCGACCTGTTGGATCCAACACTTTCCGCGTTGTTGGATATCCTTGTTGAGGTTTGAACAGGCGTGCACATGTTGTCGGCATTCTACAGAAGAGAGGAAAAAAGTGAATGTTGTAACAAAAAGTACAAGACACTGAACAATGAAGGAAAGATGGTCTCTTCAATAAATACTTCAAGGTGAATTCTCATCCAAATCAAATACAACAAAGCCTTGAACAAGCTATGGCTTCTGTAAATCGATTGTATCGATTATTTCGACTCATACTGGTATAATTACATACGACGAAGGCAATATCATCAAAAATAAATTGATCATTTCCTGTCGAGTACACGATCGCGACGTCTTTTCGTCAATTAACTCTTCGTTTTCAAGAAAAAGTTCGATAAGAATTCTTCTCATATTTACCATCGTCTACTATGATACCGCGAATACGAAAGAGAACAGTGAAAAAAATCAAGCATATTTCGTTTTGAAGTATCATGTTGATGACGATGGAACGAAGGTCGTTCTCTTTTAAGGTCTCATTGATTCATTCAACTAAATAGAAATATGACATAAATGACATTTTTTTTTGAAACAATATTTCTCCGAGAGCAAGAAGAAGTTAATCTGCTGAATCGAACTTGAAGAATAATCGTTAATCATTAGGAAGCGATTAATCAAAACAACACACGCTGCGACAATTTTCAAATATTCAATCGTTACCTTCGAATGAACGTTATCAAATTATGATAATCTATAAGAGAAATATAAAAAAAAGTTGGTCAATGAAGTTGAATATGATTGTAAATCACTTGATGATAAAGAAGGAAATAAAATATTCAAATCATTTTTGACATGTATGTATTACATTGATGTTTTCACTTGGTTGAACATCCAATCGTTCAACGGAGGATCTCTGAAATGGGAGGTATAGATGATCAAGAGAAAGTGTTTCAAATGAGTTGAATCATTTCGGTACTTTTTTTTTCTTATATATGGTGAATGTTATGATTTAGAAGATGAGAGGCGAACTGAAAAACAGCAGAAGGAAAAATGAATGAGTAATCTGTCAGAATGACTAAGTGATTTTTATTCATGGACACGATGAGTGGGAAGAAAATGGGTATTATGATAAAAACCATAACCAAGTTCGATAGTAACGAAGAGTATATCAATAGGATCAAAGCGCAAACACCATCTCGTTGAAGAATAGTACTCAATTATTGTATAAAAAAGGATCATACTTATGTTTGGCAATTACAAAAAAGTGTTGTTTGTTTGAGTCGTACTCGAGTTAAAATGTGAATTGGAAAATGTTCAAAAGAAGAGAAGTATTGATTGAAATTTGTTTGAGTATAATGTATATTATTAACGAACTCGTTCTGTAGTTGTTCTTCCGACACAACAGATTTTTCCATCGCATGTGTTAAAATTGAGGGCGAGAAAGAAAAAAGCAAATAAAAACAAACATGCAGATGCCTTTATTTATCTCGTTGTGAAATAACAGAACGAAAAGGTAAATTGGAATATGACTCAAATTATGTATGGAGAAACATTCAATGCGGTGAATCATAACGGGTGTTCGTTAAGGAAAAACCAGATGTAATGAACAATTTAAGTGATTAGATTTGAAAGAGAATTAGTTTATAATTCTGATGAATGATTGAACTTGCACTTTTGGAATTTCTTTCAAGTTAAATACAGTAAAGCAGTTTTCTAAAGAATAATTGAGAATTATTGTGTTGGAAAAATGGTACCTCTTCGACCGTCGATACTGAAAATGGATCTGTAAATAATTATCGTTAAAATCATTCAGCGGCTTCCTCGTTCTCACTCTTTTATACAGAATGCAATTCGATCTACTCGGTTTTTATTTTGCATGATATACTGCTAATTGGTTCCAAGCATACACGGAAATATTTCTGACAACATAGAACCACATATAGTGAAGCTTTCTATTACATAGTTCTTTTAATCTATTGATAACAAGCACTCGATGGGACAAGAAAACAACACGTATGCTGTTCTCTGGCATTGAAAAAAGGTATTTTCCGCTGACATTATTCTATTACCAATTAACGAAACTGATGTATCTGTGTATAATTCATACTTTATGTAACAGACTAACATTTCCAAGTAGATAATTATATAATACTAAAACTTTCATGTTCATCCAGGCATGTGCATTTTGGAAATGACGATGCCATGTCAAATAAGTGACCTATCCGATCCCAGTTCCATGTGTATTCAGTAATTTCAAAGAACGCCGAAATACTTTCCACATCCATTTTGTAAAGTCAGGCAGTAATCCAAGACACATTGACGGAAGAAGAAGACATATGAAATATGTTAAATCTGAAATATAATCTTCTTGGATTTCATAAACATAATCGGATGCATCTATTTGCTGCATTATGCCGGTCGTTATGCTGGGTAACCATGCTAGCAGATAAAGACAAGCGATACTTAATAGCTGCAACGTCATTCGTCTCTGCTTTGCCCACGAGACAGTTTGTCGACGACGTAACTTTTGTTGGATTACTCGAATGATTAGTGTCACATTAGCTAGGATAATCACAACTATAGGTAAACCAGTGTTTACGATCCAATCAAACGTTGCAAGAATCAGGTCATTGGAGAGATAACAGATAGTGTCGCCACACATATTTAACCTGAAATCCCACTGTTTATCATCACACGGATAGAATATAACTGTGACTAGATAAAATATCATTGGGTAAACGATGCCAAGGAGAAGTGGAAAATAATAATAAATACACCGTTTTGTACGTAGACGAAACACACTCGGATGAAAAATAAGAGTATGCCGCTGAATAGACATAATGGCAACAGTGAAAGCGTTCGAAGCATCCAGAGTCGATTCGACATACATCCAAAACTTACAGTATGCACCTGTGGCTGGACTAATGTAACCCGAATGAAGGAAATGAGTGACCATCGGCATGTTCACTGATAGTTGAACAAAGTTAATCAAGAGCAAAACTAGCAGGGCTTGATTTTGAATTTTTCGTAGATGATTGGGATTTGTTAGAAAGAAAATAAAAACGAAAAACGAGAGAATACCAGCTAAAACTTGTAAACAAACGATGATAATAAATTTAATACGATGGATTGGCCGTATGTCTTCAGTTGTCGGTTCCATATGAGAAAAACGCACGTCTTGAATTGAAGCAAAGCAAAAATTTTGATGTTTTCCCTTTCAAGTATTTCTTATTACTATAATGGATCCTATGTCTTTCTAGGAGTATATCATTTCCTCTCTGATTTGTCATTTAATAATGCTGGCTTATCTTAGCCTTTCTAATTATGCGAATTCATCGAGATACTTAGAAAAACGTGCTAGGAAGTTCTAATGATGTTCACAAGCGCAAAAACTATTCTTTCATATGATTAACATATTCTGCTATGCCGAACGCTGATTAAACGTTAACATAGAAGAATACGATGACAATTATTTTATCTATTCCTGCCAAAGTGTTGTCTTGTTCTTTTTCTCCTAAGAGGAGTCAATCTACTCGGTCTTTACTGGTCCTGATTAAAACGTTCGAGAAAAAAAGATTTGAAAGTTTATGTAGAATTTTCCTCCTATCTGACATAATTTATTTCGTATTATTGTCATAATGCGATTTACACAACCTGTCATCTCTGTGATGTACTCGAGATCTTGTAATAGAAGATAGTCAGTCGAGAAAGTAGAATCTGAGCCCGAATACACAAGCTATGTTGAAAGTACTTCATTGAGAAATTAATTATGAAAGGAATGACATCATTTGTGAAAGCGTCCGCTGCGAGAATAAATGACACGATATAACGAATATTGTGATGTTTTTAGAATATTATGCAAATCCATGCGAGTGAATGGAAATTGTTTGTTCAAGCATTGACGTTCAATACAAAGATAATGTAATACTGTCTGATTATGCACTTCGTAGATAATAGCTAACTAATCAGCGATATTCAAATAGTTTTTTAAACCCTAAATAAACAATTGCTAGCTTTATTACTATTTTAGGTATTTTCTTAGGTACTGATGCACCGCAAGAAAGCATACCGATGCGGAAAACGTGTTACGCCCTCATAGTGAAAGTTGCTTATAGAACAGTAGTTCCAACTACGTTTGTAGGACGCTGTAATCGACGAAAATGTTTCCATATCCATTTGGTAAAGTCAGGTAGCAATCCAAGACTCATTGCTGGAAGAAGAAGACATATGAAATATGTCAAATCTGAAATATAATCTTCCTGGAATTCATATATGTATTCTGACGCATTTATTTGTTGCATGAGACCAGTCGTTATGCTAGGTATCCATGTTGCCAAATAAAGAGAAGCGATGCTCAATAATTGTATTGTCATTCGTCGCTGCTTTGCCCATGGAAGAGCTTGCTGACGACGCGCTTTTTGTTTAACTACTCGAATCATTAATGCCAAATTCGCCAGAATGATCGTAAAGATTGGTAACCCTGTATTTACGATCCAGTCGAATGTTGCAAGAATCGGATTATCGGAAAGGTAACAAGTACTGTCACCGCACATATTCAGCGTAAAATTCCATTGGGATGGATCACACGGATAGAATACAACTGTCGCAAGGTAGAATGTCAAGGGATAAACAGTACTGAGTAGCAGTGGAAAATAATAATAGACACATCGTTTTGTAAGCGCACGAAGTATAGTTGGGTGGAAAATCAAAGTGTGTCGCTGAATAGACATCACAGCAACTGTGATAGCATTTGAAGCATCCAGAGTTGACTCAGCAAACATCCAAAGCCTACAGTACGAACCTGTAGATGGAATGATTCGGCTGAAGCGAAGAAAATGAATAACCATTGGCATATTGACTGATAGTTGAATGAAGTTGATAAGAAATAAAACTAATAGAGCTTGATTTTGAAGTTTTCGTAGATGATTGGGATTTTTTAAAAAGAAAATGAAAATGAGAAGCGAAAGAATACTTGATGGGATTTGTAGCGAGAGAAACATGAAAAATTTGATACGATGTATTGGACGTATACTCTGAATCTTAGTTTCCATCGGAGATCTGAGCAAATCTTGAATTTAAGACGTAAAAATATGTATGCGTTGTGTGAAATATTCTACATTAATGAAATGACTTTCGTGTCACTCCAGGAGCATATGGCTTCCTCCTTAAACTGTCATCTAGCGATGGTTTGACTATCTTACCCTTTCTAATGATGAGAATTCGTCGAGATACTTATGAATATGTGATAGAAAGGATTGGTAATGTTCACGCGAGGAAAAATTGTTTTTACATACAATTAGCATATGTTCCTATAAAAAATATTAACCCTTAAAAACTGCGGGAGGTTTTTCGACGATAGAAAGAGACACGTTTCTGAAGCAAAGCTTCTGAACAAGCAATATAATTGTATAAAATTGAGAAATGAACTATCTTTGGTTATTATCAAGATGGAGGATGTCTCTTGGAAGGGACACCCGGTTATGACGGCATGAAATATTTCTCTTTCCATATAATTAAATTATGTATGGTACGTATGCTAATTTTACAGTCTGAGATGTTGTTGAGAGTGTGGATGAAAATAAAACTGTGCTTGAGCAAGATTACCAATGCTGGTGCGAGTAAATGATGGTTTCGTTATAGGTGAATTGTGATAGAACCTCCATCAATGCATTTCTCTGCTCAGAAATCAAACCTGACACACACACTCTTACCCTCACTCTCATTCATACAAATCCACATTGGTACACGACACCAAAAGCATCCAAGGGTCAAAAAATGACATAAACATGCACATTTTATGTACATATAATACTCAATCTAGTTATATATAGAAAGAAGGATAGCTCATGCTGCTATGACCAAATGTCATTCCCAAGGAACATTTTTTATATGATACTACATGTCAGTGATATCTGAGTCTAAGGTTTCCAGAATGATCTTATGGTTTGAGCTGACTAAAAACACTACCATCGCACCTAGAAGAACCATATTTCATATTATTGGCACAAAAGATTGTGATAAAACAAGACTCCAAAACGGAATCACTATTTGAAAAGCCGGTGCTCCGTCAGACAGCTATTTAGTGTCGACTTTTTGCTCTCTTCATGACTTATGTCACATTCTTTACTGAAAAAGTCGTAAACTTTTCATATAGAATTTTGTTTCTTGTTCTATATCAAATTTTCAATGTTCCTCGAAAGAGTAATCTCGATTTTTAATGGTTAATTGAGTGTTGACATCGAAGTATGTAGTGACGCATTTTCTACCCTTTGCTGTCAAAGTGTTGTCTCCTTTCTTTTCTCCTGATAAAATCTAAGCTGCTTAGGCGTCAGTCATGTCGATTTAAATGTGAGAACTACTATTTTAGGATTTATAAACAACTTTTCTGAGATGTTGTCCACCATTTATGTTTTTATAAGACGATTTGCACAATCTATCACCTGCTCAATATATTTAATATATTATACAAGATTAGAAGACTCAAAAAAGCAATATGTAAGCCAAAGTATATACATCTTTGTTCAAACTTTTTAAAAAACTTAATTATGAACGCAATGATACCGTTTGTAGAAATGTTTGCTTCGAATAAAAATGAGATGGTGTAAAAAAATACTGTGGTATTTTCAAGATGGCATTCAGATTCGTGAGAGAGAATATAAATTGTGTGCTCAAGGCTTCGGGTTCTATATAAAAAATAGCTTAACATTCCTGATTATTCACTTCATGTATAAAAGTTCATCAAGAGTGTAGTTTGAGATAATTGTGTAAAGCTTCGAATGAAAACTTTCGTTTATGGTACTTCTGAAACGTTTTTCAGTTACGGGTACACCGTAAGAATGCATACTACAGTGAAAAACCATCACACCCTTCTCAGGACGGTTAATTAGAAAACAGTAGTTCCAATTATGTTTGTTGGATGTTGTAAACGATGAAAATTTTTCCACAACCATTTTGAAAAGTCGGGTACTAGTCCAAGACATAACCACGGGAGAAGCAAACAAATCAAGTACGTCAAATCTGATATGTAGTTTTCTTGAATCTCATATAAGCCACTGGATGGATGTACATGTTGCATGACATTAGTGACGACTGTGGGTATCCACGTGAACAAATAAAGACAAGAGATACCCAACAGCTGTAATGTCATTCGTCGTTGTTTTGCCCACGGAAGAGCTTGATGGCGACGTGCTTTTTGCCGAACCACTCGAATGATTATAGTCACATTCGCGGGCATAATTATACAAACAGGTACACCCGCATTTAGAATCCAATCCAATGCTGCAAGGACCAGGTCATTTGAAAGATAACAGGCATTGTCACCACACATGTTCAGAGTGAAGTTCCATTGCGATTCGTCACACGGATAGAATACAACTGTCACCAAGTAGAATATCATGGGATAAATTATACTGAGTAGAAGCGGAAGATAGTAGTAGATATAGCGTTGTGGTCGTAAACGAAAAGCAGTCTGTCGAAAGATAAGCAGGTGCCGTTGAACAGAGATAGTTGCTGCCAATAGAACACTTTCCGAATCTAGTGTGAATTCGACGTACATCCAAAATTTACAATATACCCCTGTTGCCGGACTGATATAACCTAGATTCAGAAAATGAATGACCATCGGTATATTGACTGATAATTGAACAAAATTCACAATAAACAACAGCAAAAGAGCTTGGTTTTGAAGTTTCCGTAGTTGGTTTTGATTTTTAATGAAAAATATAAAAATAAGAAGAGAGAGTATGCACGCCGGAACTTGTAATATTATTGCAATAAAAAATTTGATTCGCTGCAAATTGTAGTTAATGCTAGTCAAAGTTTTCATGCTTATATGATATTGATATTAGAATTACAATCTCTTTACAGTACTTTTAATGTTAATGATAGCATTACCTCGTTTTCTCATGTTCTCATTTTTTTCTATTCATCTTCTTTCTTTTTCTTTTGAAAGAAAAGCTTTTCTTCAGCGCGTAAAATCCACACGAGCACGGGGATGAAATTTCTTAATGGATATTTGTTCTCATAATTGCAGATGATACTCCTTTTCTCCAACACCGAGTATTTCCTTGTCATTGTATCGTGAGGATGGTATAGAGTAAAGAAAATTACAAAAAAACAAACGAACTCATCTTCTATCATGAATATCCTGCCACGCGCAGCAATTTTTAGATGCGAATATACGGTCCCTTATCGAGTTTTTTTCTAAGTCATTATTTTTCAGGCCTGATCCATTTGTGTCTTGCTTTGCCATTGCCAATTATATCCTGCTCGAACTCCAGGTCTACTGCTGACCATACTACAGGAATACTTTTCCCAACAGTGATGACGTACTAATGCCTTTGGTATTAACGACAAAAGCTTAAGTTTAAGAAAGAGGGAAACTGTGATATTCTATCCAGGATGTCATCAAACTGATGAAGGAATATTTTAATTCTGTAAAACTTTGACTGGTGACATTTTCCGTTGCTACAACCAAATTACTGTGTAATTGTATTTATTTGAAAACGCTTGAAAATGACATATTTCATCACATGACTGGATAGTAAAACATTTATAGAGGTGCTCATTAACAGAAAATACGCACACCTTGATGTTTTTTTTTAGTGACGAAAACATAAAAATAGCAGAAGATTAAACTAATCACGTCGTATGTACTATTTTTTAGAGACACTTCCATCCCTGCATGGCATCTTCACTAGAACTGCATATACGGACAGTGTTAAATATTTATAGACTTAAAAAAAAATGACACAGAAAAGAAAACTTGCGGCTCGTTCAAAAATGTGTAACTAATTCAGGCGAGACTTTCTGCTGATTTTTTCTTTTCAGAATGTGTCCACGATCATTGGTTTCAATCGAGGATTCTTTTGAAGTACTGATGATATCCAAATCCTCGTCTGGAATCAATGTTGGATTGCAAGCCAATGCACCTTTTGGTATTAATGTGGATACAAGTACTATTACAGAGATAATTGTCATTTGTACAGCAACTGTATAAAGAAATGCTGATCGAACAGAATCCGTTCTATCATAGACACGATCGATATAAAGTCCCAAAGTTGGATTTAGAATAGCATAAATAATGATATAGGAGGAATAGAGAAATGATGCTACAGCACCTAATGCTGAAATATTCTTATGTTTAGATTCTAATCCGCTTAAGGATGATTGGATAAATGAATTTAATGCAATGTCATCGGCAGCAGAACCAAATCCAATTGGAATGTAAGTTGCGGCAATAATCCAAGCATATTTCACATTATTCGCAATTGGATAATAGAAAGGAATGTACCAAACGAGAAGAATGATTATTGCATCTAATCGAGACCATGGAAGAGGAGTTTTGATGAAATTTCCAAATATAAAAACAAATACAGCACCGAGTAATTCACCGAAATTCGATGCACCGACGATAATTTGCGACCATTCGGACTGTTCGAGATAACGTTTGGCTATTTGTGGAGCAATGCCATTTTCAAGATAGCGATGCGCATATAAAGTCAATGCATAACAACTCCAGATCCAGATAAATTTTCGATGTGTGAAAATAATCTTCGCTCCAATACAAAACGACTGAACGAAAAGAACGAAACCGTTCACGATCGATTTCAAATAGCCTGATTCGATATTATCGGCGACAGGTGTCATCTCATCAGTTCCTGTGTTGTCAACAGCTAAACCAACCGAACTAATAAATAGCCAAACAATAGCCGCTAATATGAATAATATCGGAGTGATAATAAATGAGTAGTTGTTCCCCAAACGAGGTATCAAGCCGAGACCCGTAGCGAAAGCTCCGCTAACACCTGCTATTTCATAGAAAATATGAACAAGAGCATCCATTTTCTGTAGTTTTTCCGGATGATCGCCTACGATATCTCGAGGGATAACTCGTCGGATTAATTCAACCATACCAAATGCTATTCCTGTTATACAGTAAATAGGTATGATTCCGTTGGTGTTGTACTTTCCATAATATCGAAAGTCGTGTTCGTCCATTGGAACGAAGTCTTTCGGCCGTATGTAACCACCTGTAGCTGCATCAACGATCATTAAGATGGCACTGAAAATTGCAAAAACGAAGATCGAAACCGAGAGAACTGTTCGCGTTGGCCAACGTTTTGCTAATGGTGCAATAAGAATGGAACCAATGCACTGAAACGCTTGATTAAGTCCAGATATTAACCCAACTCGTTCAAATGTTCGTATCGTCGAATTACTATGATATGCTTCTTGATCATATCGATTCGCTGCTAATGTTACTATTGAACCATTGAAAGCTTCAAGACCGAATTTATATAACATAATACCAACAACATAAACAAGAATGTTGCGTTTTTCAACTGGAGAGAAGAGTTTCCATATACGGGATATGCCCGATCTTCTCGGCGACATCTTTTTCAAAAAAATCTAAAAAGATCAAAGAGAACGGAGTACAATTGACATACGATAAGAAGTGTATTCGATGAAATAGATTGTGCTCTGGATTATACTTCGCTTGTATTTACCTACTTCTAAACGTACATATTTAAAAATATTAAATACTCTTAGCAAATCTTGATACAAGAACAAAATATTTCATTGAAACTTCAATCAATATATATATATATGTTGTCTTTTAAATGTCCCACCCATATTGACACAGCATTAACTGAGTAAGGAACTAAGAATAGAAAAGGATTCATAGTTGAAACGATCAGTCACTGCTAACTTCATACGTATATGAGTAAATCTTCGAATGCATCATTCAACATACGTACGTGATGTGTTACCCGGATAGATAATGTCATCGCAAAGGAGGATGTGTTTATGGTGTAAACGCCTTTGAGATGAATCATTCGAAGAAAAGCAGGGAAGAAAATCTTCAACTTTCTATAAATAAGAATGATTGATTTCCATTAAACTTTACAAATAAAGTTGATTGTCTCGAGTGGAATGAAACATATGACCTTTTTCTTCATCGCTTGCTGCTTTAGTTTATCTAAAAGCCAACTAGATACTTACATTCACTGAAACGTTATACTCACTGACTTGTTTTACATTCGGCTGCGGCGAATGTCGAATTTGATTTTTATAAAATTGAAATTATTCGTCATAATTAGTTCTATTTCTTCTCGAAAAACAACAAGCACAACAAAACTTTCAATTAGTTATTTTTGGCTTCATACAACCATCACAAAGTAAATTTGTTTCATATGTTTTTTTATTCAACACTGTTCTCTTCTTCATTCTTCTTTTTCTTCGTCACGCAAATAAGAATGGTATATACTCATTCACTTGCTCTCTATTCTGTACTTCAATGTTCTTATACCTTTTACATATAAATGGCACAATTACGTGATGAAAACGTTATCTGTACTGATAGCATTCAGCTGAGAATACACATGCTTTTTATCATTAATGTTATCAATGAAATATATTGGCATGTCTTCGAAATAGTTGAGTACATCCCTGTATCCTTTACAAAATGATCAGTGTTAATCCTCGTAATCTATGTAGTCATACCTAAGTAAGATTGAGTTTGGAAGGTAAAACATAGATTTTTTGTTTTTTTGAGATGCAAGTATTGAAGAAACAAAAAGTGTTTTACGAAGAATTACATTCGACCGTGATCTATCGACTCAACTCGTCTATCAACTCAGCGTACACACGGACAAATCGATACAAATTTAGATTTCTCACAGCAAAGGAAATATTCTATTCAATTCATCATATGTTATATTTTTCTCCAAATAGAAAGTATACAACAAAATAGTTGTTGTCTCTCATATTCACGATAACATTTTTAATTTGCTGAATTATTTAATATCGCTGAAAGTTCCTCCAGTTTATCCTCCAATACCAGAAGGTCTAGCAAATCAGGCAACGTATGCTGCAAAATAATACACTTTGCTCGTAGGTAGTAATCCACAGCTAGTTCTAATTCACCGAGATTTTCATAATCATTACCAATACTTATAAGAATTTTAACGATACCGGCATGGTCCGGTGGTAAGATTCCTTCAAGTATTAAATAAGATTTCATATCATAGTCTAAAACTGATTCATACTGATCAAGGTGTCGATATATAGAAGCGAGACTTGAAAGACATTGAGCGTAGGCGAGCCCATCTTCTGGGAAAATAGTTTCCACAATCCTAGAATATGATAGGAGATATTCGATCGCATTCATATAATATCTTTTCCGTGACCAGATACGCGATATAGAAAGTAAACAATTAAGAAGTAGATCATGATTTAAGGGACTAAGTTGTTTTAGTAGAGTTGCTGCTCGAGAATAATTGTTAACTGCTTCCTCCTCTTGATCAAGTAGCAAAGCTTGGAGTTCACCGATACTCATCAGGGTTTTGATAATGTCCGTATGTGAGTCTGGAAAGTGTTGTTCTCGAATTGCTAAGATTCGTAGTTGAAATGGAAGTGCTTGTTCGTATTCAAATTGACACATCAGTATAGTATTGATGCTCTGAAGACAAGTAAGAAGGTCTGTATGGTTTGTCGGAGCGACTTCGTCTAGCATTTTCAATGCTTCCATGTATATTTCAAGGGATTTGTCATAATTGATGATTTGGTAATAAGCATTTCCGATTTTGCTAAGAGTCAACACTATGTTCATATCACCAGACGGAAATAATTCTTTTAAAATAGCTAACTGTTGTTCATAAGACTTGATGGCTTCTTCGTACTTGTTAACTTTGACAAAAATGTCGCCGATATAAGACAAACACTTGACTATATTGAACCGTTCAGTTGGACAATGTTTTTCGTTAATTGCTAATGCTTGCTGGTAAAAATCGATCGCTTCGTCGTACTTCTTTTGTGCTTCTCGTACGTTGCCCATGCAAAGATAGTTATCACTGATATCTTTGTAACTCTCGGGTAAATATGTTTCTCGTATATTTAATGACCGTTGTTGAAATTCGAATCCTTGATCATAATTTCTTTGTTTTAAGAAGACTCTGGAAATATTGCCAAGAATAATAGAAATTGATTTGTAATCTAACACGACCTCCTTCTCTCGTAATGCCAGTGCCTGTTGGTAGTTCGATAATGCTTCATCGTGTTTGTCTTGATCGAGGAGTATATTGCCCATTTGGTTCAATAGATTGCTTATATAAGCACAGGTATTCGTTGAGTTCTGTTTTTGTTTAATTGTAAGAAGTTGTGAGCAATACTTGAGCGCCTCATCGTATCTGCATAGCTTATAAAGCGTTCGTTCGATGCATTCGAGATTGTTCGCGACTTCAATACTATCAAATAGGAAATTTTTCTCGTAGATGGCCATTACTTGCTGATAATAATCGAGCGCCTGTTCATAATTTGTTTGATGATACAGTGATTTAGCGATATGCCTGTACGTATACGCAATTATAACATGATCAAGTGGATATCTTTTCTTCCGAATGGACAAGGCTCGCATCTGTAACTCGAGTGCGTCATCCCATTTACCTTGTTCACATAGAACGACACCAATGAGGATCAAATCTCTTGCTATTTGAATGTGATCAGATGCACAAGAATGTTCATGAATATGCAGTGCTTGGTAATGAATGACTAGAGCTTGATCAAATTTTTTTTGTTTGCACAGAATATCTCCAATACAGTTTAAACTATTCGCAACTCTTTGCTGATTAGTAGGGTACATTTGCTTTCTCATGTCCAATGCTTGCTGGTAGTAATCGATGGATTCATCATATTTCTTTTTATGTCCACAAATTTCTGCAATAGAGTCGATCGTTTCAATAATACACGAGTGACCTAGCGGAAACATTTTTTCCAGAATACACAGTGCTTGTTGATGCTGTTCCATGGCTCCATCGTAGTCTTGTTTATGCTTCAAAGCATACCCAATATTATTGAAACTATTGGCAATATAGATATGATCTGATAACGAATGATTTCGTAGAATCGCTGAAGCTCGTTCGAAGAAAATAAAACTGTCGTCAACTTTGCCTTGTTGAATCAAAGCATAACCAATACTATCAAGTGCCGAAATGATTTCTATACTATCAGGTGAATAGTATTCTTCAAGTAGTTGTAGTGCTTGCTTCAATACAACGAGTGCCTCGGTGAGGTTTTCCTGGATTCTGAGTGTCTTACCAATATGAAGAAGATTTTCCGCAATATTCAAAATATCCAATGGAAGATATCTTTCTAATAACACGTGTACTCTTTTATATAGCTCTAAAGCATCTTCATACAACCCTTGGCTAAGTTTGACATTCCCAATATTGTTCAAAATAGTAGAAATGTCAATGTAACCTGAAGAATGTAATTTTGTTACTACCGTTAAGACTCGTTGATAATGATTGAGAGATGATTCATATTCACCTTTTTGAAGAAGAACATTACCTATCATAGTAACAATACAAGCAATAAGTTGGCAATGTGCAGGATAATATTTTTGACAGATAGACAACGCTCTACTTAGAGAATCGAGAGCAGCATTATGTCTTTCTTCTAGCGTCCAAACAGATGCGAATCCAGTCAAACTTGTAACAATGTCAATGTGAGACTGATCATAATATTGTTCTCGAATTGTTAATGCTCGCTCTAAAAATGTACGTGCAGTATCATATTCTCGCATCCCACAATAAGAAACTCCTATTAATTCAAGACAATTAGCCATAGAAGGATGATTTGAAGAGTAAAACTTTTCTCGAATATTCAATGCTTGTTGACAGTATGACAAAGCTTCGGGGTATTTTTTTCGTAAGTACGAAATATAGCCGAGATGGAGAAGAATATTAGCTGAATCTCGAATTCGAACTGGTTCAGATTTCATCAGTCGAGAATACGCTCGATCGTAGACTTGGCATGCGGCCTGCCATTGGTTTTTGTAGCAAAAAACGTGACCAATCAGCTCTTCAATCCATGGTAAATCATCATCTGATGAATGTTTTGATAAATGCTGAGAATAAATATATGCTTGATCCCATTCGTTCATATCGATCATTAATTGACCAAATAGAATAGAGACATTGGAATTATCATTTTGTCGATGTGTATCATCAAGAAACTTTTTTGTTATCTTTATCCCATCGTCGACTGCCGACAAAGTTATTATCCAAACTTGTTCAATCTGTTCGATAGTGTTCAATCGAAAAGTTGTATTCAAATCGAATAGAACATCGTCTTCGTTTGATTGAGTTCGTTTGACAAAAATAAGATTCTCACCAAGTTCTTTCACGTCACAGCTTATCTGAAAAAGAACTTCCCTTGAATCGCCTGTTGATGGACGATGATGATAAGTTGCTGACAGAAATCCTTTCAATACCAGTAATTTACCCTGGTTTGTCTTCAAAGAATTCAATTCACTCGGAGAGACTTTCATCCATCGATAAACAGTGAAATTTTCGTATATTCCACTTCGAAGCATTCGTTGATGTTCCACACTTAGATGATTGATTAAATTACTCAAATAATATCGTAGATGATACAGTTTATCGATATCTCTATAACGTAATGCAGTTTGAGCTAGTTTTTCATAGAATAATGAATGAATCATTGTATCATCTACAGATGAATCATGAAAGAAATTAGTCATTTCCTGTCTTGCTTGTTCATCACGTGGAAAATTACGGATGACTTGATGAAATAAATGCATCCAAAGAAAGTCATTTGCTTGCCGGGATAAATCTCGTTGTAAATAACCTTCTTGATCGTGAACAATCCACTGATATTGTTCGCGGTCGAATAAATCGATTTGTTCGTGAATAGACGAACATAAAGCATCAAATTCATAATAAATTCCTATAATATTCAATTGCTCATGATAAATGTGCTTGCATTCAGTTTTATTCACATAAAATACGAAGATGAAATCAATTGGTTGAAAGATATCGAGTCGAGAAGTAATTTCAGAAAGAAAACAATTCGAAACAATAAAGAATATGCCTTTACCGCTAGTTGATTCTAGGAATGCCAAACAGGATTCTGTGTCTGTATAATAATTAATTGACTCATCCAAAGCATTCAATCCTTTTCGAAAATCTTCGATTTGATCATATGAATGAAGACAAATAAGAATTCTTTCTTTCACCTGATCACATTGCAACGATTCCATGACAATTCGGATAGAATTGATATTAAAATTTTGTATAAAGCAGGATTTACTTTATTGAAACTATTTATGCGATTTATATAATATATTGAATGATTGGTTTTTTCCAACAGTTATATGATCATAGTGACGTATATGGTCACAGATGTGTCAAAGAGAATGAAAGATAGAAGGGAGAGTAGGTGGTAAGCCATCACGTATGACGCATCGACCCGCTCAAGCGTTGTAAAAACGAACTGATTCTCGCTTTGAAAGGTAGCTTTTACACATTTGTTGACATCATATTCTTGCAACACATAACTTAAAACTGACCAAATTCGAACATTCTCATGGAGATTCGTATTACATCACACATAATATTAGTGATCTATTAGTTTATACAAAATGGAATGAGAGGAGCATTTTGTCTAATTGAACGTATTTCTGAAATTAGTTGTTCATATACTGTCGTAGAAAAAGTATGTCACAATGCAATTAGTTATTCAAGTAACTAGTGTTACCGAATCAACTTCCGAGATTAAAATTTACACTGCAAGTATCAATACAAAAAAAACAAAAACAAAAAGGGGTTTAGTTACATTTTGTTAATAACTAATTTAAAAAATCATACGTACATATATCGGTTCCAATCTAAACTATTGACTGAAAATCCCTGCTGATTTATAAGTTGTCGATGTCAGTGACTATTGACTGGGTTATTTGATACTGTATATTTTTAAAATATCTTCTCATATGACACGTTCAATACGCAGTTAAGTTACACGAATAAGGGATATTTAAACTTTTATTGAACATTATTTCTATATCCGGAAAAATCTGGCAGCTAAAGAGAAAATTGGTCAAATAGTGAGGATTAATTGAATCAAATTCTCTTTTCCATTATACTGGTTCCATAAAAAGTTATCCGATGTTCTTCGATAGTGCTCTTGTATTATGGTTGATCATTGTCATTACTGTCAATGAAACACTAGGTAACGTCTTCTTTAAATTATGAAGCATTTGATAGTAGCAATAACCAAAAATAGGATACGAAAAGTTTGAGATAAGTATCGTACTTTGAAATGACGATCTAAATTTGTGGCAACTACATCTCTTAGTAGGATGTTAATACTTTATATTATGACGACTGAACTTTACCAACTCAGCTGCTTACCATATCAAATTGAAACTTTAGTGTTGTTCTAATAAACTTCTGTTAGCTAGACGATTCAGTTGTCATAAGCAGCGGATAGAGTTACTGGAGTAGAACATAGTTATCTTCCGCATCTTTGCAAAAGAAGGATACAGCCAATGTGTTTCTTTATTGAGATATTCGATATGAAAGTCGCATATGCTAGTGATAGGGAACTCGTATTTTCAATGGGAAGCACAGATGAAGATTCATGTCGGTGAAGTCTGCGAATTATGTTTGATACAAATTGAATAGAAGAAAAATGAAGTTTTGTTATTAAGGAACTCCTGAAGAGTGAGTTTTTTTCGGACTTTCTATCTTGAAAGTTTTCATTAAACATTTGTTCTGTCTTAGGTGTTTCATATAATCTACCGAAACTTTGTTCAAACGCAACTTGGAATGGAAACGCTTTAACTTTTGCTAATAAAACAACAGTTCATGAAGAGATGTATGGCCTGTTTGTGGATACGAATAACACAGTTTATACCTTTGATTATAAAACTGTGGAGATACTAGTATGGGAAAATGGTAATCGCGAGCCAACGAGAAGAGCTATCGACTCTAACTTGTATTTATATAGCATCTTTGTGACAGAAATAGGTAATATTTACGTTAGTTATTCTAATAAAAAAAATAAAAATTATGCAATTGGTCAATTCACCCCATCTAATGGTACTCTTACTAATGTTCTGGACACCGAAGACGCGTGTGGCTGTATTTTTATTGATACTAATAACAGTTTATATTGTTCAATGTATGACAGCCATAAAGTTATTAAAAAATGGTTGAATCTGTCATCCGGGAAAATGGAAACTGTGGCCGGTACAGGCGGAGACGGTGATGGACCAAAGGAACTTAAAAAGCCTTGGGGAATTTTCGTCGACATAAATTTCGATCTATATGTCGCGGATAGCGAAAACAATCGCATTCAGCTGTTCAAATCTGGAAACTTAATTGGAATAACAAAAGTTGGAAAGAAATCCAAAAATAAGACATTTAATCTTAACTGGCCAACAGGTGTTATTCTCGATGCAGAAAAAAATCTTTTTATTTCAGAGTGGGAAAACAGTCGTATAATCGGTTCCGATAAAAATGGTTTTCGCTGTATTGCTGCATGCGATGGAAAAGGTTCTGGATCCGAACAGCTGAAGGAACCTAGTGCTCTCAGCTTCGATTCTTATGGAAATATATATGTCATTGACTATCACAACGAGAGGATTCAAAAGTTTCTTTTGTCAACCAATTCTTGCAGTAAGTATTCAATGACTTTTAGTTTACTAGAACATATAAGAGTCATGTTAGTGTCATGTAGCCGTTTGATCGAAAGCAGCAATGATCTTAGGATACAAACACTTGTTAACATTCTGTAACATGTAGCAACAACTTTGTTTCAGCGCATATTATAGAGATCTAAAGAGTCATTCCTTCCTACAAAGCAATGACATTAAATAAAATCACTATTTTTAGACTATTAGCGACAACCATTTAATGAATTATATTGCACACAGTTAGACGAGCATCAAGTTACTTTGAGACATAATTTATTAGAAAAAAATTTCAGTTAGTCCGTGTTTTGTTGCCTATTAATGTCGCTAGTACTTACTGAATTGCCATATATGAGGTGTACGTAATAGCATATCAGACGAACCTCTTTTAAGACGATAGTCGAAGTTATATCTTATTACTACTGATCAAAATCTCCTTAAAGCTTTTCATCGTGTGACAGTAGTATAATATATTTTGTGCTCAAGTGCCTTATACATTCATTTTTATCAACTATTAAAAATATGTAATTTAGATTATACCACGACGGCTTCATCTATGACTACTGCCATATCAACAACACGATCTGAACCGATTTCAGCCTCCTCACCGGGTATTATCGTATTATGGACAGAGAATAAAATAGTTACTTAATTTTTTTAGTGCAATCAACTGGTCTTCAGACCACAGCACAATCAACGCGAGGTTTGCTAGCTTAAATCTTTGCTGAATCAGTTTCGAATAAGTTGAATGAAAATATCTGCTTGACTAGACAAAACAACATCACTACTACAATTGTTTCTATCAATTACTAGTGTCAGTAACTTGAGTATGTTTTTGAAAACTGTTCTCCCACAAACTTCTTTCACAATTGAATTTTAGTGACACCATCGACACATCATGCGCTTGAATCGAGCACAGTAGGCGTCTCTACCTTGGTCACCTCTTCACCAACCTCATCTGAAACACGTGTTTATATCGCCGATCTTCTAATTGTTGTATATTCTCACTTATGATTTTAGGGCAAACTCCAACAAGCGATATTCGATCAAGTGAAATATCATCGACATTATCTCAAACATGTACGTAACCTATGACCATTCAATAATACTTTTCATTTCCTTCCTATTTTAGCACAAATGCTATCGACTGAAAAGATTAAATCCAGCGCAGTTCCATCATCAACTTCTGGAATAAATGCTCCGACAACATCTGATGGAAAGCGTATGTATACAACGAAAATCCTCCATCTTTCGACTATTAAAAAATATATACATGCATTACTACCCTTATAGCTACAAGTGTCACACCAAAGGAAACTCACGGTGAGCATTCAACTTTCGGAAATTTCTATATTTTCAGTAAAATTTTTAGTTGATGAACTCGTACTCATATTTGAACCAATTCCATGTCCCGATTCAACAAAACTTGGAAAATATTGCAATTCTTCCGCTTCAATATGCGACTTGCGAAAGCCTTGTTTAAATGATGGAAATTGTACTAATACTAATAATAATCAAGATTACACTTGTTTATGTCCTGCTGGATTCACTGGTAATCATTGTGAAACCAAAGATGGACCATGCAAAGTCAATACTTGTATTAACGGTAATATACTCAAGTCTCCTTTTCTTATCAGGACATAATAACGATTTTCTTTGCAGGCGCATGCAACGAAACATCCGACAAAGAATTTTACTGTACATGCACACCCGGATGGGAAGGATTACATTGTGATCGAAAAATTGATTATTGTAAAAATGTAACATGCATGAATAATGGCATTTGTCGTTCTTCACATCCTAATTACACATGTGATTGTCTTGGCAGCAGCTATTATGGTCGACACTGTGAATTCACGACCACAAAACTTGTTGTCTACAAAATGATATCAAAATCATTTGCTTATATTGCTATTATTGCGATAGTATCGGTGATCTTATTTGTGGTTATTATGGACATTTTAAAATATGTCTTTGGTATTGATCCAACCCGCGAAGAATTGCAACGCATTCGTCGCGAAAAACGTGCAAAAAGACGTCGACCGGTAGTTCAAAAGTTCGTCTATGTTAATCCAACATCGCTGCCATCACAAGCAGAAGATTCAAGCAGCAATACTCATGAGGAAACTACTGTTTAAATACACACTATCTATCGCGTCTTTTCTCTCTATTTATTTGAATATGTCTCTTGATGCTTGTCGCTTCGACTGTAACGTTGTGAAATGTTTGTCACGCTGATACTATGATCTTATTGTCATTTACTATAAGAATAAAATGACGGTAATACTGTTACATGTTTTTTAATATTATGAACATGTCAGATGCCTTACTGGAAAAAGAACTACGTGACAAGAAAGCATTTTTTTCTGAATATCTTTCACCCGCTGTATTCTTATTCTCTATGCAATTTTATTATTAAAGTAGTATTATCAGTTTCATTTTTTTACGATAATTTAAGAATGAGCATTTAGCAAGATTTTATTAAAAACAATCACTTTGAACAAAAATCTTTTCTATTCAAAATTACATATAAACCTTAGAAATACCCACTGATGTTTGTTCATCAACGTCTACCAATTCCAATACCACCTAGGAGATCTAATTCTTCTTGCAATGTTACTTCTTGAATGAGGTTCATATATTGTTCTTGACGAACAGAACTCGCCGATTCATATGCCTTTTGTCGATCAGCTGCTAGGCGTTTTATTTCTAGTGATGTGTGTTGTGTCGTATTAGCCACTGATTTGACATACACATCTCTCTCAGCGTTGTTCTGTATAGTGAGAAGACCGGACAGACTAGCGATTCGATCGACTAAATGTTTGCTTGACACATTTGAATATATGTTAGCCATAAGAAAAAGCATGTGCGTATCTTCATCGATATCCTTTGCCGTTTCTGCTAACATTGTGACGAAAACTGCTTTGTCTATTGGATCCAAAGATTGTCCTATTGATTGAACATCGGCGATAACACCGAGAAAGTCTTCCAATATGACCTATAACTCGAAAAGTATAGTTTGATAAGTTCATAACGAGAGACAATAGTTCGCCCTTACGTTTTGTGTATGTTCAGTTCTACTCGCGAGGTTAGTGAAAAATCGTGTGATTCGACTCCATTGCTCTTTGACATCTGAAATCTTTTTCGTTGCATCGAGAAGAATAGTAATCGTCTGATTGATTGAGATTTCATCAAATTTAATCATTGCCAAAGCGGTCATGGCTGTACCGAGTGCATTTTGTTTATTCATTTGCTGAGTGAAAGCATTTTTACTTCGTTCTTCTGCTTCTTTGAGAAGTTTCTAAGATAAATAAATTTTAAAGCAATGAAAGATTTTCGAAAGAACTCATTTACCAAAGCTTCTTTGGCTTTTTCTTTTGCTTCATGATTGTATTGGGAAAAATGCTCTTCACGATGTAATCGACATTTTTTCCAGAACCACACTCCTGAACATGTCACAAAAGGTCGTTGAGCAGCGTAAACCTCCCAAGCAGCTGTATCCCACTGACCGCCGGGAACATTCATCATAGCTGTATGATAGTTTCTTCGAGCTATTTCTAAATCCTGTCGAGCTACAGCGTATTCATTTTGTAGTTTAGCCATTTCAGCATCCATTTCTTTCTGTTTATTTCTTGTCTTCTCGGCTTCTTTGGCGAGTTCTGCAGCTTTGTCTTTATTCGCTGAATTTGTCTGAGTACTAGCAAGCACGATTTCTTGAAGCAATTCTTGAAGCTTTTCAAATTTATTGCTTGCACTTCGAGCAATAGTGGCACTATCATTAGCATATCGTCCGATATTTGNGTCTTCTCGGCTTCTTTGGCGAGTTCTGCAGCTTTGTCTTTATTCGCTGAATTTGTCTGAGTACTAGCAAGCACGATTTCTTGAAGCAATTCTTGAAGCTTTTCAAATTTATTGCTTGCACTTCGAGCAATAGTGGCACTATCATTAGCATATCGTCCGATATTTGCTAAAGTTCGAGGTAACATTGCTTTGACCATAGCTGTCGACGCTTGCGTAATCAATTTCAAAGTAGTCTTTAACTGGACAGGAATTTGACGCATATTGAGTTGGATTTTATCCATGCCTGTGTGCGCATTAAATAATGCTGTATACATTTCATTCGAAACTTGCACTAGAGTAGTTTGGAAAGATTTGGGATATTTCACATATTTGTAATCAAAATTTTCTTTGAGAGGAAAATCTTGTCTGCTAGCGATAGCCATGACAGCACCCATGTAATTTATACTAGCCGGTGCATCAGCCATCAATTCTTGCCATTCGCCTTCTGTCTCAGTCTGATATTGCATCGGTCCATCTACACTTGAATCGAATAAGTCGTTTAAACCAGTACGAGTCTTTGATACTATGAAATACATGAATTATAATAAGAATTATTCGAGAGAATTTTCTCTATGCGATCATTTATTGTAGTATATTCCGGTATTAAGATTCGCTTACCTAAGACGGAGTCGATACCACGAGCAAGTTGATCAAGAAACTCAGTATCATTCAGTTGCGGCATACTCATCAATTCAGTCAAACTCATTCGAGTGACTATTTCTACATACTCATCGCAGAATGGGTCCGAAGCCCGAGGTAAAAAGAATGAACGACTAATCGATGAATCTGCTACCAAACCGGACGTTGCATTGACCACCAGCAAGCATACGATAGCATGTAATATATCTATCAATGACAAAGCGTTTTAAAGAACAAAGTGTAATAGAAAACTCACTAGTAGCCATTATTGAAAGAAGAATATTTGATTGAAATTGACAATAATTTTGAAGCACTTTTACACTCTTATTTGTAGTCTCACAGCTGAATTGAGAAGTTAGCCAGCTGTTTTCGTCTCATCACCTGTTACCCAGGCCAAACGAGTCTTATCAGAGAGATTATTTTCGGGGAAAGCCGAAGAAGAAATGAAATATTAATTTTTTGATTCATTGGCGAAAAAATATTCTTAGAACACGCATAGGTACCTATTAAAAATACAGACGTTATGAAACTAGCGCGTTGACGACATATTGTTTTGTTCTCATTTACCGTTTGCAAAAGATCAAAGCGAAACATATAGGAATCAATAAAATGTGCGACGGTTTACTCATATATGCAAATCCTGTGGAATCCCACGGTGTCGTCGTACTAGTAGGCACACTTTCAGTGCTTGCTGTTGTTAAACTATTTTCGTCAGTAGCGATTAAAATATCTGGATTACACAACTGTTTCGCTTGGTCAAGATCCGCTTTGATTGTAAAGGTAGAATTGGATCTCATATCTACGAACACAACTGTTGTCTGAAAATGACTGCTACTAGATGCGTTATATCGTATTCGAACATTTGTACAATTATGTAGAAGTATATTTCGTTGATTTAGAGGTTGCCGATCGGTCGAAGGTAGAGTAATCTTCCAGACAGGATCTGAGTATAGACCAGATGTAGCTTCCGGAATTGAGATAGTAAGAATACCAGCATAATCGATGAACCAATTCCGATTCAATACTACAGTAAATGCTTTTTCATAGAGGAGAACACGTTCTAATTGAATATGTAACGGCAGAGACAGATCGGATGGAAGTAGTTTTAAATCATTGTCAGAAGTTGATATCCAATTTTTTTCAGTTAAGGGACACCACGTCTCACGAGTAGTTGAATACTCAGGCTGATATGTCAAACAGTATTCTGGACCTAAAGAAAGAAAAATTTAATTCTATCTGCACTGAAAGAGATCTAATATATACACTTACCAAGACATGGTGCACTTGAACACGGAGATTCATCAGGTACAGCACCATTGGATTCAACAACTACACTCTGATTTCTGCAGTTGATTCGTGCTCGTTTATTTCCATTCAAAATAATTCCATTGCTACCATTGACCCATATTTCGTTGATAAATAAACGAATACTAAGTTTATTCACACTGCCAGTTATCGTCAAAGAGTGTTCGTTCATATCGTCCGACAGACATATCATACCGAGTCGTAAAGCAATCGTTTTTCCTACGACAACAGGATCGAGCGTGGATATTCCCTGCAAGAAATCAAACATATTTATCATTGTATTTTACCGAAAGAGTATTACTTTGAATCGCGCCAGTGTTTCATGCGATATGACCAAATCTTCGCGTAGTACTGCAATTGTATCGATAGTCGTTACTGATGCACCGACATTTTCCCCCAATGAATAAAGATATGGTAAATTAGTAATCAGTCGAACAGATTTGATTGAACCTGCAGCTATTCCGTATGAAGATCCACCTTTGTAACCGAAGCACACTAAGCCACCTTCATTTTCACATAGTAGACATTGAGGTTGAAAGAAATTCGATTCTTTGAAGATGAACGATGTGTTCATGTAGAAGAAATTCATCAACGCAGTTTCAGCAGAGGAATCACGTACAGGATTCAAAAATCGACAATTTGGAGGTGGATCAATAGCTGCAGCTGCTAAAAACAATGCGATGAAAAATACCAACATAGTCATTGTCAGACGCATACGCGTATGCTTAAATCAATTGTGACAACATGATGTATACTTTATCGGCGCGCATTTTATCATACTCATTTCAACAGACAGGAAAGCGAGATTTTTTGTTTTTTTATGTCAAAGATGAATAATTGTGTGAAAAGTTCTCTTTCACGGAATAGAATGCAGTTTCGGTACATATGTTGAATGATAGATGATATTGATTAAAAAAAGCGAATATTTTTCGACGAGGAAGATATTTTATGCGTATTCAAACACAAAACAAGCGAAGTACATTCAATTGAAAATTTTCTCAACAGACGACTCTGTTTCATTGCATCAATAAGAAGATAAATATTTATATTTAACTTCAAACATACCTCTTACACGTTATCCATTAAATCATGATAATCATGTTGACAAGGACCATACATGTAAAAATCTGAATTAAATTTTGAATATATTTTTGCTAATTTCAAACAAACGAAGCATGTTCTGTAACAGTTCGGATATGTATCTATCTTTCACGCCGAAATTCTTTTCATATACCGAAGTATTGCGCTTTCAACGAAAATACATAGAAAACACGAATAGACATACGATCATTGACATTTTACCTTTATCGCTTTCACATTAAGACACGCACGCCATCTTTCACGAAATTGAAAAAGAAAATGATCCGTTCGATTTGACATCGACGACAGCCAGTGTTGACGAAAAAGTCTCCGATACCATTTCATGATCATATGTTGTATTATTATTGACTCTCTTTGATCGTATGGCTTCGTCGACTGATCTTGGTGTAAACGAATACCACGAAGAAATTATTCGTCAGTATGTACAATTTTCACGGGAACAAAAATTGCTGGGCTTACGATCGTTCCATGCTGCTGCTGAAGATTTCAAGAATCAGCGCCTTTCCGATGAATCCATGATGACTGTGAATGAAATTAATGATTTCCTTCTTGAATTTATCGACGTTTTAGAGAAAGAGTTTGAACAAGAACTGACTCATCAATATCGCGTTAGTACTCTCTTAATGAAACAATTATTTCAGCAAGCGGAGCAATGGTTTCTCAAATTGAATCCGAATTTCGATCAGTTAGAGAATCGTCGTCTGATCGATCTCATTCGAGATTACGAGCAACAACAGTTCAATAAGACAAAATCAAAAGGCAACCGAGATTTGAGTATGATTACAGCAAAAAACACGAACTATCCTCTGCTAATTTTGTCGTAGATTCATTAATGGATCCGATTAACGACACGAAATCGACCGTACTCCTCAAAACTGAAATTCAAAAACTACAACAATTAAACAATCAACTAAAACAACGTTTGAGTAAATACGAAAAGGATGATGACTTATTAAGTCACCAATTAGAAGAAAACGCTCGATTGTACCACGATAAAGAAACATCGTTCTCTCAACAATTAACATCCAATGAAAAGCGTTTGAAAGAAGTTCAACATGCCCTTTCACTCGCGGAAAACGAGTTAGATAAGAAATTCAATCAAACAAATACATATCTGAACATGAAACAAATCATCGATCAAAAGAATCAACAGATTCGACAATTACGTCAACAGCTTGCTAGCCATAATCATGAACCAGAAGATGAAGATTAGCGAAGAAGAGAAAGAAATGTAAGTTAACTTAAGAACACATGAACAACATGAGTGTTTTTCTTACGCTCAAGTTCTAACAATGATCACATTTGAATGTCTGTCGCTTGAAAAATGCATTAAATAAAAAGAACTTCTATTTTCATACACTGCCTTAAGAGAATTGTTAAATCATGTCTCGATAGTTGTTTGAACAGCTCGTCGCCAGTACAACTGAAGAAAAATCTCTACTAGACATCTAATGAAAGTTTATCAACATCAAGTAAAATAAATAAAAGTTTCTTTTTCTTTGAATATTTATTTAGATTTAATCAAATGAACTCCGTCCATATTAGTGTCGTTTAAATAGAAAAAAAACGTGTTTGTCTTGTTTGTTCATTCTGATTTGAATAAAGACTACATTTTCGGAATAGTGTTCATCGAAGCACGACGGATATTTCCATTACCGAGACGTTTGGAATTGATCATATTGTCTTGCTTGATCTTTTCTCGTTGAATGAAGTCATCAAGACTTGTCGGCGTCGGACTTGGATTTCGATTGTTGACTACATTCGGACGAAGATTGTTGTTTTCTGCACGTTGATTCCATTTGGCATGCGAGATCATTTTTCGTTCTAATGTACCATAATCTTTCTCAAGTTTGAGTTCATGTTTGGCCGCCAATCGTTGTCGATCATAGTCACGCGATACTGCGGCTTGAAGTGTATGAACAGATCGAGTGTCTTTTCCGAGAGATTTACTCGACGATGAAAATGCCATCTGAAATGGAAGAAAATATTTTCTTCAAGAAACACGATCATGTCAATCGATGAAGGGAAAAATTCAAATTGGTTCCTTTTACTTCAATTGTAGTTGTTATGCCATTTACAAGAATTGTTAAATAGGAAAGTCCTATGAAGCCTGACATTGATGAAAGACATATAGAGAAACCAGAAAAAATACGAGAGACCGTTTCTCTTCTCTATCGATCGTACGTGCGGAGGGAACTACTGATGTGAGAAGGAGAGAAAGAGAGAAAGGTGTAACTTTTTTCTCTTATTTACATTCGTCTGTACTGAACTGTTAAGTAAAATAATTAGCTTATAATTTTACTGATCGCTGACGTCGTCACGACCTTATTTGGACACTGACGCGTTGGAGGAGAAAAACATTTCTATAACAAGGAGAGATTTGTGCTTTTTCTTCCAAATTTCAAATTGAGAGAAAAAGTATAGAATATCCTTGAGAAATGAAATTTCTGTTCAATAAATCGGAAGTAACATTTTAAAGAAGACGTTATTCACAATAGATCATGTTTTCACCGGGGGAAAAATAATGTGCTATGAATAGACAAACGACAACGTGGTTCTATGGTGTAGCGGTTAGCACTTTGGACTTTGAATCCAGCGACCCCAGTTCAAATCTGGGTAGAACCTGATAACTTTTTTCCTCAAATAAAGTAAGATTTTTTTTCCATTCGAGTATTGTTATCTAATTTTTATTAATAATAAGCACGCATTTGAAATGTACAGAAAATGACTAACCATGCTGAGCAACCTGCGGATATATAAGGGGGTAGGTAGTCAAAATAGAAACGTATGAAAAAGAGAGTGAGTTCAACGAGAAGAAATAGAATTATATACAGAATTAACAATTGAATACTTGAAATATGTATTCGAAAATATTCTACCGGTAGATCTGAAAACATTAAACTGCTTAACATTAAAACGAGAGCAATACAGATTATCAATGATGTATTACCCACAGATGCTAACAAAGATGGAATAGTAAAACTAAGCAGACCACTAACGAGAATAATAATCGCACTGGATCGATACGGCAAGATTTCTAGTTGTTTCATTGTGTATAAAAACAAACTGAATGATATTCCTGCCATACATCCGATTCCAAAACAAAGAAGAAGCATGATGATTTGTGCTGTTTGCCATTTGTTATGAAGAATCAATTGAAATGTAGACCATATACGAAGACATATGTTCTGTTGTCGACTTCGGATGAATCTATCATAGCCAATCAGATCAATCTTGGGCATGGCTGATAGGAATTGTTGTAAACGAATGTTAAGTTGCATAAACCGATTGTTGGCATTGTCTTCTTGTTGAAAGAGAAACGGATCGTTGGCTGGCAAAATTTCGTCCACAATGAAATTAAATTTTCTTTTCAAACAGCTTGTCATGTGTTGTTGCCATGATTTTGGTTCGATTGAACATTTACAAAGAAAACATTCGATTGTTGTTGGCTCACAAATAGGCTGATGCTGATCAAATTCATCTTTTGATACAAAATTTCCACAGACATGGCATTGTCTTGTTGAAAACTGACAGTCTATGGTTTGATGTCGCTCCAGTTGATCGTAGGAGAGAATCTCTCCGCAACCAAATGCGCTGTTTCGACATCGAATAGTTAAACGACCTAGAAGGGAATGAATGTACGGTGGTGCACGCTTCTCTTCATATGGCGAACAGCGAAATGGACATATGTTAAGGTTGATTGTTAACCATATGCGAATACATTTCTTACAAAATAGATGCTGACAAGATGCACATGATCTCGGTTTCCATAGAACTCCTTGACAGATGGCACAACAGAACTCTTTCACTATGTTATGTTCATCCTCGACGATTCGTTGAGGATCGATTCCTTCTTCTTCGTCGGCATCGTTGTCAAATAGGAAATTTGTTCCGCCTAGCATGCTTTTCCTTGGTTTAAGATGAAAAGAATAATTTCAAAACAAAGACTGTGTTGATTTACCTTGCCTTGAAATGTTTCAAAAGAAACAAAAAGAAAATACAATTATTTCGAATACATGACTGTGATGATTCATTTTCAAAAACCGATAGCTCAAAGAAAAAGGACATTCTCGGCTGTATTTGAAATACAAGTCATTAGTTACTTCACTGTTCTTACCGAATAGACAAAGTTTTATGTAAAAGGTACAAATCAAATCAACTTCATGTAAAAAATTAAAAGTATGTCGTTTGATTTATCTCTTCAATGCATATTTCACTATTAATTAGAGCGAATAGCTCTTTACTTCGATGAAACTGAAGTCTTATATAATCTATCATGGATCACTCAGCATTTTTATTTCCAACAACGGTATCTACTTGATGCACTACTTATGTACTGGATGTATGCTCGTAGTGACGGCCAGTATAACTTCCACTAATGCATTCGGACTCGTAGTCATTTGCCAACGAACGGCAAATAGCCTTGTTTTCACACGTGACATTTGCACAGTAATCCGTTGCCAGCTCATACTGAACGTCTTGACAGCCGGCTGAACACGAGCGAGTACAGGTATAAGTCATGGTGATGTTATTCTTGTTATTGATACAGTGCATGCCTTTAATTGATGAATCGGCACATGTTGACGCACTCTTATCCACACCCCACCCCATTATTGTTGTACTGTATACTATATATAATAAGAAAGATCTGTGTGGCTGTATTTACCACTTTACGTTGACTCTAAGTAAAATTTTTGAGCGTGAAGATTTCCGTCATCTACAACGAAGGTATTGTCATAACTATCGTAGGGCAGCATGCGTAATGAGATAGCTGATTGGCTACTGAGCCAGATTTTTCAGTACATGCAGTTACACATCGACAATCTTCTCACCCCGAGTCAATTCATTCGATTGGTGTCAGCGTCGAGTGAGATTCCCGCTGAATGACTTAATGGGAATGTTTCATTCGATCTCTTTACGTTCGAAAAGCTGGACACGACTATTTTCATAGTCTGTCACATGTAAACTGAAGTCAGGGTGTATAGTGATGCCTCGTGGCGTATCCATGATGTTTACAGCCGAATCACTGGTTCCATTCCCAGCGACTGTTGTTGTTAGATTCGTACTACTATTGAGCGAAGCTTTGATCACCCGATCTCTGTCACCGAGTGCACAGTATAAATCATTATTTACATGATCAACATAAAGACTATAGCACCGATCAGGAACATGAACTCAAGTTAATCGCGTACTTCTGTTTTACGTTCATTTATTCATCCTCTTATTGAATTCACCATTATCAATGCCTTGCTTTGTTTCAATCACGCGTGATTTGTATTACAACCAATTTCAACGATATATACACAGTATTAGTGATATCAATAAATATGTCTAAAAGCATGACGACAATATCTATCTTATCTATGAATGTAGTAGTTGCTAAACACCATACTGTACATGAGCTTAATTTGGGCTTTTAAAGGTGTTGTGCTACAAAATGTTAATGTAAAATACAAAATTTGCTTGAGTTAGAATTCAAAGAAGTTTGGCTGCTGCATACGAACTATGTTTTCGTTCAGAGATATATGCAAGATTTGACGAAGTTTACGCAAATAGCGAAACAATACGAAAAGAGATATCGCTGAGAGAGCATTTTTAGCGCAAAATGAAAAGATTTTCCTTGATAGTGATATATTATTACTCGAACAATCATCAGGATAATAAGTAATTAAATAAGGTACGATGCGCCTCCTTTCATACTGATTGAATGCTTTCTCATATATCAACTTTTCTTGCGTACAATTACATATGAATTATAAAACCCAACATACTTACATACATTCCAGGTTGTTGTACGTCATCAAAGCAGAGAATAAATCATCCGAAGAAATGTTCAAATAGATCGGTAATAAACTCTGCACTTTATTTATTTAGTTAGAAAAATCGACTGAAACCATCATCTGTATGTACTTTCTCGATGACAGCGTTGTTAACAGTACAACTGTTTAACCTATTTCTTTGCAAAAGATTCATAATGCCAGAAATGCGGAGAAGAAATAAGGATTGATTTTGCACAGCGAATGTGACACTCTCGATACCATGCGCTGCACACATCGGTCCAGCAGTTTCAAGTCTTTCTATTGTATGATTGACTATTCTCATCTCCTTACTCAATATATTTCCACGAATGTCGGTGTTACCTTCTTCCGCTATAAAACCAATGTTCAAAACACGACGTAGTTTCAAGATAATCGTCAGAAAACGCTAACTACCACTAAACGATTAATATAAACAGATCATTCAATTCAAAATCTAGTCTTTTATGTAATTAATTAAATTTTATTTTAAATAATTATAAACGCATATATATTCAACGTTCTGAGAACTGATATATGCATGTGATCATGTTACCTTTCAGTTCACATATATAAATCGTACTCTAACCTGACGTTTACGCTTCTGTTTCTGTGTCGATTTTTTCTCTTTCGGATACATTCCAAAACCAAATTTCAATATGTCCATTAGAGCAATGAACGATACACAAATGATGATTGCAACGATGCCAATATAACCAATCGTTTTTGTAACTACTTGATGCACTACTTGTGTGCTGGATGTCTGCTCGCAATGACGGCCAGTATAACTTTCACTAATACATCCGCACTCGTAGTCATTTGACAACGAACGGCAAACAGCTTTGTTTTCACACGTGACATTTGCACAGTAATCCACTGCCAGCTCACATTGAACGCCTTGCCAGCCGACTAAACACGTGCAAATGAACGTAGTGTTGGACGTTGCATTGCATGTACCTACACAGGAAATGGGAGTAGTAGTTATAGAAGAATGTGAGAGATGCTCACCATGATTGGAACAAGTGTTTGGTTTGCACGGTCGCCGATCGAATTCACAATGAGTACCGTTGAAGCCGGGTAAACACGAGCATATATAAGTATAAGTCGTGACGTTGTTGGTGCAGTTGGCCGAATTTTTGCATGGTTGTAAAATTTGACAAGGGGTACTGGTGATATTACAGTGAGAACCAATAATTGATGAATTAGCACACGGCGATGCACGAAAAACTGTAGATATTTGTTGAGCTAGAAGATTCAACAGTAGTATTTGATGAAAACAAAAAGAAAGGCAAGTGTTATTCACTGATATTACTGTTGATCAGTATAGTGGTGCTGTCATCCGAAGTTGTCGCTGTGAAATCTAAAAAGAAACTTACATAATAATATTCACAACGAAAATGAAAATAATGTGATACAGAAAGTAGTTTTTAAATCTGTCGTATGAGAAATTGAAGCTTGAGTAGCTGTCGTAGTTGTTTGAACAGTATTCGATGATGGTGTGACTAGAAAACAATTGTAGCAGTATACTTTCATTGTAAGAATATCATACTGACTAGGCATGTTTTTTGTCAAGAAAAACTTTTGGACGCGATTATTGTAAGTATCCACAACATACAAATTGCCGTAACTATCAAAGCTTAGAGCTGCCGGTTGATTCAGTTTGTCAGATGAAGATCCAGCAGCACCAGTGCATCCAACTACACAAGAGAATCCACCGGATGTGGATCTGACAATTCGAAAATTATTACAGTCGACAATGAATAAATTTCCATCGGCGTCCATTGTAATTCCACTAGGACACTGGAATTGGTCGGTAAGGTTTCCTAGTATTGAGGAAGCATTCAACTGTCCAGACTGGAATACCGCAATCCTGTTATTACCACAGTCTGCTACGTAGAGGGTTAAACAGCGATCCACAAAAATTCCACGCGGTCCACTTAGCATGCTTGAAAGTGAAGCATTAGAACCATTTCCAGCAACTGTTCTTGTCAAAGAGACACTGTTATTAAACACCGTTTTAGTGACTAAATGAAGAGTATTCATGGAACAGTATAAGTTGTTTTCAGCATCGACGAATAAACTATAACAGGATACACCTGTATTCAAGATATTTATACTATGATTTGCGGATAGGTTCCATTTGAGTATATAAGAAGGATTCGAATCTATGCTAGCGTAAAAGGCTTCATCATCCGAAACAAAAACAGAGTACGGGCTGTTAGGTATTGTAGAATAGGTTTTAGTCGGTATGGTATACCCCTCAAACCAAACTTGGACACGATGAAAGCCAAGCGCAGATATATAAAGTGTGTTATTAGTATCTATGAATAGATTAGTTGGTGTAGTTCCAACACTGCTAATATTGGCGACTGTTATAGCATTAGGATTCCATGTGGCATTATAATCGAATTTTGGTTGATTGAATGATTCACCTAGAGTATGCGATATTACAAAGGAAGATACGTATCTGTAAACTTTTTATTTTCTCAATTTGATCGAAATTGCGTTTAAATACTAACCCAACGTGTCGTCGATTGTTCGTAGAAAAATGATAAGGATAAACATGTCATGATGAACGTGAAGCATTGTTTGCTCTACTCTTGTCTGTTTTGTGAAAATGTATGTCTATGTCCAAGTGCTTGCTTCAAAGAACAAATGGTACTTTTTCCGAAGATTTCTCTTATTCAAATAAGTTCAAACTTTCTATGAAATAGGCCGAGAAATGAACAAACAGAAACGTCTGTCCGTATGGCAAACAAGCTTGCAAATACGTTCGTAAAAGTGGTTTTCCTTCAATCAATGAACGAAGATCAATACCTCGATAGTGTTGTATAGTCTTCCGCTATTTCACAGAAAGAAATGCAATAATTTATGAGAAGATAAGTTACATACATGGAGTTCTTTTTCCAAAAGCATGCGTCATGCAGTCGATGCTTTAAAAACTAATTGACATGATTAATAATGTATAGACAGACATTGCGATTAGTCGAAACAAGGTAAACTTTATTTTGGAAAAAGTATACATGCATCGCGTATTGTCATTATGACCTGTTTCATCGAATGGACATTCGTGAATCGGCAAAGTTTCTCTGCATAGAAATTCATTGAGATTGTATTTAGGCATACAAAAATCCCGATTCGATCCCAACCAATGCTAGAATTGGGGGTTGGTGCATGCTTGATTGTATTTCACATTCTTTCTGTAGTGTCAATAGTAAGCACGTGTGAATAAAATACTACGAAGAAAAGGTTGCTTAACGCAATACATATGCGGAGAAATGTAATAGGTGATTAGAAGATCAGTCGTAATAAACCAATGTAAAAACCTCTTTCGAAATGATTATCTTCATTAGAGTTATGCGAAGAGTCCTTTTGTTTCTTCTACATGAGCATTTATTCTGTGTCTATTGAATCATCAAAATGAGTCACTACATGACTCATCCTCGGTAAAAACCAGCTTTTTCCCTTTATAAAAGTAACACATTGGTTAGGATACAAAGCACATGTTATTCTTAGTCCAGTTTGTTATTTGTATTTATCTTGTGACAAATTTGTATTAATCGTAAGATGGAGCAAACAAAACCTCAACGGCGAACGAATATTTTTGATTACTGGAGCATAAACAAAAGAATGAAGCTGACAGAGATAATCGACAGGTAGAAATAAAAACACAAAACAATACTTTTTCTTGGGAAAAATGAAAATTTTTCGATTTAGGTTGCCCATACACTCGCGCACCAAAGTCGAAAATCTCGCCAATGAACTATTCTATGAAATCTTCAGTTATCTGGACCTATACGATGTATACAAAGCCTTTTACAATCTTAATGCACGCTTTCAAAATTTACTCATCAATTCAACTCTTCCTTTGAATGTCAATCTGTCAACGATGTCGAGAAAAGCTTTTCAAAGTTATCATCGACACATGATTATGTCAAATAAGCATCGAATAGCATCGATGTCTATATCGAATCCATTCATTGTTGATCTGGTTTTTTCCCCTGTACGTACTGTATCGCATTACAATCGATTAGAAATGCTTGTCTTTAATCAAATCAAGTCAAAGTATCTGATAAATATTCTTCATTATTTATCCTATTTACCTGATCTAAAATCATTGACCATTATACCTGCGGATGAGCTTTCGAATCGAAATGAGGTTCTCGTGAAGATTCTATCATTGCCGGGATTGAAGTATTGTAAAATGTCATTGAAAGAACGTTCTGGAATCAACCCTTTGACTATTCCATCAACTATTACAAGTCCTCTTGAACATCTCGTCATCGATCATGATATGAATTTTCGTCAATTGAAATCGTTGTTATCGTATGTACCACAACTTCGGCATTTAACATGTTATTCTGTTGTATCCTCATACAGTTCGTCATCAGAAACCTTTACCGATCTACTTTGTAATTTAACACATGTTTCTTTGCAAATGACCGATATACTTTTTAATAGTTTCGAACCGATGATTCGTGATTTATTTCATCATCTTCAAGTTTTACGTATATCAGCTAATCGTGATAGCGAATATTTAAATGCAGATCGATGGGAACGTTTAATCACATCATTTATCCCACAATTACGAGTTTTTGATATGCAATATACCGATTTTGGTCGCTTTGATAATGACCCTAACCAATATAACTATGATTCTATTCTCAACAAATTCGGTACTCCATTTTGGTATCAAAGAAAATGGTTCTTCGGATATCGTCTTGAACAGGGTACATATTACAATCATGTCACTTTCTATTCAAGAAGATCCTACAGGTAAAAACGTCATTTCCATATATTTACACATGAAGTTGTTTTTTTTTGTAGAAAGAAACAATATATATTGTATAAGCCAGCCATTTACAAGATGCATCGAAATTATCAAATACGAAATATCGTCGCTGTAGATCATCTTATCGTTTGCAACGAAGAAGCAGTAACCAATTGCCAGCGACATTTCCCTAATGTCACTCAGCTGACTCTTGCCGAGAATTTTCGTACAAACAGTGTTTGTCTTCGAACTCTTTTTAAACGCATTGTTCCATTAAATCAAATAACAGCATTAGTCATCAAATGTGATAATCTATATGTTGATGAATTGGTTAATTTACTGCATGCCATGCCCAGTATTCACACATTAACATATGAGGATCGTTCATTGAAAGACATGGAAGATAAATCCACTGGGCAAAGTGATTTATTTCAACTAGTGCGTAGTACGAATACAATAAGGAATGTGACAATAACTGAAGGATTCGTTCTGAAAAATACCAAACTAATTATCAGTTTGTGTCCACAAATTCAACATCTGACTATTTGTCAATATGGAAGAAACACTCTAACGAGTATACAATTCATTTTATCGAAGATTAAGAGTGATCTACCACGTCTATGCTCATTTCGAGCAAACCATACGCCAAAAACAGTAGTAGCATCGATTAAGACAATGCTGGAATCAGAAGGATTATTAGATAACTATTTGATCAAACATATTGGTTCGGATTTATATCTATGGTGGTAATATTTGACTTTGAGATCATTATTTAAACAGATACGAAACGGTCTTTTATACTCTAATGAACCTTTTGTCAAACTAAACCTCGTTGTGAACTACTCTTAAATTTCCTACCAACAATTGTAATAGAATCTGCTCAATTATACTCGTCGGCCATGTTTGAGAGATTACGGTAGTTTTCACAATACTGAACTAACGGCAATAGCCAAAGGCATATACCTATTTAACATTTGTCATTTCAGTTTCTATATGCGACATTAATTTGGTTATCCAAACAAACTAGTATCAACAGAATGTCATATAAGTAATGATTGACACCACTTCTTATGTCCTTACTCGAACATTCATAAATCGATGTTCGCCGTATAAGAGAAGTTTTTGTGTTGACAGAGTGTCGTTTTTTTCTTATCTATGCAACTTCTTCGTACTTATTGTACATTATTAGTGACATACCAGGAGAAAAGTAGTTATGACAATACTCTTCATAAAGAAGAAAAGTATGAAAGATGGCCTTCTCTGTATGTCAACGTACAACACAATAACTTGCAACAGTTTCTTGCTTTACTTGTATATAAATATAAGCATTAAGTAGTCAGAAAGAGAAACATCCATTTGGTAGAACACAATTTTCCTGTATAAGTATAAATATCAAGTCGATTAAAGTAAGTCAGAAATTCGATTCAATTTCGATATGAATAACCTGTATCATACAGGATGTCATATAAAAATCAGGAAACGCCTCATTGTCCTCGTTGTGGTCATGCTGCATTTCATGCTGAATCAATTCCAGTAGCTGGCAAAATGTGGCATAAGATTTGTTTTCGATGCGGTATAAACAAATTTACATGTACACTTCGTTTGTTAATCTTTTATGCATTCTAGGTCTTTGTAAGAAATCATTAGAAATTACAACATTAGCCGAACATGATGGGGATGTGTATTGTAAACAATGTTATACACGTAAATTCGGTATTCGTGGCGTTGGTTTTGGTATGGGTGCAGGTGCACTTGGAATGGACACAGGTGAACGATTCGGAAATAGTCAATCTCTTTCGTAAGAAACCTGTTTTCTATCTCTTTCGATTTCTCATCGAATTTGTTTCAGAAATAAACCAAATTATCCACCAATTCCTGGTATTACGCCACCCAATTGATGATTGCCATAGCGATCTACAGCTAACCGAACAATTCTCTTCTTGTATCTTCTCTATCACCGATATATTTTTAGAATAAACAAATAGACTCGTTAGTTTAGCATAGAACGATCTTAATTAAAAACGAATGCAAGGACAAATTTCGTCTCAGTTTCTAAATACTAATCGACGAAATGAATATTTTTCTTTCGCATTACATAGATGATTATTTATTAAAGAAATAACATCGCGTATTCAAATTTTGATACGAATTAGATATCAATAACACTGCTTTTGACTGTAAGGCACGATTGATCGAAGTAAATTGCATGTAAAAAATATTTTTCTATGACAATGAACAGCCCCTATACGAACAGCAACTAACCGTTTTCTTCTGCATTTTTCCTCTAGGCATCTAAAAGTCGAAGAATACAATCGCATAGATTTTAAAGAAGTAGAAATTCAGCTTCTGATTTACTTCTTCAATTCGGTCTTTATTCTCGATGTTTATCTTCTCGCCGAACCACAAGCAAAGTTTGTTATCCACATCTGTATACGTAAACTTTCGCTGTGCTTGTTGAGGTAGAATCTCTTCAAGTAAGATTTCTTTCCATTGTTTATATCGTTGCTCTTCGTCTTGATCTTCGTTCAAATCAGAACAGAAGAAATACTTTATCTGCAGACTTGACAAACGCCTCCATGGTAAGGAATATCGATCGAATTGATAACATAATTCAGGATGATGAACACGGATGTAGACATGTTCGATCGAAGGAAACAAATGTGTAAATATCGGTTTCAAACCACACGGTAATCGATTATCGTGCACTTTATGAATCGATGGCAACTAAAATTCTTGCGGAAGTGTAGAGAAGAAACATTTCATTGGAAAGATTTTACTTCGATGTAAGTTACACGTGAGTTGTGTTTCTTGATTTGCAACCAGGAATCTATCTTCGGCCAAGTATCCAGAATAACCTTCGTAAGATTCGGCATATGATCGAGTAAATCAAAGATTTGCTGATAATTGACAATCCAACCACGTAAAACATCGAATTTGACGACTTTAATTGAATTCAAATTGATTAAACTATTCAATCGAGTGACTAGACAAGCAACATTATCGAATCTATTTTGAACAGCAAATTCCAAGATTTCGACATTTACATAACGATGATTCATCAATTCTGAGTGGCTATCATTGTTATTTTTATCGACTAAACTTCCGTAATCCAAATTATGAATATTCGAATTGAGATAGTCGAATGACAGTGATGTTGTATCGAGAATCGAGCGTGATGTTTTCATTGTAACATTAAAACGTGGTACAGTAAAAAGTTCAAGGTTATGCGAGTAAGGACAATGACTTGATGCCACAAACCATTGTTTTTCTTCAAGCCAAAAACGTGTGCGGAATGTGTCCAAACATAAATCACGTTGTTGGTGATATTTAAAGTAGAAATCGAATTTTCTCAGATTAGGATACGATTTCACGAGGAATGTTTCCCAATGGTAACCACTGAGAATATTTTCATCCGTGGTCGCATTACATCGAATTTCTAAATGGTTCAATTTCGACAAAAGATCGAGGCCAGTTGATTTGACAAACGAATCGAATATTAAGTCTAAAGATAAGAAAAGACTTCAAGCGACTTTCGAATGGCTGGCCTTACTTTGGCACGAAAATATCAGTTGTCTCAAATTACGAACAAGTCGAAAATTAGGTGCAATCGTATGCTTATCTATTTCGCATTCGACAGTTAACGAATGTAAATCGGGAGTTAAATCAAACAGATGATTGATCGATGTTCGCCAGAGATTTGTCAGCTTTACTAGACGCAGACAAGGCCATTGTTGATGATAAAAACTATTATCTATCTTTGAAAAGAGAAAGTTCACTCCAAGGTGATTCACTTTTCTTTCAATAAGATCAAATAACATCTACGTACATCGTATAAACAACTTGATCTCCAAGACTTCAATCTTGTTGCCAGCGGGATAATGTTCAGTTGTTCACAATGATCAAGTCGAACGACACATCGTTGATCAAGCTGATTGAAAGCAGTGGTAAATCGATCGTCAACATCAGCTAAACTGATTTGTATCAAATGTAAAACACGCAGCGTTCGCCATTGTTTTAAAGCTTGAATGAATTGGTAATATTCGTGATTAGTGAATTTGATTGAATGAAGAGTGAGAGAGCAAAGATTCGAAAATAAATGAAAGGAAGATGAATAATTTGTAAGAAAATAATTGAATTGTCCACCGGTTAATTCTCCATTGGATAAAGTCAACGAAACAATTTGATTCAGATTGATAAACGAGAGAATTTGTTGAAATTTTTCTTTTGTTATATCGATAAAGTTCAAAGAATACTTCGGATAAGACTTTAAAATATTATTCAAATAAATACTTGTGTTGTAAAATGAGAAGAATATATCTCGTCCGGATAAGTATTGAAATATCATCAGAATCAATTCCACCGGCCAATGGTCCAAAGCAAATCTTTGCTTTCGTTCATTCATTCTAACGTCTTGATGGTAGGGAAAAAGGAGAAAGCAAATACGAATCAACCAGAATCACCACGAAAAAGAACTAACCTTGATTCGAAGGAGAACGAACAAGGACAAGACTTGTTAGACACTTTAAATACGATGAAATAAAGGTAAGGTAGACAAGAAATATTTGATTCTCTTATCAAGAAGAGACGCCATCGACTCTCATACATTATTAATCATATTAGTTCTGTTCTGATAAATTTTCGCACTCTTCATTGAGCAAGTTTTGTCAAGGCGAATCGAAACTCGGCTTTCAACATCTGTTCAACTGACTTTCGACAAACAGATTGGATTCTACGAAAGCTTTTCTACCGTCAATTTGATTGATTAAATTATCACTGAGAAGAGAGAGAGGGAGAAGGAGAGAGAAAAACAGCGAACGCCGACCTTCTTTTTATTACTTGCAAAGGTGACTAACGTAGTTTTAGACATTCTGTCACAAGTTATATTGATAATGATGATGTGATTTCACCATACAAAGCATATTTGTGCAAATCAAATAAAGATTTGTTTATTTTGGGTTCATCAAACAGAGATGCCTGTTCTATTTTTTCAAAGGTATCTTTCGTTTTTTTTCCTTCTCATCCAATAGCTCGCTGTATTAAAATAATGTGCACATATGAAGTAAATATCTGCCTTATTCGATCGTTTTGTGTATAGAGTAAAACGTATATTCAAATCAAATGTTGGATTATTGACAACTTCCGCCGTCAAAGGTCGAGACATGTCGTTTGATTTATATTCAAAGTGAGTGAAAGTATACGAAACGTTATATTATGAAGAGCATAATGAACAGCATGCTAGAGAATAACTAAGAGAAAGCAAGGTTAAAATCAGCGGAGGTATTTCATCGATTGAAACCAAAGACAATGTTATTCTATAATCAAACAGAGAAAAAATCGATTTTTTTTTTACAGACGAGTGAGGAATCCTTGAAAATGAATACTGCAAAGAAGTGTTTATTTTGCTTTTCGTTTGTCGCAAAAAATAATTTTCAAATATTCTACTTCATTTCAATATCATCCTGTGTTTTCAAATTTTCGCTTAATAAATGATCTTCATTGAGTTCAGGTTCAGCTTTCTTTTGTTGTTTAGTGCGAACACGAATACTAAAACAATTCTTTTCATTTATCAAAAATCTCTTCATTCATATGTACAGGCACTCACCAAGTCAATCCCATTTGTTCCGTGTCAGCAATCGTTTGTGGTAATGTTTTGTTCAATGTTTCTGGCAGCATTAGAACGAGAAAAGCAGCTACAAGTGATAGGATACCAAATAAAAGTGTTGGAAGATTGATCCATAAACGAGTCTAGAGCACAAGAAAAAACATCGTTTCCTACGAGTCAGATTGCAACATACATACCAACATATCATTGCTCGTTGTTCCGACAATAGCTCCGATGCCTATACAAAAGTTAATCTAGCTACGAAAAATTTCAGTACAATCTTACGTGCCACCATTGAGCAAATGCCCATGCCGGTATTTCTAATTCCTGTAGGAAATAATTCATTTGCATAGATGTAAATAATTGCATAACTTCCAGCTGCGAAAAACTTCAAAAGGACGTTCATTACGAATATCAATATTTTTTGTTCTATAAAATATGAGCATCGAAGCAATTCGTTTTGTTGGATAAATCTCTATAGTTTACTTTGACTGTTTTTCAGCATGAGATTTTGAACGGGAATGGTCATTAAGGCAATGACTGCAAAGCAGAGAACAGCCACGAAGTAAGGAAGTTTTCTTCCGACACGGTTCAAGACGAGGTGTAAGACAATATACGATAGAATTTCGACGAACGCTGAGATAGCAAATGATACTACACGAAAGTTCATCAAAAGACAATGTCAAATTCGAAAGATGAAAAGATTGTCTAAACTAACGGTAGGGATCAAAGCCCCAGGAGCCAGTACTCTGCGAGATCCCATAGAATACCAAATTTTGAACAAACCTTAAACGAGAAAATTCAGGTAGATCGTTCAGTCAATGATTCAATTACCATTGAAAGAAGAGATTGATAGATATAATGCACATAATTGTCGATTTGAACAGCGTGAGCACACCGACTTGCTGAGATGAATTATCTGTTGTATTCTATGCAAAATTAGTATTTAAATTTAAAATATGATCTTTTCATTGGATACTTTTTTTTGTTCCTGTATTAGTCGTTCGAATGCTTCTTCATCGAATGGTTTTTTATTAGTTGTTGCGATTTTTCGAAGTAATTTCTCAGCTTGCTTATACCGGCCTTTACTAATCATCCATCGTGCTGATTCCGGCAATAGACTAACGAAATTCATTGCAGGAGATCAAGTAAACATGATGTTCAATTAAACTTACAAATAAAAGAATGTAAACGGAATCGTGAATAACGAGAGAGTCAACGTGAGACGTCGCCATTCACGAATGAAATACGCAAATGTGACGAGAAATAATTGGCCGAATGCGAAAAAATACTGAACAATAATTGCTGTCAGAAATTTGTTTTTTGGACCGACTAATTCCGTTGCTAAACATAAATCAACCATCCTCGTTTTTTTGTTGAAGATTGATTATCTATTCAAATCTACCCAGAACGAAACCAGTCACAGCGATACCTCTCGTCGAGCAAGCCAAAACAAAACGACTAATTGTGTAGATGAGGTAACTTGGCCAAAATCCGAAGAGGCGTTTTTGAGGAAAAAAGGCACAAACGAATCCAGTACATGCCATTAGAATAATACAAATACTCATAATTGGACGACGACCATATCTTAGAAATGAATATTCAATTCGAGTTAATTGAATGAAATAGAAGTCTCCTACGTCTAGTAGAATTACTTCTCAGACTATCCCTAAGAATAGAAGACGAGATGAATGAATGTCATCTATTCTTCATGCTCGATTAAACGGTAATAAATCATTTGAACATATTGTTCTGTTTGTCACATGATAGAAGGCAAAGTTCGTTCAGGAGAAAGCCTAATGTTGTTACTCGTGTTACAAGTGACGATTTCTTTTTGATTAAAATATCAGAAGATGAGCGGGGTGGAAAGTAGCCGAACTTCTTTCTATCGAATGAAATTTTATATTCTCATCGCACTACAAGTACCTGCCATTCTGCTCTCATCGCTTATCTTTATCTTTTTCATTACGCATCAATCTTCACTTTGTCAACTTCAAAATCAAGCACTTCTCGTCTTACTCATCATTAATTTCATTTATCTATCTACTGATCTACTTATGCCATTACGTTTCTACTATTTTGGATATGTAAGTCCTGCCACATCAACTTACTGTACGTTGTGGACATTCTCAGAATATTCACTCAATCTTATCAATGAACTACTTATGGCTACCATATCCATCCAACGACATCCACTGGTTTTCAAAGCACACATCTTTCAAACTCGGTGGAAACTCTTTTTATGTTACTATCTACCGTTGGCCTTGTGCTTCATCTATCCGATCATGTTCTATGTGTTTACTATTCTGTTGTATCCATGCGATGGCAATCAATGGGATTACACGTTGAATGTTTGTGGTTTTGCAAACTGTTATCTCATATACGATAAAGTATTGGGTTCATTCGACTGGGCAGCAAATAATGGATTTCCTGCACTAGTTATTCTTTTGGCAAATGTAATATTGATTATTCGTGTAATTAAACAGAAACGTCGTCGACAACAAACAGTATCTTGGCGAAAGCAACGACTTATGACATTGCATTTATGTGCTATTTCAAGTCTCTATCTATTGGCATGGTTTCCTAGTCTTAGTATTGGATTGATTCAACAATTGATTTCTCCAAATTTTGCGTCCAATATTCAAACGGATTATACTCTCGATCTGATCTATTCCGTATGTTTATTATTACCTTGGGTGTGTCTCGGTCTTTTACCTGAATTTAAAAAGTGGATCCAGAGGATTCTAACATGTGGCAAATCTGCTCGTACAAGCAATATCGTACATGCTTTCTAGGCCATGTCTGTGTCAATTTGATAGAAGGAAAACATACTTATCAGCCATGATTCCGAAGAAGATCGATCCAACCATGTAACCAACGAAGAATAGATTCTGTACTGCTGAACGAAAAACAGTCCGATCACAGACCATTGACCACTGTAGGAAAGAACGATCTTAGACGAAGATTTTTTTCAAATTCAACATAATACAAACTTCTTCAACTAGTGTATATTGATGATATTTTCGATCGAAAACATATTCATTACAAGGTTGAATCTGTGCTGAACCATCATTCGACATTGTTTTCATATAACATCGTTGACATTCTTTTACTGATATTTTCATATTCGCTTTACAGTATGCTTCATCCGGTTGACTTCGATTGTACGATGTCAACAGTTGACCACTGTATGTAACATCGTTGTCAGACAGTTTGCATCGAAATGAAGGCGTCGCAGCTGCAAATGACCATGTGTAAACCATAACTAATCAGTTCATAATATTCATATATCAGAAAGTGAAAGTGCAGATATCATTCTCGATGTACTTACTAGGTGGTAGCATATAGGTTAGACATATACAGAAATATCGTAGTTTTTGGTAACGACCGAAATCGTTGACTGTATGTAAAAAATCATCGAATTTCATGTCTCTAAAAACAGAGGACACAATTCAAATGACACATAGAGTCACTCTCTTTGCTAATCATCAGCAATTTGATAAAGCATTGATTACTAAATATATATATAACGAGAAAAAAATCCGACTGTGTTATTCAACGACGTATTAAATATCGATCAAAGTGTAGAATATTGAAAGGTTTATATTACAGAACTTACATATTAGAAATGAAGTACAACAAGAAGACATTTCAAGGTTATAAATAACATGAGCGAAAAGAGTACACCGCTTATAGAATGTATAATTAACAAATAGACACTTGATAGTGCATGTACCGGAAGAACGAGCGAAAGTAACAACGATATTTTACTGTCAAAGACGAGTTTATTAGTTGAATAATGTCATCATATACGAAATGGGATTATAACAGCGTCTTTTGAAGTATACGAAATAGTTTAGTGGTATTTAGTTGGGATTAAAGCTTGAGAGATGTCGTCTGCAATGCACTTCAATTGTGAAAAACAATCAAATTACTAATGTTTCCTGCTATAGTTGAATTATAAAAGGTACCTTCTCTTTTTTCTCATAATGAAAATAAGAGACAAAATAGAATATCGATATTATTCTTTCGAACCTTATGCATATGCAGTATATTCCTTTAAAATTGCTTTTATGGGAGTAAACCTATTTTTTTCAAATTATACGACTATAGGCACTATTGAAATGATTGAGGTAATTCGAAAATAAATATTCGACGGTTCACTATGTAAGAATCGTACAGTATCGATTACATCACACCAAAAATATACTTTGAGCTTTGTATAGAAGTGACAACAAACAATAATAGCACTAACATGGTACGATGTGGACATTGCTTTTGATCATGACTCATTTCAACGTACTGTATACTATCATTTTTAAGGAAACTATTCCTTGCATAATATATGTATACTCATCTAATTGAAACACTCTTAACACAGATATTCACCACGTTTCGACAATTTTAATCTCCTTTGGGTACAAAACAAAAGTCAAATTTCGTCTCGAAATAAATATATGCGATAAGTACAAACGAGGGTACGTATCGAAATATTCAAACTAGAACGAAAAAGCAAACAATCACGCGAAATTGCCTGTCTATTGTGCGTATAGTCGAAAAAAAAATACTATTTTTTCTTTTCTTTATCTTCTGTTTCGCTCACACAAACGTCATTTGTTTAAACAGAAGCAAAAACGCACTCGTAGATATGACATCCTCTACAACATTTGATATTCATTTAATGACAGAAGACGATTATGACCAAGTATTATCTTTATTATTGAATTCGTTCTTTCAGGATGAACCAATAACACGATGCATCCAATTAACTGACACATTAGATTTTGCCAAATCGATCATTCAAGGTTGTTTAAAAGACAAATGTTCATTTGTGGCATGCCATCCTCAAACCAAACAAATCGCTGCTGTATGTCTTAACGAGATTATCTACAAAAATAATAATGAAGAGAATATTCAATGGGGAGAAAAGATTCGTTTTATTTTTGAGATCTTGTCTGCTGTGCACAAAAAGCGAAGTATTTTCGAAGAATTCAGTGCTGATAAACTTTTACACATATACATAATCAGTGTTGATCAAAGTGCGCGTGGCCACGGACTTGCATCGAAATTGATAGGAAAAAGTATTGAATATGGGAAAGAATTACAAATGATCGGTGCGTATGCCGAAGCAACGAATCTTATCTCGTTAAAAAGCTTCAAGCAACAAAAATTTGATGTTTTTGATGAATTGATATACGTTAACTACAATCCTCAACGTTTGGCTGGTCTGAAAGGCGAAATCTATGATCGTTGTTATCTTGTTGCACGAAAGCTTTAAGAAAGAATTTTTTTTTTGTTATTTCCTAGCTTTAAATAAAATATCTATAAGTTACGACCTCTATCACTCATTAATATGATTCCTTTTTCGATTATCTTCCAATTACAGCAGATCAGTCAATAATTCATTCATTCGTTCACGTAAAAGATAAATCAATTGCAAAGAAAAGCAATGCTAATACCTCGATTTTCGTTATCGCAAACTGCAACACATTTGTCCATTACTATTCGATGTCCGTACGTAAAATTCTCTTCATCAACGTCAAATGACGAACAAAACGGTGTTGAAGTTGATTTCCCGTCATCCGATGAATTCTACTTCGCTTGTAAGCCGTACTATCTTCATCTATATCTACCCGGTCGTGTGATCGTCAAAGATGTACCGAATTATACCTATGATATCGATACGTCTTCGTTTTGTTTTACCTACGAGAAAGAAACCAAAGATGAATATTTCGAAAATCTCGATATGATAACAAAATTACTTCATAAGAATAAGAAGATTGTACCGAATGCAGTGGAAGAAATTGCGGATGAATCCGATAACGAAACAGAAGAAGATGAAAATGAACCATTGTGGAACCAAATGAGACAATTAGAAATCGATGGTAAGAAGGAAATTTGCCATCGTTCGTTCATTTCGAGTGTTTTTAAGATCAACCAAAACAAACTTTGACATCAACATATTCCTATGGTTTCAATCATCAGTATAAAGATATCTTTACAAATTTCGATTCGGAATATTCTTTGATATTTGATAATCAATCTCCTGATACTTGTCCCACATCTTCCATCCGATCGCGTCGATTAGAAAAAGAACAATCCGATTTCAATGTTGAGCATTATCTAGCGGACAAATATGAGTTAACCGATGAAGAACTATTTCATTACAAATTAACTATCGACGATGAACTCAACGATCAAGATCGAGACGATCTTAAAAATTTGAAATACAAACAATTCTTAATCGATGAACCTATATCGATATATTTAGGTTTAATTGATTTACTCTATGCATTTGCTTATGATCAACGAATTACACAGTAAATAACCATTGAATTCTGATTTTTACCTGATCGTTTATTTTTATTCTTCTAGAGGTGAATCATGTTGCGAATCTTCCTGGAATATTCATAAATTATCTTCGACATTATCTTGGTTTGATACATTTACTGATCTTCCATCTGTTCTGATTGCGTGTTGTCGTCGAACATTAGCTTATCCGCTAATTCGCTCATTTAAACTGGCGAAAAGGTGTTTATCTGATGTAATCGAAATACTTTCCTCAGGAAAACGTGCAATACTTCAATGTTTACTGCAAATAAGACGAACATTTCTCGACGAAGAACATCGATATTTATTGAATACATTGTATTTAAATGATTACTGTTTATGGATACAAACAGATTGTCAAAGCAAATGGTTAGAATCGTTGGTCGAAGCAATGAAGCATACGATTGAATCAAATCTCGATGAAGATGATCTTGGATTTGATTTCGATAAGCAAACTTTCGCTTGGAAAGTTATTCTACATGAATCAAGTGATAGCGATGATATTTCATCAGATGATAATGATGAAAATTGTTAAATTTCAATAAAAATATGAAAGAAATACTTATCGACTAAGTCAGGTATCTGTAGTAGTTATCAATAAGGATACTTTGATTCAAACTGAATGAATATCGAGAATAAGTTTTACATTAGTTAACCATCAGTCTTGTCTGCTAGGCTTTTATCAAGATCTACTGCGATATTTCACTTATTGTTTATATATGACGAACTGTGAGTCATGAATCTATTCATGTGGTTTTAGTTTTACTAACAAAATGTTTCTTCCTTCGCCATAAAATGATCGACTCAAGTAAATATCACAAATTTTATTGTTGATGTTTTGGATGTAGTTGAATTACAGCGTTGTTTATCATGTATTGAGACTTTGCAGTTGGATCCTCGATTAATATTCAAAGTAGGTGATATTCTTCCATCAATCTGTGCTCAAGAAGCTCGAGAGACAGTGATAGATAATGTTGTATACCATTTAAAATAAAGACTTTTTAATGGCACTAGAGCTCAGCTACTTTGACTGATGAGAAGAAAGAAAATGATAAATTGATATTTATAAAGAATACTAATCTTGAGGGTGAAATAGGTTTAAGTATCTTATATAATGACTGGCGCCCGTTCTCAAATATAGAGAAAACTCTACTATCGATCTCGTCGCTGTTCGATACGCCTAATCTGGAAGCAGTTGAATGCTATCGACAAGATCTAGAGATGGATAATGCTATTTTTTGAAAGTACACAGCAGCTTACGCGGAAAAATAGTAGTTCAATTAACGACTTCTGAACTATCTGCTTTTCCTTCTATGTTTGAAATGATGATTCCAGTTAAACAGACATCGATCTCGTTATGTATATTTAAGAGAAATAGATAAACAAAAAATATCCATAGTAAATAATAAATACACACAAATTTTGTAAATAAAGGAACAGAAAGAAATGTGCCTGATAGTACTCTTTACGGCAAAACTTGCCATGAATTTTTTTGGCAACTACCACTGTTCCACTAACGATATTATCCGAAGAATAAGAAAAAAAAACAGTAGGAAGTACGTCGGTTTACAGTTCTTGTACAAAATTGCCGGGAAATAAACCAATATTCCCATCAAGATTGCCTCTACACCATTGATCAGAGCGTCTTTCAATTAGCATAATAAGATCTCCTGAAAATGAACATCAATTTCGTAGAAAACTTCAGAAAAACTCAAAGTGATCTTTACCTGGTCGTATAGTTAATTCATCATCATGTTCGGCATCGTATGAATGTAAAACTTTCACATATTTCACTGGTAGCTGCGGCGGATGTCGAAGAGAATCTGTCGAATTGGTCATCGATGATGGAAGAGCAGGATATGGTGGCGGGCCAGGCGCCATCGATCGATTATCTACATACGAGAAAAGAGTTCAGTTCTTCTTTCCACTACTGTGATTGACTTCATGCATCAAAACAAAGCAAATCACACTCATGCAGAAGACCGCGTCAACTTACGTGTTGGATAAAAGCCTGAATAGAAGAGCAGTAATCAATTAGAGAGAAGTCGAAGCATATAGACTTTGAGTGTTCCGTATTCAAGAGCAAAATAGATGAGTACCTGATGAACTGCTTTGATCGAATGAAGAAGAAGGAGAAGAAGAAGAAAAAGAAAATCATTTTCGTAAGCGAACGCTCGGTTTGATTGAGCACTTACAACGCCTTTTCTGCTGAGGAAAAACAAAATACTGAGGAGAAGTAGTGTGAACTACAACAATGAATAAATAACTCGTGTTATTGGATTCTTCCATATTTGAATATTCACAATCAAATCAATAGATGAATTTTGAGATTCTTACCTGGTGCTGGATGTTCATGAGGTAGATTATCAATTGCCCAGCCAATTGGTGTTCCTCCTTGACCTGAATAAGGTGGTGGTGGTGGAAATCCGTGTTGGTGTGGCATAACTGGCGTGCCAACTATTGGGGATGAACGTGCTAAATAGCTGGTCGACGATGGTGCAGATGGTGGATTTTGATTCGATGGTTGAAAAGGTATCCGAAGGAACGTAGTTGGAATATTCTAAAAGCAACAGGAAGGTATGTGATCGACTCTAGTGGAGAACGAATTGAACTCACCTTGTCTGTATAACTTTTAGCAAAACATTGTGAATATTCATATTGCGGTTCAGGTAAACTTTTAATATGATTGTAAACTTTTTCCATTTGATACAAACTTCCTTCGTAAAGACATTGTAATAAACGAACCTAGATATCCAATTGATTTTCGATCGAATAAATCATAATAATATTCTTACACTTTCACGATTTATACATATTTCACTCGGATTGACACTTGCCGAAAAGTTCTGATTTTGTTTACAGAATCCTTGTAAATTTTCAATACCTACACAGAAGAAGAAGTTGATGAATGCACATCATTTAATTGCAAAAAACCATCAGCAAGCATCAATAAACAAACAATCGTGCTTAAGCTTTGAAAAAAAACACGGGTGCAAGTAGATATGGACAACGAAACATATACCCTCGCCTTTCTTCTTCTCCCTTTCTTTCTGACGATGCATTGCTCCATCATCATCGTCATCATCGTTTGACGCCGATGCTGAATAATCATGATTAGCACGAACTACAACATCTAATACAATCGAGCAGGATTACAAAGAATATCGCCTTATACGGATATATAGTTTTTTTTCAAGGAGACACGAACGAGAAATAACATCGATGGCGACAGAGGTAGAGTACCTGTTTGAGAATGAAACAATGTTGAAGACATCGCTCCAAGATTGGAAGAACGTAGATTTCCTTCGGATGAAACTCTTTCGTGCAAATTTACTGGGAAGGAAGGATCAACTATGAATAGGCAGGAACAAAGTTGTTTTATGGTAGCAAAGAGCAGAAGCCGAGAGAAAACCAATCAGATACAAACCATTTTTTGATCGTTTTTGAATTTCGATATCTTGTTTTAACATTTGAATCCAATGCATCAAACTTAATACTCGTCGTTCTTGACTCATAGCATTGTGATCATTTTGTGCCTGGCGAGAAAAACAGACAATAATACAACTATTTTTATCTGAAAAGCAAAACTTACATAAATATCATAAGTTAAAATTTCTGTTTCAGCTGCTTGAACATTTTGTTTCGCTTCCAAGACAATGTCGCTCTGCGGAGTGATTCGAATTGCATATAAATCTTGCGTGACCTAATAAGAAAAATTGTTTAGTCAATATTCAGATCATTCTATACTCGATAAGAGTATCTCAGCATGCTCTATGTAAATGGCCTTAAGCAGTATAATAAATGACGTCATTAATTTCTGTGTGAATCGTTCGGTTTATTCCTCCCGCTCATAGGTTCTATTAAAACTGAATATTTACCTGATTCATCGTATCAGTCAACGTTTTTATAGCATTTGAATAAGTTTGAATAAATTTTTCCATTTCACTTATTCGATCCAATTCCATCGTTTGCATTTGATCACAACACTAAGAAAAAGGAATACTGTTAAAAAGAAAAAAGTATCTCTGCATCAAATTTACGCGACACATTTCAGCATCACAAGCTTGCCGCGCTATTTCCACATCTTTCGTCGCATCATGATATTTCCTTTCAGTCTTCTCCAACTCTTGTTCTGCTTTACGTAGTGACATTTCCATCTAATCAAAAAGCAAAACAAATAAACAAAAGAAGTTCCACCAGCTAACAAAAGGAAATCAGTTTAGATCAAAGCAATTAGAGATTAAATTAAGTATAGACCAACGCGTGTATAGATAGATTATGATTCTTACGTTCGATGTCTGTTTGTAGCTGGCACTGGCTGATAACTATATAGACGAGAATGAAACAACGAGATAGAAATTCAAAATCAAATGAAATCATCTCCAAAAGGAAAGAAAAGAAAAGAAAATCACAAATCTCAAATGAAATTAGTAAAATATTAGAAGAACTTTAATCAAGCAAAGTATTTCTCTGGTGATAGCACCCGGAATGTGAGCAAGAAATATGTTTGTATCGCACACCTTTTCACTCGTACTCGAGTTATGTCCACCGGGGAATATACATGCTGTAACCAATGGTACTTCCTGTACACATTCATGTGCGAAGAGAGAAAGTTCTACTAGAGAAGAAGTATTCGATGCTCATACAAACCTTGCTGACTTCTTTTACGGAATTTTTGGTTGTTTTCGGAATTTCATCCATGCGAAGATATAAACTTTCGATTTCTTTACTATTTTCGAATTGACGCTGACGGTACTAGAGGTATAAAAGTTATAAGAATCAAGAAATGAAGATGTTTTCATGTTTACTTTGTTATCAATATCTTTCTTATCTTTCCAAGCTTTGAATTTGCCGTTTAACGTATCTTCAATCTAAAGATTTGAAAAAAATATATTTCTCAAAACAGAAATTGATTTTTTTTTCTTCTTCGCTTACCGGTTTTCTTGCTTTCAATTGTGTATCAGCAAGATTTTTCATTGGTAAACAAATTTTATTCAGCAACGTATTCGCAATTGCACTATGCGCTTCACTTTCAACGTTTGTTTGGGTAGAAATAACTGCTAATCCTTGTGTTAAAGATCTAAAAGCAATTGGAGATAGAATAGATACAAAGGAAACTTGATTTTCGAGCTTTACCCTTTTGATCGAGCGGAGAGCTTTTGAAACGCTTCACTGTTCTTGCGAAGACCTTTGGCATAGACAAGTTCGAGATCACAACTAGATGAAAAGACAACATCTTTTCAAATGAAATGAGATTGAATTCGTTTACCGTTCTTGCCAGCATTTCGCAATATCGGTGCAAAGATCATTGCCACTTCGTATTAGCTTTTTCAATCCTTCATAACCTTTTTCTCCCTGAAAAAAACACAATGTTTGTTTTATCAATCAAAAATCGATTTTAACTTACTATAAAGCAATCCCGAAACTGTTCGGTCATCATGATCGATTAACTATCTAGAAGAATCAAAATCAGTACAATTTTATACATAGATACAATTATTCATAGAGCCGCTCTCATCTGTCTGATTCATTCATTCATTCTCTGAAGCACTTCTATCTGAGTTTATGTGGGTGTTTATTTGTTGTGGATAAATGCTATGTCTCTATCGGCGAGTAAACACAGTCGTAGAAGAGAAAGAGAAAAATAGTTCTCGCTTTTTCCTTTTCTGTTTCTCTCCACATAACTAACACTATTTTCTCGTCGATGATAATGAAGAGATTCACTGACGTAATTTGTCTCTTTTATGTCTCTCCTTCTATCTGATGACCTTGTGCACATATGAGGCCTATCATGAACAACTCAACTGACATTTGGACGCTTGTATATTCGTGTCGTCAACTATACAAGGATGCCTGCCTGACCTAGACGATCCCTCGTCTGTATTTCATTCTTTTTACCTGTTTCATCTACGTACAAATGAGGTGCAGAGCAAGGTAAGAGCGAAGAAAAGAAAGAGAAAAATAACGAAAAAAGAAGAAGAGAGTTCACAAGTGAATGCGTATCGATAACTAAACACCTTGCCTATCGAAATATATTACAATGCCATGAATAGGACACGACGAACAGAAAAAAAAGAGGGGGAGAAAAGAAAGAGATCAATAGTATATGGCTGATTTGATTTGCATGGCGAAGTGCTTCATTTGTATTGTGACTCGTTTGAATAAAGAAGAAAAACAGAACAACAAATTGTAAACAGCGATGCAACGAGAAGATCAAAGGGATGAATGCTAAACAAATGTAAAACGCGAAGAGAGAAAGAGGAATGATATTATATGAAATGCATTCGAGTGGTTGACAAATCTCATGTGATATTTAGCAGAACAGTTCGCCTTGAAATCGAATGGATGTTTTGATGGATAAAAATAATCATATCAAGTCATTCTGCGGCTGAAAGGAAACACGATCACAGAGAGAAGAGAATGGATGGATGGATGGATACATTTGGATCATATCATCATTACGATTCATTCATTTCAAGGAATTGCTTCATCGATTGGCCATTCAGACAACATATGCACGATGATGTCGCTATTTATCAACAATTTCCTGTTATTGCACAAGGATAATTCTAGATAATATGACACAGAACTGTCATCAGCATTCCAATTTGAAAATGATGACTCACTATATTGACCTGCAATGCAATTACAAAACGATAACACAGAACAGAGATCATATGAAACAATTACTTTTATGTTATGTAACAAGCATCTCAATTGAAAATCAAATATATATATATGCAGGTTGAAGTCAATGTATACTAATGTGTTTTTAAGTTGATGAATTCATTTTGAAAGAATAGTACCTCTTCACGGCAGATTAATTCCATCTTTTTATATTGATTTGAATAAAAGTCACATATGTTTGTCTTGAAATAGATGTGATTATACATTGAAATCTGTGTATGTGTATTCAGCATGGAACTGTTATCAAATTTGAGGAATAAATATGTTAAGAAGTCCTTATCTTTAAGTATTGACTTATTATTTTCTGATAAGAATCGAAATTCATTCGTAGAAGTATTCATTCGATTGAAAATCTGTATTTCTCAGTAATATGATATATATCGTATACTTGCTTCTGATGCTTGTTCTTCATGGACATGCTGGCTTGTTTCATTGTGATTTCGAAACTCACTGCACGGACTTCGATTTCGATGAAAATGGGCAATTAACTAATGGATCCAATATATCTCTAATTCATTATGATCATACTTTGAATGATAGTTCAGGAACTTTTCTTTTCTTCAACTCACAGAGCACTGTCTTATCGCGAATAAAAACATCAGACTGGATACAACCTTCATTTAATCAATCCGTCTGCTTTAGCATGTGGTATTATCCGTCTCACAGACATGTGTCATTCGATATTCAATTAGTGCAAGGTGATGATGAATCTCTCATTCGAACGATGATGTCAGTAACTGATAATAATCAGTTAAGTGGTAATTGGATACCAGTAAATGTTAGATTACCGGCAGAAAAAGTGAAAATAGTCATTGTATTGAATACAACTGTCGGTTCATTAGCTATCGATGATCTTTCTGTTCATTTTTGCTATGAACCTCAACTGCCATCATCACCACAAATACTCTTCTCTTGCAATGGCGAGTGGTCTTGCATTTACGATTTCGTTCCTTTAATAAATTACCCTTATCAATGGTCCATCATTCAAGCATACAATGCAACTCAACAAAATAATCAAGCACCATCGATTGATCATACTTTTGCTAATCAATTTGGTCACTATGCTTGGTTAGAATATTCAAACTCCACTGTTGTACAAGGCAATACTGGTTATCTCGACACTAAAACGATCTTTCGTATTAGTAAGAACATATCTTACTGTTTGAATTTTTACTACTATGCGTATGGTGAATTTCACTCGAGCAATTTGAACGTTTTCGCAAGACTATTAGAAACTTCCAATACAGTTCGACAAATATGGCCAAGAGGAGGCTCTGCTGAATACGAGTAAAAAAATGAATGTACAATATTAATATTTTTAAGTGTGTTTTTTTTTTCATAGTTACAAACACAACGAATGGTACATATGATAAATATTTACTTAGATAAAAGCTAATCGATTTCATCATTTCAGGACATGGGCAACAACTCAACTTCCTATAGGCTCATATTCTCTTCTTTTTCGTGTAGATAGTCAAAGTAGCGACTTCGGTTCTTTCGCTCTCGATGACATCCAGGTCATTTCATGCGACTATCCATTCTCTGAATTCGCTACTTCACCATCACTTTTGTCGTATTCGTGTAATTTCGACGAACCATCACAATGTGAAATGGCAAATGGCTTTCCTAATGTACACACAGAATTCAATTTTACTATCTTCACTGGTAACACAGTGCCTGACCGCGAGTTAGGTCCTATTCATGACTACACTAGCAATTCACCATCGGGTGGATTCTATTATTGGAATCGACAAACGAATTTATCGGCAGATGATTTTGGAATGTTCAGTCCATTGAGAACTATCGAACGAAACACGGATATGTGTGTTAGATTTGCCTATTACGTCAAACCTTCGGTTGTTGATGAACATGAAACCGCATTGATGTTAGATGCGTTAGAATGTGCGAAAGGAAATGTTTGGCTAAAGCCAGTGATCGATAGCCAAGGATGGCAATTCGTTGTCATACGTTTGCAAGATTATTCATGTGCAGAGAAGTTTTATTTTAGCGTAGTTGTAGAAACAACGAGAAAAGTCGCAGTAGCTTTTGATGATATTCAATTTGAACAGTGCAGTTTGATTGATATACCATATCCTGGATCATCAACAACAACATCGATAACAACAATAAAGTCGACTTCAGAATTAACAACAATAAAGTCGACCTCAGAATTAACAACATCAAGCCGTGCAGCATGGTTTGAATTTTCGACTGAACTGATCTTCTTTAGTTTTTTGTTATCATTCTACATTAACAAGTAAAATGGATGATCTATAAAGACTGAAATCTGTGATGACACTCTGACTTTCTTGTACTTTTTTAGCGCATACTACCACAACTGTCAAACTATATTTGAGTATATCGCATATGCTACGCATTGAAGAAGTCAAAGAAGCTCCATAAATATATATTCATTTGAATATAAATTTCATATAAAATAAACAAAGCAAAATTAGTTTTATCTTGGGGTATTAACAGTTGCTTTTCTATATGTTGTTATAATCTTTCGAGAAAAGAAACATTCATTCCAAATGGTATTACATCTCAAGTAGATAGCGTTTCAGTTGCTTCGTCTTCGTTATTTATGAAGTAGCAAGAATAGATCTATATGCTGTGAAGATTCATTGCTTTTCTCTCGATAGTTTAATCAATTTCTTCATGCAAATCTCGATCGATTGCTTATAATAAATCAAACAGATGCTCTATAAATATCCTATTGGTTCAACATAAAAGAACATAAGGAGTAAAGAATTCTTCGCCTATACATAAAATAAAACAATAGACTTAGTTCGTGCTTGTCTTTGTATTATCATGGCGTCAAATAATACTGGTTCGTATCAAACTTCCATTACAAAAACAACGAATTTTTCTGCTTTCGACAATCCGCATCAAGCTCGTATAAACAATCAAAAACCAAAGAGGTAACTAATCGAAAATCATTTCACCAGAAACACCATTATCTACATCGATTCACTATAGAAAAACACCCGAATGGATTATGAAATTATTACCGTGTCTGTATGGTCTGATAATAGGGACACTTGCAATGGGAATAGTTTTAGCGGTTATACTAACAATTTGGTTAACAAGAAGTAACAGTGTATCATCTACAACTAATTCTTAACACATACGGCATCACCTTTTTGACGTTGATTCTGTTTTTATCCATTGAATTTTTACATTTTTATGAGACAAGAGTCGTGATGGTACGGTCATTGACAGAGTTCATTTGCTAGTCCCAGCATGCTCCCTTCAAACAAGTTAATGAAAATGCGTACACACACAAATCTATTTCGAAAAACGGACAAATACGCACGTCTCTCACAAAATTCTCTTTTATTCGCCAATAAAAAAGGCAACTTTTAATCTTTCAGCTGTTTATCGACAAATGCAGGAAGAAGCCGTGATTTGTTCATATAATTTAAAATACCATCGAGCACACATGCCGGTACGCATGACAACGGAAAGAAGATGAAAGTAGCTTGCCAGCCCGGTCGATAGCGAATAGATGGTTTTGTACTCGTAACAGCGTGTTCGAGAGCTCGTACAACTTTCATTGGATCTTCTGCATATTTAATGAACAGATTAACAGCTCTACCTTGAAAATGTTCTTTAAGATAATCTTTTCCCCATCGTTCTTGAGCATCGGTGGATAATTTGTTACAAAAATCATCAAATGTTTTATTGAGATCTTGAACGATAGGTGTTCGCATAAAGCCTGGTTCGATAATACTAACATGTAAACCCCATGGTGTCATTTCTCGACGAAGACAGTCAGAAAATGCTTCTAATGCAAATTTGGACGCCGAATAAGCCGCCATGTTTCCCGCTGCTACTATACCAGCAATTGAAGTGATATTTACCACGCGTGAATAACGTTTACTAATCAACAACGGTAAAAATGCTTTCGTCATAGCCACGTGTCCGAAAAAGTTCACATCCATTGTTTGCCGCATCAGTTCCAACGAGGTCCAATCGATGTAACCGGGTATTCCGATACCAGCGTTATTAACAATCGCATGAAGTGTATTGGTTTTCTTTCGTACTAAATCATAAGTGGCATCAATATCCTGTTGTTTGGTAATATCAAGATGGAAGACTGTTGCATTTGCCGATAATTCATTCTGAAGTTTTGATTTATTTTCCGAAAGATAAACGCCAGCTAATACATGAATACCTTTTCGATCAAGTTGGATCGCTAATTCATGACCAAATCCACTGTCACATCCACTAATTAGGACATATTTACCAGATGGATTGATGTCAGGTGGTGGGAAAAAGTGTAAATATAGACGATAGGCGATATAAAAGAAAACTGCCAAAGCCAAAACTACATACATGATCGAATGTAAACAATATAAACTAGAAAAGTGAAATAAAGAATTTATTTTCTCTCTTCGTGATTCCGTAAAGAACGCTAAACACGTGTATATGCACGCATGTTAGATCTTCTCTCGTATTTTTCGTTCGAAGTATCCCGCTGTTGTTTAGTTGATGATATGTCTTTGTCAACAACAAATATTCTCCTCTCAATCGTTATGCAGATTTTTCATTGGAGATGTCTATTGATAAAAAAGCTTTATTTAATCAGTAATTCTATATGTTCATTGAAAAGTCGAGATTGCTTTATCTAGATCATGATAAACGAATCAAAGTAAAAACTTTTGCATAATTTTGTCAAATATATGCAAACTTCCTTCGTTTTCATATTAATAAGATACGTACTGATACATACATATATATATATGCATATGGATACACTATATAATTCATGACATTCTCATTATTTCATTTGCAATCGTGTGGTTTAAGTTCATCGTAGATATGAAAAGTCGAATACTCACTGGCTTCGTATTCTTATTCGGTCAGTATTTTGTTCACTATCCGGGTTTTTTTCTCATCATCTTGTTTTGCAAAGTTGTCACAGGAACCTTGACTAAGCAATGCTTTGAATGTTCACAGTGTCCTGAACCATTCAATGAAAATGGACAGGGCGTCCGAAAGATTTCTGTTGCAGATCGGGATTATTGTGTGGTATGCTGAAGCATTTGAGTAGATATATTTTTCCAATTCGTTGCATTATTGTTTTAGAAAATAATACGAAACGACGTTGTGGTGAAACGTAATGGTGGCCCTAGTTGTCGACCGGTCGGTTTAACAACATTTTGCTGTAAAGATGACTTGTGTAATGGAGCCGAATCAGCTATAATCAGTGTGAAATTATTGGCAGCGATGGTCACGTTATTTTTTACTCCTCGATTTATGTCTTAGCTATTTTATTCTACTTATAATCCTGATAGTCAACAATAAAAAGAACGATTCTCTAGATGCATCGTTGACATCACATTTGAAAAAGAAGTTTTGGTAGAATATCGAGAAGAATCCACATGAATACACTGAGGAACGAAATTAAATACTGTTATCTTTTGATTTTCCTTTATATCAACATGAGAACAACACAACTATGATTTATACTTGTCGACCTACTTACATTTATTCATTTCTTATCACTTTTCACTCCTTGAAAAATGACGCACTTTCTTTTTCCACTTCGTTATCTGCAACTAAATCAACGAAATAAATTCGAAATTTCATCGTATCGCTCGTAGATGTTGTAAGAGTTGATTGTGGGAGTTTATCTTTGTCAAGTTACCTATAAAAGACCAAGACACACCGCCTCTTTCCATAATATCAAGAAATTCGTTTACACACAGTATAAAAATATGAACACTAAACTTGTGACTCTCTGCGTGCTATTACTTGGTTAGTATTTTATTCCAATAGGTATCTTTTGTATAACTTATAATTCATTCTAGTTGTCAGCGGAGCTGCTGCTCGACAATGTTATCAGTGTGCTGCGTGTCCAAAACCTTTCAAAGGAAATGAAGCAGGTGTGACCAAAGTCGATGTTGGCGATTATGATTATTGCTTCGTATGTAGAAGGATTTTCTAATATGCTATTCCACAATAATAATTTCCATCTGATATTCTTCTAGAAATCAATAGTACCCATCGTTGGTACAATAGTAAAAGGTAGTGCTGGTAGAGATTGCAATCCTGTCGGCTCGACATATCTCTGTTGCAAAGGTGATTTATGCAACGGATCAACATCAGCTATGTTCAATGTTAAACTTTTGACGGGAATGGTAGCAGCATTTTTTGCAATTCGATTCTTTTATTGATCAAATTTTTGTATCGATGCTTTTCTTAGACATGTTTTTTTTTAATGAAAATAGTCTGGACTAAGATTTACAATAATGACAATATCTTTTATAAAAATGATCGAATAAATATAAACGGAGTTCTATACATTGAACGTATTTCTTTCATAACTGATTTCTAACCAAGTCCTACTGATAATTTCAGTCATACGAATGCCAATCAAAAAAATACTAGTATAAACGCAGGAATTTTGTACTTTGGATGATAGACCATTACAGTGATCGAGAAGTTCTTTTCACATGTTCGGAGTTTAATTTTGAGTTGAACGAACACAAGAGAAAGTGTGTACCCCTCAAAACATCGAAAATGAAGAATGATGTATATGTTTAGTTTGTGCTTGCTGATATTCATCCGTTGTAGTGATGCACGCACGGTATTGAAAATATAATTTCTACGTATGAGACATACTGTGCGATTAGTCATTCTCGTCAGGTGGTTATTGTGTGCGATCCAGTGAGATAGATAGCACCTCGTAAGGTTTGTCACTCGATCTGCTATTTTCTCGCTGTATCCGCTCAATATGAACACGAAAGATTAACCCAAAAACTTAATTTATGAAAGTATTTTCTATTGAAACAGTTACCGAACGTAGTTCTGATGAGAGATCAATTAGATTTGAAAACGGACATTACGATAGTCAAAGTAGTTCATAGAAATATGAAACTCATAGAAATAAATCGTAGATGAACGTAATTTATTTTTATTTTCTGGATAAACTAAATTATTTCTATGAATTCACCAAAACGACGTACAATGGGACCGCACCACACAAGTTTTCACATTCATTACAATCAATCATTAGTTTAACTTCTCATTTCCAGGTAATCCAAACTTGATCGACCAGATGCTTAATTGTATAACCCGAACTTTCTTTTTTAGAAGCGACCATCTTTAGTAACCTATCAACTCGTCTAGCACTGATGTTCGGAGTCCATAGACGCAAACTAGTCAAATGTGGTATTGCTCGACAATTTTTGGTTAGTACAAGTTGAGCCAACATTGTGATATCGATCGCATCTGTACAGTGAATTTCTAATTGTTGCACTCGTGGACATAAATTGATGAGGAACTGAACTTGTATCAATTCTGTAGCTGATAAGATCGTGACTCGAATAATTTTATTAATTCTTGGTAATGTATTGAGCAGGTTTTCTTCTTCGGGAGAAAAATTGGTTTGTCTCATTAATAATAAACTTTTTAATTCGATTGATTCCAGATGAGTCAACAAAGACAGTAGCTTGAGAAAGTCTTTTACATGAAAACCATCACGTTGTAGACTTAAATGAGTGAATTGAATGAAAGAGAATGAAGGGATAATATCGTGTAGAACCAAACGTGGGCAACAATCGAAAGCATTTTCTTTGATAACGATTCTCGCGGATAAGCATAATTCTCTGGCTAATGTATCTGGTGAGAAGTCATTCAAAATCATCAGCTCATTCGACATTTTTCTAAACGTATTCAAAGAATAGTCTTCATCGAATAGGAAACAAACTCATATCTACCTCAGCGGTGTGATGCGAAATAGCATTTGTCTGGAAAATGTACCAGCAATAATAAACGATAATCTACAAATCCATCCTCGATCAATCCAGAAGGCACTACGAAAATCTCGAACTAAAGGGCAATAGTTTTGATCTCGAAAATATTCGTCACATGCTTCGTAATACTGCAAATAAAATCGATTCAAGTTTGGCATCGAGCGAGTGATCAATCGTTCCCATCGTCGAGCATTGAGGTAACCTTTCCCGATGGGGATATTCACTCGTAATAGTTGTACTTTGTTTGCAATCGTTTTCATCAATATTTCAAATTCATCAAAGCACGTCAGATACGTTCGGATAGAAATATATGTTAATTTCGGAACTGCTACGATCATTCTGTCGAGACATGGATCATAATCGACTAATCCTCTGCACGTTAAGCGAGATAGATGTGGTGTATAGGAAAGCATAGCCATTAGATTGAGCACTCGACATGAATGATCAATATCGAGATGTTCAATTGCACTCGATTGATTCTTCTGAGCGAACGGTAACGGAATGTACGGATTGTATTGGTCGTAGGAGATTTTCACGTACTTCAAAGATGACATTTGAAATATCGATTTGTAGAGGGAAGTCAGACATTTGAATTCGCCTTTGATCGAAATTTTCAGAGAGCAAATTTGTAGAATCGTCCGTAATATTAATAACTGCTCTTCGATATCATTGGATTTGACATCGATAGAACACAGAGATTCGATATAGTAATGAAAGGAGAAATCGTTCAATACTTGGCTGCAAAGTACAACAGCGAAAATTGTGAATCGATTAAGAAAAACAAGTTTACTTTTCGATTGCATTGAGATTACCGTTTGACTTCTCAATGGATTTCTCTTGTTTGGATAAATCAAATATATTAATTTTAAGTCGTAAACGTAAACCAGAGAGTAGATTTTGAAAACGAAGATTAAGATTCGAAAACGACTGATAGATATCATAATCTTCGAGATACTCGAATATTTCATTGTAGAAAATTTCGTTGGATAAGTCTTCGATACAACGAACCGATGAACTAGAGATCATCAGAAGAGTTCAAGAGCATGAAGAACTATATTGGACCTTACTTCCGAGTCATAATTTGATTACCAACACGTCAATTAACAAATATAGTTCGAAAAACGAAAAGACGCATGTTTTAGATGTGCACAGGTATTTATGTGAGAGTACAATGCGTGATTTTCGCGCCGGCGATGATGTCATCACTCGAGTATAGAAGGAAGAAAAAGTGTGTAACATGTGCACGATTGACATATATATAAGCAAACAAAGTATTACTTCTGTGTTGTTTCAAATTTTGTTTTCAAGAGAATGACTAAACGAAACTCAAAATCATTTGTTGACTGAAAGGTTATTCGTTGAAAAATCAAAGAAATTCGTGTAGATATGTTTTAGAGGGCGTATTTTTCAACCCAGCGGCATTTTATTCGACTAGAGGCATGACTTCACATGGTCTATACCGCATAATCACATGGCAGAGGAATTCTTTACAAATAACGATCTGCATATGCACACCACGAATTACATGATAAACACGAACTGTGTTTTCCATGACTAATCGAGTCGCGGACGGCCCTACGAAAGATGAAAATGCTTTTAAATTACTTAATTATCAAACAAGAAATAATATGGACGGGTGATCGCTTTGCTTTGATGATTCATGACAAAAACTATCCTTGTTATTAGAACATAGAATAGGTAATTTAGGTAAAATTATTTATTTTTAAGATATGTTACACATGAGTAATATTCGATGCAATAACTGTCTTTTGTCTATAGTCATTAGGCTTCTTCCCAAGGATAATTTGGTTGTTATTTTCCAGTGGTTTATCGAAGAATTGTTTGATTTTCCGTCGAAATGATTTTGATATGACGAAGAAGATGAAAAAGCTACTAGCATAAAACATGAAACCAATGAAAGTGAACAAGTCACCAAAGAAGTTTTGAAAAACTTGTTGTGATTCCGTTCGGCTTTCTTTCCGGGTGATTTCATTGTAAGCTGCATAAATTGTTGAAGAAATATTCGTTAAGATATAAACTACATTGTAAACGAATAAACAACGAAGTAATTGATAATCTCTTTTCGTCACCGATCTTTGTTGAGTATCGGAATGTTTTTGAATCCGATGGATTGTTTTGAAAGAAACTAAACATAGAATACACAGAATTGTCACGAAGAAGAGATCACTAATCAATAATGAGTAATAAACATAAGCGAAATGAAATTGATTTGGTTCATAAGAACAGTGTTCAACAGAAGATTCCCTTTTCCGAAGATTGATTTTCACGAATATGTGAGTAGTAAACGGGAGCCAGAATAGTGCACTCAAACTAATGAAAATATACGCTAAACATTTCGAATGATAAGTTCGTCGGTGGATGTTTTGCGAAGAGATTATCAAACGATCGATTGACCCAAAAATCAGCATCGTTGGCAAAAACGTTAGGACAAAGCAAGGCAAATAGTAGAAAAATTTACATAAGAATATATTGGAATCCGATATGTTGATGTCAAAACCAATAAGGAAGGTAAAACTGAGAATAGTTGAATTCAAATAGAGCGAACTGAGGATGAGATAAACTTTGAAGTAGAATACACAAACATATCTATTCCAATATTTTTGGGAGAATATGATTATGCTCAAAGTATTTCCTAGATTACCAAGAACAAGAATCAATGGATTAGCGTAACGGTAGAGAAAAACGATGATAATGTGTAACGTCTGTGAAGTCAACATTCAGTATGCTAAAAAATGAATGGTTATTGAGTTTATTTTTATTTTTTAGTTTGCTCTCACAGGAAAAGAGTTTTCCGAAAGGAAGAGGTGAAAACGTGTAAGCAGATGGTTTTTGTTCATGACTTGTTTAATAATTCACGGAGAAGATCAAATTTAATTTAGAAAAGAGCATCGGCAACGAGTATAGTTTTGTCATGGTTTGATTAAGTATTTTCCAACACACAATATGCAAAAGAACACCTACGAAGCAAGTTTCAATTAGTTTTCTTCTAGCAACATAGTTTAATTGATAAATATTTAATTTATTCGTTGGAAATAATAGCAACTCGCTGTATTCTCTGTCGTCTTCTAGATCTTCGATTGATCCATTCGATAAGTTTGACTAAGACTGGGATGACGATCTTCAAAAATGTGATCAAACCACCGAACAGCGCTAGTAATGTAGTCGCGATGTAAATCGCGTTGCTCGTTCGTGAATAGGTATAAATACATTCAGATGGTTGACATTGTGCGTAATAATCTTTATATTTCGTAACGAGTTGCCACTGTTCGATCATTAAGGAGTTCAGCAATTGTTGTATCGTTGTATTCGTAGAATATCGACTTAGCAATGCTGAGTTGAGAGTCGCGATTCTGATCGATGAAACCGAATTAATAGATGACAGGAGTTTATTTATACAGGCTTCATTAAAGAAACATTCGAGCGTCGATTGAAGAAGCGCTTCAATGGTATAACATCCGTAGTAAAAGCCGGGAATCGAGAACTGACCAGATGAATTGTAAACTGAAGATGATTGGACACAGGTCGGATTGATTTCACATGTACAATTTGAATAGGATTTTGAATGTAGAATTGAAAAACTGGATGTACTTAGATAATGAAGTGCATAATTCGTTGACGAAGCGGATAGTAACGTATTTGATTGAGTGGTGTTTCGTATTAAATCGAATGAAAGAAGAAAACTTTGTGTCGCAGATAATCTGTACTGACTAACAAACGAATCAATTTGGGATTGAAATAAGCTGAATGGCGTCATGCTTGTGCTAATATATTTGTTAGATCTTAGTTGGACCAGGCTTTCCGATATCGTTCGATTGATCAGTTCACACAACATACTCAACGCTTGAAAACTATGAATACCTGACTTACGAAAATCTTCCACGAAGATGTTCTTGTTATCATGTGAATGATAGAGATATTCGATCCATTGTGATGACACATACACGCTGGTGCATACTTGATGTAATGTGTATTCGATACGAAGGAAATGGTGATAGTCGATGGATGTATGTTTGCAGGGACAGGTGAGTGTTTGTGGATGAGTCGAATTGAGTTGTTCGTATTGTTCAAATGTTGGTGTGGTGACGCTGACTGGTTCCACGATTGTAGAAAGAGAATTGTATAAGAGAAGTACCGTCAGTAGTAGAACTAGAAGATAAACTAAAACTTTGACAAATTTTTGTTCATTTCGATTTCGTTGCCGGTTATCGAGCCGTGTTGTTGGCGGAAATAAATGGAATATTCGGAGGAAATTAATTACTTCTTGTCGTAAGATCGCTACTTGCGTTCTCTGATGAATATCTAAAAAGGAATCAAGCTTTACATTTTCTTCTGAGAGAATAGTCGTCTTCCTTTACCAACTCCTTCGTTTGGCACTGGTCTTCGTCTTCTTATTAACTTGATCACAACTGGAACTATTGCCTTCCAAACAACAGCTAGACCGCCTATCAATGCCATCAATGTAGTTATAAGGTAAACCACACCATGAGTTGCAGTATAAATATAACTGCACCGAATCGGTTGGCAACTATCATAATAATACTCATATATAACAGATAAATTCCAGTGTTCAATCATCAGCTCTTCGAGTAGCTGCTCAACTGTCGAATTGATACGGTATTTGGTTGGTAATGATAAATGAAGAGCTGTAGCATTGATCGAATGAAATTGCCGAACACACTTTTCATTAAATAAACATTCGAGCGTTGATTGACGAAGTGCTTCGAACACATAACAACCTCTATATAAACCAGGTATTGTGGTAACTGACGTTTTATTGGTATTGACATATGTTGAAAATTCGGTGACACATGTCGTTCTAATAGCACAACTACAGTTGCCATAATATCTTGGATTAAATTCAACTGTTGCATTATCCGTCGTAATCGGTGAATGATAATTTGTTAATAATGCTGACAATAAAGCGTTTGCTTGTGTCGTACTTTGAACAGTATCAAGTGCAAGAAGAAAATTATTTGTTGTCGATAAGCGGACTTGCTTAAAATTTGTTTGAATCTGTGATTGTAATAAATGAGACGGCGTTACACTTGTACTAATATATTGTTGCGAAAAGAACTGACTCAAACTATCCGAGATAGTTCGATTTACCAATTGGCATATCATGCGTAGTGCTTGAAAAATGTATGTGCCTGAATATTCAACATCTTCTACAGCTATCGTATCATTTTCAAACATATTGATATGATCAATCCATTCTGGAGTAACGAACCGACTTGCGCATATCTGATGAGATGTATGGTTGACATAGATGAATTTGCGGTAATCTATGCATATCTGTTTGCACGTACATGAAAGAGTTTGAGCATAGATTGCATACAAATGTTCATAGCGTTTTCGAGTTGGTGCTTCGATCGTATTTGTTTCAATAGTAGCACTCAACGAGTTACATATGCAAAGTATGGTGAATGAGAGTATAACTAATAGAATAAATAATCTCGTTGATATCCGTTCATTTTGAAGATCATATTCATCGGTAGACGGAGGTGTTGACGGGAAAAAGTTTAATGCTCTGAGGTGTATTATTAATCTTTGAAAATAGCAAGGATTTGATCGAACAATAGACGTTCCTAGAATTCGAAAAGAAATCCTGCATAATCGTTGTTAAAATCGATCTACTCACCATTTTCAACGGCTGCTGCTGCTGCTACTCGTCGTTTTCTCCTGACCAATTTAACTGTTAATGGTATGACGCCTGCTAAAACAACGGTAAGTCCGCCAAGCAATCCAAGAAAAACGGTAATACTTCGAAACAATCCATATTTCTGTTTATAGACATAAGTGCATTCTTGTGGTTGACATTGCATGTAATATTTTTCGTACACGATCGATGCTTTCCATATTTCAATCATTAGCTCATCGAGTAAATCTTGTACTGTCGAATTACTAAAGTAATGGATTGATTTTGATGAGTGGAGGGCTGTTAAATTCCATTGTGAAGAAGAAGATTGAATATTTGATTGAAGAAGATCCAGACATGTTTGATTATACCAGCACTCGAGGGTCGATTGTAGAAGTGCTTCCATCGTATAGCAACCGCGATAGAAATTATCTATCAAAACTAATGGTTCAGTATTTGGATAGTTATATATTCCGAATGGTTGAATGCAAGTCGATGTGTTGGCACAACTACAATTACCTATTTGTACTGAACTTATCGATAGATCGAAGTTGTGATTAGTTTTCATCGTTGAATACAATCTATTGGATTGTGTTGTGCTACGAATGATATTCAACGAATGAAGAAAGTTGTTTGTTACCGATGATCTGAATTGATCGATAAGTGTTCGGATTTGTGAATCAAATAGGTTAGAAGATGTTGCACTTGTGCTAATATATTTGTTAGATCTTAGTTGGACCAGGCTTTCCGATATCGTTCGATTGATCAGTTCACACAACATACTCAACGCTTGGAAACTGTGAACACCTGACTTACGAAAATCTTCCACGAAGATGTTCTTGTTATCATGTGAATGATAGAGATATTCGATCCATTGTGATGACACGTACACACTGGTGCATACTTGATGTAATGTGTATTCGATACGAAGGAAATGGTGATAGTCGATGGATGTATGTTTGCAGGGACAGGTGAGTGTTTGTGAATGAGTCGAATTGAGTTGTTCGTATTGTTCAAATGTTGGTGTGGCAAAAGTATTCGTTTGTAGGACAGTCAGATGAGAATTGTATTGAAAAAGTACTATAATCGAAAGTAGGAATAGTGAGAGAAACAATACTGTTGCAATTCGTTCGTTTTGAAGATCATGTGCATCTACCGATGGAGGCACTGAAGGAAATAGATTGATGTTCTTCACGCTTCTCGCTGATTTTCTTGAAAATTCAGCAATACGTCGAATACTATTCGACACTAGATAAAAAAGAATGAACGCACAATCATTCTAATTTATATATAAAAGTACGTACTGGATGATGCTTTTGTATCAAAATACTTTAGAAACGACGATGTCAATTAATGAAGTTGTTTTCTCATTTGAACGCGTTCGTTTTTTAGCCTACGCCAATATGTTTAGCAACTGAATTTTTCTAACACCTGTAGCAAACAGTGGATTGACGTTTTCCTGATAGGCATGTTTTAGCTTCCTACTCGTAAAATCTTTACTCGGATTCCAATCCACCTGAATATTATATTTTATACTGCATATGTTATGCATTTTTACTTGTGTAATGCATGTAAAAAAAAGACGATTTGAGAACCAAGGAAGGAAACATCGTATTTGAATTCAATATTTATTACAAATATTCGAAAAGAACTCATTTATTCGACGCATCTACCTCGATGATATTCTGTTTCATGTGATTAATTAATTCTTGGGAACTATTCGTGATGAATAGCCGTTGTTTCCAATCGTGAATATCCATAGATAATGCCCCATGTTGTAAATGCATTTTTAAACCGTCTACATCTTGGGTAAACACAGTAACAGGTACACGATGTAAGTGATGATGATGTAAAAATTTTAATAAATCCAACGGATTCTTATTTTCGTCTTTATAGTATCCACGGCAGATGATTTGAAATGATGATGATGCTTTGATTTTCTTGGCATGTGTTAATAGATGGTGTTCGGCTTTTGACATAGTTTCACAGAAGTCAAAGTGAATATGTTCATTGACCATTTTTTGTTCGATTAGCGCTTGATCGTGAGTTTTTCTATCGATCCAAAGAACAAACGATGTGGTTTGAGCATTTTGTGTTGCGCGTTTCTCCTGTGGAAAATACTTTTTCGAGAAGATTTTGTCCAATTGGAAATTTTCGAGGTGACTATTATTCCAAAGGGAATTGAAATTTTCGAGCTGACTATTATTCCAAACGGAATTGAAATAATCGAATGTATCATTGAATTTCCAAAAGAATTTATATCCAATATCATGATGAAGATAGTCAGTTGGAATAAAGAATTTCTTATCACTATCAATGCTCCAGTGATATGGATTTGATATATCGATATCATTGTGTTTGTGTTGACCGTTTTCTACAATTTTAATCGCATGTAAATCTTGACAGTGCGCTGGAGTACACATATACGTATAGGGAATGTAACAATAACCTTTATCGCCCTAGAATAAAAGAGAACTGCATCATAAAATTTCGTCTATCGAGTCAAGTTATCATGTACTCACCCAATCTTCGCCCCAAGAATTTCGTACTAGAAAACATTGGGAAGGATCACTGTATCCAACGGCTAACATTGCATGCCAACCGTGTTGAACAGCTTGTGATTCATAGTAAGGTTCAGGTATCGACACGCGTCCACCATTAGATCCTGCTGTTGCAAAAGAATTGAATATTTGAAGGCCGAATACAAATGGAAATCCTTCCGCTAAGCAAGCTTTCATTTCGTTTAAATCTAATTGAACATTCATGGCTTCGGATATACGATAATTTTTCGCTTCGATATAACAATGAGCTGGTGGTTGACGATTCACATATGCAGGATTATAAGGCAACGATTCTTCTTTACAACAGCCGTATTCAGTTAATGCAGCAATCGCACTTCGAATAGTAGTACCTTCATCAACTAAGTGATTACATGATGGTGTGTCTTTCTTACGGCTAACATAATAGATAAACAGCCGACTCATATCGATGTGTTTTTTCAAATTCTTCATCATTAGAAATTCATAGGCACCTGAAAGAAGACGTAGGCATACGAAGTGAGACGTCAAAGAGAAATAACTTACCAGCAACCGCGTTTCCGACACTGAAATAAAAATAAAAGAAAAAAAATTATAATTCTGTGAAGAGAATCCAGAGACAATGCATACCATGAGTTGAGTTCACCTTGGGATTCAACAGGTGTCATAAGTTGCCGTAAATCAACCGATGATGGAAGATGTTTGTTCGAAAGTGTTCGTGTAACACCAAATTTTGGAAGATCCGACGGTTGACTGCTAATAATGCATCCTCCTACACGATAACGATCACCAGTCACAGGGTCAACAATGTATTGCTTCTCAGGCATTAGAATCGATTTCGTTTCTACGATGATTTTCTGTTCGTAGAGCTAGAGTATAAATACTCCGACATGAGTCATGTAGACGATAATAAAAAAAGACAAGGCTTGGATTATTGACATTCTGAACAGAGAGAAGTGATGTGAAACGGCCTTCTTAGCATCATGTACTTTGAAGGACTATAACTTGACGTCATTTCAATTGACTAAAAATTATTCATGAAATACGCATAACAAGACATGAACCGATATAAGCATGTTTTGTTTGTTCTAACAATGTCTCTGAAGCAGCTTTTATCAATGCACTACAAACACGTACTACATAAAAACCAACTAGTTCGAGATTATAGTCGATTTGAGAAGACATCTCTTGTGTTATATGGGACAAGAAATTTTTATTTCATTATTGTCTGTTACTTAAGAAAAGTGTTGCTCTGGCAGACTAGTTTTGCAACCGGCCCGCACGTTTTCGTCATCGCAACATGTATTTGATCTAGTAAGATCATTTACCTCTTGGTATAAGTTGTAATAAGCAACTTTCCTCGGTGAGGGCGAGAGCACGACATCTCTCGAGTCTCTACACATCGCCCTTTCTTCTGGCCTTCCATAAAACTTGCTGAACTTTTCGCAAATCTCATCATCGACCTGTAAGTTTCTCGTCAAGTTTCCTTACTTTCAAATAGAAAGAATATCATCGCATTGGACGCAATCAGAAGCATACACAAATGGATTAATCAACCGATCAATTAATTAATTGATTGAAGAGAAAAAAAGAGAAGAACAGAAGGAGAAGCAGATGTGATGTGATTGGATAATACGCGAACAGGCTCCATGTGAAAAGACATGAACGACGTTGTGCATTCGACATCACCGAGGAAAGTTGCTTATTACAACTTATACCAAGAGGTAAATGATCTTACTAGATCAAATACATGTTGCGATGACGAGAACGTGCGGGCTGGTTTCAAAACTAGCCTGCCAGAGCAACACTTTTTATCAAACTGAAAGGGGAAAAGGTATTAACAGAAATTATATCACTTATGCCATACGGTGCGTATAATTCATGAGAACAGTTCAACAATACAAACGTCATCATGGAGAAAAGAGATTGAAATTATCATTTTGATGTTTATTAAAGAATGGAGATGGACCATACTCAACGGCAATGCAATGGAATGAAATACGAATAAGTTTTGCATGAATGATGATAATATTTTTTTTCTTTATTTTGATGAAAAGTGTTGCTCTGGCAGACTAGTTTTGCAACCGGCCTGCACGTTTTCGTCATCGCAACATGTATTTGATCTGGTAAGATCATTTACCTCTTGGTATAAGTTGTAATAAGCAACTTTCCTCGGTGATGTCGAATGAACAACGTCGTTCTTGTCTTGTCACATAGCGCTGGGGGGAGACCGAACGGAAGGGTAATGTGTAGAGACTCGAGAGATGTCGTGCTCTCGCCCTCACCGAGGAAAGTTGCTTATTACAACTTATACCAAGAGGTAAATGATCTTACTAGATCAAATACATGTTGCGATGACGAAAACGTGCAGGCCGGTTGCAAAACTAGTCTGCCAGAGCAACATTTTTTATTACAAAAATAGAAAAGAAATAAGGCAAAGCTTGGCAATTTGTTTATTATGAGTTTTCAATTCGATGGTTGAACCTCAGTCATTGACGAACTTGAATATTACAATTGTGAAATTTGTGTTGTATCAACAGTGTAAATGCATGTAATCAAATATCACGTAAAAATTAACCGGTTCATGATCATAGTCGACTGCAAGTGAAATCAAGAATTTGGGGTTCCTTTCCAGTTAATCTCTCGATTTTAATTGTTTTTCGCTAAAATCGGCTCTTAATTAAGTTTTTTCCATTAATTATCGTTAATCTTTCCGCTCTGAATTCGATAAAATTATGCAATGCGATATGTCATCTACGAGCAGTCGGTTTTGGGTATTGATAGGAAAGTAGGATTACTTTTTCGACAAGAGATTAACAAACGATCAATTGATCCATAAGTTTAAGACATTATCGTCGATGTGTAAAGGATAATAATAAAATATTCTCCGCCCGGTCTTGGTATTTCAAGTATTATTTTGAATGAGTTTCTATGGAAAGAATATAGAATGTATTTTTTCTGATTTTGATACTTTAATGACAGTTGCAATAAACGAAAACATAGAAAGATCGACTAATATTGAATTTCTTTATTTCTTATCCAGCTAATTCTTTTTCCACACAGAATTTCACTTGACATTCGCCGTGAAAATTTAATTTGTTTGGAAATTGTAAACAGTAGATCGCGAAAGCGTCCATATATTTGCCGATCACTCTGATACAACGGTGTTAAAAACTTACTTGCTTGACTATAAAATCGCAAATGCCGTCTTCGCACGTGTGTGTACATTTGTAAAGCTATTCGTACGTCGTCATTATGTTCTCGGAGAGACTTATCTAAAAAGTAACTATCAATTAACGCCATGTTGGCACCTTGTCCTAATTGTGGACTCATTGCATGTGCAGCATCTCCAATAAAAACTAAATTTTCATGATCGTATCGTTGCATGTAAACATCGCCGTAAACCGCGAATGAATAATTTGCTCGTTTGAGTTTTTCAAAAAAATCGGAATGTGTATCATCCAAATAGTATTTCATTCTTTCGAGAACATTTTCCAAAGAATACGTTGCTTTCAATCGAGTAGGCAAACTCCAGAAGACACTGACAATCCGTTTCGAATTATGATTAAGACCGGATGGAAGAATCCCAAACATTTCCTGTGAATACCGTAGATATTGACATAGTCGGTGACGTGAGATTTCATTATCTTCAATTGTTGTCCACAAACAGCCATACGGATATGGTTGATATGTCTGTTTGATAGGTACTTGATCTCGAAGTTTTGAATGTGAACCGCTAGCGATAATGACAAGATCATTGGTTAATTGTAGATCAGCTAGAGATGTGATTTCTCTTGACAATTCAAATGTAATATTTGATTGAATTTTACATTTATCATACAAGGATTGAAAGAGTAGAGAACGATGGATACCGATACCAAAAGAATTAGGTGAATAATCATCATATGATGTTAAAAAAACTTGTCGACGACGATGATTAATTCCCTCGAGATGATAAACTTTTTCACCGCGATCTATCAGCTGCTCATATAAACCTAATCTTTTTAATATTTCGATTGCGGACGGTTGAATGAGAATACCAGCGCCTATAGTTTGAACACGATCGAAACGATCGTAGACTGTGATTCGATTTACGTGATGACGAGAAAGAAGTAATGCAGATGATAAACCTGCATATCCAGCACCAATAATACTGATTTTCATATTTATGACAAGAAAATACTTTTGGTGGTTCGAAATAGTATGTGAAATAGATGATAAAATGAGTACATACTGTGGTGAAATTACTATATTATGTTGTTATGACAAGGTAGAAACACGTGCTCTTTCGTTCTGCAAGAAGAGCACATAGAATGAATGAAAAAAGAAAGAAAGTTATTCTTCAATATTTCGGACGAATCAACGATGTGTGATCCAAACACAGACGTATGGAGTTTTGTAATTCTTTAATAATACAAAACTATCCTTGAGAGTGTTATGATTATAGGGCACATCTTATCAATATAAAACAGTTTTCATCTGTCGCTTGTAACGTCGCCGTTAGTTTTAGTGGACGACAGAACTATTTGCAAGTTTTTTATTGAAATGTTTAGTTTTGATTCATGATTTTGGAAGCAAAAGAAACAGAGTTTCATTCGACATGTCTATTGTAAATTGATACGGGTCATCAAGTTATGCAACAAAAAAATATCAGTTTTGGTCGGAACATGCTATTTGACTTCATAATAACAAAAAAGTCACATAAAGAACATAATCTGTGACACGGTAATTGATATTTCCATGATAAATTAATGTGTTTCCAGATTGACTCAAAAATATTTTGTATTTTACTTTTGGTCTATAAAACGACAGCGCTTTTCTTGTTGCAGTACCATTCTGTAAGTCATACTACATAATTTAATGTTAATAGAGGAAGAAATTTAGTGCTGCTGTTGTTAATTGAGCTCAAGACAGATTTTTCAATGATTGGTTTACGTTCATCCATGACTTCAGCATATGCTATTATTTTAGATAATATCTCAAGATGCCGTAGGTATTTGACGAGTACATATGTCTAATAAGCTTAATGAGTCGTTTTGTCCAATATACACAATGAAAGTTCTAATTTATTGGCTTCTGCTTACGACTTCGAACCCCTCATTGACAGGTAAGAACGAATATATTTTAACATGTTCAAATCGAAATGTTAATGCTTTCCTACAAGCTAATCATTTACGTCGGTTTTTCTTGAATATTGGACGCACACAGAATGACTATACGAAAGTAAACATTTTCTAATTTGTCGTTTGTAATTGAACTAAAAAATGTGAACAAAATAGATTACGACAATTGACGACTATTGGTTATGGTTAGAGAATAGTTTCCTCGAAAATATTCGAGCTCACAAATGGTACAACAACAAAGTATCTACAGATTTAAGAGGCTTTACCAATGATACGTCGAACTGACTGGTCGGTTGGGTAACGATGAGACAACTTCGTGTTACTTCAGGTTTGCTATGTTTTTCTTGACTGATTATTACCCTGCTCTCGTGTAAATGAGTAGAATCATGCAAAGTCCATTCATCTGGGCTAAGATCGAACCTAACATGTGAGAGTGATTACAGTTTATTTAATGAAGAGCAATGAACATATCAGCCGGGATGGACTAATAGCAATCTTACGGCAATCGAATACAGTTTAGCTATTCGTAACGCATTTGTGTACACAAAAGGCAAACAGCCTGATACATATTTGTACATGGGAACACATGCAACATATGGCAGTGGCGGATATGTTTATGAAATTCGTGGTCGCCTTTCGGACATTCGAAGTAATCTTTCTACACTACATCATTTGGAATGGATTGATGCGAAAACACGAGCTGTTCTCATTCAATCCACTTCGAAGGTTATTATCTTTGATTATTCGAACTAACTTCTATATATCTGTATATCCTTCTTTTGCTTTGATAGATTTCACATCCATGTTTGATTTGATTGTTGGCATTATATACATGGCATTCATCGTCTACTTTATGATCATCGAAATTCAATCCGTATGTGAAATGAAATGGAAGTATCTTCAACAATTCTGGTGCTATATCGAATGGGGTATGATTTGCTGTTCGTGGGCAAGCATTGGTATATATGTACGGCGATACTATGAAATGAAACGAATTGGCAGTGTGTTTCATAGAAGTAAAGGATACGAATATGTAAATCTACAATTCGCAACACATATGGATGATATATTAACGTTTTTGCTTGGCTTTTGTTGTTTTTTCGGCACAATAAAATTGCTCCGTTTTTGCCGATATCATCGTCATCTTTCACTCCTTGGTGATACACTTCGATATGTCGGCAAAGATCTTTTCTTTTTCACTGCATCATTCGCAATTATGGTTACGGCCTTTATTGCTCTATTTTACCTTCTCTTTACATCGAAAATTTTGACTTGTTCCAGTCTGTTCAGCACGACTCAGATGATCTTTGAAATGATCCTGATGAAGTTTGACGCAAGTGAAATTCGTGCAGCTGACGACGTTCTTGGCCCAATATGCTTTACACTGTTCATCTTTCTAATCGTGTTTATTGGCATGACGATGTTCGTTTCGATTATTAGTGATGGATTTCGTTCGATTCGAGAGAGAAACCGAGTGGATTTCAAGACTGATTTCGAAATGTTCGAATTCATGTGGGATAGACTTCTTCGACAATTGGGTAATTTGAAATAAGCTGTGATTTGGTCTCTCATGATATGTGTACTTTTTGTTTAGGGTGGAGAAAACCATCTAGATGGGAATTATACGAAAAGAAAGACAAACAGATGCGATCTGAATATCATGATCCGATAGAAAACTTTCCAGACAAAGTGGATCAGCTCATTGAAGTGCTTGATAAAATGAGTAAGAATCAGTTTATTTCATGAAAAACAACCAGAATGACATCTACGGATACTTTTCGTTTAGATTAACATGAATAAAAAGCAAACTATCTGACACACAGATCATTACGTTCGCTAAATCTATCCACTACTAGAAGAGTCCAAATACAATTGCTACAAACGCATATAGTAACTTTTGACGTCGCTAAAGCTTCTGTTGTATTTGCAAACTATCGAAAAGTCAATGCTTTGTCACATTTTATCTAAAATACTTGACGGTAGCGCAATAGTTCTTGAACTTTTCCCTTAAAGATGTTCACAGGAATGTATATGACGTCTAAAAATTAGTGTGTGCAAGTTTCTGATGTAAAGCAAGATACAGTCTTGAAAGAGTACACTAAGAACAGTTTGTGTGCTATTCTCTCAGATGATAGTATTTGATACTAATAATGTTTCCGGCATTGCAAATCGTAATAGAATAAATCCAGCTGTACCGAACGTTGATAGAACCATGTATCCATAATTGAAACCGAAGCGTTGAACAATTATTCCCGTAATTGAATTACTCAACGTGTAACCGAGTCCGGATGACACACTAAGCACGCCAAGTAAAAGATTAAATCGGCCTGTGTTATGAGCTAAATCAGCAACTACAAGAACTATGACCACGGCGTAGACAGCAGCTGCAATCCCATCGAGAATTTCAACACTAGCTAAAAGTATAGGATTGCGAGTTAAGATACATGCAAAACCACGTATAGGTACTGCAGCCCACCCAACCAGTAATAGTGGCTTACGACCCCAGACATCTGCACGACGTCCAACCCATGCAGCCAAAGATGCACTCACGAATTGAGTAACAGCAACACATGCAGATAGAAACACCGAAGACGCTCCAGGTGAATGGTCACGAGCAACCGCTTGAACCATATTGGGAAGCATTGATGCATTACCAAAGTGAAACAATATGACACAACTGAAAAATATTAGAAGACGTCGATCATGAAAAATGTGAACCAGTAATTGTCGATAAGTGAATACTGTCATACCATTTACACACTGTTTAGCAGCACGACTACGTTCATAGTTGATTTCATGGCGGCGAATGCATGAAAGCGATATCAATGCTGGAACGGAAATACCAACGACAAAGAAGAAAATAGATTGAGTAGATACATAGTAACCAAGAAGTCCCATGACCACAGCTGAGACTACATTTCCTGCTGCTCCATAAGCTTGATTACGACCGATACGCGTCCCCAGGTGAGTTTGTCCGACCAATCCCAAAGAAATGGCTGATATTGCAGGGCAAAACATCGGCTCGACAATACCTAACATAATTTGACCTAAGACAACGAGCCAAAACAAAGGCCAGAATGCGAAAATAATTGCAGTGATGGGTATGACAACAACTCCTAGAGTGATTAGCGCTTGTTTATTACGCACACTATCGACTATGGCACCGATTGGTATTTGAGATATCATAGTTGTAAAACTGGAAGCACTCAAGGCAAAGCCAATCTGTTGTGGCTGCCAATTTTTGCCTGCAAGGTAGACAGTTAAAAAAGAATCAACACCGTTGAGAATATCAGAGAGGAAAAAACAAAACCAATCGAGACCACGTTGACTTTGGGCGGAAAGTTGAATATCAGTAACTTCCTCATTCTTCTGGCCTGTTATACGGACGATACTTTGTTCCACGAAGTCTTCTAACTTGTCCGTAATTGCCATCCGTCTTTAAGAAGAAGAAGAATATCGTATAATTTACTTTCAGGTGAAACAGTAGAAACAGGCACATGTCTCCTCCTTTTATCGCTTTCCCATTCTTAAGAATAAGAGCAGATAAAAAGCACCTTAAAGATACTCAGTTCTACCTTGCTGTAAAGGTCGACATGTTGCATAAGAGTAAATCGTTGCGAAAATTATGAAAGCATCTTCGTGTCAGCGATATACTAATCACAATATCATGATCGGGTAGCATTCATCTACCAAATCGTGATCTCCACTGTTTCATTTTGTAGAGGAGTCTCTGATTTGTTAATAAAGAAATAGATCGTATACATTTATCAATCAGAAGGCTTTCTTTTTATTAAAATTCTCGATGAGTGTTCAAATTGATGGTACTTATCATAGCATTTAATCCGATATTGTTCCTAATTACCTCAGGCTGGTTGTTTTCTTCTATATCTCGCACTGTATTCAAGTCTCTATGGCAAATTTTGAGGATCACACGTTTCACCTCCGTTCGAAACGCCTTTGACACACAGATAAAAACGAAAATATTCGATATGTAAGGCAAATAATGAATAAAAGTACCAGAACCCATCAAGAAATTCTGAATGGCTAGTTCCACAGCTGTTGATGTCTCATATTTTAATCTTAAGCCATAGCCGATGGCAATGACAATTAATGCACTGCAAATAATATAGATAATATTATGAACATAAAGACATCGGAGCAGTTGAAAATCTTTCTTATTCATAGATCGGATGCCCTGACGCCGCTGACGAGCAATTGCTTGAATGCGGCGAACGTTCTTAAAAGCAAGAACTGATAAGAGAATCATAATCAGCGGTAGAAGAACACTGATTAATAATGTTGAATAAATGAAAAAATTCAGATATGAAGAAGATTGATCGTAATAACATTTGTATACTGTTGGACGTATTCGTTGAATATGAACTTTGATGAATAGATGTAAAGAAAACACAATACATAGAGCCGTATTGATACTAATATTAAGATAAGCTAAACGTTTAGAACTATACAAGCGTACGCTAACATTTTGTGATGAAACCAAGAGACGATCAATTGAAGCAAGAATAAGTGTTACCGGATAGTAGATAGATGTAAGAAAAGTAATGTAATAAAAAAATTTACATAGAAATTCATTCGAATCTGTCAAATCGATTTGAAATCCAGTAGTAAAGATCGTTCCCAATAAAGATGCATTGATAAAAATGGAATTTGAAAGGAGACAAACAAGAAAATAGAGAACACAAACATTTTTTCTCCACGATCTTTTCAGAAATATAAAAACCGTTAAACAATTTCCTAAATTGCCGATAACATACAAGATAGGAGCTACATATTGATGAAGGTAAATAGGTATATTCATAAGAAGTTGAACGACGTAACCATCGGAATAAGCCATTTTGAAATTATAATGTAAATCCTTAAAGCACCTGCATTTTTTGTCTCATGTCTGGAGTTTCTCATGCAGACAGAATACTTTAATTATAGAAGATATGAAGTTATGAACCATGAATTAACTGTGATCAGCCATAAAAACTCACATAGATGCATTGGTTTGAACTGTAATTCAAACTTTGCTTTTTTTCTCTCTTCGCAAAATAGTATTGACGAGTATTGAAGCGAAAACCGAATCTGTAGGCGGCGCGTACGTACCTTGTATAATTTCACAAAATCAAAAAACATACGTTAAGTTTGTCGCTGTCTAACGAACTTCCTAATTGAGAAAAACGAACAACAACGTGCCTATAAATGACACTAGCTTTTTGTATGAATATAATATTTAAGTATCTCGTGAATAAACTCATTCTGATCACACCATTTTGAATTCGTGCTGACGTCTGACGTGAATGAATAATCGTCATCGATCGATGCCATTAAACTTCTACAAAGAAGTTTGCGAAAAAATTCTTCAGCTTGGTATTGAATGTATATATAAATAAAGAAACATGCAGTCTAAAGTGTGATAAAGCAATCATAATCTAAGATAATTTCAATATTAGTTTAAATCAACGCATGCAAGTAGAGACGGCACTTTATCTTTACTGTTCTCGGTAAAGCAAAGCAAATTTTAAAGAAATGCAGTGGAATATTTTTAATTTGTTCATATTTCGTTAGGTTAGTAACACGTATAGATAATCCCGCAACTCATCAGAATTTATATAGTGTCATGTGAACCCGATATCAAAGTAATTAAAATAAAATTGATAAAGCTGAAATATGTACAATTTTTTGTTTATTCATGAACGATATCATTTGGCGTGCTCTATTCAGTTCATTCTTCAAATTTGAGCTGCGATATATTACTTGACTTGACTTTTTCAGAGTAAGATACAGTTAAAGCGTCACTACTACATGCAACGAATAAATCAAACTTATGAAAGCATTGATAGAAGTCAATAAATAAGCGAAACGTTTTGTGATAAAACTTTTAGAAACAAAATGTAATATATCAGAGAACGGTCAAATAGTATCGTCCGAAGCAATTATTTTTTCACACTTCTCATCGCGTCCAGAAGTACTCGATATGAGTTATATGGTCCATCCGATTTTTTCATCGTTCAACTCGACAACAAGATATCGGTAATCAGCTATGCTCGTGCTATCCATTATAGAGTGGATTTAACAAGGAATGTTTACACACGGTTAGTCAATTATTGTAACGTAAAATGTATTCAAGAGTACGAAGCTATACCGAAATGATTCACTTTGAAGTAACCTTGTTGTACTCGAAAAAGCATCGACTATATCGAGATTTTTCGCGAGATTATATTGCTGACTATTGATTTCGCAAACGCTGAATAGTAGAGGTGCCTGAGCAATGTGACACAAGAAATTGAATAGTGCAGAGCTGTTTGACAATGCCAAGCAAAATAAGCACCAAGACTGTATTTGATTCATTCGATGATTCAACAAAGTTTACATGGCTTTCCAGCGATTATCATTACATTTAGGGTACTGTGATCTATACTATGATGAATAATGTTTTAGTACGTTTCACAAAGTGGTATACAATAGTGAGAGGAAAACGTGCCGGATGTTTTTCAGAACGTTTTCTTCTACTGTTCAAGCCTTATCTTCGTATAAGCCCAAGCAGTTCGCACCCCTATGGCATCCTTAAATATTTGTACTTTGTACTTTACATTATTTTCTACATCATTTCTAATGATATGTCTAACTTCAAGTTGCCATGGCATATGAGATAGTTTATTAGATCATCAATTTCTATCCATTTTTTTGTAAGAGCATCTATTCTCACACAAGTTGAAAAGCTATTGGATACTTTTAAGAGATCTTACTCCTAGATTGATCCTATTATAATCTTTTAAAGTGAAACTTGTTTGGACTTTAGAATTTCTTCCGTAATGCTCTTCTAGCGTTTGCTGGGAATGTGATAAGTTTTCACCCTTGATGAAAACAGATTTGTGAACATAAGATGTGTATAGAGAAAAGCGCACTGTAACAGTTAATTACATCAGATAAGACGACGAAATGAGATATCCACTTGCCCTAAAGATTTACGGGTCATCGGGACAAGTTCTCTACATAAGATTTACGTGTTTGGAGCACGACCTATGTACTTGTTTTAAGGATGTGTAGCGAGCGTCTTCTTACTTTTACAATTAATATTCAGGATTAGAGTTTGGATTAAAATTTTTTCAAATACTGAAATTAAGCTCTCAGAAGATTTAATCTAATAATTAACATTAGTAATACATATAGCTTTTTCATATAAGAGAAGAGAACGAAGAACAAGACAGTTTATTCATGTTGAGTAGAATCGTTGACATCATCGGAGCAAGTCCGTCAATTGTAATTGATGGACAAAAGTAAAGCAATATCGAATCACCAATTTGTTTTCAGCTAACTTTTTTCAAAGGACAGACTCAGTTTGCTTCTTCGCATAAATACCGGTAATTTTCTATGTTCAAAATCCTATCTCAAGGAATAATCTTCTTATCCTAAAATCATGACAACAGAATCTCAAAAAAAGAAGCTTGAGAGAAGAGAAGATTTCATACTCTAAAATTTACATTTCAAGAAACCGTCTGTTCATCATCATGGCTACGATATCTTCAGATGATCTTTTCTATATAAATTTATTGGAACAGATTCCCGTATACACTTACCGGTACTTTGTTCCTATATTGTACGTTACTAGTAACATAGTCAATATTATAAATGCATTGATTTTTTCAAAAAGATCTTGGAAGAAAAACGTCTGCGTTCTTTATTTTAATCTTTGCCTTCTCTGCAATACAGGTTATATCAATACAACACTACTTTTCTCAATACTTTCGAATGGTTTTGGAATTAGCATACAATCTTATCATGCTGTTCTTTGTAAATTGTTTCTCTATGTATCACTTGTATTCGCAAATATTTTTCCAACTATACTTATTCTTTCTTCAGTAGACCGTTTACTAATTTCTTCGCAAAATATCGACATGCGCCTGTATAGTTCGAAACGTTTGGCCTATTTTTCTATTGGATTAGGCACAGCTTTCTGGATATTGTTCAGTTTGCACTTACTTGTCAAGGGCATTATTCTAGAAATTTATCCGAACCGTTTCGTGTGCTATTTCGATTACTCAGCGAGAGTTTATACAGCCTTCGTTTCATACTCATATGTCATTTATCATACTCTCTTTTCGGTTCTTATGATAGCACTATCAATCGTATCATTTAGGAACGTACGACACATCCGGTTAATTCATCGAACTAATCATCGAGAAATTCGCTCAATGACTAAGAAAGACTTCGAACTGCTTCGTTGCCTACTTGCTCATGATATTATTTACATTATCTTCACATTTGCAACTACTGTAACTGCTATATATGGACTTGTAAAGAATACATTAGTATATACACCTATAGAATTAGCAATCGACAGTTTTTTCGTACAATGCACTGTGCTTTCGCACCATATACCATTTTGCGCTGGCTTCTTTATTTTTCTTACTCTTTCGAAAGCATTTCGAATGGAAGTCAAACGATTGATCTATAAGATCATTAAGAAGGACTTACCAAGATATCGTTTAGAAAATCATAACGAGCGATTGGTAGCAAAAAGAAATACGGTAGAACTTCAAGCGCCCATAAGTATAATTGATTGTCAAGCTTGACTCTATATAATGATGAAATTATCTCATTTTTTTTCTATTAAAGTAATAGACCACGCGTGTTATCACGTGCACATATTCTGCATTTATTCATAGCTATAAAAACTTTAGATTGCGTGGTGCAAACTATTCAGATGCTTATTTTCATAATCTTCGATATAACATAAAATGCTACGTTTTCGATACGCAAAATTCAAAAGGATTGGATTAGATTAGTGTCACCTCAAGAGATTAGACGTTAGAAGCGACATAGTTCCATGAAAATCGTTTCCAGCAAAAGATCACCGCAAGCAAGGATTATTTTACAAAGGAAAAACGAATAACCTCTGGTTAAGTTCTTGTACTATATAAATTTTTCGTTTATATAAACAACAAAGATGAATTATAACATGCGCATAACTTTAGTTGATCATAGGATCGACCAGCCATTTTTTATATTAAAGTATAAACACGAAAGGTAAATTGAGTACTCAGATATAAATAACAAGTCACATGAGAGGACGTCTAAAGCTGTAAAGAAGTCGAAAAAGTGTCTTCCTCAACATGTGACAGACATCATGGATATCTGCGATTCTTATTGCATCAAGACTTTTAGTGATACTACTACGTTTACGTATAAATATTTACTTTCTATATTCTTTATCATGAGTGCATTTGTATTTCTGAAACAAGCTTCGAGTACAAATATGTGTGTACTATATTTTAAAGTTTGTCTTTTCCTAAGTTTATTGTACATCAATATAACAATTCTTGCGAGCATTTTACTCACTGGATATCGTATAAATGTATCCAATCTGAATATTATATCGTGTAAAATTCTCTTCTACTCTTCACATGTTCTCGCTATACTCATAGTTTCTGTGTTAATTCTGGCAACAATTGATCGTTTGTTAATTTCCTCGCAAAATATTGATACATGTTTTATATGTAGCTCGAAACGTTTAGCATACTTTTCAGTTAGCATAAGTATAAGATTTTGATTTATATTTCATTTTAACATAATCATAAAAACAAATATGCAACAGATCTACCCTTTCTACTCTATCTGTTATCACAATCTTTCAGAATATTATTTGTCTTTTATTGCCATTTCTGTAATGATCATCAATACTCTTATTTGTCTTTCGATGACTATTCTATCTGTTTTGGCATTTTTAAATGTCCGACAAATTCGCTCCGTTTCTCATCAACAACGAAAACAAATTCGAGCAATGCATGAAAAAGACTTTCAATTACTTCGATGCTTATTTGGTCAAGATATCGTTTATGTCGACCTTGAGGCATTGCTATATGCAGTAATCATGGTGGATAAAACGACAACACTCTCCGAACAAGCTTTGGGTCATTTTGAAAATAATTTTCTCAGTTTCTTCTATTATATATTTTACTGCAACAATTTTTTCGTATTTCTCTGTGTGTCAAAAGCGTTTCGACAGGAAATCAAACAATTGACCTTCAAGTTCTTGGGTTAAAAGCCCACAACATCGCTCGATGTTGAAAATCGTCGAGAACAGTCCTTGGAAAAAGAGAATATTCTCGTAAATGTTACTGTTCTTGATACGAATGAATCAACGAAATCATTATTTAATATAATATTGCATTTGTACATATGTCAACCTCTTGCAACCAATTCTTTAAAACCGTATCAGCATTTGCCCTATGTTCCCTATCTGCCTTGCGAACGCAGTCTTGTTTGACGTTTTCGTACAAAATTTGAAAAAACACGGTTGTGTGTTTAATCTTGAAGAATATACAGGCTATATAAGTGATAACTCGTTGTATCTCAATCTCCTTCCCTAATTCAGATTTTACACGAAAGTATCGTCACAATCAATCCTTCTGCATTCACATCTATGCATCAACTGTACAATCGGAGGGTGAAGTAATACGCTGTCATCATTACTATTCAAAGCAATATATGGCATTTCTTTCACTAGATGCGATTGGCCAGTAAAAGAAATATTGATTTCTTGGGAAAAAAATTGGCGCTTTTCATATCGAGCTTGTGTGAATTATACGCTCTTATTGGTAACGCTGATAGTGGAGAGCTCGATGTTAAATGAAACCAACATGTTTTGTCCTTCTTCCTACCAAGACGGTTTTCACCGTTGCCGTCGTTATTTGACTTCGTGCACAGAACACTTTTATCCTTTCTGTTGTGAGTGAGTCAATAAAAAAATGTGACTATTTAACAAAACTCCACTGTTTAAAATTCATTCTCTCTAGCAACAAACATACACTATTTTTGTCGTAAGAAATATATGAGCCGGTTTATTCAAGAATACTACAATGAACGAGAACCATTGTTTTATCAGTATTATAGGAAGCAACCTCTTCTGCCGCTTGGAATAGCTCTCGAGTCTTTGGTTCTTTCCGTCGAAGGATTACACCAACACATGAAAACGGCCGAAACCAAACGTCACCATTTCTCACAATACAAGCTCACAGGTGATGAATCCGCTGCTATATATCTTTACACAAGTGAATGGGGCGAACAAAGTTTACATAACCTGTTAAATCAGACAATAACGTCAGATAGATATGGTTCGATTGCGCCTTGGTTTGGTTTTCTTAAATTACTGAATACTGCTTTGGAAAAACTTCCGTCTGTTAAAGGTGTGTTTTTCCGTGCTATGCGTAAAGATATTGCCAATAAAATCTACAAGAATAGAGAGATAAGTTGGTGGAACTTTAGTTCATGCTCATACTCAAGCAGTTTTATCAGACAGCTAATCGATGAAAACCTATGCCTTTGTTCAATAGAAGTTTTGAACGGCAAGAATGTACGCAATTTTACAGCTAATACGGGTGAGGACGAAGTACTACTATGTCCAGGCACACGGCTATTAATTAAAACCGTCATTATCGATTCTTACACAAACAGCGTTTCCCGGTTATCTTTAAAAGAAATCTGCCCCGACATCTCTGAAACATCGCAGTCAGTTGATAAATCTATTTCACCGCAAAGATTGTTGCCGAGAAACGATATAAGTGAGTATTAAAACTATGTTGAAGACATGAGCAGGACTATCGATGAATTCAATTGTCGACTGTTGATATCGGTCGTTACACAGCCAGATTTTTTCTTACCTCTACGACTATACCAAATAAACTGATTAATTTATCAAGGTTTGCATAATGGTACAGTTTTATATCGACCGTCAGAAAATACTGCAAGAAGCAAGTCTTCTTTCTCAGGTATTCATGGATTTCCTTTTGAAATGTTACGATCTCTTTTATTATTAGTCGACAGAGACAATAAACACGAAGACAACAGAGTGATCTCGACTATCAAATTTATGACTGGTGGTATATATGAAGTTAGTCAGGTAAATGGTAAGAGAGATGGATTTGCCAAATATACCAGTGTTGATGGAATGGTGTACAAAGGCTATGAAGCTGAAAGTCGAGCTACAGGGAAGGGCGTTTGGATATGTTCCAATGGTGATCGATATGAAGGAAATTTTGAGCGTGGTAGAATGCAGAAATTTGGCATTTTCTACCGTAGTGGCGGTTATGTTTATGAAGGCAACTGGTTGCTTGGGAGACCTTACGGTCATGGAAAAAGTATGTGGTCGAACGGAACTTGCTATGAAGGATTTCATGAAAACGGAAAACCAAACGCTGTTGGCAGATTTTACTCTAACGACGGTGATGAGTACAAAGGTGATTACGTAGATGGAAAAGCACAAGGTTGGGGAAAACGAAGGTGGAAAAATGGTGATTTCTATGATGGGAAATTTGACAATGACAGAAAACATGGCTACGGCACTTATACCTACAAAAGTGGCAGCATATATGCTGGTGCTTGGTTCAATGACAAAATGAGTGGTGATGGAGTGTTCGTCTGGATCAGTGGTAGTCAATATGATGGTGCGTTTTTGAATGGAAAAATGCATGGTTATGGTCGGTTAACTTTTGCAGATGGCCGTAGAAAACTAGGATACTGGAAAAAAGGCAAGTATGTCGGCAAAACATCACCGCAATGAATCAAATCCTTTTGTATGTTAATTTTTTTGTCTGTATTTTATTGAGATTAATAAGAAAACACATGAACAAGAAGGTATGAGCGTAGACAACTCAACTATAAGATCAGTATTCTGCGATGAAAAACATAGATCGCGCCGTATCTTTTTATCATAAAGTAAGGACAAAAAGACCTTCGACTGCTGAAACTGGCAGAATTACCCAGTTACTGTATCTGTATCTGACCAGTGCGAACTCTACGCGTATGAACACTGATGGCTATCACTGCCAACTAATGACGTAACTAGGGTGGAGCATGGATTGACTGCGCGTGTCTACCCGAGATTTGTGAGCAAGCTAATTTTTTCTATCCAATACTCAATTCATATACGAGTTACACGCATTCTGAAAATTAAAAGATCACCTGAAAAAGAGAGACGTCTTTAAGACAATACTAACTGGTGGACTTTATGTCACATATGATTTCTTTTACCGTCGTCAGATAGTACAGAACCGAATCGTATGGTTCTATTCAATCATCTTTTTGTTCATCTTTCAAGAACAAAAAAGTTAATAGTTCTACTTCTATGATCGATCGCAGCCTTCTGAAACTAATCGGTTAGATGAAACATCCAACTTTACATCTCATAAGACTTCAGAATCATTACCATTATCATCTTCACCAAATCAACACCATCATTATCACCAACAAAACCTTCAATGAGTATGGAAAAGACTTTAACTCTAGCAGATAGCAGTCGTTCTTCAGCAGAATCTCCTATTCAACCAAAATTATCTTCACATGCAACAGATAAACAAAATCGATTATTTCGCTCAACTTGGTATTCAACATTTGCTTGTTCGGAATACTTGGTGAAAGAGAATCTTGTGTACTGTTATTATTGCCGACATTTTGGTGGTGGATGTAACTTATTGAATCGAGTATGTAAAATTAATCACTTTATGAAATATATTACGTGCAGATGCGTTTATTTTGGTTGAGGATTACGTGCTTATTGATATTTTCGAAGGAAAACATGCATTGTTTTTGTTTTAGCATCAGAGTGATGCCTTTTGAATGATCGATTTTCCGTTAATAATAATATAGCAATTTAGATTGATATATCAGCATTTAGTCTAGATGATGATCATTTTTTACAAATTGAGATATTAAAACCATTTGCATTATAAATGAAAGCAGATCTTTCTTCATTATTCAGTGAAATTCAAGTAATTAAGTCAAAGATGGCAGGTTCAAATATGAAATTAGAAAGTATTATTGATTTTTATTGTTATTTATTATCATTGAAACAAGCATTTTCTGTAATAATATCACTTATCATTGCTGCTGTGGCTATTCCATTTTCATCTACTACGTGGAAGAGAGTATTTAGTAAGATGAGATTGATAAAATCAACTACGCGCAACACAATTTCAAATAATCACTGTTTTGATCTTTGTGTTTTAGCACTGGAGCGCGACTTTGATATTGACTTTGCTAATTTACATAAGAATATTAGAATTCAGTTGAAGTAAAATTTTTCATTTTTGAATATTTTTGCACTTAATAAAAAGAAAGGTAACTTACAAAGCGTAGTCTTAATGGTAAATAGGCTATCATCTCTTGACAATGTGACAAAGATACACGCTGCATTACAATGCCTGTATTATATAGTATTTTCAAAGTCAATGCGGCGTCGTCTACCCACCCACGAATTTCTGATTACGTCACTACTGCCAACATAGCCGTATCGGGAGGTTATTTTTCGACGCTAGCATAATCAGTACTTTCCATCATCAACGTTGGTACTGGATTAGAGTCAGTATTGGTAGTTGATGATAGGCTAGTGGATGCAACATCATTTGTACTGTGAGTTTTGGTAATCTCTGTCGTCATTGAAGCAGCTAAATAGTTCGTAAAGAGATGTATTGAAGATATTTTCGTACAAATTCAGTTTTCTAGACTAGGAAAAAGAAGGACAAAAGTTATATCTTACATGAAATATTGACAGTAGTCATCGTCTTTTCTTTGGATTGGCTGGTCGCACGATTGCGAGTAAGTACCACTGGGATAGTAATAATAAGCACTATCAAAACTAGCGCACCCAGTAATATCGATACAAAGCGAATATGTCGTTTTGACGTCATTGAATTCTCTCTTTGGTTTCTAGACAAAATCATCGAAATTCACGTATTTGGCGGTCTTGTACAAACAATGTCACCTTTTTTACAATAAACTTACACTTGATTTGTTTTTTGAATCAGTAGTTCCTTCTGTGGAGCTAATTGCTTAGTTTTCAGGATGAATGGAGGCCGAGCGCGTGATAGCTGTGAAAGAAGTGAATCTGTTCTCTCTCGTTATAAGTTGTAGAAACTGCTACAATCATCTGTCGTATAATATTGACAATGAATCTATAACTATCTCGTACATCACGAAGTATTTTGATTTGAAACAGAACACACGATTTACGTCATTTTTATCAATAGCTATGACATACTACTCTCACGTCGCAGCTCGGAATCTTGTCCAGAACGTGATATCTGTGTGATTTTTATGAATTTCAAAACAATTTTGAAATCGAGGTAATATTTTCTTTATATCTTCAGTTTATCGACTATAAGAGAAAATGTCGATGGAAAGTGTGAACAAATAGAACGTGCGAATAAAACTTGCTTTTTTAAAAGTAAATTCATTTATACAATAACATACTGACTGTGATTTTAGTGTTGCCAAACATATTTACTAACAAGGAAAACAATCTACTAACACGACTGATTAAGAATTTCACTGTAATGTATATAAACGATAGAAATTAGTTTGATACGGACTGTCTTAGTGAGATGAAAGATACATGTTTTCCCTTTTTGTATGCAAACTGATGCTTGAGTTAGTCAGTTGAGACATTGAAAACAATCCGATCTACTTTTATTCCTTTTACAACCTTCATGCAATTAGGAAAAGCAACAAGCAAAAAATGTCGATTGGGATATTTCTTAAAAAAGAGAGAATTCCTTGTTTTGTAATTGGAATCATCATATTGAAGCAGACTGAAGCGAATAAACAGGCTATCAGTTCAACATACTTCACGCTCTTTTCGAATCGATGCAATCTTTATTATAAATAAGCCTGTTAATAAAAATCAGCACTATAGAAACCCAGCGCGCCTCAAGATGGTGATAGATTTCAATCATATCGCTCAATTTATTTTTGTGTTAAATTCCATTAATAGACGGAAAACTCACACAAAGATGTGTGTGTGTGACGAATTTCTTCGCTCACTAATCCGAGAGAAGGTGCTGATGAGAAATGAGTTTATTTCTTATCCAAAATCAACCACACTCTACTGTACAATCTTCAGTCCTTATATAGTCCTTGGAATGCATAGTATCACGCCATATAAAATCAACTGATCATCAGCTGTGAGAAAAAGGTTAGTACCGAGCATATAGCTTGATATGCTCGAGGTGTAGAAACTAAGTGCAAAAAGAGTGAGTACAAAACTGGATTCTAACTATGAATCGTTACAGTGTGCATAGAGTAAATACTGTAACAATTGGCATACGGTATGCGCTGGCAATGCCAAGTATGGAATGAAAACAGATTACAATTTCAATGGATCAGTTTTTTGACACGATGGCGCTGTGCTGAGAGTACTTAAGGACTCGGTTTTGATCACCTATAAAACGAAAATAAAAACAGTTAATCGTAAAATAGCCTTGTCAACATTGAAAGTAAGCTAAAAAGTTTCTTTTCTATCGAATATCTGTGCTTGTATGATGCATAGATTCGCAGTTCGGACATATGCATTGATAAAGCTAGAAATCGATATATATATTTTTACAGTGAACTTTCAAATATCTTTATATACCGCAGACTTGACTGCTGTTTATTTTATACTTGGTAGTACAAATATACCTTCAGACTACGACGAACTTTCCAAAACAAACATATAATATAAACAAATGTTTAGTCGGATGACAGATGGTTTACTGTCTCTTGCTGAAGCGAACAGTATTGAATGAATGTATAGGTATGCATAAAAATAAGAATAACAATGAACTGTAAGATAATCGAACGTAAAATCGGTCAAGTGCATCTGAACAATGTGATCATATATTGTACTAGCCAATAGCAAAATGTTATCTTTATATCGATACTCATGTAGTAAAGTTCACGTAAGGGAAGATTTCGTTCTTTTTGTTTTCGAATATTCGTATATGTGATGAAATAGATTTTACGTATACTAATATAAAAGAAGGTCTAAATATTTATTCTCACACAATATTTGTGATACCGATCAAGAAGATGGTAAACTTTCGATCCATCAGTATCTTGCTGAATATCATGAATAAAAACGAGGCAAATAATTAACAGAATAATGCGATGTTTTGGAGGCATTATGTACAGCGTACTCGAACTATTCACAGCATTATCTCATATCATCGGAGCAGTTTTCTCTCTAATCATATAAAGAGGAGCTTGGGTATTACCCGAGGTAATCGATGCAAGTACGCTACTCATTATACAAATCCGATGCACCATTATTCACAACGGTACATTGTGAACTAATAGAATACCCAGTGCATTCAGTTCGGTTGCATTGCCTAAATACCTGATAATAGAAGGAGCTGAGGTGATCATAAGGGCGCACATGGAAATGATAACTTCTTTCATAGCAAATGTTGTCAATGTTTCATTCGTTTGGAAATCCTACCAAGTCATACTGTTGGCTCGTTTGTTACGATCGAAATTCAGTTTCGTAACAAAACTTGAACCTTACACCTACACATTTGTTTGATTCAATCTGTTCAGCACAGTTTGAATTATCCAGAAAGTTGATACTCAGAGCTTCGCAAGCTCGAACAAGAAAGTTATCTTCTACGAGTTCGTAACTTCCCGGTCCGATATGTAGAGAACTTGCGTTGCCATGGTAATCTGGATTTCTCGCATATCAAGATAATGTTTCAACTCGTTTGAAGTATGGTAACATATTTGTATACTTTCAATTATCGTCCGCGTGTTGAGTTCACAGATCAAAATCGAGAAGATTTCTGTGAACGTACACTTGAACGATCTTGCACATTCGCTGCAATGGCGATGTTATAGTGCAGGCATACGATCACAATAGAAATAGTAATTGTTGTAAAAGAGGAAGTCATCTAGTCAGAAATTTTCGAAGTTTAATAAGCGAAACCAATATCTTGAGGGTATTCTCACTAACAAAATACCGGTAAAGGCAGAATTCACGAAAGAATGGGCGATATTGTGACAGGCGTAGCAGTTTTTATACAAATGAATACGAGGTTAACGATAAATTAAACTTTTTGACATTTTATAGATTACCACCAGTGCGATAATGTAGCGAATGATATTATTTTAGTACTTGATCTAGCTTTGTTAGCAACTGATTGAAAAGAGAAAAAAGAAGTAAACAAATCAATATCAAACGGATGTATCTACCTTTCGCGTTCGACAGACACCATAAAACGTGTGTATATTATCAAAACACACCTTTATAATTACAAAATATCGGATTGCGAAAATCCTCTGCTGCTCAAAATTCCTTCCAAAGATAATATGTACAGTATCTTTAGTACAGCTAGGCATCCAGAGTTTATCATCCGTTTTATAACATTTCATTTCAATTGGTATCTCATAGAATGCGATGTCGTTCGAAAGCAATTTAATATTTACATACTATTACCATTGATCAGTGGCGAAATAAGGATCTGACGGGCGGCGCTCTATAGATTTTTTATTTGACTCTTTTTAGTAATTATGAGTTTATCAGGTGAAATGGGCCTCTCAGTATTTTGCAGATATTTTTGAGGTTCACTCGTGCATAGTTGCATTTTTCAAAAGACAGGCCAAGAATTTCTCTAGATAAATAATATGTACTATATTGGACTAAGATTACAATGCGCTCAAATTGGTGTTTTTCAAATCAGGATATCTACAAAACACGTATAAATAATTTTCTTAGAGTAACCTCTAATCTTTTCGAGTGCATTGTTTTTGACCAAGCTTAAAGAATATGTTTTGGGAACAGTTCTAAAATTCTAAGCATCCTGAGAAAAAAAGCAATACTTCGACTCTGTTTCATCGTATTTCAGCTGCTATTAAGGGTTTTGGTGCACTGTTATTTTGCCCCAGTCGAGATCAGTTTGTTACTATAGACATCGAAATAAATAGAAATCTTTTTCCGGTATCTCAAAGACTGCATTGAAACGTTTTCCAGCGCCTGATGCATATGTGTATGACAAGAAAAACATTTTCGTTATAGTCCGTAATCGATCTCAGTTTATACTGAATTTTTCTATCGAATCGAATGGAATTAAAATTAAATCAGCTTTGTTAAAGATTTCATTTGAACTAGTCTACAAAACGTATTTGTTGAACTGGTGAACGATCTAGTGGAATACAATACGACAGAATTCACTTTGTGCTCAACCACATTATTACCTCGAAATCACTGGTATAAAAATGAATTATGATCTCGTCAAATAAAGTTGTAAAAGAAGCTTTTACACATATTAAATTCAAATCGTTTTTTCGTTTGCGACGATCTCTAAAAACGATTTCACCGTCGACAATTTTCCACTTTTTGCTACAGTAAAGTGTACGCAATTGAATCTCAGAGAAATATTCGCCAAGCATACTGAGGGATTTATTCTATCTGATGCATCGGCTACACTAAAAAAGAACGCACTAATTCAAAGGATGACGATTGGTTATCTAGACAATCTCATCCATCAATTCCAATGCATATCCATTCTGATAAGTTGATTTACAAAAAGAATGAATACACTTATATCAACTGGTTTAGAGAGCGCAATGCACGTTGCAATGTAATAATTGCTCTATTACTAATAGATTTCACTTCCTCTAGCTCCCTGTCTTGTTTTCCCTTGTAAACAGTTCATGATTTTTCCTTGTGATTCTCTTTTTATTAAAAATACCTATGATAAAGGCTGAATCAGCGTATAAAACGTGTGAGATTGAATCTATATTTTGTTCGCATCATATGTGTGATTTTGAAACAAGAAAACAGTCATACACATAAGGTGAAAGAAAGAAAAACGTGATTTTTCCAAGTAATATTTGACTGGCTTGTTCGCATATATACGTATGATATAGTTACATATTGTCAGTTCATTTCGTATGCTCTATTTGATATCGACGCGGAAATATCATCGCATTCTTTTGAAATTCTATTTCCAACAGGTTGTCAGGTGAACAACTGCTTTCTCATTAAAAACACGTCACGCTAATCAGTACGACATCTAATTGTCACCTGATATCGGTGAAATTTTCAAGCGATTGAGTCAATAATCAATTTCTCTCGAACAAACAGTATCGTATAAATATGCAATTATGTCAGCGATGACAGCATATATCAATGTTGGTTTTCTCCCTTATACCTCTTGCTGTATAAATAGTATACTTTTAGATCAGTTAACTTATCATTGTAAACAGAATAAGATCTGTGATCAGTTCAAATGGCGAACATTGCTGTTGATGTTTCCGATAAACTTCTCTCTGCCATTGGTACGACAGCGAAAAAAGTGAAAACCACGGCTTTGACAGTAAAAGCAAATAAACTACAATCGAAACGATTGGCTGAACGCGTGGACACCGTTGCAGGATTTCTTACTGGGCAGGCAGCTGTCAAAATGGCGAACTCGCCAATGCGACCACAACTTGAAAGCTTTCACAGCTTTTTGCAAGGTTGTGATACTTTTATTGGCAAATTTGGCGGTAAAAAATGGTTCTCACGCATATATGCGAATAAAAATCATGCTGACAAATTTCATCAGCTAAATATCGATCTTGATCGGTATGTTAACGATTTTTCTCTTGGCTTGCAAATCAATATATTCAATACACTTACGCCGGAAGACAAGAGAGATGCTCAATTAGATCAAGTAGAAATCAATCAAATCGTAAGTTGACAGTTTATAATATCTTTCTACAGCGAGTGCGAAGATAACTTGGTCTATACATAGATAAGTGCACGTTCAACGCAAGTGCCCGCCCCGGTATTACCACTAGCACCAGTTACAGGATCGCCTGCAGTACCAACGCCAGTGCGAGCAACAGTGCCAGTGCCAGTGCCAGTGCGGACGTTAGGAGTACCTGTCCAACTAGCACCGTCAGTACAACCAAATGCTAATTTAACTGGTGCTGCTAGACTTCCTATTCCAGTTAGACCTAATAATACACCTGCAGTACGTATTCAAGATACATTCATATGAATAGTATGTCATTTATCTGTTTCTCATTTTCAGAGCAAGCTGAAAAGTGGAACACAAGACAGAAACTATTATCGACAACTTGGTTTTTTCCAACCAAATAATTTTATGCATAATAATTACTTTCGTCAGCATCTACAACATGTACGACGTGACTCCATGTATTCACATCATCAACCCACTTTTTCTCATAGAAGATACAATTCAATACTTCCGTCTCATCAGTTTGGTTATCACATGCAGATGCCACAAAATCCACATATTATAAATCCGCTTCATCGATAACCGGTTATTCTTTGCGATTTTTGATAAATCTAAATTTCGAAGCAGACATTGTTAATTGCTGAGCAGTTAAATATTATTATTTAGAATTTTTTTCTTCATGTTTAATAGAAATCCTGTGAGTATTGTTATTCACATTTAAATAAACCGAGATAGATGAACATCGATTGCTTGTTCTTTGAAAATATTTGGATGACAAGAGTACGTAACGCAAGAAAGGCAGTGAAATTTTCTCTTGGGAAGCTCCAACTATACTTTCGAGTCATCGATAGATACAACCTTTCCGTCACGTAAATACACGTGCTGTGGAGAGAAAAATCGCGTTCGGCTAGTGATCGACAATAGTTATTATAAGAATTTATAAGCGGCTCAGATTTGCATTAATTGGCCGAGAAAGTGAATTGAACCATGTACATATGATATAGAATAGTGTGCAAACTTGATCAGTTCGCTTCGAGTTTTTTACTAGATGCTAGTGAACAGCGACATCTGATGTTACTAAGGGGTCTCTTCGTTCGTTTTTTCTGTCTTCTATTCTTCCAATAGTATCACATTGTGATTCATAGTTTCTTTTACGTGTGTATACAAAAGACAGACACGGCAAGATCGAATATAATCGTGTTGATTTTGATCTTTGTTTGCTTTTCGAAAAATATTTCAGATACATAGACAGATATGACACAATTTTGCTATAATCGCGGTTGTCAAAAGAATTTTACTTCAGTAAACGATCCATCTGTAGATGATACAGCTTGCCAGTATCATCCTGGTTTACCTTACTTTCATGACGCTTATAAGATTTGGTCTTGTTGTCAAAAGAAATCTCACGATTTTAATACATTTCTGTCTCTGCCAGGTTGTACACGTGGTCCTCATCAACCCAATAAACCTAAAGAGCCAGTAGCTCCTCAATCTAATGAACAGCCACAGGTGACGACATCCAAACCTGTTCCTCGGCAAGAAATGCCCAAACCTCAAACACCTGATGTTCAGCGACCGCCGATAGATGCTCCACTGATACCAATGAAATTAACTGTCGGAGCAAGCCTACGAACCGCACTCGACAAATTATCCAATACAGCGAAGACCAATACAAATGAAATAGAACAAATTAACGATGAAATTAAACCTGGAACGCCGTGCAAGCATGCTGCATGTGGTGCTCGATATACCACCGTTGAAGAAGAACAAGCGACACCATGCAGATTTCATCCAGGTGTGCCAATTTTCCATGAAGGTAAGGATTGCTCTTGTTGAACTGTAATAGTTAACATAAAACATTCGTACCAGGTATGAAATTCTGGTCGTGCTGTCAAAAAAAAACTACCGATTTCGAATCGTTTACTGCTCAACCTGGTTGTTCTGAAGGCGAACATTTATGGCAAAGTGAAAAACCTGAATCGACCGATGAAGAGGATCCTGAGACATTGAAAAAATCATGCCGTTACGATTTTCATCAGCAAGGCTCATCGGTCGTACTTAGTATTTATGCAAAAATGCCACGTCCAGATCAAACTCAAGTCGAATTAAATGCGGGTCGTTTAAAAGTCGATGCCCGATTTGGAACCGATACGAGAACCAAACGTTTTTGCAACGAATGGGAATTATTCGGATTAGTTGATGTTGATCGTTCAACTGTGGAATTACTACAGACGAAAATAGAAATTAATCTAAAGAAAGCCGAAGCACTCAGCTGGCCACGATTAGATCGTCCGTTACAATTGAGTTAATAGTTGAAAGAAAACAAAAGATATTGTTATGTGATTTTTATTTACGGAAGAGAATAAAAAAAAGCACAATCGAAGATTTTAAAATTAACAAAAGGAAAGAGTGAACTCTAACGATAGTTGAAGGCTAATTTATACGTATACCAATTAGAGAATGAATATCAGCACGATATGAAGCAAAAAGACACAGACATTCAAAACGCAAGAAGACGAATCAAACTGCTAGGAGTTATCTGTCGTCTTGCTCGATTCCTTTTCTTTGACATGTCTGCTAGTAAGAGTAAATCAATTAGTCAACAGGCGAAAGGAGAATGGCACGCTTTCGCCATTTGTCTTCTTTGGTTTTCTCTGTGGCATAAATTAGAATTTGTTTATGTAATTCTTTTTCATACGTTCGTGTAGAAGAAATTATTATCTTTGTTTGCTCATTTCCGGAATAAGACATGTCAATTTGCAATGTCCTACAGAGATTGTCGCACAACATTTCTACATCAGGCGACGCGTAGCGTGAATGGGTATGAATATCGAATCTCTTCATACAAGTACATATTTTAATGTATCTTCATAGATTTCCGTCATTATTTGTATGCTTGCTGTAACTTTCGACGAACAAAAGTCATTGCTCATTCAAAATCCGACGATCCAATTCAATCGTTGATTCATGCTGGTATTAGTGCGCTGCATAGTTCACGTTCTGCTGCTAGTTTTATTATTGCTGATTTCGGTTCTTCTCATGGAAGAACTTCTATTCAGACGATGAAATCGATTCTTGAATATCTTCGTCAAACAAATAAATTCGTCGGAACACCTTTCGTCGTTCATATAGATGTACCAACAAATAATTGGTCAAAGATGTTTCAGCTTCTTATCAACGAGAATCCTTATTATGGTTATGCTATGGGTCGTTCCTTCTACGAACAATGCTTTCCTGACAAGAGTATTTCGATTGGTTTTTCATCGGCTGCATTACATTATCTTTCACGAAAGCCTTGTCATTTGGCTAAGCACTGCTATTTTCGATTTGCCACTCCTACTGAACGTAAAATCTTTCAAAAGCAATCGAAATTTGATCTGGATGCATTTCTTGCCTGTCGTTCGCGAGAATTGATCTCCGGTGGGATTCTTCTATTGAATATTCCATGTGTAGGCGACAATGGTGACATGGACTTTGATGCACATTTTGATCTCATATACCAATGTGCTCAATTACTCTCATTGTTGACATCCGATGAATTATTACATTTTACTATCCCGTTTTATTTACGTTCTCTGTCGGAATGTGTTGATTTCGAATTATTCCATCGGCATTCGTTGAAATTAGTCAAAGTTGAATTTGTTTGCTTGAAATCAGCGGTTTGCAATCAATATCAACATGGGCATCTAACGCGTGATCAATACGCTAGATCATTAACAATGCTGATGCGACCAGGAACGGAATTAGCATTCAAACAAGCCTTGCAAAGTAATGGACGATCAAGTCAAGATATCGAAGATATATCGATCCAATTCTGGCAGTTATATGAGGAAAAAGTCAAAGAGACTATTGACGAAAGAGATTTGAAAACTTATGCGACTCTCTTAGTTTTAAGGAAAAAATAGAATAACAATGTATTGCGAATATTTATATTGGAAAATAAAAAGCGCTCAACCAAGAACAGGTTTGTTCTTCAAGTTGTGATGAACTTGTAAAATTTCATAATGCAATGCATCAGCAGTTGGATTTTGCAACACTGGATTTCGATTGGACACATGCATTGTTGATGATCTAAATTATAAATCAGTCAATAAAATATATCGCCTTTTAGAATTCTTACTCTTCGTCGGTACAAAACGAATCTCGAGCGTTCAATGCTGCTAAATCAGTTTGATGGACGACAGATGGAACTACTTCCGATGACGATGACCGAGGATCAGTAAAACATACATGATAGATTAATAATTGTAATTCATTCGGCGTGAGACCAGTTTGATCCTCGAGAACATGATAAGGTGGTGGATTATTCACTTCTTGTTATGCATTGTGCGAATTTAAATAAAAGTATTCTGATACGGAGGAACAATTGTCGTGTCGACGACACAACCAATCGATATATTGTCTGTATCTTCGGGTGATTTCTTTGATATTGTCTTGTGGAGCTTTCTATTGGGATGATACGTGAAAAAACGTGTATTATGATGTTTTTGGACAATAACAAATGCCAAAGATGGATGATTTGATTCAGTACCATATATTTCTATAAAGCAAACTGTAGTGAATATGACAAGAATCATGTCTGAAGAACTTACGATCGAATGCTTGGTAGATAGCTGGAATTTCGTAGTGACAAACTTTGGAAAACTGTCCATCATCAACACCTAAAAGAGTAATTTGTCGAGGAACTCATCTAGAAAGATTTCTTTTTCTACCATCTCGATAGAAGACCACTTCATTTGAAAAATATTTGTTCATTTCGTAATAGTATTCTAATAATTCTTGTGCCATCTGTCATACACCAAGAATAGTTTCAATCGAACACTTTCCTTTCTTGGGATATTGTTTACAAACGCGAACTGCTGTTGTTGAACATGAAGAATTTCCCGAACCAACCATGGCTGAAATCAAGCAAGCTTGCTCGCCGTTCTCAAAACAATCCATCGAACTCTCCTACCGGCAATGAATGGATGTTGACGAGTTACATTCGTCGGATGTATCACATCCGCGCCAAGAAACATACGAATCGTTCGAATTGCTTCGAGTTTTTAAGGCAATGCTCAAGTCAACAACTGTATTGATTCCACCATTCTTATGATTGATTTTGCGAACTAAACTTTCACAATAAATTCGCAAAGATTTTTCATCCGACATATGAAGTAAAAAAAGTCTGATAATTTGAACATCGCAGGTGAGCATACTTCTTTTAATATATCTGCAAATCTATTGAAGCTAGCTTTATGGTCATCAAAATTTGTGCCAAAATAGGTGATCGCTAATTTTTCGACTGGTTTAGACTCGAATAAATGTTTGTCAAGCAATATATCCGATTTTTAATAACACGAGCATGATAATCAGGACCTGATCGAATACTTGGTGGACGTAAAAGTCGAGCATTGTTTGACAAAATGCGTTGGAATTATAATCACACTCTTGCAATGTGTCTTTGATATCATAATAACAATATGCGTTCCATGTTCATGTTTACGCTGTAACTAAAAGTTCATAAAATATTCGCTATTTCCAGATATATGGCTACCTACTGGTTTATTGTAAATAGTCCACTCTTTGATTTTACGAAGCTCCAAGGGTAAATGGCATGGGCGTTCGTAATTTCTTCGATAGACTTGTATGCAAGGATGATCGAGTTTTGTTAGCTGAATTTTCAATCGTCCATAGTAGTCGGTCATTGCTTCACCTGAATCGAAGATAATTTCATGAGGACGCCGAGAATCGAAACTATCAAATTCATATTCTGTTTTCCAATCGGATTGTTTAGTAAGAATGATACAATTTCGTAGCAGATTATTCAATCTAGGAAAATCAAGATTTGTCGGTATTCGATCCGAGCCTAATTGTCGCTGGATAAAATCTAAGAGGGAGATGCTTGAATATTCAATGTGATTCTGTCAGAGGAAATATTGGGCGTTTGAATAAATCCATGACGTTGTTCAAAACCATTATGAAGTTCAACTCGCGGTTTAGCAAGAAAATAACATTTGTTTTTCACGACTTGAATGGCACGTTTCAAAAGGATTTCAATGACACGTACAGCATCGTGTGGATATATTCGTGTTTTGCCATTTACGAAATCATTTATATCTTTTGTCGACCATCGATTAACGCATAATTTGATATTTAATCGATATTGACCATCTGGCTGGAGTTTAACTTGTGGTTCGAGGTGTGTCGTGCTGTATAGGCATTGCAGTCCGTCATACCAAAGAAAGACGCCTGGTGTTAATTGATGATTTGGTATAATCGATTGCATGATGGAAGCACATCGTGCACGACCTTCGCATGCTTTCCAAATGTTCGATTCCAAGTGAATTCGCGTTCGATGCCATAAGAAATATTGGGTGAGTAGTTTAGTTCTTTGTATGAAGAGATTTCATTATATAGGCGTTTTCTCACTTTATGGAATCAGGTTCTTGACGATAGATTTGAAATTCATTTTACTATCGAAATGACGTTTAAAAAGGTGAATATTGACGCACTCTATCCAAGATGACGTGTTAATGCATTTTAAAACCGATTAACAGTGATTGGCCAAACGAGAATAACCAATAAAAATGTTGTCAATGTGTTGAAAGAATTAGAATTGCACATTTTCATCGAAAAACACAAGAACAGAATGACTTCGATATGTTTTCCCGGTGTTTTGAATCCATTTTGTCGACAGACAATTTGTATTTCTCCATGTTCAGATCACGTGGCTTTAGCAACTTCATCATCCTTAGTATATCTTTATTCGTTTTCCAATCAAGCTCTATCATTTCTAACGAAATATTCTCCGCATTCCAAATCTTTATCATGTATGGTTTTTCATCCGACTATCTATGGTCTATTAGTAACCGGTGGTGCACCAAATTCTCGAGTTATTCTTTGGTCAATTCATGAAAAAACAATCCAGAAACGAGCCGCATTTAACCTACAAAGAGTAAGTAAAGATGAGTTTATTTTCCTGAGGTAGGTTAAATGGAATAGACGATGGAGAATAAAATGAATTTTGTCTCTTTTCATTTCAGAGACCAAATGCCTTAGTCTGGTTAACAGATGAAGAATTAATTATCGGAGACGAACATGGAAATATTTATCGATGGAATGAAAAGAATCAAAAGTCAATTAAACTCCAAAATCAATCTGTATCCGACAAATCAAACGATGAAGTTCAACTGTTTGCTCTCGCAAATAAACAGAAGTTTATTATGGCAATTGCGTAAACGAACCTCGCTTCGATTATTTATTAAACATCTTTCTCAATTTAGATTCAAATCAGGTTACATTTGCATCTGCCACGTTGATCTCGAACAAAATCTTCTCAACCCGTTACACAAATTACCACCAGACACAGCGAGTACGGCTTGTTGTTCAATTCAATTTTCTCATGTTGATTGTCCGTTGGGTATGATCGTACTTTTCTTTATTGTCAAATCGAACGTAAAATCATGCTTTGATTTAGAACGAAGTACACTTTTTTACATCAGTTATGGACACGGTTGTATCAAAGTTTGCGATTATACAAATGGCAAAATGCTTGGTCAGTTAATGCTGGTTAGACAGCCGAAAAATACAAATATGAATGATTTGAGAACAAAAACGTATTATCCATTAGCATGGATGGATGCAGATACTTTGCTAGCTGGAAATCTTGAGTAAGAACAATGATGCAGGTTCCATTTCCTATTGACTCGAATTGAATCTATTCTAGTGGTTATTTGATCAAAATTGATGTTCGTCATTCATCACATTTAGAAAAATCTCAATTGAATGTGAATCCACCAGTATCTGGTGGTAAGCCAGTGTTTTCCTTAGCAATCAAGGATGAAAAAACTTTATTCACTTATTCATTCAACCGAAAAGTAAGGCTACATGAATTGGAATGCTTATTTTTGGTGATTATGTATATGTCTCTAGTTGTGTCTTTACGATCTTTCATCATCGACAATGATCAGTTCTCTGGTATCCATTCCCGGTGCAATAAATGCCATCCAAGCATGTCCATTACAAACAAGTGAGAATTAGTTTTCTGTGTCGGGTTCCATAAAAAAGCTTGAATAATTTTCAGGTTGTATCGCAGTAGGTGTTGACACAGGAAATATCGGTGTATTGGATTTATCTTTGCCGAGTTCACCATCGCTCTCGTTTCTTTGGCAAGCAATTCCTGCTGATGTGTGCCATTTAGCTTGGCATATCGTTCGTGAAGGACGAATTGCTTATTCAACACGTATGGGTCATGTGGCGTTGTATGATACCCTTACAGGACGTTCACGTGTGGTTTACGATTGGAAATATGGTCAACCAGGATCGCCGGCGAAGGTTCTATGGGGTCCTCTAATACCTAGTTTTACAGAGGATCGAACATTGGCTATTCTTTATTCAGTTGGAGATGGAAAAATTCATCGATGGGACAGTCCCGAGAAGAATTGTTTACCGACGGATTTAACAGCATTAGTGAATGAAGTAAGGATTGTGAGAACTATGGATAATAACTTTTTCTGCAAAATCTTCTAGTCGAGTGCCAGTTCAGTATTGAACGCAGCGTTTAGTGATGATCAGAAATATTTATGTGTCATCTGTTCTGACAGGTAAAAACCCCATTTTTGACAGAATTTAGCATGAAAAATTGTGCTTTTAGTACTTTACTTATCCGTTCATGTCCATCATTATCAGCAGTTCATCGTCTTCCTATTAACTGTTTACCAACTATTCTTTACTATCACCCTCGATATCTACTTTCATCAGTAGATGTATCATCGAAACAATACTGGCTTGCTGTCAATGACAAGCACAATATTCGATTAATCGATACGCTAGGTAATCAATGTTAAGTTTTTCGTCACCTGATTGTACAATTGTTTATTTTGTTCGATAGATTCAAACTCATGTATTCTCAAAGATCTTCGAGGTCACACTGGCGACATTGAATGTTTAGCATGGAGCCCATCAATCGATCATCTTCTTGCATCAAGTTCTCAGGATAAAACTGTTCGCGTATGTTGTCCTTTCCCGTGACTTCTGAATCTATTCTAGTCTTGTTAACTTTAGTTGTGGAATGTAGAGATTGGTTGTCCATTAAAAGTTTATGTTGAACATTCCGATGCTGTTCTTTCGTTAATTTTTTCATCATCAGATGCAAACTATATCATATCTGGCTCACGTGATCAATCATTACATATCTGGCATATTGAACATCATACACAGCCCGCTGATCAACCCTTACCTTGCAACATGATTGAAGACGACGAACTTGAGACAAATAGTAATAATGACCACAAGAAAAGACATAATAAATCAAGACCAAATCGTGCGGAACGTGAAAAGAAACGAGCAGCAAAGGTAATAGAACTTTCTTTGTTTTAATAAAGAGGCGCTGTTTCACGACACTTGGTCATTTAGACAACAACAAGTGAGATAAATGGTGATCAAAATGGTCGTCCTATTTCATCTACAAATGATATCATGAATGAATGTAAGTGATTTGTTACAAGGATCAATTTAGTTCTGTCTTGATTTTAGTAAATTCGTTAGCGTACCGTTTGTTGTGGCCGTCTGAAGTAGATCGTCAATCAATTTCAGGTATATTTCATTCAAAATGAGATTGATTGCTTGAATAGACATTTATATTCTCTAGATTTATCATCATTACCAGAGAAGGCATGTTTAATTGAACGAATAAAACAGCAAAGTACGTCGATTTGTTTGTGAATAATCTTTTTGTCTACTGTCTTTGTGTTTTGTATTAGAAATGAGCAAAGTTATTTATCATATGTTGTATTGGTCAGGTGAATATACACAACTTTCCAACGGATTATGTCAAGCAGATCCGGTATCGTCTCTTGACCTTTTCTTTTGGATGGCAATTCTGAATAGTACCCATGAGACTCAGTCATTATATGACCGAACATTCGAATGGATGGCAGAAAACAAAGAGAAACATATGTTGGAGCATATAACTATGATGATCAAAGCGCAACAAAGTCAAAGCTTATTCGAATATCTAATTAATAATGATCATATCGAGTATGTTTTCTTTTGTCGGCTTCAACATAGGTTGTTTTTTTGTTTGTTTTTGTAGGACTTCACTTCTCTTGGCCATATTGTTGGAATCTATTGATCAAATTCGGGATCGCATATCTAATTCGGCAACTGCTGAAGAAAGCTAACATTCATGTGATACTGATACAGTTGTTTTTCTTAGTATTTTTTAAACCGATTCAAATAAAAACAAGAAAGAGATGCTTCACAATATACATATTCATCTGTCAAATTCGCTTCATCCACTTGATGACGCACGTTGCCGAAGCACTGCTGACAATAACAAAGAAAGAAGCATTAAAAATTATATTAATTAGCTACTGCGTTCGATAATAATTGTATAAAGTTTCTTTGTTTTGCTTCCATTCTGACATAAATCTACTAGAAATCACTGCTCGTGATTTGTAGCATCCGTACCATGAAGCGTTTTCCATCAGTTAAAGTAACGAAAATACGAAGATATCGATCAACTAGCTATCGTAATGTAATTGTTCAATCAAAAATAGTCTGTGTGTTAACTATTAATTCTCTCACATAGGCGAAAAGTACTACTCATAACGGGCATATCAGTGTGAATCGGGTGCACTCCGTTGTTACTGATTTCAACTCGACACAGAAAGAAAATCAAACTTTGGTCGTAGAAAATGTGGGTGGACTTTCAACAGCACCGAAAAAAGTTTCTTCAGTAAGATTGAACAAAAGTATCGAAAGATCGCCGACAACATCCTCGATAACACATATCTCTCGTGTTCAATCGTCAAATGTACCGCATGCTACCCTATCCCTACAAGTAAAGGCAAAACGATCTGAACATTTATTATTTACATTATTATCTTACAATTCCATGTGTAGGATAACAGAAGTAACTGTTCCTCTTCGCCACACACTCAACAATCACGCTTTATATCAAATCCTTCACCATATTTTTCGAAATCACCAATTACAGGATCGGAGTCTACTTCACCATCATGTCTCATCGATGACTATCGAAGTATTTATACCATTGGAAAGACAAAACGGCACAAAAATGAAAGATTATCATGTTTTAAGAACTATTCAGTTCGATATTTTCTTGCTATTGGCTTAGCAATACTTTTAATTTGTGGTGTTGCTATTGCAGTACCACTCACAATAGTTGCTACAAATCGGCCAACGACTCAGACACAAAGTAAGTCTAATTCCAATTTATCAGGATTCTCAAACTTTCAATAATAGTGGTATTACGGCTTTTAAGAATCTCTTTTTCACTTAAGATACATCGTCAACAATAACAACAACAACAACAACAACAACAACAACGGTAACAATACTAACCACTGGTAAGTATTGGGAATTAGCTATCCGACATTTATGTATTTCCATGTGGATTATTCAGCGTGATCTACTGAAAAGATGTTGAATTTATATATTTACATGTTTTTTTCTGTCTTGTCATCCATCATAGGAAGTACTACAAGTGAGTTTTCTGTTATTATCGAAAAGACGTTAATATGAAAACATGTATCTCTAGCTACTACCAGCACAACTACGGCAGCAACTGTTAGTAAGTCTAGTTTTGAAAGAATATGAATATTTGAATATAAATTAAACATGCTTACAGCAATTACGTCCAACCTGTGTACATCAGCCTGGACCGGTATCACGATGATATATCACTGTGATAACTGTAATCAACAGTTATCATGGCAACAACTGTCGTTTATTTACGTAGCCATTGCAAATGTGACGCGAATTATTTTTGCACTAAGAAGGGATTTAGGTTATTTCGGTATCGATGGGGTGTCTATTCGTGATACCTCAGCACCAAGTGTAGAACTGCTTACAAATGGCGGTTTCGAAACTGGCACCTTCTCATCTTGGACACTTTGTGTTCAAAGTGGTGCAACGAGCAGTGGCTCAGTTGAATCAACATCGAGTGGCATTTCGTATGGCAGTTATAATTTTACTGCATTCGCTGGGTCATTCTACTACTTAGGCGGAGCAACAATCAAAACTGAGTATCTTACACAAACATTCTCAAGTATTATCGGGAACAGTTACACATTCAGCTTTTATTATGTTTATGCTGGTAGTGGATCGTCAAGCAGTGGTGACTTTTTACTCAGTGCTTGAGAATTATGAATGATATTTTTTTGCTGAATAGTTATTTGTGATCGTTCAAATATAAGTTAAGAAACGATATACCTTCTTATTGAATATTATTCACAACTGATCTGATTATTTCGCACGTTGTATAGATCCGAAAGAGTAAAAACAAGAAAAGAAAGAAAGAAAGAAAGAAAAAGAAAATATGTGTATATCTGCACTTGTTTTTGATTCTTGATCACATTTTAAAAATATCTTTTGAATACAATAGAATTATGTTGCTTCTTCTATTACTGAGTTCTCTTCTTCTCTTGATTCTAATCTATATCAAAATAAAGTATTTTACACTTCGTAATGATTTACCTGGCCTATCACCACATTTATTTTTCGGCAATTTAATACAAGTCGGTTTATTATTCGGTACAAAGGCAGCGTCCGAAGTCTATATATCACTCAAAGAAAAATTCGGCGACATTTATCAATACTGGATAGGTTTCGTACGGCTTATTGTCGTCCATGATATCGACGATGTCCAGTATATTTTTACTCATCGAAGTATCTATGATCAAGGGCAAGTATTTATCGAGAAATTTAGTGTTCTCATTCCCGAAAGTATCATTTGCAATATCGGTAAGCGTTTATTTTTTTTTCTCTATACTTATTTATCTTACATAAATGCTTCTGCTCTTAGGAGCGAAGTTCAAACGGCATGGCGCAATAACAATGCCGTTATTTCGTCGAAATAAGATCACTGCAAATCTAAATCTTATAGTCGATGCCACCGATAAAATTTTGGATAGATGGCGTGCTAAACCATCTGAATTTATCCATAAAGACATTGTCGAACAATCTCAAAATCTTCTGCTAGAAATTTTCGGCTTAATCGCCTTCGATTATAACTTGGAAACTATCGATGAGCAACATTCAGACAAGGCAAATGAATTGACACAAGCATTACAAGACGTTATGAGTATATTCAGAGTTATTATTTATAGTCCAAGGCTTGTATCTACAACGTATATGAAATGGAATTCGAAATATCGACGAGCACGTCAAATTGTGGAACGATACCTTTCAAATATGATGGAACAAGAACTAAATGAAAATCCACAATGGAGAGAGGAAAGAAAGAAGACATCATTAATCGCCTCGCTCGTTCATTCGTTACAAATGGATGAAAAAATAGAAGCACAAAAACAAGAAGAAGATAAAAAAGGTAAATCGCTTCCAACGGATCATACTCTTTCCATTTTTCTGTTCTACCTAGGTTTATCGCGTAGCGAAGTCTTTGATGAGATGCTTCTATTTCTAATTGCTGGTTATGAAACGACGTCAACAGCACTTTCTTGGTGTATTTATCAATTGAGTAAATACCCGAAAATTCAAGAAAAACTTAAGATAGAAATCATGTCGAAAACAAATGGTCAATATATAACCTTAGAACACATCGATTCATTGAGTTATTTGGATTGTTTCATCAACGAAGTGTTTCGTTATTCCCCAACGATCGATGGAACCAGTCGAGCTGTAATGGTCGATGATCGTCTACCTAAAACTGGTGTGCAATTATACAAGGGTGATCAAATTCTTCTTCCCACATCGGCTCTTAGTCGAGATAAACGCTACTGGAAAATTGATCCGGATTTATTTTATCCAGAGCGGTTTCTCAATGAAGATAAAGATCATAATCCATACGCGTTCTCGCCCTTTGGTGGTGGACATCGACAGTGCTTAGGACAAGATTTAGCGCGATTTGAACTCAAAGTGATAGTAGCTCGTATGTTACAACAGGTGACATTTGTCGATGGCGGACAAGAGGTGAATAGCGGTGGATACGTTCAGAAATTAACTATATTACCGAGACACATTGGAATTGTTATTCAATTCAATTGAAAAAAAGCAAAACAAACTTTATCGGTTTTTATTAGTTTTTTTTCTTCAAAATAAAAATTTTGTACCAGTTAGCTTAATGTTATGGATGCCGAATTAGAAAACATTAGTCTATTTTGATATCGAACCTCTGAACGCGATGGTTATAAGTGTCAGCGACATAGATATTTCCATCATTATCAATTAGTAAACCTTCAGGACCGTTTAATTGGCGTGGGTCATCTCTTGGAAGATGTTTATTGCCAATGATAATATCACCTGTTAATGCTCCATCACGAAAGCGCATGATCCGATGATTCCAGTGGTCAGCTACATAAAGATTACACCATTGATCGATAGCCAATCCGGTGGGATAATCCAATTGCGTACAACTGTCTCCCCGACCATTTCCACCAGCTACGACTATACCTGATCTTGCACCTTTTTTCCATTTCATTACACGGTTGTTCCACGAATCTGATATATACACAGATTTCTCCGAGTCAACACACAAATATGTTGGATGATTTAGTTGATGAAGGCTGTCTTCTGGCCCATCGCCACCGGCAACACGGACACCTCGTTTTGAAAAATCACTGTAGCGTCTAACTTCATGTTTTTCAGTGTCAGAAATGTAGACATGTCCTTCGTGATCAATGGCTATGCCATAGCAAGCAATATTTTCAATCAACACTTTTGAACGAGCATGTCTCTTACGTATCCATTGCAAAACACGGCGATTTTGATAATCACAAATGATATAACTCTTCAATTGCTCATGAAAAATAGCGTTCGTAGGCGCACATAACGCACGGTCATGATGAGCCGGTATATTTTGACCGACGATTCTCTGACCGACAATATCATTGGGATTGTATTTGAGAATACGATGATTTGAAGTATCAGCGATGATAATCGCTTGTTTAGGAGTGAATGTCAGACCTCGAGGACAATTAAGTCGGTTCAATGCAGAACCAGGACCGCTGCAATCTTCAGCACCACCAGCAATAGTACGACCTTTAGATTTCCATTTCCTCACTTAAAAAAACAATAAAATAAAAAGCAAGAAAAATATTTGCATTTAAAATCCTCAAGAATTCATTTCATTTTGTACGCACAATAGATTGTTCTATTTAAATATATATTTTCGTAACCTTCTAATTGGTACCTAAGAAACGGTTGGAGCTTTCCTTCACTGATGCAATACACGTCGTCTGCTATGCGTTGGAACAGATCGACAACGGTCACGTTTTTTTGCGTAATACTTCCAAGTAAACGTTCCGCAAATAGATTATTGCCAATTGTTCTATTCGGTTCACGCGTAAATAGAATCAGTACTCCGCGAGGTGCATCCATATCATGGAAATCTTGTGGTTGTACAATTTGATCTAAAGGAAAAGTTACTCATAACTTTAGGGAAACAAAATATTAAATACCGATAGATCTTTCTCTGTTTTCCAGTCTATAGGGTCTACCACAATCAAGAATGAAGATAACCAAATGCGGCGGTGTTTCATCAGCTCCTATTTCGTTTACCAAGCGAGTGAGTATTCGATTAACAGGAACACCCAAACTCAGAATAGTGTTCATGTCCAACCGAGTATCATCAGTGGGAATGAGATAGTTTTGTTGATCGACTTGCCAACCATGACCACAATAATAGAACAGAACTATATCATTTTCCTTGAGTTTTTCTGCAAAATTTTTAACTTCAACCATTATATCTGTGCTTGTAGAAAGATTTTCTTTTAGAGTGACTTCGAAACCAATCGTGTTGAGCAAGTCCATAAGTTCTCTGCCATTCATCATAGAATCATCGATTCTATTTTTCTTTCTTTTATAATTACCATTGCTGATGATTAATGCTAGTTTTCGACGTTGAGTAACAGATGCATCCGTAGCTGCCATATTGTATCTTTATCTACAGCTTATCGAAGAGCTTATAAATTCAGCTAATTGAAGGAGGCAAGACACACACGGGATCTATGGGAAATGAAATAATTGTTATTTTAGTCGCAATGCGACTACGCAGTGTGTCACAGAAAAAATAGTTGTGTTAATATTATGGTGAGGGGAAAAGACGGCGTCTTCGATAGTATTTTTTTATTGTATGTTTCATTCTTGTCAACAGAAGTTTGTACTTTGTCGTTTCAGTATGAGCACACGCACACTCGAAATACTCTCTTTTATTTACATTGCATAAAATGTATGAAGAAATATTTCTATATGCGGTTATGCGAGCCACTGTAAAATACCATATAATTACGTATTTCTATGTAAATGATATGTCATTTAACGGTTTTCACAGATTGGATTCTCCGACTTTATTACAAAGTTTGGTAGAGCTCCCATGTGTTTTATGGTTTATGTTTCGAGCCAGATATTGCACTGATACTTTGCGGTAAATGTAACTGGCTCTTAATTCTTTTCTGCTCGAAAATAGCTGCTTGCATCATATAATCGTACACGAATACGATTTATTGATCCCAGTGGACACTGTTCATGGAGATCACCCCATGCGAATAGTCGAACAGCATCTTCCTACCATTGAGAAAATTGACGATCGAACGCATCTTGTTCGGGAATATCCAAAGTCGCGACCATTCGACGACACTTGCATCTTCAACTAGTTGTAGCTTGATATCGCTGCAAAAACTGAACACGAAAATCGTATTTAGCTGCATGTGCATGAAAATATTGTCGTATCCAATCGCTGAGAATTGTTGACGGATTAGCTTGTTTGACTTTTTGAAATTTTGTCGCCAACTGCTCTTTAGTAACTGGAAAGAGGGCATATTTGACGATCCAATAACCACAACGATACGCTGCTTGTGAATACACCTCTTGTTCCATAATATTTGTATTGAGTAGTTTGGTTCGTTCTAATTATTTGTATGTGAATCATCTCTTTCTTTCAACGCTTTTTTTTAACCATTCCGGATCATCAGAATATTAATTATGCGACCGTTGGGTATCACAGCAAACTGTAGCATTGGTTAATTCAAGTACAGAAGTATTATTGAAGAAAAAGTATTTTCGTCTTCTCGTAATTATGTTCCCGTGGCATTGAAAATTTCATAGCTATTTCTCACGATGCTGATAATCGAATATATTCGATTTGAGTTAGTTCGCTTGCATATCTAAGGATAACCGAATATGTTCCTGTATACATAAACAGCTCTTGACTTAGATCAGGCGGTGAATTGGCTGGTACAGTTAATATACCTTTGACAAATGCTTGAGTTGCCGCACAATCCACGATTGTGCTTTTCATAACTCTTCTCTTGCATTGATCAGAAACTCGCAATGATATTACTAAGTTTTTTCTTCTTCATCATTTTCGACATGTTCAATAACTGGATCATCATAGCGAAGAATATCTTTGAGATCTTCACCAACGATAGAAGTCTTCACTGTTTTGATTGGGTGCATTTATCTTTGTTTTATTGTGTGAGAACAGCAAAAGGCTGTACGGTATGAGTAAACGTCACACTTGAGCAAATCACTCTTAAGCAAAGTAAACAGTGAATAAAAGGGAAAGACAGGTCACTAGAAAAAATGCTCATCGGGCAGCTCATAGAATACGCTTTCAACTTCTTCATGTTCAACAATAGACCGGGCCTATATATTTCATTCTAGCAGTTTTGCTCGATAGTAAATAATTGGATTCAATGGTTGTCAGAATCGGCTACATATAGATTACCATTCTCATCAAATCCTTGACAATGGGGGCCATTCGGATGGCTAGCGGTGTCACCTGCGGAAGCTCCTTTGCACCAGCGCATCACTCGGTGATTCCAGTGGCCAGCAACATACACTGTTCCAAATCGATCGACTACTATTCCGGCAGGACAATCTAATTGATTGAGATTCTTTCCTTTCCCATTACCACCAGCTACCACGGCACCTTCTTTTGCTCCGTTTTCCCGTTTTGCAACATGATTATTGCAGGAATCAGATACGTATACTGATATTTACTCGTATAGCCAGAGAAAAGATTCGATCGTATGGAAAAATATGCGCAATACCGAACTGAACCTGTTTAGGCAGATGTACTAGATGAAAGTGAGTTTTTTTTATTGATATACAGAGCGAGAGCTCATACAAAACACTTATCAATGCGAACGGATGTCGTACTTTTGAATCCGATGATTATACGAGTCAGCTATATAGAGCGCACCACCGTCATCGAAAACTAAACCTTCGGGGCTGTTGAGTTGCTTAGGTCCGTCTCCTGACCTAAATGGATTGCCAATGATCAGATCTCCCTGAGAAGTACTTTTTTGCCAGCGCATCACGCGATGATTCCAGTGATCAGCAACATACACTGTTCCAAAACTGTCAACCGCTATTCCTGCAGGACAATCCAATTGATTAAGATTTTTTCCTTTTCCATTGCCACCAGCAACAACAATACCTTCTTTCGCTCCTTTTTTCCACTTCACAACGCGATTGTTCCACGAATCGGAAACGTATATCGATTTATCTAGGCCAATAAAAAGATAAGTGGGATGATTGAGTTGATTAGGACGGGAACCTTGTCCATGACCGCCAGCCACCGTGATGCTATGGCTGCGTCCTGTAGGCGAATATCGTTTCACTTCATGATATTCACTATCAGAAATGTAGAGAAATCCATCCTCGTCCACGGCGATGCCAGAACATACAATATCATTAATAATTGTTTTGAAGCTTTTATTATTCTTGCCAAGCGTCATTTGAACAACTCGTCGGTTATGTGTATCACAGATGATATAGCTTTTCTTGCGTTGCTGCTGATAGAAAATGACGTGTTTAGGTTCCCATAACATGTTATATCCATAACCGGCAATACTTCTACCAGCTACTCTTTGCCCTTCCTTTATACCATTTTTGAATCTCATAATACGATGATTCAGTGAGTCAGCAACGAGTAAAGCTTTACTAGGTGTTAGAAATATACCACGAGGACAATTCAGTTGATCTAACAGTGAACCAGAGCTGCAACAGTTATTATGATTACCAACTAGGCAACGGCCTTTTGTATTCCATCGAGCATGTCTTGGTATATTGCTTCTAGCTGCAATAAAATGGAAAAACTCAATCGGAACTTTTATTCTGGTATACATACAATGTATCGATTCTCGCAGAAAGACTTCTTCATCTTCATCCCAAGTGTACATGGTGAACGGTTTTTGTGTTTTATATGATGCTCGATAGACATCATCTCGAACATTTTTGAAGATATCGATAATTTTAACATCGGGTTCAACGATATTTCTTAATAAATATTCCATATATAGATTACTAGTAGTTGTTTTATTAGCAGCGCATGCAAATTGAATCAACATATTTGGTGGTGCTTTCAGTTGGGTTAAACCTTCTTTTTTCCCTAAATTATCGAATCAATTCGGTAATTACATTAATAAAAACCGATGACGTGTTTCTTACAGAAAGGAGACTGGTCGCTCGATAGATTATATGGTCTGCAACAGTCTAGAATCATAGCACACATACGGAATATATTTTTACGCTTGAGCCATTTGAACAGCGTTGCAATGGGTGTACCAAGACATTGTATATCTCTGTCATTGGATACACATCTATCCATTGTAGGTATTAAATAATTTGTGCCATCAACTTGACAGCCATGGCCAGAAATAAAGATTAGGACAAAATCGTCGTTCTGAATGGTTTCGCAGAATCTGATCACACATTCCAAAAGTTTTTCGCTTTTTTCAACATTTTCAAGAAATGTAACTTCAAAATTCATATCTGTGAGTAATACATTTAGTTCTGTTGCTTTGGCGATAGAACCATCAAGTCTATTCTCTTGTTGTTCATATTTGCTGTTAGCAATAAGTAATGCTAATCGTCGATTGATAGTCGATTCATTGTGAAGAAGTGCCATAGGTGTCGAAATCTTAAATAATGAGGGGAATATTTTCCCCAAGTTCTAAAAAAAGACATAGTGATTAAAATCACCTACTTAACAAATATTTTTTTGTTGTGTACATGCGTTCTCTTTCAGTTTTTGTATTGCCTGAAAACATCTACACAAAAGAAAAAATAATTTATGCAGCTTCTATTCTGCGTCTTTCTGATATTTGTTTTTTTTATGCTTGAAAGAATACTTAAAAGTTATACTTTTTTCCAACATACATGCATTTGCTCATGTTTATTTTCGGGATCATAACAATTGGAGAAAATAATAAGATCGTCAACGTCAGCGATTATAAATAAGAGCGACGGAGAATGCATTTCTTTTAAATATAACACGAACATGACATACTCGACTGGTAAACAGCAGTTCCGAAAAATTGCGTTAATTTTAAGTAATGGCGATTATAGTCGACCAGAGGATCGACTTCAGAATGTTGGAGCGGACGCGAATAGCTTCAGCAATGTACTTAAACAGATTGGCTTTCAAGTGACGACTGTCTGTAACAAAGGGAAACATGACATGGCTACGGCGATTATCGATTTCGCTAACACGATTCAAGATGGCGATTTGGTTTTATTCTATTATTTCGGCCATTGCTATCGGGTCAAGGACAAACACTACCTTATACCTGCTAGCGATGGTATGATTGAACAGAGAACGGATGTCGCCGATTTTTCTGTCGATCTCGAACGAAATCTCGAGCGTTTTGTCGAAAAGAACACATCTTTTGTGAATATCTTCATTTTGGATTCGTGCGGAACTTATTCATTGCAAAGTAGTGCGACGTTGGGCGGCAAGTACCATCTCTAGATTTAGGTTCAGAGAACTATGATATCTTTTTTAAATGTTTTTAGCTGCGAATGGATCTGAGAATCTTCCCCGACTGACAAAAATAGATGGTTTATTCATACAGTGTGCCTGCGGCACGAATGAATCAACTCGGAACAATCTATTCACCAAGCATTTACTTAATAATGTTCAAGAAGAAAATGTCAGTATTCGTGATCTTTTTCGTCAAATTACCAAAGATGTAGAGAAAGAGAGTAATAATAAACAGCGACCATTAGTGCTCAACGGATTGCGTCGGCACGACGATATTTGTCTAAACGAAGTTGAACGTCAAAGTAAGTGTTTACTAATTATGAGTATGAAGTTCTCTTGTATCCACGGTATAACCGTTGTCGTTTGAATTTTTCAGAATGGGCTGATTTGGACGACAGTGAAATACCGGCTCTCTTGAAAAAACAAGAAGAACAGCGAGACTGTTACGATAACTATCCGAATCTTGATGATGTTATCAATCGAAATACACCCGACATGCAAAAAGCTGATGAACTCACAGATTCGTTGTTAAATAAGCAACCATCGGGTAATCCAGCAGACAAGCATACACTCTATCATGCTTTAAGTAATTTAATGGAGAGCAATAATCAACAATGTGTCTTTTTTGATTCGCGAGACGATGTCAAACTACACGATGCATCCGCTAATTTAGCTGACCTTGGCACTGAAGACAAACCATTAATTTTGAAGTTGAATAGTAACAAGCAATTCATTGACTACAGAGATTCAAAGGATGAGCATTTTGATCTGAGAGTAATCAAAACATTGGAACAAGCAATCGAACACAACGATTCGCACCCTATTCTTGATGATATAGTTAGCAAATTGGCAAACGCTCATGGTATCCAGAAAAATGATATTACTCTGAGTGCTGTTTATGTCGGATCGTTTAATATTGTCTATACTGTCAAGCATTTGGCACAGAAAGCTATTAAAAAGTTGGCAGATCTCTCTAAAAAACTAAAAGAACAATTCAAAGATTTTGTTGCTGCGAAAATTCATCCACTACTATTTCGACCATCATTTGATATAGCTCAATTTGATGAATGTGGTGATAGAGCTTTTACTAGTCCAGAAAAACATCAAGTTGGGCCAGTTGGTCGTACTAAGGAATACACTTCTCCAGTTGGTTATACAAGGTATGGATTGAAGGTTTTAGGTAAATATGCGGACGATCAATGGTTACATCCATTTGGAAGTCCGCAAAACTGGTACAGAGCTTTTCATGGAACGAAAAATGCAAAACCTATCGATGGCGGTGATCCAAACTCAGCAGCTGTTGATGTTACTTCTATTATTCATAAAAGCGGATTCACCAAAGCAACAAATGCTCTTCATGGGCCTGGTGTGTACTGTTCACCCATTCCGAATTTTGTAGAAAATGGATATGCTGGGGAAGTGAAACTAGATACTACAGATGGATCGAAAAAATTCAAGATGATGTTACAAGTCGCTGTCAATCCTGATGATGTAAAATTCACTAGTGATGCTAACATATGGGTTGTTAAACATCCAGAAAATATTCGAGCCTATGGTATACTCATAAAAGAAGTCTAATTCATACCGCATTAACTGATGTTTTCTTTTATTTTCTTATGTACTTTATGTGTAATGCAAATAAACGCATTTTTACACACATGGTAATCTTATCTCTTAAATATGTCTTTTGAAATGCGTTTCGTTATTATTACATTTTTCTTACGCACACTTCATCATTATATAACAGTTCAAGAAAATTTCAACAACTTGTGTTGATCATGCAATTTTTGCTTTTCTATATTCGTGAGTTAATAGAGCAACAGAGCCAAAATTTCTCTTATATTGTTTATTCCAGTGATTTGTGCACCAATTGTACGATCTCAAACTACTGCATGTACGAAATGGAGTACTACAGGCGTTACTATAGCTGGAACTGGGGTAGCTGGTAATTCATCCCATCAACTTTATACTCCACAAAGCATTTTTATTCACAAATTAACAAATACATTATATGTAGCCGATTTTAGTAATCAACGTGTTCAGAAATTTTCATTGGATGCTTCTTCCAGCGGTGAAGGTGTGACTGTAGCATCTGGTAGTTGGTGGATGCCAGTCGATATTTATGTTGATACAGACGACAGTAGTAACAAGCCCATTATTTACATAGTAACATTCACATCTTATTATGCTGAAAAATGGATTGAAGGCGCAACTCATGGTGAAAAACTTGCACATAAATGCCGTTCATGTTCTAGTATTTCATTGGATAAAAATAAGAACGTTTATTTATCATCTGCGTCGGATGCTTGTGTATATCAATGGTCGCCACAAACAAATACGACCATCGTTGTTGCTGGTCATGAACAGCAACCGGGACTTACTGATGGAAATCTTGATGAGCCACGTGGAATTTATGTTGATGAAATAAAACAAACGGTGTATGTAGCTGATTTGAAGAAGAATCACGTTCAAAAATGGAGTATGGGCGCTAACGAAGGTCCAACTGTGGCAGGTTCGCGTGCCGGTCAGGATGGAAGCTCTGCTGATCTTCTCTACGAACCGATGAACATACAAGTGGATGAAGTAACAAAAATTCTCTACATAGCTGATAAAAGAAATCATCGAATTCAACGGTGGCTTCCCGCTGCATTAGCCGGTGATACGCTTGTTGGAGGACGCGGTATGTATATTTCATACAAACGAGTGGTCGATAGACTTAATTTGACAAACTGAGTATAATAGGTGAGGGCGATGGCGCCGAGCAACTTCGTTATCCAACTGATTTGGCATTCGACCGTGATGGAAATCTTTATGTGTGTGACAGCACAAATCATCGCATTCAACGATTCAAACTACTTGAAAGTCCATCATGCAAATCCGCATCAACAGGTAAGCTGAAAACACCTCTTTTGTTGGATTCACACGGATCATATAACTCTTGCTATATTTCTAGCTAATTTTCCAATGTTCAAGTGAGCATATGCAACTGTAAAAATTCTTTTCTGTCACTCGACAACATTTATATATTTAGAATCATCATTCTCTTTTGTGTATTATCGGTCGGGACGTGGTTGAATCTTAACTAATTATATAGCTCACTTTTATTTTAACGCTACGAACAGTCTTCGAAGTGAATTTTTTGCCTTCTATTTCAAACAAATATCATAAGACTTCATTATTAATATTGATCATTAGATATCGTCCACATTAAGTATCTATTATTATGCTAATATACTTTGATCGTTTCACCTCTGAACTTTGTTTTGCTTTCTCAACGCTCAACATCGATAGAAGTGTTGTATAAAAGAAATACGAGGTAAGTGTAGAATGTCGGTTCCATAATATCTCATGGATATAGTGATTGAGTTTTCTGTTGCCTTCGAAGGTTTTTGGAGAGGTTTACGCTATTCAACAGATCTTCCAGTGGAATTAAGGGAAATTATTGATCCATATGAGTTTTGAAGTTCGATAGAAGATATCAATGAAGCTTATCGATTACTGCGCATTGTGGTAGAAGGAAGTATCATTCTGATAGTGATCGAAACAACTGGAATACCACTACAAATTAGTGAAGGGTTCTCAATCGTCTTTGTAAGTCCTGCAGCGGAAATCGTACCCATCGTTACTGCAGCCGCATGTCTATTTTCTATGCATATATTTCGGCTTATAGGCAATGCGTCTCCAGATTCCATCAGGTACAGAACGATTCTGATTAGCTGCTATGCTGAATCTTTGACATACATAACGCGAACACCTATACAAACGAGATGACGAGTGTAGAAAGATATTGTTTGAAACTATTTTATAGAAGGAGAAGGTTATCACACGATTCACTTGGTAAGTTAGTATATCTGTTCATATCGAAGTTTTCTTCCTAACACTTCTACTAGTCGGACAGTAACTGATAACTTATCGGCAAATTGGATCTTTTTATTATCTGCATTAGTCTTAAGAATATTATGACTTGCAAAGCCAGATCAATGACTCTCCAGTACAGACTTATTTGCTCAACAAAGCAACTTCATATGGACATTTTCATGGTTAATTATGGATCTTTTCCTTTTCATTGACTATATTAACTATCGATCACATGAAGTTGAGTGTTTTTCGAAGCAAAAAATAATTGAAGAGACTACTATTAAATAAAAGTACATATACAGATTAGAAACGAAGAGAAGAAATAAGAGAGAATCTGCATATGTAAAAAGACAAGAGGAAAAAGAACGCGTACTCACTGATGTGTGACAGTATTGGATAAAAACATGTGGTTATAGCATTTATAGAAGTGATACTTCACCTATAGACATCACAGTGTATACACAGTCAAGTATAGTCTTTACATACACTACGCGCCTAAATGTATCACCACACGTTTCTATCAATTATCAGAGAAATTAACTGGATTTGAATCTCATTTTAATTCTGAAGAAATCACGACTAGTACGGTCTATTATTTAGATGACTGCTATCGGAATTTTCCTGGCGATTCTGGTCATTTTCATCGTTACATGTCTCACTGTTAAACGTAGTTTTTTCTTCGGTCAATTGATTATTTATCTAAATGCTCTAACTTATCATTACAAGAAGATCTACATGCGTCCACATCGTATTGTTCTCGTGCGTCATGGCGAATCAGAAAGCAATGTTGATGAAAGTGTCTATACTCGAACTCCAGATGCACACATTAGTCTAACACAACTAGGAACGCAGCAAGCAGTTGAAGTTGGAAAAAAGTTGAAGCAAGAAGTGATCAATGATCCGAATGAGAACATTTACGTTTATTTGAGTCCTTACTTACGCAGTAAACAGACCTATGAAGGTATTTCAAAGTAAGACTGAATGACATAATGATTTGTGGCAAAAGCTCTAGATTATCATACAATGAATCTATTCGTACACGTTTTGTTTGCAGATCTTTCTCACCATCTCAAATCATCAAAGTTCGTGAAGATCCTCGACTACGTGAGCAAGAATGGGGTAATTTTCTTCATCCTGACATTCGTCGAAATGAAATAATAGAACGTAAGAAAGTCGGCGATTTTTACTTTCGATTTACTAATGGTGAAAGTGGAGCAGATGTATATGATCGTTGTACACTCTTTCTCGACACATTATTTCGGAAGAATATGAACGGACTAACTCCCAGAGCTAATAATATTTTAATTGTTAGTCACGGACTTTTTATGAGACTCTTTCTTATGAGATATTTCAAGTGGACAGTAGAAGAACATCAGCAATGGAGAAATTTTAAGAACTGTGAATATTGTGTGTTGGAACTCAACGACAAAACAGGATCGTATGAATTGAAGACACAATTGGAAAAAAAGAAGGACGAAGATGAAGAATAAGCTATTTTTCGTTATATTCATTCAAATAAAATCTAATCGAAGGCCATCAACACATGGAATTTACTACGAAGACAAATAGTATATAAGGTTTTCTTCATCATCTACGCGCGAAGTTTCATATCAGCGTTCGGTGCGACTATCATAATTGATATTTGTTATAAATAAGATCATTTAGCTATCATTTCCTGAATGAGGATGACGCAGGTTTGTTTGTTCAAATTATACTGGTTTCTATATGTCAAGTGTTTGACATTAGTTCGAAGTACCAAAATTGTTCGCTCAGTAATAGCTTTGATTTACTGTGTCATTTACATAGTGAAAACACATAACAAACAAATTACTAGTGATGTACCAAATCATTTATCGAGAATACATAAGCCAATTTCATTTACCAATTAAGAGAAAACAGTGGGGTCTCTATCGTCGCACACATCGCAAATAAGTGACTTCTCAGTATAAACTTATTTGATGAAAAAGACATTGGACATGTGTGATACGATGTCTGACTATGGGTGCTTTGATTTCTCTATCTACTGACTATAGATTAAATCGAGTTTTCGATAAATTTAATTTGAAACGAATCAAGACTACTAATCGTATTCTTAACTTTTTTATGAATGGCATAATGTGTGAAATGAATTCTTTGTTGGCACTTATCTTTACCTCAATGTCGGCAATCGTTTGAATATAAGCGCTAGTTACATAAAATGGAAAGCCATAATCTCAATTTAACCTAGATCTGATAGCATTGTCGTATTATCGAGAGTTTCTTAATTTATATGCGCTTCGTTTAGTCATTTGTGTGCATAAGGCACACAAACTAATAGATAAGCTCTATCTTTAGAGATACGTATTCTAATGATTGTAGCATTTTCATTTACATTTTGCTTGCAACACTCAAAAGAATATGACTAGAGATAAAACCTTTGTATTCTCTTTTTCACTATTTCAAATTCTCCGTCTACCGACGAGGGACAACCGCCTTGTTTGGTTCTTCTGTATACCATCACTATACATAGTACCTCTTGTTTCGAATGCCTCCCTGAAATCTACATGTTTCTCTCATAATAATCTTTTGACACTATCATCACGCATTACATTATGTCACTTAGACGTATTGCTTCTAAATCCAAAAGTTAAATAAATAGATACATGAATCATTCTCTCATTCCAGATAAGTTTTCTTCTTTTCTATGACTAATCAATATTCTGAATTAGTGGAGCAATACGAACGTGATGGGTATGCGATCATACGAAATGTCATTGATGCTCAATTAGTCAAAGAATGCCAACAGCATGTCGATTTCCTACAAAAGAAATATCCAACCATTCCAGGCGAACATCTACATCATCCAATCATGCGAAATGATCCATTTTGGATTCGACTCGTCAGTGATCAACGCTTATTAGATTTAGCCGCTATTTTTGGAAAACCTTTCATTGAACCAGATAAGGGAATTGCTCTGTTCTCGTCGCACTACTTTTCCAAACCACCTAAAACAGGCATGGCTGTTCTTTGGCATCAAGACGGTGAGCTTCGCATTATTCAGAAGAGATTTTTAGAATAATATCGAGAACTAATAGGCGCATATTGGCCGTTGAAACCAATGAATGTCTTGACAATGTGGTTAGCTGTCGATCGAAGTGATCGAGAAAACGGTTGTCTACGCGTGATTCGTGGTAGTCATAAGCAAGGACTGACTGACTTGAAAGAAGATGTGTCGGTTACTAATGTTCTGGGTAGTTATACACATCGTGATGAGGATATTAATCAAAACGATGTTGTCGATATGATTTTGGAACCCGGTGGTAAGCAAAATCTAATGTATTTCTTTCGGTTAGCCAAGTTTTCTTTCTCATAGATATTAGTATTCACCATCCTAACATCGTTCATGGTTCTGACGCGAATACAAGTGATCGGAGACGATGTGGATTGACAATTAGGTACGTTGAAGTAAACAAAATCGCCTAGAAAATCATTTGTTTCATGCGATTCGCTTTAGATACATGGCGCCTACGACTGAATGTATCGATAAAACACAACCAGTGATGATGATGAGTGGAGCGGCTGTACAAGGAATCAATCACTACCGAAGTTGGCCTAAATATCGTTCTGGTTATGATTTTTCATTCAGTGGCTGTGAACAATGGAATGAAAAACGACGAATTGTACCAGAAGATGAACAATACTTCGAACGAACAGATTATGATCAAATGGACAAAGAAATCGAAGAGGAAGTGTTAAGTTTCGTTGCAAAACTCGGCGGAAAAAAGCCATATGCAGAATTATAAAAACAGTGTAATATTTTGTTTTTTCTTCTAAATGTAATATTTGATATATTCAAACCAAAAACGTGCAATTACTTCTAAATAAATCAATGCTGTCTTTCTTCTAATTGCTAAACAATATAATTCGAAAGTGATCGTTGAAGAGTGCCTGTAGTCTTGAAATCAGTGTGAGATATTTCCACGATTGCTCATTCTGTCAATGACGTTCACTCTCTCTTCTTCTATTTCTCAAATTTTCAGGTGAAATTGTCACTTTTTCCTATCTTTCCCACGCCCTCAAAATATTTTACGGTTAATTTATTTATACATATTTTTCCTTATGTTAGACGAACGTATCGCGTATGAGCGAGAAACATGTGAAAAACTATGATGAGTATGTTTACTTCCTCGTTGCGAACTGAAAGCTACGCGGAAAACTTGTAGTATTGGTAGGGTGAAAAAGTTTGTTCGAATGTTGTTTTAGATAGAAGCACATATGTTCGAACCATTCAGCGTGCAAAAAAGTATCCGTATAGGAGAGGAAAAGAGTAAGTTTTGATTGTTGACTTTCGAAAATGTGCTTCTGATGTTTTTCCTTAACTAAGGATTTTGTAGAAGTGTACGATTTCGCGAGGATTTTCCTTCCGAATTGAATGGTATTGTACATCCGTATGAGTTTCATGAATCAATAAAAAACATTAATCGTGCTCGTCGGTCAAGTCTCCTTCAAATATTTGCCAATTTGATACTCATAATATGTTTCATCATTGGAATTGCAATAACAATTGTTGGTTTCGCATTGATTAACAATACAGATCGAACCTTATGGATTGTTCTGATTGTGATTGGAGCTGTTGTATCAGTTATTTCGATTGTAGTTTCTAGTTGTTTAGCACTTGGCATTTGTTCACCACACTCGAATCGATTGGTGGAAGCAATAGGCTCTGAATCGATGAAATACATAACTAGACGACCGATACCAATGAAATGGCGATTACAGATAGATAGCATTGCGAATCAAAGCTATCAATACAATCCTTTCGTGAGAGGCTCTAATATATATTATTCTGTGAGTAGTATCTTATTTAATACGATTCGTCATTGTTTAAAATAATCAATTCTAGCTGGCTATTGACATTGGTAAAAAAATGGATCGGGAAGTTCGAAAGATTTATGAACCAACATCCTATCTTGGGCAACAATCGCATCTTTCTTTAGTCTATTAAACCGTTTGATGATAGCGATGTCGCTTTACTGACAGTTTTTACTTTTTCGACTGTATACAAGTTGACGATTGGACTTGTTCGAATGAGCGGGCTCGCTCAAACATAAATTAGTTCTTATTCATGGGTAAAATGTCATGAGTGATCATTATCATTTAATTACATTCTCGATGAAAAAGAAACGACGTCAATAGCCAAATCAAATCTGTATTTTTATCTTGGCTATTTCGCTTTTCAAGTAAAACCAACGCGAAAGTATACGTGTATAAATAAAAATAATTTATATGATCACTGTACCAATGCATACTTTGCATGTTGTCATCGATTTCAGGGCTAATGCATATCACATTTATGTTTGACGAAAAAGATACGCCCATCAGAATATTTTGTACCATGAGAACATATTCAAAATTTGAACGACGTGTTCAGCTCGTGCTCGTATGCATTCTAGAATCTAGATAGGATTTAGATATTTATACCATTTTTTGTTCAAGATAGTATTATATAGCATACAGAAAGAAGAAAACGGGTAATACTTCTGTTGATTTTATCGCTTTCGAGTTGGTTTTATAGGATTGTGTAGGAACGTACGATATTGGACTCAATCTCCTCTACGGCTAGCAAGAATTATAGATCTGTATGCATTTGAAAAATCAGTACGGAGTATTAATCGTGCCCGACGAACAAGTTTAGCTCAGAGACCGACCATTGTTGTTATTTTATTATGTACGGTCATTGAATTTACAACCACGGTTACTGATTTACCATTGATAACCATCACGAAGTATCTATTATGCCAATAGTTGTTTTCATATGTGCAACGTTGATTTTGCGTTTGTATTGCTTTGTCATCGGACAACGCGACGCACTATATGCTGAATCTATGAAATACGCACACGATACAGCTTATATCGCAAGTCGTGCTAGTGATCCTCGACAATCTGATGAAAAGATTCGTTCAATATTGGCTCATCATTGACATTGACAAAAACATAGATGAAGCCATTCGAATTGATCTAGTTCATACAATCACAACCATACATGAGTAAACCTCAGACATGTACAGTCAATACTCATAATACGTGGACTTATGTGTTATATAAATTTTTCCATCGCATATTCTTTTCATAAATTGACTTCTGACACTGGATATCTATTTCGTACTCAGGAAGTTCTTTTTCAGACTAAGTATAGTAACTCATTATTTTCTTTCCTTTGCTTTCAATTTTGTTTAGAAAGTAGGTTTCCGCTTGGAATCAGTTCTTTTCAATTACACGGAGCTGGGGGCGCTAATACGAACTAAACATCGCGGATGCGTTTATGGAAAATATTTTTTTATCAACGATAGTGAACCAAATTGATCAACGAATTACGTAGTATCAAATCGTTTCTTTGTGAAAAAGAAAACCTCTATTAAATGGTTTCATGGCTTAGTGGTACTGCCTTGTCCACCAAACAAGAGCAGCGAGAGCCAGTGTAAAAATAACTGATAGCACAGGAAAGTCAAAGCCACATCCGTGTGGAATACCATTCTTGACTCGATCAGACAAACTGATGCCAATACCGCCATGGCTGGCAGCACGTTCAAGGACTAATCGATGCTTCTGAACAAAGAATCGCGCTCGGAGTGCATTGTAAATGCATATTAGCGACCGACAAAAACCGCTACAAAAGTGACCAAATCAATTAGTCACAATTAGAAATAGATAGATTATACGAGTTTACCTTAAACAACCAATTAGTACGATACAACGAGTACGTAAATGTATGCTTTCAAGTTCAGTTTTTGATAAACCGTTGACTAATGTGTAGTAAAGAATTAAACCAATTATTGCACCCTAACGATCAAACGTCAATTAACATTAGGAGCTAAATCACCTTACTTTAATAAAGCCAGCACAATTATGAATAAAGCAATGCGTTCGATGTTGACAGCTTCGCTCGACTGCCTGTATTTCCGTTGCATATTCAGAAAGAATCTCCGATGATTTTTCTTTGTGGTTAATGGATTTAAACAAAGCTACGCAGAAAACGATTATCATTGGCCACGAAACCGCCTGTATCTATAACTTCTTTACCTAGCAATTCTTGATTGACTTGATCGGCACATTCACCTCCTATATCATGTCCTGCATGTTCGAGTTTAACAAGCCGACAGCCAAGTGTCTAAACAACGAATACACAAACTTCTCAGAAGAACAGCACGAGGGAATTTGTGCATACTCTTTGCAGCATATATGAATTAGTTTCACGCACCAGGCGATCTTCAGTGCCTACCATAACTAAACATGGAAAGTTTGCATAGCGAATTTTTAATAAATCAGCGTAGTTGATATAATGCCGTTGAACGGCAAACATTTGTCCGAACATGCCGACCAATTTCAATGGAACTCGAGTTCTAAATCGTTCACGATGATAATCAAAGAAGTACTACAACGATTCAAGCAAATGCATGATAGTAAACGCTCTAGTATAAGAGTAGATATCTCGAAATTACTTGTCGTTTGCTCGGATCATTCAACGTTTTCCGACTATAAAGCATTGCAAGAGCATTTTCGACAATCTTCTCTTCGTTGCTTAATACTAATGACCGTAAGACACCGTACAGACCCATTAATGGTGCTTGCCCAATGAGACCACCAGCGTGTGTAGCCATTAAAGTCAATGAAATAATTCTACGTGGCGCTAACAATGCTAATTCTAATGCGATCATCCCACCCATCGACACACCCACAACGTGACATTGTGACCAACGCAAATGATCAATTAATTCAAGAGCATCTTTTGCCATTTGAACCGTTGTATACTCTAGTGTCATCGGTGTCGACGTCCGACCACACCCACGATTATCATAACTCACACACTAATCAACCAAATGTATTTCTATTAGTCTGTTCTTACGCTTACTTCAAATTCTGGTAGTTTACGAAAAAAATCGGTCTATATGTGCAAAAATATCAAAGCACATTTTATAAAATGCGTGCTCGGACTTTACTTGATATTTCCAAGCACAACCTTCAGTTCTCAAACCCATAATAAAGAGCACTTTGATGTCACCAGAGCCATGTACTTCGTAGTATAACTTGATATTCTGATGAGATGTAGGTAACTGCACGTATGGCATGTCTACAACATATACTAGACCATTCGGTGGTCTCGTTATACGAAAAAAAAACACAGAATAATAATCTTCTGTTGTGTGTTTCAAGTTTTATATCATTTTCGTCAGTTATCAAATAATATTATTTATGCTTATCACGTGCATAAAAGGAAGAAAAAAGCAAATATGATATCATTTACCATCAATCCTGTTCTTTATTCGACATTATAAATTTCTATCCTGCAAAATTTGAAATTACAAAGATTTCTAAGCATGTTATTGTGTGTATGATTAGTGTATCATAACACGTTTTATTTCATCTACACAAAAGCACAGACAACATGCAATACAAATATGGCATTATATTTAGAAGGAAATAGTTCGTTAGTTACGCTGGTTGCTTTGCATTCGTAGAGTCATGACTAACTCGATGTCTCCGTTGGCACAAGACTGAAGGATTAAGCTGCCGTCGGAATTTTGGTGATGAGAAGAAGAAAACAAAAAATTGACATGTAAATGCCACGTAGAACAGCAACGTTACGATGTTCGTTGCCAGATTTTCGATATCTCTTCGACTAGCCGATTTTGTTTGTTTTGACGTCAATGCTCGATATTCGCTGAATGCAATATACGGAACGGTTGATATAAGTATAACAGGTATTTGAATGAGCATCATATTTGTTAACTGTTTCTGAATCAGTTCACGCTGATAATCAAGTCGTAGTTTACTGGTATTTCGATAGGTTAGTACACCTGTAATAATTAAAATCGATGTTGGTAATACACCAAGATAGACTAATAGAGAAAAATATATTTGATAATTCGAAAGTATTTGATTGGGTGTGATTGCACAGACGAAGGTTGAGCTGGCGGTTGGTGATGGTAAGAGATTTGCAAAGATTAGATTAGGTGTGGCGTGGCACACCCAAAATATGATTGAAACTAGAATTGATATTCGAGCTGTTGATAGTCGACTAAATTTTCTTAATGTAGCACTTCGGCAACTGGCAAGACAACGGTCAACACTTGCGAGACAGATGCATGTTAATGATAGAAGGAAGCTGGCTTCGGAGAAGGCAATGCGAATTTTACACCAGATGAGATTCGTTTGAGACCAATCAAGACCAAAACCGACATTTAATATTCGAGTAAATAAACCGAAAAAAAGAGCAAAACAGTTAAATATTGATGAACATAGAAAGAGAAATGCACAAGAATTTCGGCGACTTTGCCAAAGTAAAATAAGATTTAGAAAATTCCCGACAGTACCACAAACTAATATTGGTATACCGCAATATATCGTGATTGCACGTGCTAAATCGGCACTTGAGGACATTTATAGTGATAATCTGATGGTTGAATTAAGATCTATGAAGGCTTATCTACAGTTAGCAGTCTTTTATTCTCTCACTTTTTAATGTACTTAAACGGATAGCATGTGACGTATGACATACGTAGTTCTCCGTACTTTGATATTTATATAGAATGGCGGCGAACTAAAAGGAAGAGATGAGCACGAGGTGTTGATTATTTACGATTCAATTTATATCACTGGCAGTGTGTGCGTGATGATATTTTTCGATCTCTTGCTTTCGTTTTATGTATTTTAAAATAATTTTTCGAACTGAATCAGGTTGGCCGATGACATATAAAAAAAGAAAACCTTTTAGGACAGAATTGTGACTTGTATGAGTTATGTAGATGAAAAAGATTTTGTCTTTCATCCTAATTAGACGATTGTAAGTTTCTTTTTCTAGTCTTTTCTAAACTTTGCGCTACGATGACATTATTTTTGTCTTCTTCCTGGTGCAAAGTCGAGAAAAGACTGAAGAAGAAAGTTTCATTTATTTAACTATAGTATTGAACGTTCTTCGCATAAAAAGTACCAAAAGTTCCACATTGTATTTTAACTCTATTATGCATTTATTCTACTATACCTCACCAAATAATTTCAATCTTCTCAGAAGAAAAAACTCGACTAATTTTGACAAATGTTCTTTTTATATTCCTGCTCGAATTCAATTATATACTATCTGTAGTATAAAAGCTGTTTTGTACTGCTAGGTTACGAGGCATTTCCTCTTGACGCGAGTGATCATAAAATCTAATTCGTGGAATATTGTACATCAATGCTCCTCAATCTTTTGCTCTGCAAATGAATTTCTCCTGTGCGATTACGTATATATCTGTTTACAAAGATTAGTTCATCGAACATAACTTACTAATATTTACAAAAATTACCATCGCTAATTATTTTTTAGCCAAAATGTTGCAGGTATAATTATGTTGTACAGAAACTATAAAATGTCTTTCTGATGTAGCGTATGCCAATCGAATAGTTCAGCACGATATAATCTATGATTCATTAGTTGTTTTCACAACGATGTTTCATCAAAGCGAATACAATATCATAGAGAATTACTCATAACGAAGATTTCTGCTCTGACACTATTTGCTCTGTGATAAAAACAAAGGATATAAAAAGAAGGCTGAAAAGTGTATCTTTAGGTTACAATCGATACACACATAACGAACAACGTACACTATCAGTAACGCTGTATGATGTGGACATATTCAATAATCCAAATCTATGCATCATTGCTGTTGATTTATCAATATAATGCTATAACCAGTCCAATTCCACCATTCGTTGAATATGCACACTCTGCTGAACTTCAAACGAATGTTGCTGATCTTTGGTGGTCTGTAAATGATACCCAACAAGAGATCACCTTTGAATTGCATATTCGAAGTCTTGGTTGGATTGCCTTAGGAATTAGCCCAGGTACGGTTAAAATTTCGATCATTCATGACATAGTTTATTCGCCAAAAACGAATTCTAGCTGGAGGTATGAAAGGAGCCGATATTGCTATTATGTGGGTTGATTCTCAAGGAAAAGTTGTACTTCAAGTAAAAGAGATTTATTCTGATTTGTGTGTAGATATCTAATCAACTGTATTTTGATGTATAGGATCGCTACGCATCGGGCGAATCCAAACCCATGATTGACGATACAACTCAAGATTGGTTTGCTTTGCAAGGTCGTGAACAAAATGGCTGGACAGCCATTCAATTCAAACGTCTACTTGACACGTGTGATCCGATGGATTATACTATCAAAGTAAATACATTAATCCTTGATACTACAGCATTACTTGACGGTTTTCTTCATGATTAAAATAGTCAGGAACAAATAATCTGATATTTGCATACGGTCTTGTCGATCCTGATTCTACTCAATCTAATGGTGATATTACATATCATGATACACGACGAGGTTCACGCCGCATTCCCCTTCGCTCATACAATGATCCACCATCAGAAGGCAAATTTGCTAATCTTGAAACATTCGAATGGCGATTGAACAATGTTAGTATTTGTCTTCTTACTTCCGAGTGTATTGATGTCTCTTTTTTAATCCGTTAGTATCTCGTTCCTTCCACCGATACTACTTATCATTGTAAAGTACATAAAGCACCAAGTCATCTTACCACTCGACGACATTCCATTGCTGTAGGTTTTATCGAAAGAATTCTGATTAGACCTAAGCTGATTTTAATTGATTTTGTAGCACAAAATGATAATCGATCCAGCGAATATTGATCTCGTCCATCATTTATTATTGTATGAATGCGATCCTGCGGCTGTTTTCGATGAGAAAAATCTTCCTGATGGTTTATGCGATGATTTTGCTGAGAAACTAGAGTTATGCTCATCCAATATTGCCACTGGTTGGGCTGTGGGTGGCGATTTCGTAAGTTAAGAAAAGCATCCTATGCCACAAATATGTGTAGCTATATTTATCGTTTTAGCTGCTGGAGTTTCCGCAAGAAGCTGGATATCCTATCGGTGGTGATTTCCCAGTCAAATACTATCTACTCCAAATGCACTATGATAATCCGAGATTACAATCAGGTATGAAAATATCGTGTCAATCGATTTTGTTTTTGGCATGTCGATTTGTTTGTTTCTGTTTATTTCAGGTCGTCGAGATAGTTCTGGCATTCGTTTTTATCTTAGTAATGAGCTTCGTGGACAAGAACTCGGCTTCTTGACATTAGGAACATCATCAAGTGTCAAAGCTCTTGCGATTCCACCCAAAGTCAATAATTTCATCATCGATTCATACTGTCTACCTGAGGCTACTCAAGTACCAAACATTTCTTTAGAAATATTTATCATATGACAATCGAATTACGATTCTATTTTTGTTTTATTAGAATTTTCCAAAGGATGGTATTACAGTTACAGCAGCATTTCCTCATACACATTTACAAGGTACGTCTGTTTGTGTGAGAGAACAAGAGCCGATTGATTAGTCTTAATCTTGTCTAGGAAAAACAGTTTGGTCTAAATTGATTCGTAATGGTGTAGCTGTTCAATATCTTTTCAATGCTGATGCTTTCGATTTCAACTACCAATTTAACCATCGGCTACCAGAACCCATCAAACTCTACCCGGTGAGATACTTTAGCTGTAGCAAAATGAAGCAATATCCTATCTACACTTTTCTGCCTAGGGCGATGCTTTTGCTACACGATGTGTTTACAATACTATGAACAAGGAAAATGCCACATGGGCAAGTAGAAACTGATATTGAAATGAACTTTCGTAATATATCGTTGATGTTTTCTTTAGGGTGGAGAGAAAACGAAAAATGAAATGTGCCTAAATATGTTCACTTATTATCCTCGAATGAATGATATGTATATGTGTGCAACGGTGAATCATCCTTCCGCTTGGAAGAAACAGATGAATGTATCGGAGTGAGTCTCCGTTGATTTAATGCATAATTTGTGTACTTTTTGGTTTGATAGAGCACCTAGTAGCGCCGCGATTCAGCGGTGGCTGCAAAACATCACATGGACGCATGAGCTAAAAGAACAATGGCAACAATTTTACAATAACGCTCCACGAAGAGGTTTTTATGGTCGATCCGGACAATTTCATTCGAAAGAAATCAAAGTATTACCTTCTTACAAAGATTTACCATCGGAAACTTGTCAGAACTCAACTGGCACTCGGGAAACATTGAATCTTTTCTTAATGCTTGCTCTTTTCTGTCAGCTACTGATTTCGAACTCATAGTACAGAAGTCCCGACGAAAGGAATACAATTGAATACTGCAGAGATCTATTTACTAAATTTACATATCCGAACGAAAACAAGACCTCTTAATATTGATACTATAGTATGTATCTTTTTAATGAGTAGATGGTATCATATATCTATCCGGAATTAGCATATCGAGTCTATCAATAAAAATTCTGTTTGAATTGATGCGTCATACTAAACAGTAGTAAAACTGGACTTCGTACTTTTACAATAGCTGTGATTTAAAGGGCAAAGTCAAATCAATGAACTAACTAATCTTTCAAAACAGCAGTACAAATTATTCCCGACGTCAAAAGACTACTTGAAAAAAAAAGCAGCTGGCTCATTTCAGTTTTACCAATGTTGTGTAGAGGGTTATCAGACGACTGGTATCTATTACATAGATATCAGATATCAAAGAACAAAAACATGAAATGTTCGAGGATGACTTTTTTTTAAGTATTTACTGAAACCGAATGATATTGACAAAGAATTTGATCATCAATCGCATATCGTTTTACTTCAAACGAAACAGCAATCTTAGTTACACACCTCCACGTATCAGGTAGACAGTGTTTTGGTATCTGAATTCTTGTTCTATGTGCGTTACTAATTGTCCTGAGAGTGACTGTTTATTGGTTGCTGTACGAGAAGAAGAGAAACATATGACAGGAGATTCTATGGCGAAAAAAGGTCGACAGATGTTATTCATACATATCAAAAGACCAAAAACGATGATTTAGTTTCAGAGTAAGTCAGATTTGTATACAGATTGATTTATGATGGATGAAAATGTCAAGAAATTGTGCTTCACGAGGTAGTTCTGTATTTTATTGTTTATCTACGTCAATCCAATAGAACGTTTCCTTCCTTGCATTTCCAAAGCGGAAGATCAATTGTCACAAATATCTTTACTTTCGTTTTTATTCTTTTAGATAACTTGTATAACAAGAATTACATTTAGATTTACTTAAAATATTTCTTGAGTAATTCGAAAATTCAATTCGTACTCTTCATTCAGATTATCGTCGAAAATGTTCTTGGACAGAACCCGTTTACTCATTCTATACCTAACTGTAAATTTACCACTGATCATGGTGACGACAGCGAGTGTACAACCAAGCAATGATCATAAGATAAAAAGTAAGAATTATCATGCAAAAAAAGATCGACTTTGATCATATTCTTTTTAAGATAAAAATTCTACTCAAGAAATCAGTTCATTGATTGTTGTCGACGTTCAAAACTGTTTTATCAGTGGAAATCTTGCTTTGATTGATAGTCCTGCTAAGCAAGAGGGTGCGGATGTCGTTCCCATTATCAACCATCTCTTGCAAACAGTTTCATTCGATGTCATCATTTACACTCATGATTGGCATCCAACTGATCACATATCCTTCTATCAGAATCTTAACAAACGTAGACAGTATTTACTAGGTGATCAAAATAAGAACTATAGCTTATTCGACACAGTTACGTATAAAGGTCCATTAGTGCAAACAGAACAAGTTTTATGGCCACTTCATTGTATACAAAATACGAACGGTGCGAAGTTACACAAAGATCTTATCGTGGAATCGAAAAGCAATGTTTTTCATGTGAGAAAAGGTCTGAATCCTGATGTTGATAGTTATTCTGCATTCTGGGATAATAACAAGCAACAGAAGACAGATTTAGATAGCATACTTCGGAGATGGAACGTGACACATGTGTATGTTACCGGATTGGCTACAGATTACTGTGTAGCAGCAACAGCGTTGGATGCGATTGACCTGAAATATACGACATATCTTGTTGAAGATGCGTGCCGAGGTGTTAGTTTGGAAACCATTGATAAGAAAAAGCAAGAAATGAAACAGCGAGGAATAACTTTTGTGCAGTCAAGTCAAGTGAAAGCTTTGGTAGATGGTGCGATTTGCAATAGAATCTATTTGATATTGATGAGCTTTTCAATAGTTGTGTCATTTTTATTGAAATGAAACTTTTTTCACGATTATGATAATATTCAAATATTATTAACTTTCTAATTTCGAATAAAAGTAATCAGAGATTTTCTATATCAAGAAGAATATCATATTTAAGTTCAATTGGATTCCTGTCACAGAAATCTTTCAAAAAAAGTAGCAATGAAATTAATACACAAATCGTGCATCATTACTTAAGTAAAAAGTATTCAGATGAACATTTAGGTGTAATTCAATAAAGAAATACTACAAAATGTTATGCATATCTTGACAAATATAAAGCAATCTATTTCAAAAAGAGTTGAATATACTTGAGTTACTAAGAAATGTACGTTATTGTTTTATTTTGATAAATGTTTGCTCGTTTAAAATAGATAGTTTTCCAATGGATTAGCCTTCAATACGGATATCAGCACAACCACGAAAGGTTTCTTGTTTACCATGACCCATACCTTCTTTTCCATTACTTGAACCCCAACGATTGGCACATGTCCAGTCCCATTGTAAAACACATCTTTCGCATCTTACATGATCAGGTAGCTTTAACTTGAATGAATACGATGGATAATCCCAACCAGGAGCAACACTGTACGAATAAGTACCCGGAATATCCCAACGATATTTCGAAGTTCGTCTTGTAGGTGCTCGAATAATCTCCAGAGGATATTGATCAAGACATGCTTGACTTACTTCAGCTAAATCATTAGTGACTGGACAGATTTTAAAGGTGAACCAACCCATATGGTTAGCCATCATTTCAACACGAGCATCAATTATGGAACCAGCTTTGTAAGTATGTGTTGGAATGCCTGTAAAATATTTGCCTGAAGGTGCTTCATTATGTCGAGGACCATCGATACGATCGCCGCATACGCCACATTTCCCACCCATTCTCCAATGATGCTAAAGCCAGAAGATTTCAAATTAGAGACTATATTTTACAGAAATAACTCTCGTCAAACCTCATAACCGCCACAATTCAATTCGTAGTCATTATAATTGATTGGTGTATTAAAGCCAAGCTGCCATGCAGAACTACGACTTGGTGGAAGTGCCAAGCGGGCGTGACCACTTACGCACCCAATCAAAATGATGAAAATACAAAATCGAAGCATACCCGCACAATAATAACTAATGTACAATCAACTCATTCAGTATAGTATATATATGTCCACATTATCACTATATAATTGAAACGTTATCCCATGGAAAAATTTCCTTACCGTGCATCCCAACGAATGGGGCAGACTTGTATATAACGTCATGGAATGGGATAGGATGGGATGGGATGGAATGTAATAAAAAAGCTTTCGTCCTACACTATGACTCAATACAACTGTGTATTGATGATTACAGAGAAGAAGAAATATATCTTATATCGCTGCCGAGTCTCGTCGTTTTCATAGACGAAACAAAAGGGTATTCCAAAATTTTAAAAAATTGATCTATTGAGAATATCTACAGAAGTGCTTGTCATATGAGATGAACTGACAATATCTCGCCTTACACAGAGTCTTGGTGAATGATCTTGATAAAAAATAACTTATTGCTGATTGAATGGCAGTATGTGGCAAAAAAACAAGCTTTTTTCGATTGAGAACTATTCATAGATGCGATAAAACGAAGTAAATCTTTCACGATGAAATGAATCTGTCATGTTCACATTCTCAAAATAGTCAAAGTTTACATAAGTAAGCATAGTTATGTTTTATCCAGTAGATATATTGGCTGTTCCATTTGGAATAATCTGTTTCGTTGTGTAGTTGACATGTTTCAGGAGCATACGGAAGATATTGACGACTGGTGAAGAATGACCGAATCAGAGTTGCTCGTTCAGGTATGGCTTTTATATTCGCCCATTCCATCATAACGAACGGAATATTTAGATAATTAAACATCTGTTCACCTGTTTCGCATAGATAATGCTCAGATCTTTCGATGTCAATTTTGATAATTGCCTCGCGAATATTTCTTTTGTATACTGTAGGTAAAAGATCATCGAAACGGATTGTTCGAACGAGGAAAGGGTTTGTATCGTTTTTGACTACTTCTTCATTCAAATATTGCGATAGGACATTGTTACGAATATTTTCTTGGAGCGATAAATAAACATCAGATTTATTGTAAAGCGCACGAGGAACCAGAACAACGTGTTCTTCAACATGCTCAAGTCCGATAGCTTGACGGATTAAATCGATATTTGGAAAAAAGCATTCAATGGAAATAACATTTGAGCAACCTGTCACTGCAGCATACAATGTGTAAACTCCGATATTAGCACCAATATCGAAAAATGCATACTGACGATGTTTGGAAAGTATACGAAGTAAATGGGTCACTGAATATTCTTCCCAGATGCCTGCTGACATGAGCGAACCACTGATATCACGATTTCGTACAACGTTATGTGTACATACGGTAGTACGGTATTTGTTCAATAGTAATTTCGTCTTAACACATTTGCTAGTTCGCGTAAAACTAATGTAATCAGTAGAGTTGCGAAGATCATCTGTAACATTTGCTTCGTGTCTATGCAAGTAACTGTAGGCGAAATACATCAAGCCAATGATTATGAATGTCGTATAGAGATAACGAATTATCGAAATCGAAAATCGTTTTCTTTGTGACATTTGGAGGATCTATCTACAACATAAAGATGTAATACTACTTGTACACTATATGCGTAGATGCATACTGCATGTGTGCTCATGTATACATTAAATTTGAATATTAATATGAGTGATAATAAAATTCTATCGATACAAAATGCTTGTATGAAATACGCATTCTAAAGTGCTTCTTTCTTAAAAGTTCAAAGTATCAATTATCGTTTCGTTATGTCTCGAGGGCAACATTAACTGTTTTTAGAGATCATAAACCGCTTCTCAATCGAAGTTATCATGTTAAAAAACTGTCTCTGCTAGGTCTATGAGTTAGCCATAATAGCCATTAAAAAGACATTAGAGATTTAATATTATCTGTTTCGATAAAAGTGCACATCTGGTACGAAGTAAAAAAAAATACTCTCAATGACTTTTTATTTTTCCTTCCTGCACCGTTCGAATGTGTCGTCAGAAGTAAAGTATGACTTATCTAAAAACCAGATGTATTTTTTTCTTCAAATTTCTTGCACAATTTTGTGGTGCTCATTAAGCTCTATAATCTCGAAAATATCATCTTTGTTTGTAAACACAGGCAAAAAATGAGTTTTTCTGAGAAAAAGATCCCTTTTTACTTTCTTCTCTTCCTAAAGCTGTCTAGAAATAATCTCATCGGATGCAGTGTATGGTCTATCAGTGAAAGATATAGTGCCTTGACCTGAGGAACTGCTCGAATGCCCACTATAGGAACGCATTGTTGGATGCAGTTTTTGCACACTGAATCTAATTAGATTATTTTTAGGCAGCAACAATAAAGAAACAAATTTTGCTGAATTTTTGAACCAGCTACACCTTACAAATTAAAACAAACAATTGGTAAAAGACAATGTGTTCACTTCTCCTAGTATCATCGCGCCAATGTCGTAGAATTCTTACCGGCGTCATCTCTATATGTATTATTATATTTTTATACGCATGTGCCAATCGTATTAATAACAACCAAGCGTTTGTTCTCACTTACTATTCTTTAACGAATGGAAATCGCAATGACCTCAATCTTGGATTCAGTGATTTCTATATCGAAGAGGAAAAACTTCGAGAAAAACAATTGGAGTATGAATACGATCTGACATGTACCATAATTCATTGGAATAGATTGAATGGCGTACAAAAAACTGTTAAATTCGCTCTTCGCACACGTTTGTTCAAAGAAATTCTCGTATGGAACAACAATCCGAATGTGAAGCTCTCGATTTCTGATCTTGATGCATCAAATCATTCTACTAAAACTATTCGTATAATAAATTCCAAGGTAAATCTCAAAGACGAAGCGAAATATCGTGTTTGCGCCGAAGCGAAAACGCGTGCTTGTTTCTACGTAGACGATGACTGGGACATATCTCATTACACGAAAAGTCTCATCGCTAGTTACCGATCTGATCCGAATGTCTTACATTCTGTGACAGAACCGTATACTTACTATACGAATCTGATATGGAGTTATTTTGATACGAACATAGATTTACACGCTGGATTTTCGTGGATCGGTTGTGGAAGTATATTTCTACGTGAGCATGCCCAACGACATGTAGAACTTCTCCACCAATTTCTTTCAAATCAGACTGGTATGGACAGTTAAAATATCGGAATTCATATTTGCTATTTGCCTTCTAGAGTTGATTCAATTAGGTGATGCGTTTTTTTCAATTTGGCTTAACGACATTCCGATTCAGATGAATACCGAAATTGTACAACAAACTTTTCCATCTGCTGATAAATCAATTCCATTCTCTTCGACACCAAACTTTCTAGCTCTTCAATACCAAAGTTCTGTTACTGCTATTCGTATTCTCGAACATTCTCTACGTTCAGCAAGATTAAACAATAGAAGTATTCTATTTCCACGTCAACAAAAGGGCCGCTTTCCGTACTATGTAAAATCTCCAAGTCCAGTCGATGATTTCATCTTTTATAGTAACATCCTTCCGTATAATTTACATAATATAACATTTAACATCACACGTGATTTTGAACGAGGAACACGTAAAAACTTGGCCCATGGATCTCAGGTTCAGTACTTCACATCACATAGCACGTTAATGGCGGTCGACCGTGATCCGACTACATGTTGGCATTCGACACGAACGATTCGTTCAGATGATTTCTATGCGATTGATTTCTTATACATTCAAACAAATATTACATTTCTACTGTACGTTAATCATAAGACAGAGTTACAGAAGAATCTAGATGTAAGTATTTCAACGAATGGTCTTTGGTGGCTATCTTATCGATCATACAATGGTATTTATACTAAGATGACAAATCACCGAAGTGGTCAACAAGTGTACACAATATTATTTAGTGCTAGTCAATTCAATCCGGGATTTCAATCGTTTCGTTATATAAAATTTCAGACATCAGTTGAATCTAATGATCGTTTCCAGGTGTGCGAAGTGCAGATGGTTGCCAATGAAAATGTTATAAATGTTTTGACTCAGTTTTAATCGATATAATCAAACTTTTCAATTTGTTCAATGGCACATAATAATTTCATCGTAGTAAAATTAATGTAACGACGAATGATACTCCTAGAAAATCTTTCTTCTACGACGACATCGAATCTTTCGAAGTCATACTTTGTTTACTCTCTTATATTCACATGCTTCACACACTTATTTAAAAACGCCAAAAAGAGAAAAAAAAAACTACGAAAGAATTCATAAAAATATGTGTTGTTGCACTGCGCTCGTTTTTATTAAATAACAGAATAATATTGTAATGGAAATTGCGGACAAGTATTGAAGTAGTTGTCTCTTGCATATAAATTATCAAATAATAACCACTATATGGCTCAGTTAGAACGTTGGAAAACATTTGGAAAGAATATCTTTGTGGTCTGCATTCGATCCTCGCACTGGCTCACTGTTCGTTGCACCACAAAAACACTTCTGAACGATCTGAAGACGTCAACTGCCACCCATCACCAAGGTACAAACATCGTGAAACATGCATGTGCTATTTCAATGGATAATAACTTGTATTCAGTGCGATGGTTATCATCCGGTAATATAAGAATTTTATTCCACGGTATTGATCGAAATTTTCGTTGTTCTAAGACTCTCATCGTCATCATCATCAAACAGTCAATGTTAGATTACAAAACTTACTTGATCAATATCAAGATCACTCGCATATAAATCTGTCTGGGGAAGATTTAACTGACGACGATATGAAAACTATTGTTGATGAAATTATTGTTAAAAAGCAATGTAAACAACTCTTACTCGAATCAAATCGAATCACATCGAAAGGTTTGACAATTCTAGCTCAAGGATTGCATAACAACCAATCATTGAACTACCTTGATCTTTCGCACAATCAAATATCGGATGCTGGTCTATATGCTTTGGTTGATAGTTTAACAACGAACAATCAAGTATTGAAAAAGCTTGGCCTAACAAAGAACGAAATAACCGATCATGGTATGAAATATCTGGCAGAATTGATCAAAACAAATCGCACATTGACACAACTTGATCTTTGTTCCAATCAGATAAGTGATGACGGGATTCGATTGTTAGCTGATGCAGTTCGACATCATCGGTCAACAATTGAAATACTGTGGCTTATGAGTAATCCATTGATTACAGATGACAGCATCGATTCGATGATTCAAATGATCAAACATAGCCAATCGTTGAGACAACTATGGATATTTAAATGTGGTTTGTCAGAATTAGGCAAAGAGAAACTCAAACGACTGGAACAGACAAAAATACATTTGAAAATCTATGTAAATAACTGGAAAAGTTGATTTAGATGTAAAATGCGAATTTGTGTAATAAAGAAAGAAGATCCCAACTGAAATTTATTTCTATCCTCAACGAAAAACAATCTATGTTATGAATATTTGCATACATTTTTTCACACACATACTGTCTGCGATGATTCAGATTTTGAATGAGAACAGAGACAAAAAAACAATGTTTCAGACTCACAAACTGTATACAAAACACATTGAGTGCACACGCTTTTTCAACATAGAATGATTGAGATGGAGAATTTATTTGTTGCCGCCTCTTCTACAGACGCTAAATATCCGTTGAAGAAATGTTTATTATCCACATCAGATCCTGAACATTACTTGAACAGCCTCTATGATCAACCATATAGACAAAAATGCACTTTACTGATAATTGCTTGTTTAAATCGAAATAAAGACATTGTCAATATGATATTGGATGATTTGAAACCAAATGTGGAAATATTGAATCGTGCACAACTTCAAATCGCTTAGAATGGACTTGCGTACGTATGCAAAAAAAAAACGACAGCGAAAATTCACCATCGCTACAATACGCCCGTTTTCATAACAATATATCTTTAACATGGGACATATTCGAACGCGGTGCTGATGTACATATGAATAAAGATGCTTTGGGAGCAAATCCTTTTCAAAGTGTCCATCGTGTACAATTAGACATGACCTACTTCCTTGTAGACGAACTTAAATGTAATGTTAATGTATGTGATAGTGACAAACATTCACCATTATATCTCGCAGTATCTACGGCTCGTAAAATTTTTACTAGGCTGTGGTGCAGAAAATTTCCCATTGACTTCTGATTGTTTGTCACCGTTGTTGTTAGCAACTGGAGAACGATTTGGAGATATAGTCCGAGCAATAGCTCCTTACTGGTCATTACTTGTGGTGAACTTGGAGAATGTGACCTTCAACGATCATTGAAACATTTTGAACACGCATTTGAAATTCAAGCGATCCATGACTACCCGAAAACATTATTGAAATCGATTAGAGAGATATATATGATTGCCGGTAACAATATGAGAAAGGCATCGCTGTTTGGTTGTATGAAGTTGAGATGTATCAACAGTGTAAAATTCAATTCAGTTCATATCACTCATACCGACTTTTTGTCGTATTTGCTGTCATGATTCGTGAATCCCTAACACTAGGAATCGATCCATTACTAATTATGATGTCTGTAATCGTTGAAGAACTGCAAAATTCTACTGAAGACTTCAATAAAAACATTCTTAATATAACTTTGAAATGAATCTTGAAATGTTTATGTGCACGGTTGGTTCGATTGAATAGTATTCCTTATCAAAAAAACATTAAAATACACCGTTATCTCGCTTCGATTGTTGAATTGGCATTCGTCATGTTTACAACAACAAAAACAACTCGTTGACTACGGATCTATCCATACGAAACCGTCGACTGTTATAGTTTTGTTTTATTCTACAATACTTCAATCAACAAAATAACACTCTCTATGGCAGAAGAGAACGACTTCATCTCATATATATTTTCTCATTAATTGAAGTTTATATAATCACAGTTACAGTTACGTCAGGCGGTTTCACTGTGTTTCTATACGATTTAACACATGAAATGGAATGTATATCGTTCCAGACCGATTATTTTGGAATACGCAAGCACCTGAAGAAAAGAAAGTAATTTTCTTATTTTGCAGAAGAGTCTCCAAATGTCTTTTGCATTTTAATTACTGAGAGCAAGACACTGTCAGACGTACAGATTTGTTTCTCATAGACAACTGGTGGTTTTCACCATAAGCAACTGTATGGCAAACATCTTCAAAACATGGATACGAACAGTTCGTCGGCTGTGTTTTCTCTTTTCAACGAGACTCTCATCCAATAATATCGTGATGTCGGAAACTAAATTGACATAATTGAAATGCTTAAATTTGTATCAGTAAGAAAGGAAAAAACAATTAAAAAAGTAATAAGTGTAGAGCTTGTATCTGTGACAGCTATATGCGCATGGTATCCTATTCACTTTCTTCTATGAATATTTTCTTTATTTAAAAGAAAAAATATTTTATAACGAGATGCTAAAATGAAGAAAACAGTATTCATTTTTGAAGATTACTGTTTATAAAAATGCTATTGTTACATTTTCTCCTGCTGGTACTGAATACTATACACCCAACTTTTCAAGCAACATATTCCTGTGATTCGACTGCTCCATGCGGATGCTCAACAAATTCTGCTACAGTTTCCAGAATTGTTGGTGGTGAGAATGCCTCGGATAGTACATGGGGGTGGGCTGTATCTCTTTCGATTGATGATCAGTGGCTGTGTGGTGGTTCGTTAATATCAAGTTCTTGGATTATCACCGCTGCGCATTGTATTTATGGTAACGAAAATTCGAGCATTTTCATATCTGCAGCAACAAATCAGCTGTATGGTGCTCAACAATGGAGATTTTCCTCATCAGCGATCATTCATCCAGAATACAATAACGACATCATGGTTAACGATATTGCTTTAATTAAAGTATCTTCACCATTTAATCTGACGGATTCACACATATCGCTTCTCTGTTTACCACCAGTCACAACAAGTGATTATCCACCATCTGGATCAACGGTATGTGAACATATTCAAGACAGATACTTTGCTTGTTCATATTGTTACATCTAATTTTCTGTTAGGTTGTTGCTATTGGATGGGGTAAATTGTCTGAAGAAGGTGACGTATCGGATATACTTCAACAAGTATCCCTGAAACGTATTCCATACGAAAGTTCTTCATGTGTGTCGATAGTCTCGAATAAAACAGTGCAGATTTGTGCGGGTGTTGCAGGTGGTGCAAAAGGTAAGCATATCATTATATCATCACCGGATCATATTTATTCCGATAAAATTAGATACATGCAATGGCGATTCAGGTGGTCCGCTCATGTATTTCACAGCAAGTAAACAATGGGTAATCGTTGGTATAACCTCATACGGATACGAATGTGCCAGCCCATATTATGCCGGTGTTTACACACGCGTAACATATTTTCGAAATTGGATATTGTCGATGACCGGAAACGCAGCGCTGAGTGCTAATGTACTTACAAGTATAACTGCAGCAACAGTTACATCCTATCATAATATAAACATCACAAACTCAATATCAATGATGCGAACACAGTCAGTCAAGAACAGTGCATCTTCTTGTCAGAGTGTTCATTTACTATTCATCATAGTTTCTATGACGTTTTTTTGTAAGTTCTGTTACAATATGAGTTTAGTTCATTCTTTCAAAATATTCAACTTTTAAAAACTGTTATCACTAAGAAACGTTAACCTTTTGTACTACGCTTCATTTACTTATAAATCGTTTATCGATTGGCAAAGCTAAGAGTTTTATGCTACGATAACGAATGATAATATATTTATTTGTATTGTCAATGTTTTCTAATTTAATTTTCTTAGAAAAGTACTTGCAAAAAGCGATGTTTCTAACGTTGAATAAACATTTCAAGGAATACTAACAAATAATATTACTTGTTAGGGAGCTGACTTATGAAGTTGAATACACGAACATCTAGATAATGAAGAACTTCTCGACTGACATTGACATTTTTTTTCACGTCAGTTCAATTAAATACCGACATTTCTTTGTTCAAAGATGCTTGCACAGTCATCTCTCTATACTCAAATTAAAGCATTTCAAGAGTAGAACAAAGATGTTATTTTTTTATTTCGAATGAATTATTGATCAGAAGGTATCAGTAGCAACGGGCGACTTTGAAATCACAGCAATATCGTGATGGATCGATGGGTAACTGAAATATTATTGAAATAGAACTAAGTTTAAAACACGAGAGAAACATAAAGTACATACTCTGGTCACTACATCCAAGATTTCATCGACTTTAAATGATAAACGTTCGGTGACACTACTAGGCACTCTAGGTTTCTGTAGTCTTTGCTTGTTCGATCGTTTTTTTAATGCTTCTAAATAAAAAGGTACATATTGATGGAAAAGACAATGATTATCACGTACCTGCCCAATGTAAAAACGTATTGACAGTATGAATAACAATATTTTCTTCGTTACCTGGATTGAGGGGTGAGGGTGAGTAACAAGTTCCTCAATCTGCACCCTCACCCTCATCCCTGAAATCACTGGAATTACCGAAAATATCTCGAAATGTCTTGATTTTCCTTCGTCTCTTCACCCTACCCTTCGCTCTTGTCTATTATTCATGATGAATTATATGTTAGAGAACTTGTGGAAACTTCTTTTTTTTTTAGAATTCTGAACACGCCTCTCGTCATCATGAAAACAACGGTAAAAACTGCACTGAATGATCTGATACATAACAAAGAACGCAAAAATTAATCTTTTATTTGTTTTACTTAAAATATCGTTTAATAAACAAGGTAATAGTCATCCTTGTATCTTTGATGACTCTCACAATTCTTTTGCATTCTCTTGACTAATACGACAGAATGGCTGAATACATCTAATTCATGCTTTTTAAGATTTGGACTTCAGTACCAATGATTTTAAGTAACTTGGATTTTTTCATTGCAATCGAAATGACGTCAAAAACGTACTTATAATAAATTACTTGTCTATATGCATGCGACAAGATGTCTGATTAAAGTGCATTTGTTTTCTTATTGTTGTCGAATTTTATTCTTTTGGATATAGTGAGTAGAGATAATCGGGTCGCCGAGAAACTTTTATGATGGAAAACCGTCGACGGATCCCAATGGGCCATTGAATCTAACTCTATTTAACATTTGAATAATAAGGGAACCCTTTCCCGGGTATTACTTATGTTTATTTTTGATCAATTCATCTATTCGAACGCTGATGAAATTAGCGACAGAGGCTATGTGAAGAAAATCGTATAGATTTATATGAGCACCAGTAAGTATCAAACATTCAGCGATACGAAGAGTATAATGTCAATTACCGTCTTGTAATTTATGCTGCCCTTTTAATGTTTCAACATCAGACGCTGCATATCGATCGGCATGAAATTTTGCTTGTCTTTCATACTCACTTGCATTTTCTTTGTATAGATGTGCCATTTCGAGAACCAGGCCATCCTCGAAGTTCGGTTTTTTCAAAAGATCAAGAATGTTCTCAAAAACTGTACTCATCGTCGTTCGAACGCACCAATTTCGATTTAAAATCTGATGACAAATCTTGCCGTCAGCATTAATATTCACATGAAATATAGGCGTGAAAAAACGAACGTCCGGTGGACAGTTTGGATAGTTGTTATTAAATTCAACATATAGCATCCAAAATCTGTCTTCATATGGTGTATTCGGCGGTCCGCTCATAATCACCTTCCAAAAGGCAATACTGTTGTCCACAGCAAACACCATCACATTTGGTATAGGGCGTGTTTTAATACTTATGAATTCGCGCATAATTTGACGAAGACATGATGATTTGCTAATTGTGTCATTTGACGATACCTGTTGACTTGCTGGTAGCTCGAAAGCCAGAGGTACATACCGTTCTGGCTTGTCAACTGTGCCAGATTTAGACTTTGATCGTTTTGAAAGCCATACCGCTGCTTCTTGTTCAAACATCGACGCCAACTCGATGTTCGATCGTGTACGAAGATTATTGTAGACATAACCGCCAGATTCTGCACATAACTTACGGATTTGTGTTGCTTTCTCAACTTCTTGCCGGTTTTTCAATTGTTTATCGTGTACGAACGAAATAAGGTCGATGGCGACATTATGTTTTTTGATCAAACCTTTCAAATCGTTAATCGTTGTTTTACTACGATTATCAATGCCATCAGAAAGACAAATGATCAACCTTTTACAATCTTTTTGCGCTCGGATTGGACTGCTCGTAAATGCTGCAATTTGTCGGATTGCTTCGCCAATGGCATCGTACATACATGTCCAACTGGCGTCACATTGGTCCGAACTAAGCGCTCGATCAAACTCTTCGCGAGCTCGAGTAAGATGACAGATCGTTTTATAGTGTTCGCCGAATGTAATTAGGCCAAACGCATAGACTTCATTCGTGGAAAGTATATTATCACTTAATCTGCCCAACATGATTTTGCATATATCAATATGAGAACAGTTCTTTGTCGGATCGTCAGATACGACGCGATAATCCGACATTGATCGACTTTGATCGAGAAGAATCATAGTGGCTTGATATGCTGGTACAGTGGCAGTATTATCCGATAATTTATGAGCACATGCCATTGTGACATCCAAACCATTACTAAGATATTCAGGTAATCGCGGATCTGGTAATTGTTGTTTCTCGTCTAAGAATACTTCGGATTTTACCTCGAGATAGGGACGTTCTTTTGTACATTGCAGAGGATCAAAGATTTCAAAGAAATGATCAACATTTCGTGAAGTTTCTCCATTGGAACGCAAGATATTTTTTGATGATATCAATAATGCCACTGTTCGGTTTTTTTCTAATAGAACCAGTTGATTTCGAGTATGATCGGTGACAAAACCACGCGTAATTATACTAAACGAATGATAATCATTGGTTTGAGCCATAAGTGTGTATAAATTTTCAATTTCGGCGTCCGTCCATACTTGTAACGAATGTAAATTTGATGGGTCTTGTTCCTTCGGATCGTATATAATGTACACATTGCATCGACCGCGTGGATTTGAAGAGTTTTCATCTAGACTGGATAAATATAACGTCAATGATCGAATATCGACATGATGTTTCAACTCTGTGCGATCTTTGACATCTTGGAACTCTTCTAATAATAGCGCCTGTCGATTACTTTTGGAAGTTGTGACAGGATTTTGGAAATAACAAGAAGGTTCCTTTTGATCATTGATCAATGCCACATTCAAGAAATACTCTTCCCTCGTTGATGTTGGATCACATTTGTGCAACAGCCAACATATAAGCAACGGTATAAAATCACAGATTTCCTCCAGAAATATCTTGTTTGGATCACATAGACACCTTAATAGTTGAATTAATGCGTCCATCAGGAGAATTTTTTCGAATTTAAACATGAAGCCGTCGATTGCATGCTTCAATGCAAGTATTGCAGGTGGAAACAGATATTTTCTCAGTTCTCGAAAGAATTCTGCCTCCATGACCAACTGTCTAGCTTTTAATTCCGGTACTTCAGGCCGAAAATATAGTCGTAGAGCAAATAAACTGCTAAGAAAAACACTCTGAGCACGCTCCAATTGCTTGTGTTCGGCATAGTGGAAAGAACACCATGAGTCTGAGTTGCGGGAAATAGAAACAATATCTTCGTCTACTTGATACATAAACTCGGCATATCCTTGTGGTAATCCGTAGACATAGAAATCAATTGCTTTGCTTGGAAGAGAATTGGCAGGCGGAGAAAGTGCCAGAAAATCTTTTACTAATGCATTTGGATCACTGCCAGCGAATATGTGAAGTCGATGGTTGAAGAATAGAAGAATGTGTTCCTTTTGAAAATATTTTTCTTTGTCAAATTTTATCTTATCCCAAATTGTGTTTATAAAATCTTTCATTAGCACATTGTCAAAGATCGGAATAGAATAAGTTTTATATAGCGTACGAATACGAACTACTGGCGGCTGTGTACTGGTAACAATCGGTGATGGATTGACTGTTGTTCGAGATGGTTGTTCATTTATCGTACCTTGTCGATCAGTTGCGAATCCATCAGGTATAGAAGTTGTAGGAGCAGGAGCAGAGGGTGTTTTTGGAGGGTTTCTACCTTTGATAAAAGATTTTCGAGGTGGTTCTAGACTGTCTGTGTCACTACTACTGGTATCTTCATCAGATTTTGGCTTCATGTATATTTTCTTCACCCAGGTAGGTTCTCTAGAATTACGCGGTGTCTGTCTAATAGGTTTTCGTACAGTCGACGTCTGGGAAGTTGCCGTAGTATTTATCTGAGGAGACTTTCCATCATCGCTATCTGATAGATTATCATAATCTATTGGTTCTGAAGAAATAGTTGTCTGCTGTTGATCACGTCTAGTCAAACCATTTTGTCTATCAGAGCTCGAACGCTTTGGGCAATCCACAGTTGACAAAGGTACATTTTTATCGATTTTACCCGAATTTTGCTTTTTCTGATTGTTTGGAAACACGTTCTCATCATCAGAGACAGTGTCAACAGGATCATCGGATCGTTTATTCTTGAAACTAAATACATTGTTGCTATTATCAATCGGTATCAGCTTTTTAGTGTCTAAAACATCGCTCGAAATAAATACAGTGGCTAGCAAGATACGAATATTAAAGATATTGTACATCAATATAGAAAACAATCAGCTCAGAGAAGAAAAACAGATCTAGCTGCTTTGTCAGGGCTAACAAATCGGAAAGTCACAGAACTATTGGTTAGAGAGAATGGACAGTACAGATGTCCTGGTTGTAAACTAAGATTTAAACCACAAGGAATTACGAATCATGTCAAATCGTGCGGGACAGCACGAAAATGGTGCAAAGGTAACAGAATCAACTAACAAATTGATGGATTTTCAACTACTAAAATTGAATTGAGTTTTCAATGATGACTAGTATCTAAACTGTTCATCGGAGGGTAATAGTCTGACAATATCTCTTTCAATTTTTAGTGGCAATCAACGTGGTGTTCGTCGAAAAGTAGACAATAAACTGACTCTTTTTTTTCTCTTCATTTTACTAGTTTTTTTGTATCATGTTTCTCACCCCACACCAGTAATGGTAAGGGTATGTAAATAAATAAATAAATAAGATACGAATATCCTCTTCTTTTTTTTGTCACTCTTAGCTCCACGATTATTTCAAGTCATCAACACAAGGGTAGAAGTAGTATTAGAAAATGAAAATAAATCTACTCACTTCGATGATCATCCTTTACTAGAAACACTTTGCCTACAATGGAGCTCGTTCGATGTAGTACTTGAAAGCCCTTTGTTTGCAAACTGACTCTATGTGCTACATCTTTGATTATTTCTTCGATATCTGTATTAGGTCTTTTGATGTTCTTCAATAGGTTTTCCATGAAACTACCATTTCTGCCATTTCGTGTTTCGTCTTGTACTGCACCACCAGGACTGCATCCAAATACAACAAGGCTTTGTCGTAATCCATCCATCTTTGCTAAGCTTTCTTTGCCGCTGGATGATGCAGGTTTTATTCTACGTCTACAGCAGTCAAGTAAATATATAGTAGCAGCACATGTCTTAATCGCTGGTTTTTCCGTTATATAGCTGACTTTAACAGCACTAATGTTTATATACTCATTCTCATATTGATTGCCACCACAGCTATAATCAGAAGGTAACATATAATTCTCATTTTTATACTGTTTACCATGGCCAGCGAAATAAATCATTGCCAAGTCGTTGGGTTGGAGTGTGGAAGCAAATGTATCTATCTCACTATAGAGTTTAATTAAGCTGCAATCTATAGTGCATGACACACGGAAGCCAATGTCTTCAAGTGCGTCCCGTAGGTCTTCAGCATCATTGATGCAGTAGGTTAATGGATCGTTTGGATAGTTATTGATACCAATGACCAAGGCTCGTAGTTGTTTATACTCAAGTACAGATGACATTACAAACCTAAAATATATAATTAAAAGAAAATTATCGTTCAACCTTGTATACGTAACGCAACTATCTGAGTGCGGATGAAAGATATGTATTTCCATCGATCGCTGCCTATGCGATTGCTAAAGCGACCGCCTTCATTTATTGTATATACACGATACATGAAACGATGGTTGTGGTCGGAAATCTTATTTACGTTCGAATGAAACTCTTATCATGCTACATACTACAATTACATCAGACAATCACATGGAGATAAGTTGATGCATTTCTTTAGATGAGTCTTGCGTTTTTTTAGTGAAGCAGCAAGCTGGTTTCTCGTACTTGAAAATTTCTTTGTTGAAAGAAAGGTAATGTATGAAATACTCACGTTGTTGTTTTTCATTAAGATAAGAACGACAAAAAAAAAACCATTCATAAAATTCGATATTTAACCTGTTGACTAAAAGGTCAATCTTTTTATGCTGGAAATTTCCAAGTGCACCTTTTCATATTGGAAAGATCTGACGAAATTTTGCCACAAGTTGAATTTATTTAAGTCATATACCTCTTTCTCCCACTTAATTCACTACACTACTGGCGTCGAAGAAAATCATGACGAAAATGTGTTCTTTGTATTCTGAATCATAGGGAAATTAACAAAAATCTTGTTGTTCATTTGAACAGTTTTTTTTAAGTAAAATTCCATAGGGTCGAATCGCATTCGGATCAACAAAGTGCCATGCTTCTCCTTCATTTACAGGACTCATATGAGTTGTAAACTTCTGAGGCTCAACACGACATTGGAAAACAATTCGAAACTGTTCGCTTTGGTCTTCAGATGTCGTCACAGTGAATGGTGTTGTATACAAATCTGCTCCACCGTGGCAATGTGTAGCTACATACAACCCTGTTTCATTAGCCTCTTTAAGCAATACATCATTTGCAACGATGCCAGTGACTGCTTCTTTACACGTTCCATGAAAAGCAACTGGCCACTCTCCTGGAGCATTAACATGACCAATCCACGTCCGATCATGTCCATACTTAGTACTGACATTGAGACCATGACGAAACCATCCAATAGGAAGAAAATAAGGATAACCGCCACGAGTATCTTTGTCGAGTAGATCGGACTGACGGTAGTCATAGTTGTACTGCGGATCGAAATCAATCGGCCGTATTTGTAAATAGTGCAAATTCGGTTTCCAAACGCATTCATAATCTTTCGGATTCACATAGTCAAGAATGGTCCCATGTGAAAATCCGGAGCGACTATAAACCTAACAAAAGTTTGAAGCCAAATCACTCTATTCTTCAGATGTCATTTGTAATGAAGATAGGACTTACCTGTAACTTGTGTGCAAGTAGTTCAGTTATTTTCTGATCAATTGTGGTTAATCCAAAGATTACTTCACTTTGATCAGGTTCATCATCTGCTTGACTGATTGAAAATATTCTTACGACGTTACTTTCACATGACAGCACTTTGGCAATAGAGTCACAAAAGTTAAACACGAATTTGCGGATTCCATCCTCTGAATTAGCGATGTCGCCATGATAGCTGAGATCGATTTCAAATTGAAAATTAGCTGTCAATATGAAGTCATTCGCGAGCAGATGAATACTTCCTAGATCAGCAACACCACAAGCAGCACGACAAATACTTTGATCGTATTGTTGCTCCTTATCGGAGAAAACCAGCATACAATCATGTTGGTTGGCAAAATTATCTAGTCCAATCATCAGTGTTTCTATTGAATCTTCAGCGATAGTGAGTGGATATTCACGAAAGTTAGTTGATTGACCAATGGATTTTCTATAACGAGCTGCGATGCTATATGGATAAAGATCAGTAATACCTTCCGGATAGATGCTATCATTTCCAATTTGATCAGATTCCGAATGTATATCACACGAAGTGGGGGCCATATCAATTAGAATGGAATTCGATTCAAAGACAATGTTATCGATTTTCAATGAAATTTGTGATGATATATGTTCAGCGAAATTAGCTGAGAGTATCGGAGAATATGGTGAAGGTGTGCATGGAGGTGTAGGTACACTTCTGTTGATTTTCGCATGAGAATAAACTTTCATTAATTCGTCATGCCGTTTTAATATTAATGCATTGAGTCGCATTCGTAGATTTTCAATACGCATAGTACGCTGTTTGTCGACTTTGGATCCTCTGTCGAATTCATCGTTAGTCATAATCAGAAGACTAGTTCGTGACGCCATAATTCGTTTGTTCAATCTATAAATTTTTCTTAAATCGTACTTGACTTGCGATTTCATTTTCTTTTCTCGTATCGTCCTGTTGTGTTGTGTTATCAAAGAAGAAGACGATTGTTTCGTGCTTAGCAAGCATACAATGATTTACGATTAAATTTTATTATTCTGTTTAAGTATTATTGATAGTGAATGCACGCGCTGATTTTTAACCTTTTCCTCTCTATACGATTGTCTTTTAATATAATTCTATCAGCAATAATCATTATAAATCTGCAGTAAATAAGTCTTCGATTATGCATTCGACGCTTGAACACTAAAGTTACATACCCAATGTTTAATTGAAACGAACAGAAAACTTATTAGAAATAAAACTCTATTAGTCTTTTTTCAGTAAAATTCCATAGGGTCGAATTGCATTTGGATCAACAAAACGCCATGCTTCTCCTTCATTTACAGGACTCGTATGAGTTGTAAACTTCTTAGGCTCAACACGACATTGGAAAACAATTCGAAACTGTTCGCTTCGGTCTGCGGCTGTTGTCACAGTGAATGGTGTTGTATACAAATCTGCTCCACCGTGGCAATGTGTAGCTACATACAACCCTGCTTTATTAGCTTCTTCACCAATCTGATCAATTGCTTCATCAAGCTTAACGTCTGTTTCAGTGAATTTGGGCAACAATCCATTTGCAACGATGCCAGTAACTGCTTCTTTATGCGTTCCATGAAAAGCAACTGGCCACTCTCCAGGAGCATTGACACAACCAATCCACGTCCGATCATGTCCATACTTAGTACTGACGTTGAGACCATGACGGAACCATCCAATAGGAAGAAAATAAGGATAACCGCCACGAGTATCTTTGTCGGGTACACCAGGTTTTCTATAGTCAAAGTTGTACTGTGGATCTAAATCAGCCAGTCGTATTTTTAAATGCGTTAAAACTGTTTTCCATAAATATATATAATCCCGTGGTTTGACATGTTTCAAAATTTCTTCATCTGAAAATCCTGATTGAGCATGTATCTACCAAAGAAATAAATGGCATGTGCATTTCTCAAAACTTAGTATTGACAGTGAATGCAGTTATATCTACCTTCAGTTGGTCAGCTAATTGTTGTGTTTGTTCATGCTCTGATGTAGTCAGTCCAAAATTCACACGAGTTTTTCTAGATTTCTTAGTCAACTTCTCAATGGTAAATACGCGAACGTTGTTTATATCGCAGGATAATACATTTGATATCGCTTGACAAAAATCCAACACAAAAGTTTCTACATTTTCTTTGGACGATACAATATCTGTGTCATAATCAAGATCCATCTCAAATTCGAACGTAGCTGTAAGTAATGAATCCGTTGCTAATAAATGAATACTTCCCAAATCAACCAGTCCACATGAAGCACGATAAACACTCCTATGGAATTGTATATCTTCATCTGTGAAACGCAAATCACAGTAATGCTGCTGAGCAAAATCTTCAAGGCCAAGAATTAATGTCTCTAACGAATCTTCCCCGACAAGGATAGGATAGGAACGAAAATTAGTTGATTTTCCAGTCGCTTTTCGATAACGAGCCACAGTTTTATACGGTCGAAAATCAGTCACGCCATCCGGGTAAACAATACCATCATCTTCATTGTCATCATCGTCATCGTCATAACTCTCATTGTCGGAGTTTAATACGTTTGGTATCATATCAACTTTGGTCACATCAGGATTGATATCTATATTTGCTACGATAAGTTGAAGGGCTGGAGATGACGATGTTGACCGAGGCGATGTTAACGTTGGTGATGACGGTGGCGATGAAGATTCATGCCGCACAGCAGATTGCCGGTCTAAAGACGATATTGAAGCTTGCGATGTCTGATGAGTTTGTTTTGATCGACGTGGTTCTGGTGATAGTATGTTTCTTCTTATAATTAGATTTGAATAAACTTTCAGTATCTCATCTTGTCGTTTGAGTGTCAATCTATTTATTCGTATTCTCAATCTAGCCATACGATTGCTACGTTTCTTATCGGTCGGTACACCTCGATTTTGGTCAATGCACGTCAGTCTAATAGCACGATCACGAGTCTTTGTAATATTCTCGCTATATTGATATATTTTTTTCAAGTCGCCTCTCGATGCTGATCTCGCCATTAGTTATCTTGAAAAGACAAAATGTGTAGAAACGCAGCTCAAAGTTTATTGCTACAACTAGGAAGAAACGATCAATAGACGAAAGAATCATTAAGATAAATACTGATAAGGAGAGAAAAGGCAGTTCTCATATTTTATGCGTAAATAAACTCCACCGGAGCATAGACTTTTATAAAACTAGAAAGAGTGACGCTGGCTTTCAGATCTTCCTTTTCTTTTCTTTTATAAAAATGAAAACAACACATACTCCCGTTGCTATGCTATTGCCGATTGTAAGAACAAATAAAACAAGCTTCAGTGAAATACCGGCACTCATATGATGGGAATGAATACATTTAAATGGTTTCTGAGCACACAAAGAAACATTCCAGATATGTAAACCACCGAATGTACGTACAAAAGAAAAATAATGAGTGTTTTTTTTGTTGTTGAAATTTGTGCCAACGAAATTATAATAAGTCTATACAATTAATATTTTAAATATCGTCTGATATTTGATTTCATATGTATATGACAGACAATTCAAAATATAGAAGTGAATATTATATGTTATTCGATGTGAAAACCGACTGCAATGAAAAGAAAATCATGACGTCTGTGTGCTTGAGATCTTAATGGCCGAATCTTACAGGTTGAAAAGGCATATTTCATAACTTCGTTTACTAATAAATTTTTAATAGCAATATTTTCGTCTAATTCGTGCCTACAGTTCACATTTTCTTCCGTGAACGAGTTCCCGAGGGTACATTTAAGATATATGTCGTATCGAAGATATAACTTCAACACGGCATATATATACAAGCTCGAGCACTCACTTTCTGTATGTACAATTGCTGACCGTCCTGTATTTTATACATTCTAACTGATCAAGACGCGACTCATTTCCTGCTTCTAATCTCATGCGTGGTAATCCGCCAATGAATTTTCCCATGCAACAGCCACATTCATCGGATAGGAAAATCCGTGATTATTTGTTTTGATCAATTATTAATATATGCATGGGTGGTCTCATCTTGGGTATCATTGCAGTTTTGCTTTCCTATTTCGCACGTGAAGCCAAACGAAACAATGACTTTATCGAAGCAGCAAAATGGAGTCGAAGAGCATTGATATGGAATATTATTGCAACTGTCTTAGGTGTTCTTGGTATTATTATAATTATTATTGCTGTTGTAGTTACTTCTGTGTATGCGAATAAGACAGCTTAAGATATAAATACATACTCACAAGCATCATAGAGCATGCTCACTTTTCCTACTACGTGCACATTTTTTCGACATATTTTTGTTCTTTGTTCGAAGTTTTTTGTTAATTCAAACACCGTTTGATATTACTAACAATATAAATCAATAGATATATATGTATTCCAGATATGTATATTCTCTTCAATGACCATCAAGATCGGCTGTTTATTACATGCGTAAATACTTAAATTACAAGGTAATTTCGAGTACTATGTTAAGAGAAGCTATGGAAATCGAACGAAGTACTCAGTTCGAAATCAAAATACCCTCTAGTCCTTGTTCTAGCACCCAGCAGAGATCATTCAATGACAGTGCAATACAACCCGCCGTTGGTTCCATGTTAGATGTTGCCACATGAAGAAATATGGCTGAACCCCGGCCTATTCTAACTGGATCATCATTGTAGCCGAGTACACCGATAATGTCATAGACATTCTCCTCCAGCCATAACTTTTCGTGTCTAGCTGGATGTGGAAGCCGAATTTGATGATTATAATCCTCATGTGTAATATCATCACACCAGGCATCATGTTCCGTTAGAACTTGGCATGGAATAGATGAACGAGGCGGAGTAAGGCGATCAGATCGGTAAAGTATGCGTCGTAAGGGAAGAAAGCCTACTGGTGTACATCCATCACCTTCAACCTTTGCTGCTCGTGAACTGTTTCTACCAATAACTGCTGGTAAATGGCGATCAGAAAAGTGAAGAATCGCCGACGATGAACAAGAAATGACTTCTAACTTAGCTATTTTATTCTTCTCATAATCTTGATCAGTGGTCATATTGTATTGATTCTTTGATTTTTGCGACAGAACATTGGTATACTGTTCTATTAACTCCTTATAAGCTTACGCATATATAGTAATACGATCGTTCTTATCAACAGTTAAATCCTACTGTGTACAAGGCTCGGGAGCATTTGTAATTTGATTTCATTGAGGTTTATTACTTCTAAGTCAATATGAAGGTTCGAGAAAAAAAACAGCTATGTATTATATATCAAGTTGATTCAATTATTTCGATCGCAGTGAAAAAGAAAAAACTAAAAAGAAAACGAACGAGTGATGATAAACGTAACAGATGCCGCGCGTACTATCCTTGCACGCAATGATCGCGGTGGTTACACAGTTCCCACTGATGGTCTCTACCCATTTCAATGGAACTGGGATTCGGCATTTGTTTCAATGGGATTTGCCACGTTTGACATAGATCGAGCTTACCAGGAACTCGAACGATTTATTCAAGGACAATGGAATAATGGAATGTTTCCACACATTATATTTCATGTTCCAAGTGATAGCTATTTTCCTGGTCCTGATGTATGGCAAACAGACCAGTGCCATTCGAAAAAACCATTGACATCCGGTATCACTCAGCCGCCTGTTTTCGGTATGGCACTACGCTTTCTTTATGAAACAGTACTTGCTACCGGTCGACATGACATGCTTGCACGCACGCATACATTATTCAATGCAGCATTACGTTCGCATCGATGGTGGCTTGAAGCACGTGATCCGGATAAGCGTGGTCTAGTGGCGATTTTACATCCATGGGAAAGTGGAAGCGATAATTCTCCTGCATGGGATGAAGCTCTTGTCCGAGTACCGACAACAACAAAAACTGAGATTTGCCGTCAAGATACAAAACACGTCAATGCGACAATGCGACCGCGTAATATTGATTATCAACGATTTATTCATTTAGTCGAAGTCTATCGTGAATGTCAATGGGATCCAATTAAACAATGGTCACATGCACCTTTCAAGATTGCGGATGTTCAAATGACTGCCATTCTTGCACGCGCTACCGCTGATTTGATCTGGATGGCTTCACAGCTGAATTTATCTGATGCTCTCGGAGAACTATTTACAATGCATCAGCTACTGATCAATGGGTTGAATAGTCGATGGAATCAGCATATCCGAGGTTTTGTCTCTTTAGATCTTATTTCTGGTAAAGACATTGAAAAGCCAACACAAACTTGCTTTATTCCATTGATTGCACTTGAACTTGATAGTTATCAACGAAAATTTATACAAGAGGAAATCGAACGTTGGTGTCAAGGTATGGTTATTGGAATACCGACAACCGCTCCTTTTTCACCAGACTTTGAATCCAAAAGGTATTGGCGTGGCCCCGTTTGGGCAGTTATTAACTGGCTGATTGCTGATGGCCTACGAAAGAATCAACTCAAGGAATTAGCAACAATTATTGAGGGCAATACAATTAGTGTCATTGAACGAGCAGGTTTTTGTGAATATTTTGATCCTATTACCGGCGAAGGACTTGGTGGTAATACATTTTCATGGACAGCTGCTGCTTATCTCGTTCTACGACGTCGTTTAACTGACGATTAATAGTTCTCGATTGTATACAAGTTTGATGTCAGTTTTATCACCGCCTCACATCTCGTTTTTTCTATTTTTATTTCTGTCTTCGATTCTTTGTCATTTTCTTTTCTTTTTCTTTGCGTTGTTATCTGATAGTAGCAGGCGTCAACCGTCACAATCAGTTTTGATTGATATCGTCAATTGCTCTTTTTTTAAAAGTAAATCCTCAATACAAATAGAGGAACTAGCCGCTTCTCGTGTTCGTTCTGCTCCTCTTTTTTACTTGCCATTCTCACTAGTCGATGATCTTCCCTGTCGTCTGGCAAGATTCTTGTTATAGTTGAAGCGAATTTCTCAGAAAAAAAGCAACTTTACAAATATAAAAACACATTAGTTTCATGTGCGAAGAGCAAAAGTTATATAGAAAGAATCGAAAACCCAAAGCAAAGACTTGCTAATTCCAGAATTCGTTATTGTACCAAAGAGATACCTGTTAAAGTGTTGTCGGTAAAGCACGACTGAACGAGATTATGGACGATCGAGTGGAAGAATTCTTCCTGTTCATAGCTTGCTTCATCTGTTGAAAAGACTTTTTAAAAGATTTACTTTTCGCATGAATAGAAACCAAGTTCAATTGATGAACGCGAGCAATGAGACATAACAATGAATGATCAGCACATGCCTTGTTATTATTTTTATCCAAAGCAACTACTAATCGTATATATCAATGTTAGCATATCAAGTACCACATATTTCACTTGATATATGCAATCGATTATCTTGTATGAGCTATTTTCTTTTCATTCTATATGTTCCGTCGTAGTCTATCTAATCGCCGATAATACTAACAGACGCTTTCTCAAGATGAAAATCACATGAACCGCCTTATTTCTGAACATTTTCTTTATTTAGATGAAAAGTGTTGCTCTGGCAGGCTAGTTTTGCAACCGGCCCGCACGTTTTCGTCATCGCAACATGTATTTGATCTAGTAAGATCATTTACCTCTTGGTAAGTTGTAATAAGCAACTTTCCTCGATGATGGCGAGAGCACGACATCTCTCGAGTCTCTACACATTGCCCTTCTTTTCGCTCTCCACCAAACGCTATGTGAAAAGACAAGAACGTTGTTGTGTATTTGATATCACCGAGGAAAGTTGCTTATTACAACTTACCAAGAGGTAAATGATCTTACTAGATCAAATACATGTTGCGATGACGAAAACGTGCGGGCCGGTTGCAAAACTAGCCTGCCAGAGCAACACTTTTCATCAAACTGAAAGAAGAACAGGTATCAACAAAGTTATACCACTGCTATACTGTGCGTATAATTCATGAGCACAGTTCAACAATGCGAACGTCATCATGAAGAAAAGAGATTGAAATTATCATTTTGATGTTTATTAAAGAATGGAGATGGACCATACTCGACGGCAATGCAGTGCCGAGAAGATCCGTGACACAGCGCCGGCTTTCAAACCGACGAGAACAGATACTACACTTCGATCTTAGCCGTGAGGCGAGAAGCGATAAAGCAAACTTCGAAAACGCATCGCTAAGACTTGCTCTGTCTCTACCGATGTCACACAGTTTTAATTGATGAGTCAACATTACTAATAGATATTTCATAACTACAATACAATACGATGAAAGTGACACCGATTTCTCCTGAAAAGCAACTCTATATATGTTCTTGGGTAAAGTGCATTTGTTTGATTGATTCGATGAAGAGATTGAATATCGTCCTGTTTCCTCGACAGTCTCTTGATTGTACCGATTCATTGACTATAGTGCTTCGGACGTTCAGAGACGTGGGTAATGCGAAGTTTAACTTATCTATGAATGATATTGAGATTAACTGGACTCCCGGTTTTAAATATTTAGATTATAATTGGTATTACTTCGAAGCTATGCTGGGGTAAAATGAGAGCAGGAATGAAAAGTAGAATTCGATAGCGTATCGTAATGAACAATCGTGTAAAACATTGGGATCCTCCTTCGTTGAGCTCAGAAGAATTTTTTCTCATCTTGCATGATACTATTGTTTGTTTGGATGTATAGCGAACACTCACTATTGACAAATACGAAGCACGATGATTAAAGTCACGTCTATCCTACAGCGCTGAAACGAACCTCCGATAGACCACCAATGTTGTGGATACTGAATTAAATGCAAAAGAGTGAAGGTAGAAATGACTGAAATATTGGTTCTGCACGAACGAGCATTACTCAATCTCTACAGAAAACTATGGTTAGGTAAAGAGATAATACTGAAACATATTAGAAAATCAAAATGATTTGTCCTTTTTGAGTCATGCATCGAGATGGGCTTGAGATGGTCAGAGCAATTTTCATCTTGGCTCTCAACTACACTTACAGATAATGACCCCGTCTTTATTAAGAGCCTTCTCTGAAATGTTCACTTAGTCTTCTTATAATCTTATGAGCACTTCCCTGACTTCGTTCTATCTCTTCTTCTTCTTCTTCTTCTTCTTCTGATTTCGATATATGTACTAGTCTTTCTGTACTTCTCTGCATGTTTCTATTTCTTACATAAGTAAACTATATGATCTCTCTTCGATTTGACTTCTAATCACCTCATACTTAATTGTAAACGCAGTGGTGTAATAATAGACCTCCGCGGATTATATATGTTTTTGTCCTATCAAGTAAAGTTCTACCTAAACTCAAAGATCATTAACTTACTACTACAAAACAATTGTGGTTGTATATCACTGAACGAGTTTTCCGATGGAATTGATTTAAACATCGGCACAAACCAAGATAGATTGCTTTTCAGTAGTTTATATGCCGTACTTATTCTCTTGTTGTTTATTCACTCTTAGACCTTATCCATTGTCATATGATTTTTTTCTCTCTTACTCGCAATGCCTGCAATTGCGCTTTGTATTAGAATGCAGTTTAACCGAAGATTTTCGATAAAATAAGAAAAATCCTTAATCGTTTCGATCAAACCAAGAGAGGGGCGAAAAGAAGAGTAACCAGACGAAAATAAAATGTATCTGTGGAAAGCGAGATATGAGGAAGTTTGCATTGGAGATAACAGTGTTTTCCCTTTGTTTTCATGAAAAGTGTTGCTCTGGCAGGCTAGTTTTGCAACCGGCCCGCACGTTTTCGTCATCGCAACATGTATTTGATCTAGTAAGATCATTTACCTCTTGGTAAGTTGTAATAAGCAACTTTCCTCGGTGATGCTGAGCAGACGACATCTCTCGAGTCTCTACACATCGCCCTTCCTTTCGCTCTCCGTCAAACGCTATGTGAAAAGACAAGAACGTTGTTGTGCATTTGATATCACCGAGGAAAGTTGCTTATTACAACTTACCAAGAGGTAAATGATCTTACTAGATCAAATACATGTTGCGATGACGAAAACGTGCGGGTTGGTTTCAACACTAGCCTGCCAGAGCAACACTTTTCATCAAAATAAAGAGAAAACATACTATCATCATTCATGCAAAACTTATTCGTGTCGTGTTTCATTCCATTGCATTGCTGTCGAGTACAGCCCGTCTCCATTCTTTAATAAACATCAAAATGATAATTTCAATCTCTTTTTTGTTTGATGAAAAGTGTGTGCTGCTCTGGCAGGCTAGTTTTGCAGTCAGGCCGCATGTTTTTGTTGTCGGAAAGTGTATTTGATCAGAGTTGATCTTTGAAAAATTCACACTATTAATAGAAGATGTGTACGTGTAGCAGTGAGAGTTACTGTTCAACTAATTCACTTCGCCATCCTCACGTTGCACGAGTGGCATGGGTGCACTGTTAGCATTAATTTGAACATTCTCAGAAGTAACTCGTTAGTTTTTGTATCGGTTTTTCATCGACTACACTTGCATGTAATTTTTTTTCTGTTGAGATAATGGATCGTCATGTCCTATTGCATACCATTTCGGATATTTTACAGCTTCATATTCGACTTTAATATGATCAGCATGTTTACAACGACAACAGACGTTTTTACGTCTTTCCAGATTGACGAAGAAAGTGTAACCATTCTAATGAAAATATTTCTATACCGACTGTAACGACTAAGCTACTCCATTGAGAAGCGATTGCTCGGATATCTCCGTCGACAACATGTGGTAGAACATTAAGTAATCCGTTAATATTTACATATTTATATGTTTCACTAGTCATAAACACTTGATCACCAATTATCAGTTCATCATTTTTAAGAATGCTTTCTCTTGTGTTTGTTTTTGTCCCAAGATAACATACGATTCAGAAGATTACCAGTTGAGTCAACATTTGAACCAAAGCATTTATTGTTCTTACACGATCAATCTGAACACCGCTTCACCTGATGAATTGGCATTATCCTTCTCTTCTTTGTGTTGTCAGTGCGAAGTAACGATAGTTTGCATTTATCTTCTTCAAAAACAAAATATTTCTTATTCTTTTTTGTCATTCAAGGTATGCATTGGTCATTGAAGCATTGTGCCAATAATTCTTTCTTTCAATCTATTCTTTGCTAATGGTCCATGAAGAAGAAAAGTAATTCCTAGGCTAAAGTCTGAAATTTAACTAAAGCTAATTTACTTTCACCAATTTATCATGTAATGATTCGACTTAGCGATTCTTAACAGCATACTAGTTTTCGGCAAGAAAATGTGTATTAGTAAATTTCATTCATGTGACTATACTTGTGATAGAAATATTCTGAATCAAATTGAGATCTGGAATACTCACTGGATAATTTATGTGCTGATTCTCTCGGTAAAAGGTAACGATTGCTTTGCGTATTTCCATAGAGTTTATTTGGATACCTACGGTAGGTTTTTCTGTTGACCAGCCTCGATTTTGTTCGACAGCTGAGTGAGTTTCGAACGCTACAACTTTTCAAGGCAGTAGCAATATTGGCACAGATCTTTACGGGATCGCTGTCGACATTAACAACGCTATCTATATACCAGAAACAAATCTTGATCACGTTCATATATGGCGCTTTGGAGATACAAATCCGTTCATGAATATTACTAACAATTTAACAACTCTATTTAATGTCTTTGTCACAGAAAACGGTAATATCTATGTTGACCTGAGTTTCACTCTATATGTTGCTGATTGCACCAACGATCGAATACAACGTTTGCGTGTAAATCTTCAAATGGTTTTACGGGAGTAAGAGTAGCAGCTAATGACTTCATGTTCAATCGGATTTGTTATAGATGCCGACGGATATTACTTTATTTTGGAATATTATAACTATCGTATTGTTTGATCGAATGCGACCGGTTATTACTGTATTGCAGAATATGCAAAAACCAATGGCTCTGCGACATATTAACTGAGCTACACCGTCAAATGACATATGGAAACAGTGAGAATCTCATTCTCAATCCAAGAAGATTTTCGATTGACCTTGACGGAAACACGATCAACTACTGGATGCACTTAATCGAGTAACGACCTACTTTCTGTTTGCCATTCAAGGTCATTACATTGTTGTTGTTGTTATTTTTAGATACGCACTAGCCAATAAGACCAAAAGTACATGTTCTTGCAGAATCTTTGTAGCTTTTAAATATTTCGTATCGTATAAAATTGAAGTATGTTTGCAAAGAGTGTTGTATCGCCTGTATTTCTCTTGATATAGTTGTTTCTTAGCAGCAATAAAAAAAAAAGAAATCTATCGCTGTGTGTTTTTTTTATTGATTTCAGCATTTTAAGCCTGTAGTGCCGATATATCCCAAATTGAAAAAATAATGAATGCAATACGGTGAATATTAATGTGATTTCCTTCAATAACACAATCATGTATGAAACGTAGGTAAACAGACCACACCTACTCTTTGCGAAGTATGCATGGCTTCTTCTAATGATTCACTGAATAAGACGACAAGAGGACGAAAGAGACAGAGAGAGAGAAAAGACTACTATAACGATGCTGAAAGAGTGTATACAGTAATGTGGAAATAATGACAAAAAGAACAACAAAGTCGTAAAAATCAAGGGAGACATCTGCATGATAAATATGAAAATAGCGAATCTATTTGACTGATTATCTATATATATAAAGAAGAAAGTTTGTCTGTCTGTCTGTCTGTCTGTCTGTTCGCTATGCATTCAGTCCCTGTAGCAGCTATCGGCGTGAAACTTTCCACAATACTTCCTGAGAACCAGAGGAAGGTCGACATCTACTTTTCCCCGAGAACAAAGGAACCAGCCGTTTGCTGCAGGCAATATATGAAACGGGCCAATAGGAATGCGAGATTTCCAAAATTGAGAAAATTAATAGCGAAGGCGGCCGAAGGCCGTCTGAGCGCTCATAGACAACAATCCACGTGTTCTACCTGTGCATGGGAGTCCTATACATGCTACAAGCAACCTGCGAAGCTGACCAATAGGATTGCGAGATGTGAAAAATTGCAGCGGGTCGGTAGCGAAGGCCGTCTGAGCGCTCATAGACAACAATCTACGTGTTCTGCCTGTGCTTGGGAGTCCTATAAATGCTACAAGCAACCTGCGAAGCTGACCAATAGGATTGCGAGATGTCAAAAATTGCAGCGGGTCGGTAGCGAAGGCGGCCGAAGGCCGTCTGAGCGCTCATAGACAACATTCCACGTGTTCTCTACGCATATGATAGTTCGGTGAATGCTACAGATAATCTGCGAAACTCACCAATAGCGTTACAGGATCTCAAAAGATTAAGATAAATGATGAGGGTGGGTGAATTCGAAGGATATAAGGCATGAAATGACGTGAGAGTGAGAAAGAGGTCGATGAATGAATAGCTAGAGTGGAAAATCAATATAAGAGAAAGAGGAAATTTTCATGATTTCTGAGGCAGAAATTAGCTTCGGTAACTGTTTTGCATAAAGAGATATAGCCGAAACTGCCATTTTATGCGATGCACGGTGGGAAAAATAAGGACTGGAAGCGTAGAAATTTTAATTGTATTGATTTTCTATCTGTTATAACTCTTCAGCACGTGAGATGTTCGACATAGATATTTCTTATTTGCAGCGGGTCTCCCTCTAGTTTTATATAAAAATTATTTGAAGCAATTTTCTAAATTGATCTATTTATAAAACATATACGCATATTAAAAAATACTTACTGAGAGTGATTCGTGACTTCTCCATAAGTTCTTATCTTTCTCCTCCGTCATTCGATCCAATAGTGTTAACAAACTAGTCAGCAGTTGTCTCTGTTGGAGAAAGGACGACGTGTCGCTCAAAACAATCTGTGCGTACGTCATTTCGCGTACGAAGATACTTTTTATTTTGTCTTCACTACCCTCCTATTCAGTACATTTTACATCCTTTCCTTCTCGATTTTTCTTCAAATAAAATTGTCGAACCTTCTCTCTTTTTCTTCACAATACAAGGTCCATAACATAAAATGGGTACATTCACCTTCTCTCTTATTTACGACGCTTTGGTTCGTATATATATGCTTATCCTTTTCTCTTTTTTTTCTGTTCTTTACATGCGCGCACGCAGCGATCGAGCGAGCGTAAATCGTATTCAGTACTTCTAGGGAGATGCAAGAAAGCGACGATAGCACACCCACAGCACAAGATAAACTTCTTTTCGAACTTTTAGATCATACTAGAAAAACATCATGGAAGATGTCAATGTTCCATTCGTCGAAGTTCATTATGTTACCATCCAAAAGGTTGGCGATATACCAATCGTGAAAGGGGATTTTCAAGAACTCCCACCTCAAGTTCAAAAATGGGTTGCTCAAATGGTAATAACAAGAAAATGATGAGATTAACACACACGAAACTTATTCTTTTCATTTGTGATTCTAGGTACAACTGTGTACTCCACGTGGTGTATACATTTGTGATGGATCTGACGAAGAAGCTGAAATGGTTACACAAAAACTTGTTGAGCGTGGTACTTTAACCAAGTTGACCAAATATGAGAATAATTACATTTGCTGGACTGACCCGCGGGTAATTAAGAAAAAAAGAGACACACCTGGAAATTTGATTCATTCTTTCTTTTTTACCTTGAATCGTGATAGGATGTTGCACGTGTAGAATCAAAAACCTTCATTGTTACCGATGATAAATATGCTTCTGTTCCACATTCACGCGAAGGCACCAACTGTGTGCTTGGTTTATGGATGTCACCTGAAGAAATGAAAGGACAACTCGATGATCGTCTTCCCGGATGTATGTCTGGACGCATGATGTATATTATCCCATTCAGCATGGGACCCATCGGCTCGCCATTGAGCAAAATCGGTGTACAAGTAACCGATTCAAATTATGTCTTACTTTCTATGAGAGTTATGACACGAGTTTCTTCGGAAATTTGGAAACATTTGAAACATGGTGAAGAATTTGTTAAATGTCTTCATTCCATGGGTAAGATGATTTCTTTTCTAGTCAGCTGCATCGTTGATTGATTCTTTTCGATTGTAGGTTGCCCTCGTCCAGTCGAGCGGCTAGTCATTAAACATTGGCCCTGCAATCCAGAAAAAACGCTCGTAAGTTATTGTCATCAAATCTTGATCGAGACAAAACTATCATTTCAATTTCAGATTGTCCATTTTCCCGATATTCGAAAAGTAATCAGTTATGGTTCAGGCTATGGTGGCAATAGTTTACTTGGTAAAAAATGCTTTGCCTTACGTATTGCTGGCCGTATTGCTTATGATGAAGGATGTAAGTTGTCCGAAGCTTGTTTTAAGTCGATTTCTAATTACTATATTTTTCTTCATCAAGGGTTGGCTGAACATATGTTAATCATGTCCATCACTAATCCAAAAGGCGAAGAGAAATTCGTTGCTGCAGCATTTCCATCAGCTTGCGGAAAAACTAATCTAGCAATGTTAACACCAGCTATTCCCGGTTACACTGTTCGTGTTGTCGGTGATGATATTGCATGGATGAGATTTGATAAACAAACAGGAGAATTGCGCGCGATCAATCCTGAAGCTGGTTTCTTTGGTGTTGCACCGTAAGTGAAAATATCGTGTTATCTTCGTCTATGTTTGATGTATCTCTATCTCTAGTGGTACAAATATGAAAACCAATCCGAATGCAATTCTAACATGTTTGAAAAATTCCATATTTACCAACGTTGGCGAAACAGCCGACGGTGGATTTTACTGGGAGGGTCTCGAAGATGAAACACCAGCAGGCACTGAAATCACCTCGTGGACTGGCGAGAAATATATTTTAGGAGAAGATAAAACAAAGAAATCGAGTCATCCAAATGCAAGATTCTGTTGTCCGGCACGACAATGTCCTATTATACACGATAAATGGGAAGATCCAGCTGGTGTCCCCATATCTGCAATTATTTTCGGTGGACGACGACCTGAAGGTGTTCCGCTCGTTATTGAATCATTTGATTGGAAGCATGGTGTATTTCTTGCTTCACAATTGAAATCTGAAACAACAGCAGCCGCTGAACATACTGGAAAACAGGTCATGCACGATCCTTTTGCCATGAGGTGAGTTTCTTTTCTAATGCGACGATTCGTCTTCGAATGCTATGATTTTATTTAGACCATTTGTCGGTTATAACTTCGGCCATTACATTCAACATTGGTTAGACTTTGAAAAAGATCCAAACAATAAAGTAAGTTTGACTGTTGATGCAAAGCGATTGCATATAAGTATGAATTCTTTCTTTAGTTACCAAAGATATTTCATGTCAACTGGTTCCGTTTGGATGAAAACAAGAAATTTCTCTGGCCAGGTTTCGGTAATATATCCTTGATTTCAAAGTTCTTCTCGGTCAGACTTCGTTTTTTTCCTTTCAGGTGACAATATCCGTGTACTTGACTGGATCATTCGTCGAACAAATGGTGAAGACATCGCCGAAGCATCACCCGTTGGATTGCTACCAAAGAAAGATTCAATTAATCTTCAAGGTTTAGTTATCGATTGGGATAAATTGATGAGTATACCGAAAGATTATTGGGTTAATGATATTCAAGAAACATTAAAATGGCTCGATGACCAACTAGGAGATGATTTACCAAAGGATATTCGCGACCAGATCGAGAAGCAAAAAGAACGTCTATCACAATTGAAATGATCTATGCCACGAACAGTATTTTTCTTAGATTGAACCTTCTTTTATATTAGTACTAGCGGGCGTACCCGCTGCAAAATAAGAAATATCTATGTCGAATGCCTGACGTGTTGAAAAGCTGCAGCAAATAGAAAAATCAATAGACTCCAAGATTGTATGCTGGCGGTCCTAATTTTTCCCGCCGTGCATCGCACAAAACGACAACTTCAATTATAGCTCTTTATGCAAAAGAGTTACCGAAGCTGATTTCTGCCTCAGAACTTATTCAAATTTCCTCTCTCTCTCTCTCTCTCTCTCTCTAATATTCATTCTACACTCCAGCTATTCATTCATCGACCTCTTTCTCACTATCACGTCACTTCATACCTTATATCCTTCGAATTCGCCCACCCTCGACATTTATCTTCATTTTTTGAGATCCTGTAACGCTATTGGTGAGTTTCGCAGATTATCTGTAGCATTCACCGAACTATTATAGGCGTAGAGATCACGTGGATTGTTGTCTTTGAGCACTCAGACGGTCTTCGCTACCGACCCGCTGCAATTTTTCACATCTCGCAATCCAATTGGTTAGCGTCCAAGGTTGCTTGTAGCATGCACAGGCAGAACACGTGGATTGATGTCTATGTGCGCTCAGACGGCCTTCGGCCGCCTTCGCTACCGACCCGCTGCAATTTTTCACATCTCGCAATCCTATTGGTCAGCTTCGCAGGTTGCTTGTAGCATGTATAGGACTCCCATGCGCACGTAGAACACGTGGATTGTTGTCTATGAGCGCTCAGACGGCCTTCGGCCGCCTTCGCTATTAATTTCCTCAATTTGGGAAATCTCGCAATCCTATTGGTCCGTTTCATATATTGCCTGCAGCAAACGGCTGGCTCCTTTGTTCTCGGGGAAAAGTAGATGTCGACCTTCCTCTGGGTCTCAGGAAGCATTGTGGAAAGTTCCACGCCGATAGCTGCTACAGGGACTGAATGCATAGCGAACAGACAGACAGACAGACAGACAGACAAACTTTCTTCTTTATATATATAGATCTATTATCGACCCTGTGTATGATGACTGCCTTCTCATTTTATTAAATAAAAATTTAGTAGATTCGATGTCAGTATTGTTTGTTCTAGCAATTGGAAGAATCCACCGCTATATTTAATCATGATACATTTTACAAGATGGTTCAAAATGCTTTTCCCATTCACTAACAATCACTTTATCATGATTATCAGGGTTATTCTGTGTGAATTTTTCCAATTTCGGATGTGATTCCAATGGTTTTTGATATAAAATATCCGTTCGTAGAACGTATTTAACACCTGATTGAACTTTTGATCCTTCATGAAGAATATTATGAATATTAACCAAAGCCATGCCTCGTTTAGGTTCAATCGTATGTACGGGTTGTTTGTTTTCAATATCACGCAGAAATCGACAATGTTGCTTATCAGGAAAGAATTTCGTTTCTCCACCTTCAAAATCATCGTTTAAATAAATCAATAAAGTTAGAAACGAATGCTGTTTGTATGATCGTTTGGATTCGTCATTGTACGTAATCGTGCGACTATAACTACCATCCATATGTTCAGGATATTCCTCACTTTTTTGATATTTATAAAATCGCAGGCGATCAACACAGCCAGCAATGGTCCATTCACGACCACCGATTCCTTTCGTAAAATAAGCATTGTCAGGCATCCATTCCAACGTTTGAGGAAGTAATGGAAAGATCCGTCGATACAATTGATTGGCAATATCTTGATCTGTAACGACGGTGTACTCATTATTTCGAGCGTCTTCACGATGCGTACGACCATGACCACCGCCTATACAAATCAGCTAGATTCGAAACAAACAATGGATACTTTTTGTACAAAGTTACCTGACGGAGGACTGGTTTTAAAACCTGATGATTCCGCCCGTTGAATTAATTCTTCGCATTGACTCACTGATAGGAAATTTGGAACTACGCTAATACGTTCGCCATCGATAAGTTGTCTCTCAAGACGAGCCATTTTTTCTTCACCTTTACTTGAATTGTTTTTTTTCTTCTTATACACCCGCATAGCGAGTATATGACGAAATAACGTTTGTTATTGCTTATATCTGACGCAGGGCCGAAGTTGTAAAGAGAAAAAAACAAAATATGTAATTACGCAATAATGTTTGCTTTAGAACAAACCGATCTGTTTTCTTGACAATTTACAATTAAATATAAAGAAGCAAGATCTTGACAGAACGAGACAAGTAAACGACAAGTACAACATATCGTCAAGTTAGAATTAGATTAAAGTGTCAGTTGCATACACTGAAGAATAAAGTGCATCTTTTTTCACATTTTATATATGTCAAGAGAATCTTTTAAATACAAAAAACTTTCTTTCCTTCACTTCGAAATGTTTTTGACACTAGTAAATTGGTATAACAACTAAGACAAAACGGAATGCCTGCACTGAACAAACATATATTTCGAACTACCGATTCAATCACAACTTGCTCACTACCTTTTACTTGATTTTGTGTAATTTGTTGATACGTGAGGAAAACGGCAAATGTCATACTGAACAATGCATAGATACTAATATCCATAAACAGCATGTACATCATTTGACGCTCTTTCGTAAACTTTGACCGTGATCCAGTCGCTCCAGCACTTTTCGTTTTTGAAAAATGTTCCACATATGTCAATCGTTGTGCGTGTCGAAGATTTCTGATAGACCATAATCCGAAGAATGTCAACAGAAAAAGTGCTCCGAATTCTTTGCATAATGAATAATAGCTCATGAAGATGATATGTGTACCTGACTGAAAATAACATAGATAAGTATTCGGTGCTATTTGGCTAATAGTTGATAGGATCAAAGCATGAATATGAAATAGTGACCAGAATATTGTACCAACTAGAATACAAACGCACGCACAACGACATGTACTCTTTTGTCTCGTAGCAGCATTCCTTGATGTGATTAGAACTCGATCAATGGATGCCAAAACCAAATAAAACGCGCTTAAACAATTGAATAACGTTACGGCATACAAACGAAGACGGCAAAGACCAAGATACGAAGTAGTTACATCAGCTTTGTAACCAAATCCGAGTGTTAAGGGTAGCAACGATGAACATATGTAGCAGAAATTAACAAGGTTATTAGCAATGAAATAAATTGAACATGGACTTTTGCGAAGATTCCTCTGGGTGAAAACGAGAAGATTGGTGACAGAACCGAATATACCGATGATAATAAGAATTGGACAGCCGATTTGATAAAGATATTTTTCTACTAGTTTAAAAGTGATGACTGTGCTCGACGCTTGTGCAGACATAATAACCTTGAGCCTTTGTGGAAAAAAGAAAGTAACTTTTACCTTGTAAAGCTATGAATAAGTATCCGGCTATGTACACTTCCTACTCTCGTATTAAACAAAATTCTAAAGATAACTGTATGCTGATCGCCTAGAGAACTAAACTACGGCTGCGAAGAGTAGCTGAATGGGGATAATTATTTTCTTTTCATCTGATTATATACTATTTATCTTGTCATCTCGGTTCCTAGATCATCCTGATGTCAGTTCAGATAAGTGCGACATACAGTCAACACTTTGCATTTTACACACTGTAGCTGCTGTCTACGCCTGTGCTAGTAGACATACGTAATTCAATTAAGAATCAGTGTTGTTGCGACTGACTTTGGCGTGAAGACAGGTTAGCTGACAGCATGAGGTAAGATTTCTTAGTTTTGTTTATCTGTACGAAACACATTTAGGATTTGATAACTTTCAATTGTATAATCGTGCAACAAAAACAGGTCCCTGACAGCTTCGAGGCACCCTACGACGTCAGTCATTAATTAGAACAAGTTGAAAACTAAAATAAACATTGGCTATTATCGTGCAAATCAAGTAAAGAAAAATCAACGAAATTTCAGACGTTCAAGGAGATGCTATCCATATATTTGTGATAAAGGATGTCGCCTGTATATGTGAGCCATGTGTGTATATCAGTAGAAAATGTATTTCTAGCCAATAAGTTTTTTTTTCTTAACCAAATAGTGACTCACAACAGTTTGTAGAGAAACGAAAGCGAAGGCATATTGACAGTGAAAACAGTAGAAACATTAACAGCGTATCATAGAGTCCAAAGTGTGTTACACATCGAAAACTATGCCTCCAACGTGTCCTTTCAACAGCAAAAATGAAGTAATGAATGGAATTTCATCGAACGACATTGTTCAAGACAAATTAATTCCTATTCCATCACATCTGAAACAATCAAAATATGGCTTTAATGCCTTCTTACTTTTATTACAATATGTTACGCCTTTTCATCTGATCGCAATGGGTCTTTTTCTTTCACTTTTCCTACCAACAACCATCATTGCTATTCTATCGTTTGCATTTTTTCTCTATCCGTTGATTAAACAAGTATTACGATACTACAATTACCTACCAGTCCCATATTCGGAATGTATCATTCGTTCAACATATAGTGCACGGTGTGAGGGAGATTTCGTTGTTTTTCTAATTGGTATTCGACCAAATGGTGCAAATCCACTCACAAAATCTTTTAAAGAAATTGTCGCGGCATTTCAGAAAATGATCGCAGAATTAGAAGCCGATCGTACGTTAGGTTATATGGGAGGTGATCTGTACGTTAGTGCAAACAGTCGAAAGAGTGCGACTATGTATGTACAATACTGGCGTAGCTATGAAGCATTACAGAAATGGACACACACACGATTAGGAACTCATGTCAAAATTATGTCGGAGTACATGAAAACGGATCGGTTTGAAGGTGTCAATGGAATTTGGCATGAAACATATAAAGTAAGAGATGGTGAATATGAATGCATCTATGGCAACATGCCGCCAATGGGCTTGGCTTTGGCAACACAAGCTGTGTATGAGACAAAACTCAATAATGGGTCTAAGAGAATGCAACAAAGACAAAAAGAAAAGGAAGCTCAAGGTTTTTAGACTAACGCGTTTTTTCTTTTGTGATTTATAAACTTCAACATATTGTTCAATCATAGGAAACCTATGATCAGAAGGATGCTTTTCAAAATAAATGCTCTTGATTTTCTATAAATTATTGATATGTCGAAAAACGCACAACTTTGTAGACGCAGCTAACCATCAATTTCATACAATATATAATTATGATAGTTACCTGCTTTTCTTTAAATAATATTACAACTAACACATGTGAATTGTTCATTCCATCTGTCTCTTTCTTCACCAATATGCTATGCTAATCGTATTACAATTAGTCAATTATGGAATCAATTATCTATGTGACAAATTGACCAGCTGAATATAGAATGCAGCTACGATGTATGAATGATGTTAGCATGTTATAAAATGTCATAGTGTCATATTCAAAGCTAGAAAATTCTTCTGTAACTATTTTGCTTTGTGATGCTCCTTCGTCGACAAATAAACTTTCATCCTCAACTGTCACACCATTAAAACAAAGATAAAAATAGTTAAGTAGGTTATCAACGTATTTATAGTAAACCAAGTTTTCTTCTCTTCATCTTCGCAGATACACCTCTTTATCGTATCGTCCAGTGTGTTGTTATCTGCCTCTTTCTCTCCTCGTCTAATCATTTGACCATTGTGTAAGGATAGGCGTTGTGCACATACGTATATTTACTGTACAGCGAAGAGCGAAACAGAATTTAAAATGTTGCACACTATTTTCAAATTGAGAACGTTCCATACTATTCTTACGCGGAACACAATTCCACTGATTCAAAATCGATCTTTTTCGTATAAAAGACGCATTCAACGATACTTCAACGATGGGATCAATTTACAACAGCAAACAATTGAAATTAATTCCACGGAACGTATTCGTCGATGCATATTCTATAAAGATGTTGATCTCTTCTCATTCTATAAAACAACTTGTCCTCGAGTTCGAACTCTAGGCGATGCTTTACAAGAAGGTTGCATTGCTTCGAAAGACGGACCATGCATAGGTACTGTTCAATCAGCAGGGAAAACAAGTGTATTACAATGGCTAACCTATTCCAAAGTCACAGAACGCAGTCAATACATTGGCTCGTATCTTTGGTCGAAAACGAAACCGACACCGATGAAAGTTAAAGTAGCAATCTTATCGTCAAATCGACCGGAATATTTATTTGTCGAACAAGGATGTTACATGTATGGTTTAGTTGTCATTAGTCTGTACACAACGTACGATGCAGCAACGATTTTAAAAGTTCTTCAACGCACACAAGCAGACATATTAGTGATCGATAATCTGGAACGGGTCAAGTCCTTTGAGAATGAGTTATTAAGCAATGATATTTTGAAAGAAATTATCGTCTTAGATGATACGAATTCGTTAAACAAGAAAATTCGATCGATCTCTAGTATATACAATTCAATGAAAAGTACGGATATATGTCAACGACCTTATGTGGATCCGGAGAGTATTGCCACATATATTCTGACCAGTGGTACTACAGGTGAGTGTGATCAGAGTATGGAACGAAAAAGTTAGATCGTGATCTTCTTGTTTTCTCTACAGGAGAACCGAAAATTGCCATGCTTTCTCATGAAAATCTTCTTGCCACTGCCAAAGGTCATCTTATTCGTTTAAATCAAGCGAATATAAAAAAACCAGTAACCGATCGGCACTGTTCCTTCTTACCAATGGCTCATATTTATGAACGATTTATACTTCTACAAGGCTTACTTACTGGTACACAAATCGTTTTCTGTCCGACACCCGAACAACTTCCCACGTATTTATCAATAGTAAAGCCGACTCAAGCCTCTGTTGTACCACGCGTTTTAAACAAAGTCTATGACGCCATTATGGCAGAAGTAAATAAGAGTACAATGAAACGATTTCTGGTGCAACAAGCACTACGTGAAAATCCGTCATTTCTATCACAGATCGCTTTTCGTAAAGTGAAACATTTGTTTGGCGACCAAGTAAAAGCAATGATTACGGGAGCTGCACCCATTACTCCTGATGTCATGCATTTCTTCCGTATTGCGTTGGATATACCTATTATGGAAGGATATGGACAAACGGAATCTGCAGGTGCTGGAACAAGTACTCATCCGGTAGATATGTCCTATGGCACTATTGGTTCGCCCGTACCAACAGTAGAAATCAAACTGATTGATGTACCAGGTACAAATTATCGAAGTGAAAATAATCAAGGCGAAGTTTGTATCCGTGGACCGACTGTCTTCAAAGGTAATCTATTTTATTTAAAAGTAGATGAGTGCCAACATTTGCTTTGTTTTTTTTTTATGAATAACAGGATATTATGGTGACGAAGCCAAAACGCGGGAAACTGTCGACGCCGATGGTTGGTTACATACGGGTGACATTGGCGAATGGACCAATACTGGAGCATTGCGTATTATTGATCGTACGAAGCATATATTCAAATTAAGTCAAGGTAAATATATTGCACCGGAACGCCTTGAAGATGTCTACATTCGTTCTCGATGGGTTGCACAAATATTCGTCGATGGACTTTCATCCAAAGAAACCATTGTTGCTATTGTCATACCCGATGAAGAATACACACGAAAAACGTACAAATCAGATAGATCATTTGCTGATTTATGCAAAGATAACAAGTTGAAAGAGATTATCGCAGCGGATTTAAATCAACTAGCGGAAAAATATCGATTGAAACCCTATGAAACATTAACTAATATTCACCTACATCCCGAATTATTTTCACAAAACAATGGATTGTTAACAGTTACATTGAAAACACGACGCACTAATGCTCGTAATCACTTTCAATCGATCATTAAATCTTTATACGAAGATAGTCCAGTTCAAAAGCAATAATTCGTTTACTAATGTTCTCTGTGCAATACACTTCTTCTATGGAAAATTCTGTTTTTTTTTATCACATATTGAACTATTTTGTACTTCTATATGCTGATTGTAAAAATAAATTCATATTCAAATTATTGACATATCTTAGTGCAATGTAATTGGAGTAAAAGTGTAGAAAATCGAATTCGAACGATTTTGTTCTACTTTTGCGTCAACAGATACGCACTCGAGTTATTATACATCCATTGTTTATTTTTTTCTATACGTCGATGATAAAATGTTTGTCCCAATTACGAACGAAGACACTTCTTCCTTTCAATGACGACATAACGCGTATCCTTTGTTCTCAGCAGGTATTGTGATATCAATAGAGAAGTTAGTTAGGCAAACTTCTCACTTTGATCATAAATAGATATTTTATCGCGGAAATGACGATTTATTATCGATGTGCACACAATTGACTTCGACTAGGCAAAGAAGAACACCGTATTTTATTGGTGGAGAAATAATTCATCAGGTGTTTCTACGGCGAGGCGAAGAGATGAACTGATATCAGTCACTTCATTTTCTTTTCTTTCTAGATATTCATGTCTTGTTATCTCAATCAATTTCCAATTGAAATATTTCACATAATTTTTGAATATTTATGGGCACATGATATTTTATATTCGTTTCGGAATATTAACGATTATATAGATAATATCCTATCGAATTATCAATATTATGTAGTGAATTTCAAATCAATTCGTCGATCTCATTTCGATCTTGTATGTCAACTTCGTGCTGATCAAATAATTTCGTTGATTTTATCGGATAATGTCGATACACCGAAACAATCTCGATTATTTCAATCGAATTTTTCAATCGAGCAATTTACTCGCTTACGTTCGTTGAAATGCATTGAAGTCGACGATGAAGATGACGTGATCTTTCCGCATTTATTTACGCTGCCACAATTGCGATCTGTAGAAATTCATCTCAAATTCAAAGTTCCATTGATTATAGCTCCTCCATCGCTTCGACGATTTACGATTGAAACTTCACCGAAAATACAACTCAATCTTGATCTAGGAATAACTTTAGTTCAATTCGGACACTTACGTGAACTAACACTTCCTATTTGTCCCTGTAGTTATTTACAACGAATCTTCTATGAAGCTTCTCAACTTACAGCACTGAAAATATCATTTATATTTCTAAATCCAAATGATCTCACCACCTTGGTCAACATCCATCAATATTCAAAATCACCTCCACTCACTTCACTCTCATTGTCTCTCACTGAAAATTGTAAGTATATCTTTCTGTTACAAACTGAACCTTCAACTGATTTTCTTCATAGGCGGAACGATAAAGCGCATCCACATTGAGCAATTCTTAGCCCCATTTAAATATCTGAAAAATCTAGAATTGATCATTCCGAGTCCGACTGAGTCTCAACTTGCTGATGGTCGTCAATGGGAATCATTTATTACGGAGTCTCTACCCAGTCTAGGAACGTTTCATTTCAACTTCTATGTACTTACCATTAACTTACGTACACTAAATCAATTTCGTCGTCCATTTTGGATTGACAGAAGATGGTATGTGGCTTGCGATTTCAATCAATCGCTGATCTTTAGTGTTCCTCACTTTGCACCAACTTCAAGAAGGCATTCACTTAAACCAGTGCCTTTTCATCAAACGACGTTACCAATCGAACTGTACAATGCTCTTGATAATCGTGTTACTCAATTAATTTTAGATTCCGAACGCAAGAAATCATGCTCGCATTACTATCGAAATATTGAAAAACTTAAGATCTATGGTCACTACATTCAAAAGAATCTTCTCGATCTGTCGAAAGTCACATCATTTGTTGTTAATAGTCCTGAATGGTCATTTCAACGAATTGTGAAATCAATCGAACAATCAATGCCTAATGTGAATCATCTCAGTTTGATATGCACTTATCCCAACACAGATTCGTTTACTAAATTAGAACAGATTCGAACGTTGGTATTGCCTCACTATGGCGAATTGTCTGATGGTGATCAATGCTTCATTGATTGGTCTTGTCATTTTCCGCGTGTAGAACGTTTAACTGCTTCTGTTACTTCCAAAAAGCAAATACCATTTTTGATCGATCAATTCAAATATTTAATTAGTGGTTATTTTTTCGCTCTTCCAAGCGATATTGATATGAAAAAACGAATCAAACTAACGCCTTCATGGCTAATCAAGCATACCCAACGTCTTCGAGGAGGCAAGACAAACAATTTTACATGTGATATTTATGATCCATGTTTTTTGGCATTATCTATATGGATTGATGACAAAGAGAAAGTAAATTAGTTTATTGACTGTTCTTTCTTTAATAGATTTCATATTTTCAGTTCGATGACAACAAAACCTTAGTGAAAAATCGCAAATGGTCTTGGGGTCGATGTTTTACTTAATGTTACATGTAGATAGTTCGTCTCCATGGTTTGTCTTTCTGTGGAATAAATGTGATTCATAAGAAAATGATTAAATAAGCTAGCACTAAAAATTGTCGACTGATCTTATTTAAAAAGCATGTTAAAACTTCCACTCCATTTGTTAGAACATTCAATTCGATGATCACACTTGTACGCTGTGTATTGACCACTGGATCAAAACCAAATGACATCAGAAAGTCTCCAGATAGATTTCTTGGATTGACCGCTAATGAATTGCTTGTTCCTGGATAGGTATTAATTTCTTGTAAACGATACTGCTTTGTTGGATCGAGTCCTTTCAACCGAATAGGACCAGACGTGCCGGCTGCATATCGATTAACAGTCAAATATGAAAACCAAACAGCATGTTCTAATTTGTCGTTAACATACATCAACGACGCTATGTTGCTACCGGATCGATAGGGTGACGCAAGTCGAAAGAGATCACCATGCCAAATTGTATCTTTCAAACGACTATAAATTTGTAATGCTTGTTGGCTGAACCGAAGATCATTACTATTCAATTTGTTCACAACGATATCATAACCTAATTTACCCATCATGGCTACATCTGTACGGAATTTCAACGGTTGATTTGCCCAATTAGTTACATGATTACATGACGCAATAGCAGGAAAAAAGAATGAATAACTCCATTGAATAAATATACGTTCTAACCCATCAGTATTATCACTTGGCCAAAATTCAGTAAAATATTGTAGAGCACCATAATCAACTCGACCTCCACCACCAGAGCATAACATCATTGGTACTGTAGGATACTTCGTTCGTAGACGACTAAGAACAGTATATAAACCACGTACGTAATCGACGTACAGATGAGACTGATGGGGATTAGATGTTGAAAATGCGTTGTAGATTACCGCATTACAATCCCATTTGATAAAAGCAACCATCGGATGTTGAGTAAACATACCATCAACAGTATTATAGACAAATTCTTGCACGACAGGATTAGATAGATCGAGTACAAGTTGATTACGAAAATAATACTCAGGACGATTTGGTACTTTAATTACCCAATCGAGATGATTTTCATAAAGTTCACTTTTAGGGTTGACCATTTCAGGTTCCATCCAGATACCAAATTTAATCCCTAATGTTTGAGCTGCATCCGTCAAATAATTAATTCCATGTGGTAATTTCTTAACATTCTCTTGCCAATCACCTAGACCCGCTCGATCATCGTTTCTAGGGTATTTGTTTCCAAACCAACCGTCATCGAGAAGAAATAAATCAACACCAAGTGTTTTACCATCTTTCATCAATCCAGTTAATACTGTTTCATTAAAACTAAAGAACGTTGCTTCCCAGTTGTTCAATAAAGTAAAACGGTCGCTTTCGCCTTGTGGAATACGAAACTTTCTCGCCCAACGATGCCAATTTCGACTGACAGTACCTAAACCACTCAAGGAATAAGTAAATAGAAAACTTGGCGTAACGAATTCTTGTCCGGCCGGTAAATAATACTCCGATGCATAAGGATTGATACCAGCTAGGAGACGTAAATTACGCAGTGGGTCGATCTCGAATTGTAATTGATAATTTCCTGACCATGCTAATGTACCAGCTAGGATTTCACCTTGATCTTCGTCGCCCTCTTCGTGATTGATTGGCTGGTTTAACGAAAGAAAAAATGACGGTGGTTGAAATAGATCGGCTCGTGTACCCAATTTTGTATCCAACACTTTGATTCCCGCTGTCAACTGAATCTGCTCTGGTTTCATTTCTCGCGCCCAGTCGCCATGAAAATGTGTGAGATAATAATTACGCGCTGATGAAAGATAAAGATTAGCTGAACTGTATTTTTCAAGGCGTACGACATTTCCTTCGGAATGTTGAATACTTGTCCATTGCTCGATAATATTATCATCATAGTATGCTTTATAATTCAGAGTAACTTTAAACGGATAGACTGGATCTTGAAGGTAAATCGACGTTAACGTAACTCCACTCGGTTGATCTTTGGTACTTTGTTCATGGCGTACATATCTCAAATCTAAAGATGGACTTCCATCGGCATGAGTAACTTGAATAGCAGGTTCAAGTAAATTGCGTGACCCACTCGGTGTGTATGCTGAACTATAGAGACCAGTATAGTCACCATTTGTTAAGTAATCGGGTATCGATGCGTAATCATCATCGTTTTGAAGTCGTTTACCAAGATAAATGACTAGTGGATCACTGTTTGAATCCACACGGATAACCAATGCTACATTGGCAGTGACGATTGGAATATTAATAGTTTGATTTTGTGCCTCTAGAGAATAATTGAATGCACTGTAAACATTCTATGTTCAAAAACTAGACTGTGTGTACTTACCTATGATATTGTAGTAAATAGTGATATGAACATAAACAATAATGGCAAGAATGGAAGATTTAAATAGCATATTTTACAGATGGAAACGCACTATTGTATATAATTTGCGCGATTAAGGGAGTGAAATATCAAAGAATAGAGTCTTTTATAACTTTACTGTATTTTGCAAATGCTGCGATGAATAAGTTTATCAGTAGCCATGCGCTGTTCTCCTCTCGTTTTACTGTTATCGTATCTTTTTATAGCACTTGATATTCATTCTTTTTACTTGTGAATTTCAATGACAGTTAAATATACTAACCTTATCACCTCGTATAATTATTTATCAACCGTTGCCTCTGGTGCATATGATCCCTGCAGAAGTCTCTAATACTGATTTATATAGTTTGGGGTCGTTGAAGTAATTAGAAAATTGTAAACGAAATATTACTACACAGATGAAAATTTATGTATACTACAAGAAGGAAAATCCACCTTTTGCAAAACATTTTCTTATGATCAATTGATTAGAATTTAATTTGTCTTGTAGGCCACTACTTCATTTATTCCTTTTCACTGTTGCTCTCTGTATGAAGATCCAGAACTTCGAATATGCTAGGAACACAGCAAGCACAACATATACGTGAACATTTGAGCTACTTAATGCGGAGTAATTGATCTAAAAGAGTAGAAGTACTTATTTGGTTAAGTCAATTTCCTTACCTAATCTCATGGAAATTTAAAGTACAAGAATTTCTAGGTCGTATTTCTGTTGTTCTGGAAGATGGCACCTTTTACTCTACCATATCAAGCAACAGTAGTTTTTTCTCTGTGAGTATTAGTTTTCATTTTTAATTAAGAACAAGGAAGATACAGAAGACAAGGCACAACCTTAACAACTGATTTTGTGTCGTTCTCTTGACTAATGTATTTGTCAGCAGTTAGAACAAGAGCGTTGAATCTGTCTGAAACGATCGAATCTGATGCGAACGCTGGTACTTATCATTTTGACAGGAATATTTCTACACGAGTAGGAAGTATTTTACTATTAATATTTGATATTCCTTCTATCGTATCATATCTTTTTGTGTTCATTTATATTTTCTCAAAAAAGAACATTCGCTCAGCCCCAAATAATTATGCCATGTTGTTTATGTTATTCAATTCCTTCATACTCGTTTGTACCGATATTCCATGGACAATTTATTACTATCAGCGATATCAACCAATCATTCAATCACCAATATTTTGCTTAATTTGGTGGTTTATTAGCCTATGTTACTCATACTCATGTCATATATTAGCAGCATGGATCTCTTTCGAACGACATATTCTCATTTTTCACAGTTGGATATTTACCCGAAAGTTTAAAAAGATCTGTTTTCATTATCTAATGCCGATTCTGATTCTATTATATACACACAGTTTATACATATACTTTATTATTTTAACGCCTTGTGAAACTCGTTATGAACTGGCAGAAAATTCGTGTAGTGACCCATGTTATTTTTCCAGTGTAACGTTGGGTTTATATGAAACGATAGGACACGGCATTTTGACAACAATATGTATTGTTATATTTAGCAGCACGCTCATTCTTCGAATTTACTGGTCAAAAGCTCGTCTTCAACAATCAGTTAATTGGAGAAAGTATCGTAAAATGTTCTATCAACTAATACCAATTTCAACACTTTATCTTTCAACAAATTTTCCACTTTGTATTGCTTATATTTTGTATTATGGCTATGGTGCACTGTGGATACAGACAATAATAACGTGTTTCTCTTTTTTAAATTACTTTATTCCGATCGTTTTGCCGTTCGTGTGCATAGCGTCTTTGCCAGATTTTCATAATGATATGAAACGATGTTTTCGTCATCGAATCAATCGACAAATTCGGTCGGTAATCTGATTAGTTCGTTCAGGAAAAGTATACTCATTCTTGAGAACATGATTTTGATTCATTGCGATTTACAATCTCCCTATAGTGCATATCGTTTTTTTGCATAAAATGTGATGCCCGTATTGAGTCGAATTTTGTGAAGAAATTACCTCGTTTAATATAGAGCTGCCGTTATTTTCTTTTTCTTCCGACACTTACCAACATACACCATTTTGCACATAAGGTAAACAAATCGTCTTTTCTTATAATTACGTGGGTTTCTATCGCGCAGCGACCAAATAAATATTTGCTTTAATTTAAATTAGTAGGAACGAAAAACTTTTACTTTTTCTCATCACTTTGCGTTTTGTTTCTTTCGTTGTAATAAAACGTTTCTACATTGACTAACTACACAACATGGCTTCTAAATTCAGCAGTGATGATATAGTTCCTCACCAACGATTCACTGATGTCAAATATGAAAACAATGAATTTCTTCTACCAATCGACGGTTACCAAAAGGTCGACTTAGTTTCATTAGATGAGGCAATGAAACCAATCGAAAACTATGTCGATCGAAACATTCAGGAAAAAGTTTACATTGCCAAAAAGCGGTGTAAGAATCCAAAAGATAATTTGACTCAAGATGAATCAGCATCCATTCAAGTTTACACCATGGAATCAACAGAACATGAACAGAGTTTGTACTACAATTTGAACAAGACTTTACGAAAAGAAGATCGACGCCAATTGGTTCCATATTTTCCTTATTTAAAATTGATTTTGACAGCATTGTGGAAACTTCCCGCATTTAATGGGCGTGTATGGCGCGGTGTAAATGGCGATCTGTCGAAGAAATTCGAAGAGGGAGACAGTTTAGTATGGTGGGGATTTAGTAGTTGCACTCGTCACTTGAATGTATTAGAATCGCAAGAATTTCTTGGTAAAGAAGGAACACGAACTTTGTTCACTATTGAATGTTCAAATGGGAAACTTATTAAGGATCACTCATATTTTGCGCAAGAAGATGAAGTTTTATTATTACCTGGCGTCGAGCTGCGCGTGGCAGGAAAGGTTCGCCCAGCACCAGGACTTACCATTATCGAGTTGAAGGAAGTGACTGAAAGTCCTGTAGTTCTATTAAAGCCACCCTTCACGCATGATAATTCACAACGGCACATTGAAAGTACTAGTTATGCATCAGAAGAAGTACAAAGACTTGTGCAACGGTTAAAATCCAGTGACAAAGAATTTGAGAAGGGATGGTTTAGATTGAAAACCGCGAATTTATCTCTTGCCGATGGAAAAGCAATAGCAAAAGCATTAGAGACAAATACGAATGTTGATAAGTTTTTAATTGGATCGCAGAATATTTCGATGGAATGTCTGGAGTATTTGGTTGATTCAATGAAAATAAACGCACGCATTAAATGTCTGTACTTTATTGGAAAGGATGACGATGACAATGATGGTAGTTATCTGGTGCCCGTATGTACGCGCACACTTATAAACACTCTGAATATCAACCAAACAATTACTCGACTAGAAATGAGTCGCACAACTATAAAAGACCATGACATTAAAATAATAACCGATATGTTAAAGAGAAATTCGCGTATAGATGATTTACATATAAGTTACAATCCCTATCTTACTATACAAAGTGCATTGTACGTCAGTGAACTGCTTAAAGTTACGTCAACCATTACTACGCTTAGTTTTTGTGGAAAACCGAACATTAATGATGAATGTGCGATACTAATTGCCTCTGCGCTGAAAATCAATTCAACTGTTGAAGATTTATCAATGTTTCACAGCCAGATCTCTGATAGAGGTGCACATGCACTTGGTGAAATGTTAGCTCAAAATCACACGCTAAGAAGTTTAGGTTTAAATGCTAATCAAATAACCGATGCAGGTGCTAAAGCTCTAGCAGAAGGGCTGAAGCGGAATTCAACATTAAAGTTTCTTCATATCCCAGACAACCATTTCACGAAAGAGAGTTCTGGTGGGAAAGCTCTCAAGGCAGCAATGAATTCAAAACTAACAATATTTTTTGACTATTAGATTTTTCTATCTACTTCATACTTTTTTTTATCACACACAACAAAAGAAGAAAGATCTACGTTGTAATAGATTAATCTTCTGGAGAACTCTTCTCTATCTAGATAATTGCCTGACCGAAATTACATTTTGTTAATCGATTTCGTTTCTCTGATTACATATGGCGCTGAATAATCTTTCTTCCTTTCCATGTCGAACATAAGTATATCTGCCATAAAATACGGGTAGAATGTCATTTGCAAATTGTTGTCTTCCT